CTTTAATTCTTCTAATAATAATTTATAGAAAAGATAATAACTAAAAATAATTTTTTTTTCTAGTATAATATTATAATTAATATCCTCTCTTTATAGAGATAACTTATTAGATTTCTTTTTTAAAAATATATCTATTATATTATAATACTCTAAAAATAAATTCTTTCAGATCTCATAAAATTCTTTTAATTTAACTAATATTCTTAATTTAATTTCTAATATTTAGTTAATCTTATTGAGAGATATAATAAATATCTTAATTTATATATTTTATTAAGTCTATTTTAGATAGTGTAAATAGAAAGTAATCCTAACTATATTAATATTTAGAATATAGCTCTTTATTAATTTAATATTCTAAAATTTACTCTTTAAATTAACCTCTATTATTCTTTATTCTTTAATCTACTAATATCTATATTATTTCTTATAAAATATCAAATATAATTAATCTACCTCATTTATATATTGATTACTAATTCCTATAATTAATATTAATTAATCTCTTTATTTAGTATCTTATTAATAGTAGCTAATTAACTGAGTAAGCTATAATATCCAGATTAGGATTAGATAAATAACCTTTTAAAAGACTTCTTTAAATAAACTAGATTTTTATAGCTATATTATATAATATTATTAATAATCTAGTAATATATTATACTCCTTAAATTATAATTAATTAAAAATAATATCATATTAACCTAATTTAGCTATTAATATTAAAACATCCTTAAATATATATCTATTAACCACTATTAAAAAAATTACTATCTTTATAATAGATATTAATACTTTATTATTAAATCTATTAATAAAATATCCTTTTTAAATATTAGATTTCTAATCTATATTTTTCTAATAGTTCTACTAAAGATTAGTCTATAAATATTAAACTATCTATTTCTATATCTTTTAATACTCCTACTGAAAAAGATCGTCTACTAAATCTAAATTTTATATTAAAAATTAAACTATTATAAGATTTCTAATTAATTAAATCTTTTAAATTTAATATAAAAAGAGAAAAATATTTATTTAAAAAGAAGATTTCTGCTAGATATCTACTTTTCCTAAATTTAAATAATCTCTAATCTTTATTACTATTATTAAAGTTAGAGTAATCTTACTAAATAAATTTTTAAAAAAATAGTTATAAACTATATATCCTTTCTTTTAATAATAAAAATATTTACCCTCCTTTATTAGATTAATTTTTTTAATAAAGAATAAATAACTGAAAAGAGATATCTTAAAAATAGATTTCTTTTCTTTCTTAATCTTAAGAAAAACTATACTATTAATTCTGGAAATAGCTATTTTATAACTACTAATTAAGATTAATTTTTCTTTATTCTTTAAGATTTTAATCTATAGATTAATCTCGTAAACTATTTATATATAAATCTCTATAAATTTTTTAAAATCTATAATTACTTTAGTTTTATAGTATATTATCTATAACTATAATAATAAAGATAATTTCTTATAGAGTTTATATTTTTAACTCTTTAAAAAAATATTTACTTTTTTAATAAACTATTAATATTAAATAATAAATTTATTAAAATTATCTTTAAATCCTATAATAAAATTTTTATATTTAGTTATAGTAATCTTCTATTAGTTCTTCTTAATATAAATACTTCTAAAATATTCTAATATATCTTTAAAATCTTTATATAATATTACTACATTATCTTCTAGTTAGAGTACTAAATATTCTAATATATCTCTCTTATAATAGCTCTATATATATAATTTCTAAAAACAGAAATTAGTATAATAATCTATATTAATCTTTAGTTTATATTAAATAAAAATTACCTAGATTTTGAAATATATATTCTAATAATTAATTAAGATTAAGATATTAAATATTTTAAATAATTTACTATTTTTAATAATAAACTAATCACCCCTAATTAAATTTTATTTCTCTTAATCCTTCTATTAAAAGATTATTTTAATAATAATAGATAATATATTATTTTTTTTCTTTTTAAGATCTTTATAATAATTTATAATCTATTATATTTTTAATTAAATATTCTAAATTTATTCCTATACCTCTTATAACTCTTTAATAATAGTTACTAATATTATATAAGTTATAATAATTTTATCCTTTACCTTTATAAATTAATTCCATAACTTATTAATCCTAACTTTAGAGTTTTAATTCTTAATATTCAGCTTTACCATCTTAGTCTATAATTATTTAAATTCTTTATCAATATTTTATTCTATATTATTATTAATATCCTATCCTATTTAACTTAACTTAGAGTCTTTAATAAAAATACTAAATATTAATTTATATTCTATTCTCTATTAAAATCCTATATCTAGATTTATTTTAAAATTCTTCTTAAAGTAAAAAAAGTAAAGTTTAGATTTCGTAAAGTAAAGATAAAGAAAATCTATTTATACTACTATACTATTAGATATAAAATAAAAAGTAATACTTAGTATTATAATATCTATTAAATTTCTACAATTAAGAAATATATTCATCGAAAATACTAAATATAAAAAAAGGAGAAAAAAGGAGAGAGAGAGAATTAATAACTAGATCTACTTTTCTAATCCTATACTCCCTCACTTAATCCTTAGTTTATTTTAACTTCTTTTAGATATCTAGTTTAGGCACCTATAATAAAGTATACTATATATATAATATTCTATAACCCATATATATAATTTCGATATCCCATAACATATGATATACTCAACATATGATATACTAAATATATGATCAGATTATATGACCTAACTATATAATAATTTTTATAGTATTAGATTAGGAAATATAGTTTATAAATATCCTCTAGATCTAGATATATTAATTATATAGGATCATATATAGATTATTAATTATCTATTACTCTAAGATTAATAGATAGACTAAATATTATAATAATATAATAGAAATATACTTATAGCTATTTATATGATATAAATAAAATAACTAGAATTACTTATTATCTATAGTTGAATTAACTATAAATAAAAGAGTAATAATATTAGTAGAAGTTAGTCTATTTTTCTTAATATATAAATATAATTTATTACTATTCCTTAATAATCTCTTAGACAATAATAATAGAATACTCTAAAATCTAATTCAGATAGCTAAATATATTATAAGATAATTAACTATAATTATAAATTAAACTAAGACCTCTATAATACATATAAACTAATAAACTAAATGATATATAAATTATTATTAAAAATCTATTATCGCTTATTATAAAAGAGATAATATATAGTTAAGTTTAAAGAATATAAAGACTAAATAACCCTATTAGAAATTAGATTAGAAGAATATCTATTACTATATACTAGATATAATAAGTATATATATTATATAGTTAAATATGTTATTAGATATCTATTTAGTATTCTATATAAACTTCATATACTCTATAGATATAAATTTATTATCTTTATAGTAATAATATAACTTTTAACCCTTAATGATTATAGTTAATGGAGAGAAAGAGTATAAAGTAGAATATATTTTAGACGAACAAAGGTGTAAAGGTTATACGTTTGCAGGTGTATTGCCCTGTTGGTCAGGCAAGGATACGATGATTCGGAGAGGAAGAAGGAAGATAATATTCAGGGATCGCTATGGAATCAGGGCCTATTCGGTGATGGTTCAAGACTGATTCTTGGAGAATCAGTCGAAGCGGGGAAAGCCCCTTTTGTGCAGAAGCCTCAGGCAGGGTCACCTGATCCCCGTGACCGATCCTCAGAACTCGGGACTCGTATGGTTCTGTCAACTGCCGAGTCCCCGAGTTATCCTTTACAAAAGGATTAGACTATAGAATAGAACCTATATAAAATACTAAGTAAAATAGAAGGGCTATATGCGATTAATAATAGAACTGGAAGATACCCTATAAGATATAGTAGCACTATAGTATTAAATAGAAACTATAACCCTATATCAAAGTAATAACGGAGTTTTGGATAGGGATATACTCTAACGGAATAGAGGGGGGGAGTAATGTTATAGGTTCGTATAAACGAACTCTTTGGAGTGGTGCTTAGCTTCGCCTACGCATTCTACCGGCTGCCATTAGCCGTACGGATTCTGTATTTATTTTGCACCTCGATAGCTAGCTTACTGTTCTTTATCAAAACCTGCTTGTTCATAGCACACCTGCATCCTTTTGGAGACAGAACCCTAACACCTAGTTCAATTATATCAATTCAGCTACAGCCCTTCATATTTTTCCTTGATAGGTTGGCTTATAATAACTATTTCAAGGGACTAAAATATATCTTACTGGGGGGTTATTATATCATAGTATATCATATGATCAGGCTATATACCCGATATTATGTGTTCCATATACCCTGTTATATCTGCCTAAACTGGATATCTGCAGGATGAACTGAAGACCAAGTGAGACAACGGAGATTGGATAAGGAGGCATGGGACTGGAAGGATAGATCTAGTTGTTAGCTGTCTCTCTTTCTCTTTCTTTCCTCTCCATACTTGATATTTTCGGCAAATACACTTCTTGATTAGAGGAACCTGGTAGGCTTTCCCCGCTTTGACTAATTCTTGGAGAATCAGTCTTGAACCTTCCCCTAATAAGCCCTGATTCTATAGTGCTTCTTGAATATTATCTCCCTTCCTTCTCTCCGAATCATCGTATCCTTACCTGACCAACAGGGCAATACACCTACAAACGTATAACCTTTACAGCAGTACGCGCAGGCTGCATCTTAACAGCTCCCCCACAGACTCATTGCCAGACAAACACCACAGGTAATTGGAGTACACCGCAGGGGCATTTCCTTTCAATTCAAAAAGTGGTACTATTAAAACGTAGGGCGATCCAATATGTGGATGAGGTTATTAGATACATTGCTCATATCAGGAAAGGAGCATCTAGAAGAGCCCCAGGCATTGTCGACGGGTAACCCCGAAGTCGCCGGGAAAGGATGAAAAAAAGGTGACCGGAAAGACCTGGGCCGGTTTACTGCGCTTTTGTGCCCTTGGCCTTGTTCTCCCGGCGGCGCTTGAGCGCATCCGGGGTGTATTCGGTGTCAAGAACGTAGTCCCACCACCGGAAGCTGCTGGCGTAGTTGCCAATAAACTTCTCATGGTGAAGGTCATGATGATCAGCACCTGCCCAGAAGGGCAGGAAGTGGTGCAGGCTCCATGGGAATTCATATCCACTGTGGGCGTCAATGGCCTGGAACAGGCGCAGAACGATCCAGATGTACATCGTCAGGATATGCAAATCACCCGTCATAGCACACCACAGAATGGGGCAGCCGACGGTGCCAAAACCCAAGATCATGACTTCGATGGGAGACGCATATTCCGCGGCCAGACCAAAGGGCGCCGAGTACTGGTGGTGGATCTTGTGAATGGCCTTGTAGAGGGGTCCCCAGTGCAGAGCACGGTGGGAGAAGTAGTGCCAGGTATCCTCCATCACAAAGAAGATGGCGATTTGGTATGCCATGGTCCAGAAGGTGGGAAAGGGAATCGAGGTGGAGAGTCCGCAGAACTGAGCCATGGGGTGGAAGAGCCTGCTTTTGCATTAGGGTCGATATTCTCCGGTGGTTCCATTGAGACGTTGAACTTACCAGATCTGGGGGAGTTCCACGGTGAAATGACTCAACAGGACGAACTTGGCGCAGTCCCATTGCTCCTTCAGCGAAGGCATTTTGCTCTGGCTTCTGTTAGCGAGGTGTACTGGGCCGTCTCCCGGGAGACTTACCCCTTGAATCTTGTAGCGATTGAACAAGCCCCAGGTATCGATAAAAATCCACGGCAACGACCGACCGAAGTAAACCATTTCATGCATCACGAACGACATGATGCCAGTCGCAAGGACATCGTTCTGCATCCAGGCGTACCAGGCAGCCCATAACCTTTCGGCGACATTGAGCTGTGTGTTGTATTTTCCGATCTCTTCGAATTGGCCCCAGTAGGTCGGGGAGGATAGAGTTGTTGAATTCCTGAGGGATTGATTAGTTTAAGAATCCAGGTGAGGGGGGGGGGGGGGGGGGGGGGGGTGGGGGGGGGGGGGGGGGGGGGGGGGGGGGGGGGGGGGGCATACATCGTTGGTGTGAGTGAAGAAAGGGGAAGGGAAGGGGAAGATTTAAGTAACAGGCGAGATTACTATTTTTTTTCCCCGGTCAGGGGGCAAGTAAGGCCACTGACGAGCCGATCGCCATCCGAGATCACCCCACCTGCAGGGATCATGTAATGCGGATATTGCTCGTTCCTGGTTGGCCTGGTGCCTGGACTAGGTCCTGGACTGCTACTGGTTATATTGTGTTGAGACCGGATAGTTCATGGACACTAGCATACAGTATAGAGTACAGAGTATAGATTATAATAATATTCAACATTGCATCCATATTGTCCATTGACTACGGAGTAGAATTGCGTGGAACGCATGGTATGTTCGCTACCGTGTAGGTGCGAGTACAGTTTGCACCATTTGCACCATTTGCACACTTCCTCCCGGTTGGCTTATGACGTCTCTTCCCATGCTTCTTCATCTACCTTCTGGCCATGTCGGTCATACGAGAGTGAGTCCGGTTCCTGTTTGGGTCACATCGGCCTCTAATTTTCTGTTCTAGGACAATATGCAGCGTCAATACAGAGCTCGACCGGCTGCAGCAGCATGTCACGACCCAGACCCTGAACACACCTCAGTCTCGTGAATATATCGGCCAATTAGAAGAGGTCATCCATGCAATCTCCGTGACCTCCAAGACACAACCATTTCTCGCCCCCCATCGGCTGGCAGACTTGCTATCCGATCCGATTTTCTCTACCCTGCAGGCGCAGTCCACGATCCCGGGCCTCTCGGGCGAGGAAACCAGTGACTATGTGTGGCTCGTCGCCGCAAAGGCGGCGGCGCAGATCTCAGGCCTGATGATGAATACGTTCCTAGACCAAACGCTCCAGTTGAATGATGAGACCTACTATTGGACTGAAATACTCGGATCGGTCTGGTATAGTGCACTATATGCTCTACAGAAATCGCCAGGCCAATTGTGTCGCTGGACCAGGGAGGCTTACCTGGCCCAGATAGATCAAGGGACACCTACCATCGCCCAGCGGTGGACCCAATTCTATCAGATTGCCAGTCAAAATGCTTGGCAAGTGGGTGGTCACTCCGTGCGGTCTCATTTGCTTGCCCCGCTTCGATACGGCCGGGCAGAAATCCGACAGAAACGGGATCGTTTGTTGGCAATGAAAGAGCTCCATGCCAGTAGTCTGGGCCTTTTGATGGAAGGATGGCACTTATTCGCCACGAAAAGTTCCAATGGGACCAAGACCGAGCTTCCCGGAAAGAAATGGCACGATCAGACAGAACAATCAGTAAGTTTAATAGAAGCTATCTTTCAACAGATGGCTCTCGGATCCACCACCCAGGAGCTTGAGCAAGGTGTATTCACCGCCGTCAACATGACCCCCAAGTCCATGCATCTGCATCCAAACGCAGGCCGTGTCCAAACGCCGTTGGATATCATTGAGCGACTGGTACACGTTCTCCGTCAGGAATTGCCGAATCAAACCCGCTCCGCGTCGCGATTTATCAATCATCATGGCCGCCCCTCGCGCGTTGTTCGTTACTGGCTACCGGTATCACTTGCGGTCCTGTCAACAAGTGCATCCACAAAGTTCTTGTTCAACCGAAAAGATGAAATCATCCAGGGGCTTGTCAACGTTGGTTCGACTACCCTCGATTTCTGGGGAAATTGGGTTGTGGATCCGATCAGAAAATTAATCGGTACGATTCGACACGACGAGAAGAGCGAAATTGCCATCATGAGCAAAAACAGCTTGCTCGCCGATCGGGCCAGTCTGGAAAGAATGGTAGTGGACTTTGTTCAAGATCGTCCGGACCTTCACGAGGGATTGGCCGATACAACTGCGATTGTGAATTCAGTCAAGGAGGGGGACCTCACACCAGTATTGAAGGCATACGAGAGAGATCTCCGGTCACCTCTTGTGGGGACCATCAAGGGCGATCTCATCCGTGCCCTCTTAATTCAGATCCAAAAAACCAAAGTGGATGTGGAGATCGCCATCAGTGGAATTGATGCCCTGCTGAAGAGCCAGGAGCTTGTGTTCGGGTGAGTGCCGGACACCTTCGCTGCTCATCTGTCTTTCTCGCTTATCAAGTTGCTAATCCCCACACAGATTTGTTGGTCTGACTCCGGGAATACTGGTTTCTTTGGCCACTATCAGGTGGCTAGGTCACCTTTTCGGGAACAGACGAGGATCCCAAACGAATAAACAGCGCCATGAGCTCAAACGTGGATTGCGGTAGGATGTCTCAGCATCATCGACAATCAGACACTAACAGGTCCCAGGAATGTGGCCCGAATTTTAACTTCTTCTGTAGTGTCACCCAGTGGCACTGTCCCTTACAAGGATTCCGGGCAATTGATTTGCGAAGCAGAGGCTCTTCTCCAACATGCCAAGGCAATTTCCAATGGCATGCAGTATCAAGAGTTCCGGGAAGACATCCAAGATCTTCTCAACGTCCAGCACGGTGTTGACAAGCAGCTCCGGGTGATTGAAAGGATGAGGTGGGCGTATTTCCAATAAGCTGCCGTCCCGTCCCTCGGTGGGTATATGCTATCATGCGCCGAGCGATGTGAACCAGAACGGACAGTGACTAGAAAACAGGAATTTCCTGGGAATATATTATTACCTAGGTATTACCTACGTATACTCCGTATACTCCAGCACTTGCGGTCCATAGATGCCTCACCTAAGCAGGTCATTACATAATCCCTTATCTCGGGATTGGCTCACCTCCACTCCCAGTCCATCTACCTCCTTTTCCCATAAAACATCAGAATCTCAGCTCGTGGATCTTTGATCGTAGATCTACGTTTCGTCACTCTCGGTCTGATCCGTTTCCTTCTTCGTGAAACTGCACCACTACGTCACGCCCCTGAAACCTCCGTGAAGGCCAGAAAACCGTCAACCCTTTGCTCCTCCGATCCACACCTCAAACCTTACATTTTAATATCTACTCTTCTCGACCTTGCCTCGCCCTATTGCTTCCCCGAAACCCTACCCAAGTCTACCATGGCCGGCACGCGGAATTACGATTTCTTGGTCAGTCCCTGAGGGGGATCCCACCTCACAACCACGTCTTCAGTTCGCTGACCTTGCGATAGATTAAACTGTTGTTGATTGGAGACTCGGGTGTGGGAAAATCATGTTGTCTATTGCGCTTCAGTGAAGACTCTTTCACTCCATCGTTCATCACAACTATCGGCATTGATTTCAAGATCCGCACGATCGAACTCGACGGAAAGAGGGTGAAGTTGCAGATTTGGGACACAGCCGGCCAGGAGCGCTTCCGCACGATCACAACAGCGTACTACCGGGGTGCTATGGGCATCCTCTTGGTCTACGATGTGACAGATGAACGTTCATTCCAAAGTAAGCATTCGGCACCAACTCTTCATACGGGGCTAACTGGCCCACTCAGACATCCGGACCTGGTTCTCAAACGTGGAGCAGCACGCCAGTGAGGGCGTACACAAGATCCTGATCGGTAACAAGTGTGATTGGGAAGAGAAGAGAGCGGTCTCTACCGAACAAGGCCAACAACTGGCCGACGAGCTTGGCATCCCCTTCCTTGAAGTCTCAGCCAAAAACAACATCAACATTGAGAAGGCGTTCTACAGTCTTGCATCGGATATCAAGAAAGGCATGGATACTTCCAAGACTGAACAGTCCGGTAATGGAGGTGTCAGTATAGACCAGCAGGGCTCGGGTCTGAATGGCAACTCTGGAGGGAAGTGCTGTTGAGTGTAACATAATGTCTTTCTTTTTCTTTTTTCCGAACATATTTTATCTCAATTTTCCCCTTACGCGCCAAGATGTGAATGTCCAAGTGTTACGCAAAATCCCATGTGTAGTCGCGATAGTGATAGTCGATACGGAGTAGTGATAACTCCCGAGGTCATATCAGGACCCACCTTACAATTCCTCACTTTTCTCGACTTTCCTTTCTATACTCACGTCTTCTCAATTCCCCCTAGCCTTGATACTCGTTTATGTTTTTATGAAGGTGTCTGGTGGGCGATTATATTTGGGAAGAACTCAAGGTCCACTTTTGCCCCTCCCCCACCAGAACCCTTGGATATTTCCGTTTTTTTCTTTTCCCCCTTCTGTTAACCCTCCCCTCCATCGGCTGAGAGGAAAGCCTCTTGATACAGGTTATAATGACCGATCGCATTTTTACTGCACGGCCATTGCCGAAGCAACAGGCTCGAAAGGACCTTAAAGATGCTTTCCGAGTTCATCTCTCTTCCTCTTCACTAGCCGCCCTGAGACTTCAGACCGAGGGCATCTGCATTCTACAGCAAGGAGAGGGGCCGCCAAAGACCGCCATTGCGTGGTATGCCACAGAAAACATCCAAAGCACAGTCACGCAAATATCCAGAACTCTGCAAGAATGTTATGACATCAAGATCGGGGAGAAGGTTACAATCACAAGAGCTGAAGGCCCTCTTGAAACCATTCAATCTGTGACATTGACAGATTCCTCGGATGCCGACAAAATTGAACGATACGGCTCTATCTCGGACAGTGACCGGCCACACTGGGAATGGGCGCTGGATGAAAAGCTCCTCAGATGTGGATCCCTGACAACGGGGTTGGTCTTTGACTTAGAGCTTCGGGGCCAGCACAGAAGTTTTCGAGTGGCTAGCATTCGCTCACAAAATCCTGGCTCTAGCCACACGCTTTTCCAATTCACAGAGGCCTCTCGCACCTCCCTGGGCCCTGTTGTAGAGGAGAAGGAAGACCTATCCTCTGGCATTGAAGTGCAACCCACCGGCCTTGGAGGGCTCTCGCGGCAAATCAACGACATTAACGAGAGTTTGTCGGATTTCAATACCGATCCACGGAAGCTTGTCATGCCCGAGTTTTACGAAAGTAGCCGAGGAATCCTGCTATATGGACCCAAGGGAACCGGTAAGACCAGTGTTCTGAATCAAATCGAGAAGGCCGGTTGGAGACAAACGTTCAAAATTGGCACGTCAACCCTGGGCAGGAGCATTGGAGAGAGTGAGCTCAAGCTTCGTAATATTTTCCAAGAGGCAGCTCGCTCCAAGCCCAGCGTGATCATTATTGACCAGCTGGAATTCATCGCACCAAAGAGAACTTCCATTGAGTCGCAATCTCTCGCGTCTGTTCTGTGTGAAAATCTAGATTCCATCAGAAATGCGTCAATTCTCGTTGTGGCCGCAACCCGACACCCTAACCAGGTTGATGATGCGCTACGAACGCCCCACCGGCTTGGAACAGAGATTGAGCTACAAGTGCCCACTTCTCAGGATCGAGCTGAGATACTACGAGCCATTCGCGGACCTGTTGCTGCCGGCTTGACGGACGAGCTTGTCGATTTGCTAGCTGAAAAGACACATGGATATGTTGGAGCTGATCTTTTTGCTCTGTTGCAACTCGTCTGCCGCAAAGCGCGACAGAGGCAACTCTCAGAACAGCCTGTTACGGCCCTTTTCACGGCTTTGTCAGTCACCGCCACAGACAAAACCGACGGTTCGTTGCAGAGCACTTCTAACAAGGAGGACACGATCATCCCGTTGCAAATCCAAGAAGAGGACATCTCTCTCTCTTTGCAGGAAATCCGACCTACGGCTATGCGCGAGGTATTTTTAGAAACACCTAAAGTCAGATGGTCAGACATTGGAGGGCAGCATGAGATCAAAAAACGTCTCCAGCAGGCCGTTGAACGACCTTTGAAAGTAAGTGCGCAGAATCCTAACAAACTCCCTGCCGACTCATTCCTTTTACTACAGTTCCCCCAACGCATGCGCCGACTCAACGTAAACAGCAAGAAAGGTGTTTTGCTTTATGGGCCCCCGGGTTGTTCCAAAACCTTGACAGTCAAAGCTTTGGCTACTGAGGCTGGACTAAACTTCCTCGCAGTTAAAGGAGCCGAGATACTCAGCATGTACGTGGGAGAATCCGAGAGATCCCTGAGAGAAATTTTCAGAAAAGCGCGTGCCGCGCGACCCAGCATCATATTTTTCGACGAGATTGATGCAATCGCCGCTCGGCGCAGCGGGGGTTCTGGTGGAGTGAACGTCCTTACTACCTTATTGAACGAGATGGACGGAATTGAGGAGCTTCGAAATGTTTTGGTGGTTGCCGCAACCAACAAGCCCGACGTATTAGACCCAGCCTTAATGCGCCCCGGGCGGTTGGATAACATTCTCTATATCGGACCACCGGACTTCGAAGCTCGCAAGGAGATCATCCGCATCTGGGCCAACAAATCCGTGGTAAATCCGGACGTCGACCTCGACGAGCTGGCCTCTCTGACAGAAGGCTATTCTGGCGCTGAGATCGTGAGTATTTGCGAAACCGCCGGAGACGCAGCCCTTGACGAAGAGGAAGAAATCCAGCAAGAGCTGGATGTGCAGTGGAAGCACTTTGAGTATGCTCTGGTTCAAGTGCGGCGACAGATCACGGAGACTGTCCTTCAAGAGTACGAACAATGGAGAGAAGGACAGAAATAGAGCTCAGTGTCTGGGAAACCGAACTTGTAAATCCAAGCGAAGAGCGAGGTGTATATAAAGTTATCTGTTGGACTAGTAAGGTGATTACCGTATGCGGTTAGTCTCAGATGCACCCTTCCATCTTTTAATGACATCTTCTCTCACTCACACATTCACTCTCAGCATCACATCGTCTCTTTGCTTCCTGGACCCTTTCGCTTTTCGCTTATTTTATATTCAACAGTCATTCGACAACTTGACAGCTATGTCCTCGAGATCACCTCGACACTCCCCAGTGGAGGACCGAGGACGATCACGCTCGGCGCATCCCTCAAAACCCCTCAGCGAATCACGAAGTATCTCTCGGAGCCGGTCAGCTGGGCGTTCCCGATCAGTTTCCAGAGGCAGAACGCGATCTCGCAGTCGCAGTCGAGGTGCCCGTCACTATGATAGCCGAAGTGGAAGCCGCTCTCTGAGTCCCAATTCCGGCCCCCCGAAAAGCTCCAAGGTTGGTGCCCGCCCAGTGCCAGAAATTCGACCTTCCTTTCGGGGCATACAGCTAAATTGCATTCACAACCAGATTGTCGTCGAAAAATTGACGAAAAATGTCACCGAAGACCATGTTCGAGAGATCTTTGGAGGCTTCGGAGATATAGAGTACCTTGACGTCCCCATTAACAAGGCGTGTAAGGCTCACCGTAGACTCCGGTGGTCGAAAAGTATTCTAATAATCTCTCTTGCTATCTCCAGTCATGACCAACCGAGGCACCGCATACATTCTCTACTACGATCCCGCCGACGCCGAAGCAGCCATTGCTCATATGCACGAAGCCCAGCTCGATGGGGCGATCTTGAATGTCTCAATAGTTCTCCCCCGACGAAAGTTCTCACGCTCCCCTCCTCCTTCGACCCGAGGAAACGGTGGCCGCCCCAGATATGGCCGAGGGCCCTATGCAGGCCCACCATCACCGCGAAGACATGGGGCCGGACGACCTGCGGAGCGCCATGACACTTACAGGCCACAATCCATGTCTCGATCCCGCTCTCCTGTTCGATCGCGATCATATTCCTCTCGGTCACGGTCACGGTCCTCGGTACCACGTCGCGGGAGTCCGAAAACAGAGTCACGGCACCACAGACGCCGCAGCCCAAGTTACAGCAGCTACAGCAGCCGAAGCCGCAGCCCCAAGCGCAGTCGGAGCCACCGCCATTGAATCTTAGCCTAAATTTCCGCCTAGCGCCCGAATCCCCTTCTACTTACTCTTCCATACCCCTCGCTTTGACTCTTTTCGAGATGCGAGGGGATCTTAACGTCCTGCACGGTCTTCCCCGGGGCCTTGTGGGAGACTGCCTTGTCCCACGCAAAGTCCAAGCAAACAGCTCATATAATTCCTCCACAGAGACCTTCATCTACAAAATTAAGAACGTTCTCCCTTTGTTCTTGACCGGCAATTCATGAATAGTCCTGTATCCATGGGGTTTACGCGTGTAGGATGCGACGTGACCCTGACGGTAGGTTTGAGCAAGATTTGCTGGCATCTCGAACAATTCATCCATGGCTCACAACACCTATGAATAGTCTAGGGGCTCCAACAAACCGATTGGTTGGACTTGGGGCAAGGGGATCGATCTTCGCTCCCTCGCAGAGCCCAGGGAGCCTGGGTCAATGCGATGCGACATAACACAAGTAAAGATCAGAAAAAGGAACACCATCCGATGTACATAGACGCCAGCTTTCTCTTGTCTGTTGCTTGTAGGATCAGTTCATCCACTTGGCCATCTACAGAGAGGGCGATAGGCTGCTTGGACATGTAGCCACGAAGCTTGTTCCGCACATCCTCCAACACCCCGGCTGGAGTGTCGGGGACATTCACATGGGTACGGCGCTGGATGAATTGGTCAGAAACACACAAGAGAGACAGTCAATCAGTACTTACTCTCTTTCCAATGAAATCGGTCGTTGGGTCATGCAGGAAAGTCTCGAGAACGGTCATCAAAGCGTCTTCATTTTGTCGAAGAAGACCAAGTGTGATCTCACATGTTCTTCTGAAGGGGCCTGCATCGCGGGTTAGCGTGAGACCAGGCGAGGCGGTGGATATGAGCGGACCGTTGTATCCATAGGCACCAAAGGCATCAACCATATTGTGAGTCAACCGGAAAGGGACCACTTCAGGCTTCTCGAATGTCTGACCCTTGTCAAAGAGGCAATTGAAGTCCACGTGTAGGAGTCCACCAGTGCCCTCCTCGAAGGAAAGGTTCTCACCGTGTCGATCACCTAGACTAAACGCGAAGAAACCCCGGTTAGCGCCATCGCAAGTGGTCAAGCATAATAGTATGCATACCCAAGGACATATCCAACCATGGACATGACGGCTGAAGATCGGGTGTATCTCAACCTTGCCGTGAACCAAGCCTCGGTCTCTGGGAACATCTCAACGAACCATTCGTGAAGGACTGGGGGAAGTCTGCTGGTTGTCAGAGCACAGAAACCACAAGTAATTGGGGATTTGGGACCGGCTTACTTGACGAGAATTTTCGTTGTGAACAAGGGGAGCTTTGCGAAGGATCGATCGCCGCAGATCTCGTTCAGATAGTGTCTGATTTCGTTGTACTGAGGACAAAGTCAGTCAAGTAGCCCTAGTGATACAGCGGTGAGAGATGGCTGGCCTACATTTGGCGCGATACCTCGTTCGCGTAGCAGCTTGATGACGATCTCCCGCAATGTTCGGAGGTTATCAACCCACTCAATGAGACCGCACTCTTCGTTGAGAGGTGTCACGGCATATGTTTTGATATCTGCCACAAGTTAGTCAAGCCGACAAGAGGGAAAAGAATCGGATTGCTTACACATGCGCCGCTTGCTTGATTCAACATCTCTCTTCAGGAATCTGTTGATCATGTTATTGAACTCCATGAGGCGTTGATCTTTACGTAGATCATCCTTCGGCTTGCAGAGTGCATTGTAGATTTTCCCATCAGATCCACGCAGACTGATTTTGCGTGGCTTTTGAAGTGAATTCAAAATCTGGGCTTCATCGATAATTGCTGATGTCGGTTAGTTCAGCCCAGATCCTTAAGATGGACGAACATACCTTCGATAGTTGTTGGATCCCGAGGAAAGGCCCTGAACCCTTTGATGTATTCAATATTCTGACTAGCAGGGAGACTTGGGATTAACATCGCCTGAAAAGGAACAACTAATCGACATGGTGCGACTTTATGATTGAAACCCAGGTGACGACCGAGTTGGACTTTCGAGACTTTGTCTTCAACCGGAGCAAGGCATAGTTGAAGCAACTCCTCGGAAATCTTGGTCCCTTGAGAAATCATCCGGCGGATCTCGGCAGACGTGGCAGATCCTCCCTTTGGTTTACTGCCATAATCCTGATGTAATCAGTCTTTTGGCTCCCCATTTGACTTGATGGGACTTACCACGATTTTCTGAAGGCAAGTGAAGCCCCTGGAGGCTCGCTCTTTGTTAGAGGACTTGACGACAGCAAGCACAGTCCAAAGACCTTGCTGTGGGAAGCTATTCACTGCCTTGGCTACGATTCGAGTCAAGAGGTCGTAGACTGTGGTATTTGGATGACATATTCGGGCAACCACCTGAGGCAGAATCGTGAAAAGCTTTGGCTGTTAGCTATTTTGATATTAATCGGCGATTCGGGAGGACAGGCTTACCAAAGCCGCCTGGAGTCGTTTATCAATAAATTTCTTGAGTTGCAAATGCATCTCATCAAGGCTTTTCTGCCGTTGCACTTTTGTGTGCTTCTGGAATTCCCTAGGTAATGGCAAATCAGTGATTAGCTTCCTCGAAGTCCCAACAAAGCACACGAGAATTGGAATTTTCTTACTCATTGTCGCCTCTTTTCGGGTCAAGAGGCTGTTCGACGATGGAGGCATGCTCAAGCCAGAGGGTCAGAAGCTTGGGCAATGTTTGGAAAACATATTTGGTCCCATATGTTAGTGAGCGGAGATAGTTGTCAATGACAAGCTTTGTAGCTTCCCCACTCAAACTAGAAATCGAGGTTAGCGCAAGGTGGTAGGAGAAAGCCTAGGAAGACCAACTATATCTGGGCTTCCTTGCCCATGGGCTTGGCCTTTTCAGACTCCAAGATTTTGTTGTAGTGCTTCCCTAGATAATAGTGCGCTCTCTCCCACCTGGGGAGTAATTAGCACCCAATCCAGTCAAAGTGCGATGGCTGTACTGACTTTGGATACAGCTTAATGGCTTCCCGATATCTCTGAACGATGGCCTGTGAGTGTGTCTGGCCCGCTCTGTCTGTCCATTTAGCCAGCATCAAATGTGCCTAGGTGGGTTAATATCCGGCCAACAACCACGCATCTCCCTCGGAATGCACATACAAGGGCAGTAGACTCATTCTGGTGTTGTCCGCGGCCTGAGAGGAACGACATTGTTTCCACATCAACCGAAGCCGAAGAGGTGGTGGGGCCAGCTTCATTGGCAGAAATCGCACCCTCGAGCGTCTGAATTGCTTTCCGATGATGTCCATCTTTCCAAAGGAGCCGTGCATGCTCGATGGTGGCAGATCTGTCCTTTAACCGCGCAGCGTTCAGCATCGAGTGATACGCCTGGCTACTAAAGTTGCCTTTTCTCGAAAGACGAGCGCTAGTGAGCCACGCCGCAGAGATATCAGAGTCAACAAATTCCCCTCTGCGTCGCATGATTAGCAGTGTGTCTCCACGAGCCAGAGTTTTCACTCACGACAACTCCATCGTAGCTCTCCTCAACCCGAGAAGATATTGCTTGTCGGTAAGATACCCCCCCAGAACATCGAGTCGTCTGTCAAGGGCAGAGAGCAGGCCTGGGTGGGAAGAAGCCGATTCCGCCTTGGCAATTGATTCAACTTCAGACAGTGCATGTAAACGGAGCATGTCATCATGGCATGATTGAAGTGATGCAGCCGAGTTTGTGGTCAGTGACCGAGCGACTGAAAGTCTGAGTCCGTTGATTTTATCGGAAAACAGGCCGATTTGCTTTCTTCGCAGAGCGTCAAGAGCGGATCCGATGCCAACATTGAACTCCTCAGTACCCTGCTTAGCACACAGATCCAGATAACCCTCGAGCTTATCCCATCTGCTCATAATCCATGACGACTCAACCGCGAAAGGAAGGAAACGAGAGGCTGATGACTCATTTTCTTTGAGAACCTCGAATCGGGTGAGAATAGCATCTAGGCAATAATTCAGTAAGCAGCAGTTGAAGCATCCAACGCCTCCAAATAACATCCAATCTCACCTTGTTGGCCAGATTCCTTGAGACAAGTGACGAGATTCCATTGCGCATCAATGTTTTCAGGCTCCTTCTCGAGCTGCAATTCATACCAACTCTGCGCGGTTGCCCATCTTCCTGCTTTTCGATGCTCGAGGATCTGCTGGTCAATGTCCAATGCGGACAAGTGGCTTGAAATACCTTCTATGCCGTCCGGTTCATCGATCTGACTATAAATATCCTGCAACCTTTGATACAGTGGCTCTAGGCTCGCTCGCTCTTCTGTTTCTGCATGGGCCTTAGATTTTCGAATGTATTGTTCCCAATGGAAAAGTGCTTTCGAAAATGATCTGCACTCAACGGCCCGTTTGGAGATGACCTCTGGTGGGATCGAGGAGAGCACACTTTCCACAGACTTGATCTGCGAAGAGTATTTTTCAATGAGAGCGTCGCGACTGAGATCTTTGTATGATCGACTCGAATGGTTGGAGCCGTGGCTAACACCATTGAGGTGTTTCTTCTTTCCTTGAAGCCACCTGGATAGGTAGTCTAAGATTTCGAAGACACTCTGCGCGAATCTTGGTCAGTATCTGAAGCTCGAGTGGCTAACCAGAAACCTCACCTGGCTGCTACTTATAATTGTCTCACGAGCATTGTTATTCGTCTCGATAATGGGATGCGACAGCACACTCATCAATTCGTTTTGCAAATCCAGCTTCTCTTGCTCGGTTCCTCCCACAATGCGATTAAGGACGGCAAACGGTAGAAGGAACGACGATATGGAAATATCTTGACCTTTTACCACACGACTTGAGATAGAGAAAACCATCCTGGCATTGTCTCCGTTCCCCGTCTGTAGAAGATCTTGCACCAATGTGCGAAGCCATTCACTGTGCGTCATATTAGGTGAAAATAGCGGGTATTTGACATCCGTATGGTTGGTTACAACAGTGACGGTGTAGGTCGATGTGAGAAATGGTGTGAGCGTATTTCTAACACTTTCCGGAAGCTCCATCCAGCGTTGATGCTTTTCGTCCCCCTGTAAGTCGCGAGATCTTTGCGTCAAGAGTGCATTTAGCTTGCAGAATTTGAGTAAACCTTGCATGGCCCATGCTAAAAACCCCTGGGCCCTAGTGTTGGAAGCAGACAAGAACGCCTCAACCAACACATGCTGGAGGAAGAACAGAATGAATGCAACTGTTTCTTCCATTCTGTCGAAATTGGACAATACGAGTATGTCTTTCTTCTCTTTGATCGTCTCCACTCTGTTTGGGTCCAGGCAGCCAACAAGCCCCAGACATCGCGCCGAAAGTAAGGTAATGCTGTCAGAGTTAGTGCTGAACTTGACGCAGCAGTCCAACAATGATCTCGTTAGCTGCGAAATCACAGGGTCTGGTTGTTCACTCAGAACCGAGTCATGGAGAAACTCCTCATTGGCCGATAGGAAAGGGGTGAGCTCCTTTAACGCTTGTTCGACAACAGTTGAATTTTCGCTTTGGCACCGGCGGATGAGAGCTAGAAATCGGCTTCGAACATCCATTTGCGCCCTCAGGTCGTTGATCTTGGATTCAAAGGGAGCCAGCTCGGGGATTGACGCAAGAGAAGGCATCGTGTTGAAGGTGTCTCGCACAAGCGCAGAGTGATTTGCCAGGATGTGATCGATGAGTTCGAATGCGCGGTCTCGGCTCTCCTCAGTAAAATTGGCCCAATATCTGATCACGATTGCCAGCGTTTGATCGATTATGGGCTCTAGATCCTCTTCGCTAAGAGAGCTAATTAATGTCTTCCATGCAGAAAACGCGTAGTCGCAAAGTTCCTCGATGTCCAAGGCGGACCGGAGACAAGCACAAACTTGAGGCAATGCACTGCTTACATGCCCCTGTGCAATATTGATCATTTCTTCGATAGCCTTGATGTTTCTTCTTTTCTCCGCTAGCGTTTGTCTCACTTGGAAGTCGTTGATGGCATTTGCAAACTGTGTGATGATACCGAGGACATGCTCCTCGATGAATTGGCTAAGATCTGCTTTTTTCGACGTGCCACCGTGCGGAATCTTCCGTGGGACAAACGTTGCCAATTTATGGAGAGCTTGACTGAATCTCTCTTTGTTTTGCTCAGCCGCATCGCTCAAACTCTTCAACAGGTCACAGGCAATGAGAATGGGCTCGATTCTGACCAGCTCCGCTAAAGATCGACCCTTGAAGGCGGGATCAATCTCTGCCAGGAGAGACATGATCATAGCCTCAGGGTTGTCTGATTGCTGGGACAGAAGGAACGCAAGAATTGCAGCTAGGTTATTCTTTTCCGAGCAGACATCAAACGCAGATTCGCCTTCGTTGCGACTAGCCCCAATTCTGCAGATAATGTCCCGTTTTCGTGTGAGCACCAGATAAGGTAGAACATGGATTTCTGTCAACCGTAGGAAGCCATCGACTTTCATTCCAAGCAGATCACATAACTGTTCGGCCATATGTGGGCGGGATTGAAGATTCTTGACGACAGTCACAGATAGGGTCCTCCAGTAAGGCCGAAAGAGGCCGGCTGGCGTCAGAGAAAATCGTTGAGCGAGCTTGGATAACTGGATGAAACGCGAGTTAGTTTCTTCTAGCAGTTAAAAATCGAGCAAAGCAGTCGTAATACCCACCTCGTTGTATGCGACTGCGCAGACATATGGATTTGGATGACCGAGGTACTCCAACAACCGAAGAAGAATGATGTTCTTCTCTTCATCTTCTGAGACTCTAGAAACATGCATGTGTGAGTCCCAGGACACAGAGAAAGTGCGTATGGGATTAAGAGCATACAGTGCCAAACCACAGAGCGTCATGATACAAGCTTCTTGCAAAGGCGTGTCATCTTTGCCATCTTTCCCCGAGAGATTCCTAAGCCATTCGAGAACAACGACGAAATTGGCTCGACGGGTCTCGATCGGCAGATTTGACCTCACAAAGGCCACCACTGAATGTCTAGGGAGAAAAAAAAGTTAACACTTCAAAGGTCCCTGACGGGGATGAAACAACACACCCAGTTGCGATACGCAATTCCCTGATCGAGCTTCGGAGAGAATGAAGACAGAATTCACCGGCAGCCGAAGTTGAAATATGCATTTGACTTGAGTTGGGAGCATGCATCAGAATCCTCCTCAGTGCTACCATGGCGGATATTCGTGGGCCAGGAATGCGTGTTAGTCTAGGTAAGATGAAATTTAAGAGGAACCAGATATCCTCAAAGACGGGATATTGCCCTTGATCGGAATGCTCATAGACAGGCTGTTCGACATCGCATGTTTGACAGATGAGCGTGTCTCGGACGATTACTTCAGATGAGTGCTTCAAGAGTTTCCCTGTTGCTGCACACGCTATTCTCCCCAATGAATCCAGAACTTCATTCTTTTGGGAATCCGAAAGGGTTTCATACGAGGTCCTTTCCCGGTAAGTCAGTAGGTCCTCTTTAAAGAACTAGCATCCGGACACTTACTGAATTGAGGTGCACAGATCTGCCACAGTTTCACTAGAGTCAGACTGAAGAATAGAAGATACCTTTTCTACAAGCATCTTGAACAAATCATGATCAGTAGACGCATTCGGAAAGACGAGAAGACACAATCGCTTCGAGGCTCTGCTCTCCTCCTGTGGCTTCGTGTTCTGGGGGATTTCGGCTTTCTGAAATGTTTCCCCCGAGTTCCGGTGATGTTCTTCGGACTGTTCATTGGGTGAGCCGGGTGCTATCGGCGCTCTTTCTTTCGAATTCTTTGAGAGCTGGGCATGTAAGTTTTGAAGAGATGTCTGATTCGAGGTCAGCTCAACCAACAGTGGGCATTCAGTGGGCATTGGAGGCCATATACCTGAAGGGAAGGCTCGAGGGACTGGAAGACAGGATGTTTGTTCTTAACCTCGATCAGAGCTGGAAGTAGAGATTCCATCAGTTGTGGCACCAATGCGTCGGGGCTTTGGGTAATCTGCAATAAATCATCTAGCAGACAACCCAAAAAAGCCTGAACAGAAGGCAATTTGTCGATCGCGTCCAAACCCAGAAATCCGCACAAGCACTGCGACCATGCCGAAATCAAGCTCATATTAGGCAGGAGACCCGAGTATGTCGATTCCGGGGCGTTGCAACGGTGCAAATATTTCAGATATTGCAACAACACATTCTCGTCTTCTGGTGCAATTTGGGTTCTCGCCGTTTGCACCCAGTCAATGATGACTCTCCTGAGGCGGTGGAATCCGTTCAGCATCCAGGCAAAGTTTTGGCGAACGATGAGATCTTGGTGTTTTACTCGAGTTTGCATCTCATCCCTGGGATTGAATGCATCTAACAATCTACATGCTAGAGATGATGCCTGCGAGAATCCCCCAAGAGCGGTTGTCTGTTTGAACAAACCCGAAGATATATCAAGGTTTTCAACATCTTGCATCAGTGATCCATGCGTTGAGGGTAATGATAGACCATGGGATCCGTCGTCCCAGGGGCCACTTTTCCGTGAGGTTTCAAGCGATACAAGAATATCTTTGGAGGCCGTCAGTCTCACTCTCTTCACTGGGCGGGGAATGGTCAACAAACCTGACGTGCAAGCGCGCAAGAAGGCAGAAACAGCATAGCTGGCGGGAACAGGACGTGCCTGTTTGAATTGGATATACGCTAGACTCGCCCAGATCAGTTGGATCTTCTCGCGTACCGCGTCGGAGGTCCAGGTATTCGCCAGTCGGATGAGTCGAAGAACCAGCCATGTATGCAGAGGAACATGAACGTCCTCGGCAAAGATCAATGAATCACATGGTGCCCACAAGGCTTGCGGGGCTTTATCAATGCTGGCTCGAATGATGTCCAGGCAGTCCAGAACTTGCCCTTGCAGGTCCGATCCTTGGGCATCCCCATGGGGGCTAATCTCGAGACCGGCCTTGAGGACAATGCAAATGAGTTTATTGACGTCAGTCACATCTTCTTCCACGCGTATTTGATGGGTCTCGCCCAGAAGTTCCTGGCGTAGTTGCGCAAAAGTTTCGCGGCTTATAGATTCATAGCCCTGTGTTGCCAAATGCGGTGCAAGATGCGAGGCTAGAATCGACGAGGCCGGTTCTCTCCAACCTCTCTCGGTCCGTTCATTCTCTCCATCCATTGCTAATCACGCATCATAAAGATGTGAAGAGGATAGAGGTTGCAGATACCCGTAAGAGGTTGATATGTCACTTGACACCTGAGGCACCCTTGCGCCTCAACTCGGAGTACAGAGGCCCTACGGAGTACACATTGACGGGTTCAAGTTCTCTGCCTCGATATGTAACTAGGTATAGGTACTAGCATGGATACACTTCTAAGTAGTATGAGTAGCTCCAGACCTCTAGCTCAGTCTCCTACAGTAGTATAAAGCACGGAATTCGACTGAGTTTCTGCTCAGCTTCCATCGATACCTAATAGCACCCATGATACCTCGTGCAAGCTATTGAATCTAAAGTCCAGTACAGAGTATATCATATGTTAATATAATGCAATTTGCAAAGCGTCGAAACAAAGAAAAAGACGGTGCTGGGGGGGGGGGGGGGGCTGGGGAGAATGTCGCTTTATTTGTGTTTTGGCTTGGCACTTTTTTTCGCGTTACTTTTCCCTTTTGCGCTTCGCCAAAACATTCCTCACCCTCTTCTCCATTCTTGCCACTCACCATGCCTTCCAAGGCTACATCTAAGGCCACTGCTGCTGCGACAGCGGCCAGCAAAAGGACCTCGCGAGTCCGCAGCTCCAAACCCACCCCCGAAATCAAGAAACCCGAGAAATCCACAAAATCAACTAAACCCGTCAAGACCGCGAAAACGGTGAAAGCGAAGGCCGCAAAGCCCGCAAAGCCCAAGGCTGAAAAAGAAGAGAAAGCTTCCAAACCAACCAAAATGGCAGCTGCGGTCAAATCGAAATCAGCCGCTGCGACGAAGAAGCGCAAAGCTGACGAGGAGGAGGAGAAGCCCCGGGAGACCAAACGCACTCGCGTCATTGCGCAGCCTCGGAAGCCCAAGGCCCCCGCGCAGCCAAAGCCCAAGCCAGCCAAGGTTGTCATCAATGAAGCTCCAACAACGAGACTGAACGTTTTTGTTTGTGGCGAGGGTAGCTCCGGTGAGCTGGGTCTGGGAACCGCCAAGAACGTGATCGATGTCAAGCGTCCCCGTTTGAACAAGCTTCTGTCGCCGGAAGATGTTGGTGTCGTGCAGGTTGCCGTTGGCGGTATGCACTGTGTCGCCTTGACCCATGACAACAAGATCTTCACCTGGGGTGTCAACGACCAAGGCGCGCTGGGAAGAGATACCAACTGGGATGGTGGGTACAGAGATATGGATGATAACAGCGACTCTGATTCAGACGACGACGACAGTGGATTGAATCCCCTGGAATCTAATCCAACCTCCATTCCCGCAGAGGCTTTCCCCGAGGACACTGTATTCGTCGAGGTCGCTGCCGCCGACAGCTCGAGCTTTGCCCTCACCGATGATGGTCTGGTCTATGGATGGGGTACCTTCCGAGTGAGTCCAATCAAGCAAGAGAGGCGCAATTGAATCGCAAATGGGGTATATGCTAATCTTCCGCGACAGAGCAACGATGGAATTCTCGGCTTCGACGCCAAGAACCTTGTTCAAAAGACCCCACTGCTCATCTCCTCCCTCAAGAAGATTAAGCACCTGTCTTGCGGAGCTAACCACGTCCTTGCTTTGAATGACCAGGGTCGTGTTTACTCCTGGGGCTCCGGGCAGCAGAATCAGTTGGGTCGTCGCATTGTGGAGCGCAACCGATTGAACGGCCTGCAACCTCGGGAATTCGGTCTTCCCAAAGACATCGTCTGTATTGGCAGTGGCCAGTACCACTCGTTTGCCGTCCACTCATCGGGCAAGGTCTACGCTTGGGGTTTGAACAGTTTCGGTGCCACTGCCCTCCGCGAGGGTGCCGGTGACGATGAAGCTGCCATTGTCCACCCGCTTGAGGTCGAGTCGCTCACTGGCCGCGGCATCACCCAGATCGACGGTGGCTCTCACCACTCCATTGCAGTTGCTCGTGATGGCGAATGCCTGGTATGGGGTCGTCTTGACGGCTTCCAGAGTGGGTTGAAAATCGATACCCTCTCCGACGATGCTGTCATCAAGGACGAGCGTGATCGCCCCCGTATTCTGATTGTTCCCACCGCTCTTCCAAACTTCAAGGCCAAGGTTGTTTCAGCTGCCTCGGACCACTGTGTCGCCATCGATGTCGACGGACGTCCATGGTCGTGGGGATTCTCTGCCACTTACCAGACCGGACAAGGTACCCAAGATGACATTGAGGTGGCTACCGCCATCGATAACACTGCTACCCGTGGAAAGAAACTGAACTGGGCTGGTGCTGGCGGTCAGTTCTCCGTATTCACGGAACCCGCTAGCTTGTGAATATCCTGATCATGGACCTTTCCTGTACTCTAGAACTTAATGTCCCCTTTGTCCCTTACTGCGTCCTTTGGTTACTCTACAGGATCTCAAATCGCAATTTCGATGCACTTTTTACACAATTTTCGGCAATTTCCGGACCGTCAATACCAGTCCTGAACACCCCCGTTCCTTTGATCCTCGTGTCTTCAGTTAAGTCCGGACGCGTATGGGATCTGCAAGGGCTTCAACTTGGAGCCCAGTCAATCAATATTATCCAGTATAGAATCACATCCCAAGCTCTTTCATCGCTTCATAATCGTCATCAAAGTCCTCATCCCACTGAGGTTCTCGCGTAGAAATTGACATATTGGGGGGTATGTCAGCCATCGGCTCCTCCCTGAGTAAATCATCCAGATCATCTTCCTCGGGTTCGGGGTGACTGGTCGTGGGTTGTGCATTACCATTGTTTGGCATGAATAAATCTTCAGGGGACCCCTCTTGACCTGGGATATTTGAAGATGGTGCTTCATCCAATTTGGCCGGAGTTTGGAGAACACGGGAATTCTCGAGTTCTTCTCGGGTGATCCCAGAGTCACGCAATAGCCTGGGCTTCTCTTCCTCTATCCACTCTCGTCGCATGACTTGAATGCGTTTTGAATGTCCGAGTTTCTCGATAATGGATAGGCCGTCCGCGAATTTGGCGCGGGGGTATAGGTCGTCAAGCCATAGCTGGTAGAAATTGAGAAGGCGTGTAGCATCTGAGAACTATTCCTCTGATGTCAGTCACGACGTATGCTTTCCTTCGGCCATGTCACATATGGGAAAAAACTCACCTCATGCCCTTTGCCTTTAAACCTGAGTTTCCGTTTCGCAGATTGTCGCAATTTTGGGATACCCGGTTGTGACAATAGTCTGATAGGCCCGTCAGCTGGCATTCCACCGCGCGATATCTGACAGACTTACCGGGCTTCGTCTAGCTTTGCAACAGGTTGTCGTTTTTTGGTGACTTTGACTTCCTCGTCAAGGCCTAAACCAATGGCAGAATCCCCGGTCCCGGCGTTCGTGTTGTTGTCATGGTCATGGACAGTCTTGTCAGGGACAATCTCATCTAAGCCGACGTCATAATTGAATAGGTCGTCCAGGTCAAGCGCAGCGGGTGAGCCCCCTTCCGACATGTTCGCGTTCAGTGGACTTGAGCGTGATATTGATTTTTCCAGGAATAGTGTCTCGCTGGAGCAAGTTTGAGTGAACTGGAGAGTGAGGTCAAAGGGCTCGGCAGTACGAAGTACTTTTGAAGGGTGAAAATCAACCTGACGACGTCCAAAGGGTGCGCAGAGTGTATTCCGGACCGACCAGCGATACCCGTCAATCAGATGCCGCCTTGACGCGTGACGCGAGCAGCCTGTTATCTGCCTTCTGATTGGTCGAATCTCCTCTTCTCCGCCTTCTATGTGCTATCCCCGAAGTAGACTAGTGCCATCCTGCTCTCAACTCCCAGAACTTCAACCTTCGAATCCCGCTGCACCCTCACCCACCCACAGCAACATGGCGACAGACACCAAGGCGGCCATTGTCCCCCCTAAGCGGGCTAGCACCGACTATCCGGTATGATTGTTTTCCCATTACCCTGATTTTGCGTCTTGCGCATTGGCGACTTGCTAACACATCCCACAGTTGATTGATTCCGACCCGTATGACCTACCCCGGATTTATACCGTTTGACCAAGCTCACCCTGTTCCCAGACACTTGAAGCGGGTATTTGGATATGCCCGACCCTCCGATTGGGCCGTCGCAGGCGGCATGGCCTCCGCCGCTCCTATCTCCTTCTGGGTGATGGAAAGAGCCAGCCCGTCGCATGTCGGCCGTGGTGGTTTTGCCCCAGTCATGCGCCTCGCCACTGCCGTCGGTCTGCTTGGCGGTCTTCACGTCCTCTACCAGCGTTCTTGCCGTAAGCCGATACCTTAACTGCAATGCCTCGGGGAGAACTCACACCTTTACAGAACGCTTCTACGGTTTCACCGAGAACAGCAGAGAGGTCGAGCGGGACACACGCGAGATGGTCGACAAGGTGAAGAAAGGCGAGCCTTTGTACGGCAAGTCCCAGATGTCCTCCTACCTGCAGGGCATGGCTGCTCGTAACTCGCGGTACTCGGAACTCTTCATCCACGTCATCCCATGGATCAATGTCGTCAACCACGACCAGGTAATTGAACTATATATGCCCCCATACAATGCCCGTACTAATCTCTGTCCATCAGCACGGTGTTGACACGGCCAAGTACTACCAACAAGCCGAGCGGGAGTTGGAGGCAGAGCGAACTGGCTCCTCATGAATTCTGGAACCGCCAGAAAGAAAACTCAGCATGTTGGAGAACCTTTTGATTCCTGCAGATTTGTACACATATCCAATTTCGTATGTGTTTTGGGGCGCAAGTGCGATTTACAATACAGATTCCCGTTCTGAACAAAACATCCCCAGTACACGAGGGCCTCTTTAAAATACGCTGAGCTCTGATCATCTTCCACCGGTAACACAGATGACATCGTATGTTCATACCGGCGCTTCCTCGTCGAATCTCGTGTTCAGCTCACGATTCTTTTTCGGTCTGGGGTTTGGCGCTGGAATAGTGTTAGCGGATGTGCCGGGTAAACTTCTAGGATTTACCTTTCTCGTTCTCTTGGATATAAAATCGGCGAAGTAACATGATGGCCTCCTTCTCGAACAGTCCACCGTAGACGGGGTACTTTGGGTCAATTGAGGAGCTGCATCCGATCAGCTCATGGCTCATCCTCCCTTTTGGCCCTTCGTACTAACTCGGAGTGTAGCGAGAGAACACCGCCGGTCCCTCCAAATCGGTCGTTGGCTGCGCCGAAGTACACATTCCGTATGCGATACTGCTTCAATGCAGAGGCACACATCACACAGGGTTCCACGGTGACATAGAGGTCAGTGGATTGAAGCGCTGACCTCGGGTACTTTTGCAGCATCTGTGCAATCGCTATAAATTCGGCGTGTTTGGTTCCCTTGGAGGGTCAGTGGCCTGGACCGAAGGGGACATGCACACCCACATTCATGGATCTATTGGTGTCATTCATGCCCCGGCCCACGATCTGGTCGTCGTATACCAGCACACAGCCCACGGGGGTTTCATTTAATTCAATCGCTTTCTCGCCCTACGGGAATAAGCTACAGCGTCAACGGGCAACCGGGAGCATACCATTAACAATGCTTCTTTCATGAAGTGACCATGTCGCGAATCTTCTGCCGTAGGGTCATCCCTAAATTGCATGTTAGATTGAGAAGCCATCTTGTGAGGATATTCCGAGTTGGTTGAGAAGACACAAGGTGGAGTTTTCAAGGCGGTGGATCGAATCCTGAGATGTCTGCATCTACGGAATATGTACGAAATGGGTAGTCCACATAACAGCCCTGGCGCATGAGAGATTGAGATGTCCAATGAATCGATCAGTGGATTCTCTACCTTAGGCAGAGACCCAGGTATAAGGTAGCCTATTAAATCTTTATGTTATTCATATCATACACATACAGTCGTACATCTCTAGTCTTCTCGAATCTTGCCACACATGATGACATTCTGTCCCAAGGGCATCCATTTGACATCGCGAGGGTTCAATGCAGCATTGGGAGTGCCTCCCGGGTCTTGCTTCGAGTCCGGACTGACATTTACACCCCCACGCCCTAGATACGTGGGCGCAACCGTCACAACGATAGAATCGATGAAGCTGGTATACTCGGGATTCAACAGCTCACTCAAGACCGTTCCACCGCCCTCGATCATGACGCTCTTAATACCTTCGGACGCCAGCGCGCGAAACACGGCTTCCCAGCGCAGGCGCCAGTGCTGATTGTATTCTACAATCCGAAGGAAGTCGCCTCCATACCCTTTGAGCATCATAAGTGTCTGGGGGTTGATTTGAGCCCCTGGAGACACTACAACCCATGGGGCTTTGCCTTTGCCATCGACGGCAGTGCGTAACATCCGACATTCAGGGTGAACTGGCCATCGGCCCGTAGGATCAATAATCACGGGCCTCGGTTGCCACATTCTTCCCAGGCCTCCAAATCCACCAGCTCCCTCGAGACGGCAGTTCAAGCCGGGATTGTCCGCAAGCACCGTCCCTACCCCGACGAGAATGGCGTCGTGTCGGGAGCGAAGATAATGGGTCATTAGCTTGGCCTCAGGTCCGGATAACACCGTCTGCATCCCAGGCTGCAGGGAGATCTTGGAATCCATCGATGATGCATATGATAAAGTTACGTGCGGAAACTCCCGACGCTCGGAATTATTTGGAAGATATGGCTGTAAGAATTCCAGTGAAAATTGAGGAAAGAAGAGGGTGTCTGGCGGCAAAGAAGGGGAAGTAGATGTTGATTTCGTTTGCGAAGGCACTTCGTTGACACCGTCCGCGCTTTGAGTTTTGACAATTCCATGGCCCTTTTGGTATTCGTAGCCTTCATGCGCTACCAGGCTCACTTCTGGGTTTTGAATCCGCCATTTGGCAGAGACGTTGCGGACATCGGTCACGGTAAAGAAGCGACCGCCAGCCTCTCCCAGCTTTTCTGGCTCCTCCTGAAATTTGGTATAGATGGAGGAGGGGAGGTATCCCTTGATGGATTCTTTCCGCGCATACTCCATGAGCCCTGAGTTCCGTTTGACCCGGTCGATGTAATCGAGGTCGTGTGAATGGAGACTGCAGCTCCCCGGCGTCCGAGCGATGGTGACGGTCGAGTAGGCACCCTCAAAGCGAATAATCTTGATTTGGAAGTTGCAAATACCCCCCTCCCGAACGCGCTTCTTTCGAGGACGCTTGCCTGCTGGCAGCGGGCGCGTTTCAGATGTGCGATGTGTAGGACGCCGCAACCGACACATGTAGTAATCGGTGGTGCAGTGGCCCTCTTTGCTCGCATTGGACCTTTGCTTGACCCAAACGTTGTCGATAAAAGGCCAATAGGTCTCAAACTCCTCCAAGCTGATTTCTATTGGGTCCTTGCACTCGAACAAGACCTTCCGTATGCGCGCTAGATTCGGCGGGTTGTTGAAAAGGCTTGGTGTTGTCGAGTCTGGGGGTGCAGGCAAGTTGCCCTGCGATTGCACTGAGGTGAACTGAGTCGACTCATGTTCGTCACCGTGTGCTTGTTTGTCAAGGGCGCCGGATAGGTTAATCGGGGTGGTGGTTTCTTGGTCAAATATCTTATCTGTCGGTTTGTCCGACACGTCCCGTGTCTGTACTGCACCGTGGGACCCCTCGCTGTCGGAAGCCCCTGGGCTCGAGTCGGAGGTGCCAGAGGCATTCTCCATGGTGAGAACGGAGATCGCTGTGAGCTCTAAGGGTCAAGCAGAGCCTAGGTGGGAACATTCCAGGTGGGGCCGCTGACAATTTACATCCCGAGGTACTTCATCACATAAGATCTTCATGTATACTACTCCGTACGGTTATATCTTCTCATTTTGCATTAAGGGAATAATTCAAGATCATTCTAATATGCCCCAATCTCGGCTCCCGCGCGAGCCAGAGTCTCATACACCCGTGGGGGCAACTTGTATTTGACCATCCCCGAGAACACCATCAGATCCTTGGCCATGACAAGGAAGGCATCGGCCATGCCTTGACGGACCTCGCTGTCGTACAGTCCAGAAGTTCGCTTCTGGCGCTCGAAGCCAATACAGGTGATGCTCCACATAATGACATGTCCGATGTTGCGTGAAATGATAGCGGGCAGGGACGAGAACGATTGGGCGATGCTTCGAATATGCGACACGGAGCCCCGGGCCTGGAGGGGTAAAACATTCAACTCGTTGATGGCCTAGGAGCCAGGTCAGTATACGTTCCACCAAATACTAGAAGGATCCACTCACGTCAAGTGCTGGTGCCCATCTACCGGCTTCAACCTGGGTCTTGGCTTCCATCATGCGCAGCAGCAGGCCACATGCCTCACGGTTGACTGGTCGAACCTTTCCATAGTACATCTCGTTGGAGTCGTAAAGGCTAATCATATTCTTAGCAAGAACGCCCGGGTCATCCACGGAGGTCAAGCTAAGGCTGCTCCCCCCCGCTGCATCGGCCATGTCGTCTCGCGGGCGCAAAGGCTGTAGCTTGGGCAAAGCACCACCCAATTCGACAGCGACAGCATCCGATAAAGAACGGTTAATGATATCGATGACTCGATCATAGTTTTCGGCGAGATGGTAGAGAAGTACAGCATCAGCAACCAGGCCCTTATCATCTGCTACGGCAGCTGCCTGGACCGTGATGGTCTGGAGGAATTCTTCTTGGTCCTCCAATTTGATCAAACCTAGACGCTGCTCGATGGCACCCTTCAAGCGAGTACCGTCAGCACGAATATCGCCGAGCAGTTTGGCGAAGTCTCTGGTCTCCAGAATGAACTCGCGCAGGGCCTCGTGACAAACGGAGGCTTGCGACTTGCCCAGAGCACCGGGGAGATCGGCATTCAGGCAGACCAGCGTGAAGTAGTCGATGGCTGCTTCAACAAATCCGGTTCGGAATTCCCGGGTGTATTGGGTCAAGAGGTAGCCGAAATTGATTTGAGGGTACTGCTTGACAGTGAATGTCACTGTAATCGTCGAGCAATGGTTAGCAAAATCAGTGATAAGTGGGAAGGGCTTGTGCGGCGGGTCATGCTTACGAATTTCTTCTCCAGATGTGTAAAAGTCGGAGACGCGGAGAAGGCCATAGTATGATAGGGCGATGGCGAAGTGAACGGCGGTAACTGGCGCAAACGTGCCGAGATAGTGGACAGCCTGCTCGAACATTCCTCCTAGAATTTGCAGCAGGAAATATGTCCCGTAACCACCAGGTCCATCATTGCCCTTGACGAAGACTCTTTGGCCAATCTCTTGGATGTCGGTTTGGATGTCTTCAAGGCCGAACACGTCACCTGCAACCTCCTCGGTGCGATCATCCTCTCTGGCAAGGCTGAATTGCAACCACATCCAGTCCTCAACTGTTTGCTTCACACCATCCAAGCGACGACGCGAAAGGTCACAGCGGCCGATGATCTTATAACACGCCATCCTGTAGGGATCGACGGTGTTTTCAGGTGCGTTTCGAGAACGTTGCTGAAACTCGCCATTGATCTTCTGTTGAAGATCACGCGGTAGCCGCCTGGTCTGCGCGTAGGTTGTCATGTAGGTCACGAATTTGTGATCCAGGGACCGGAATCCGGTGTCCCGGCTCACGTACTCAGCAGCCTCCGTAACAAATCCGCATCGAAGGAGATAGAAGATAAGGATCCAGCAATAGTCCTGATTCACCATCTGGAGCTCTGTCCCATCAGGCACAAGATCCTTTCTCGCGGCTTGAAGGCGAATATAGGCCCGAATCTTATTAACCACGGTTGGAATACCTCCCAGCTGTGCCTCTCGAGGGTTCTTGGCAATGGCGGTTTCCACTTCGTCGAAGAATGTTCTCTCCAGGAAAGTTCTTGAGCCCTCGAGGATCTGTTTCTTGAGATCGATCGCGTTGCGAGATTTTGATGATTCATCGAGGTATTTTGCAGAATACTGGCGCTCCTTGATTGCCCCGGGGTCCGATGGGTCAATAATCCGAGGATTTTCGTGCACAATTCCCACCAAGGCTTGATACGCATTGAAGAGTTGCCGGGGGACCTAGAGATAGTAAGCTTTAGAACAGACATGGTGTTTGGCGTTTACATACATCACCGCCATTTTGAACCTCGACCGAGGAGAACTCATCAAGGACGGGATAGCACCTTCCTTGGAGCCTGGCGAGATTCAATTGCTGAACCTTTTCGGCGTAGTGGCCCATCTTCTCGCGTTGGAACCTGACATCAGGAGAGTGAGACGTGGCTCTGTCGTTTCGCTCTGCTGGGTCTTCGAAGATCTGGCGGCTGGCCAAACCAGCCCCAGGAGTGCCAATGACCGATTTTTCAAGGCCAGAACGCCCAAACACACTTCTGCGGGATGCACCCGAGGGCCCGCTGGCGGGACCAGCACCAGAGTGCTTAGATTGCCTGGTTGATCGGCCGAATCCACCTCTGGTGGTAGCGTTTAGGCCACCAGCGGCGTCCTTCTGCGATAGCCCGAAATGATGAAAAATAGTTTGACGTTGCTCTTCCCAGTCCAAATCAACCTTTTCCTCTAGGAATGTATCGAAGTCGCGGTGGGCTCGGGTGAGACTCTCCGCGATCATGACCTGTCGGCCACGCTGTTGAATGCTCCGCAAAAACCGCTGATTATCGGGGTCAAAATTGTCCATTTCCTTCACCGGGGCTGCCAAAGATGCCTGGGGGTCCAGAGATTTGAGATCGCGCAATGCTCGACCGGGAGAGATGCCAGATGCGGCAAGTAGATAATGACTGTCAGTGGCATTGGAGTCAGTTATTGCCAGTTGGAAACGAAAGAAAAGACCCGAGAGTACTTACGCTTTGGTACTCTTGCCATTGGGAGTGTCTCTCTGTCCACCGGAGCCCAGTTCCCTGGCCTTTCTCCGAATATCGTCCAGGCCCAGTTGAAGGCTGGGCACTTCTTCGAAATTGTTGTTCTGAGCGGCTGATGACAAAGGTCTCTTTTTACCACGCTCCAACAGGCTGTTGAAAAAGGCTGGTTGCGTTGATTGACTGGGATTTTGTCCTAGAGTCTGCCCTAGAATAGGCGGCTGTGACTGTGCCTGCGATTGTCCCCCAAAAAGGCTGGATGGCTGCGCGTTCTGCGGAGCCGAGGCCTGTTGACCACCAAACAAACCCCCACTCGAAGCGGCCTGTTGTTGGGGTTGGGGTTGCTGGCTCCCAAACAAACCTCCACTTGGTGCAGCCGGTGCTGATGCCTGCTGGCCACCGAACAAACCCCCCGTGGGCGCGGCGGGAGTCGAAGTCTGCTGGCCTCCAAACAGCCCCCCGGTCGGTGCAGCCTGAGAGGATGCTTGTTGACCTCCAAACAGGCCCCCAGTGGATGCGGCGGGAGTGGAAGCCTGTTGACCACCAAATAGACCCCCAGTAGATGGCGCTGGCGTCTGAGTTTGTTGCCCTCCAAACAGACCTGACGATTGCGTGCCTTGCCCTCCCGCGCCAGAAATGCCTCCAAGGCTTAGCTTGGGTTGAGATCCGACAGGAGTTGCCGAATTATTTGCGCCAAACAGGTTGGATGACTGAGGAGTGGTGGAAGCGCCTCCGAAGAGAGAGCCAGTATTCGAAGCCATGACTGATCAATGGTGTGCGATCTGGGTAGAGACAATTTGGCTACCTGTGTAGTTTTAGTAATGCGTTCAAGAGAAGGAGTACTCGAATGTAAGTCTGAAAGAAAAGTGGATATGGCGCGCACCTCAAGCTTTTATGAGTTCAGCAAGGAACTTTGCAGGAATTTTCTTCTCCCCCAGAGCCTTCGGGTGGAGATCAGGGAGCTTCAAAGGCGCCTAATTTAAAGTGACATATGCTCGATGGGTGAAGCGCGGGATCGGAGAGGTAGCAGATTGAAGCTCCATTCCAAACAATTCATCTCGGCGCTCCGGGCTATCTATTGTCCGCCATGAACCATAATTCGAGCCTCCCCATCTTCTGTCTCTCCATAGCGATCGATAGAATTTGATTCTGCTACGATGCCAGTTTTTCAATCAAAAACATTCCGCCGTACCACTTCGGAGTCGTCGACTCTCGGGGAGCGCCTTGGCGCATTCTACCGGGCACGGCTAACTCGGCATCCGTTCATCTTGTTCGGACTTCCATTCATTAGTGTCATTGTAGCTGGATCTTTTGCTCTGACACCTGCTGCGGCCCTCCGCTATGAGCGCTACGACCGCAAGGTCAAACAACTCAGTCAGGACGAGGCTTTTGACCTCGGACTCAAGGGTCCCGACGGAGAGGAGGGAATCAAGCGAAACCCCCGGAGAAGGATTGTCGGAGATGAGAAGGAAGAGTACTACGTACGTATAGCTTGATGACCTTTACTGACCTACCCCGATGATGATGTAGCTAATGTTTGGCATAGAGACTCATGGCCAAGGACCTCGATCAATGGGAACAGAAGCGAGTCGAGCGGTTCAAGGGTGAGCCAGATGGGCGATTATGATGCGACACACCGGATTCAGACCGAGTCTCGTTTTACCCTTTATGACCTCACCTGCATGAGATCATCGCCAAAACATTCACGGGTACCGGGGGGAACCCAAGGGGTTGGGGGTGACGTTCCTCTCACTAAAAACCCACGCGTGGAGCCCGAGCCTGCATCTCCCTCGGGCCTCTTTACTGTATGATCCAGTGGCTCGGTTTCGTTTCCGGTCTCGTATCTATTCCCTTTAGGCATGCGATGAACATTGGCCTCTCGACGTCTCCTCTCACCCGGCGGGTTGACGTGCCATTCGCATGCGCTCCAGAACTACCAGTCCGGATCAGATCGACAAGATGGGTTCATAGGACCCATCTGGGGGCCAGCCTCTTTGATGTACGCATACAGGGTCAAGGATCGACGGTACAATGTATATTACAGTTCGACGTGGCTTCCTCGACACCAGTACCCGGTATACCTCGGTATGTGGGATATCTATATGGAGATCATAGATATTTCTAGGTATCTCGAGGTCATTTATATCTATACCTAGGTAGATCTATATAAACAATGTCCACGGGTATATAGAATGAACACACAATAGGAACACTACGTCAGAAACCCCGTGATCCCCACACAACGTCATTACCTCAACCCAAATTTCTGCCGATTATTAATGCCATGACACGCCCATTGTGAGACTCCCTGTTCTCTCCATTGGCTTAACCTGCTGGCTGGGCCCATCGATTCACTTGCCCCTCTTTCTGCATCTCGAGGCTTACGTGAAACTTGATTGTCTAAGATCATGACAGAAGGAGTCATGACCAGCCGCTCACCATCCTCCCCTTGGCTGCAAAACTCCCTTCGTGATGGCGCACTTCTGAGTAAATCGCCCTCTAACGCCATGGTGTCCAGCCCTATCGATCGATCGAGTCCCAATTACTTCGGGATGAGCACAAACCCTGCCCAGACCTCAAACTTGGGCCCCGTACAGAAGAACTGGGGCACGTCACCTCATCAGTCCGCGCATAGTCAGATACATATCCATCCCCAGGAACTGATGTCCGCGGGGTTAAAGAATATGCTGAAGACCGAGCCTGAAATGCATCGGTTACGTCGTGAATCAACCATCAATGAATCCTTCAACGGAAAGCAACCGAGTCCTGGGTCGAAGCCTTCACCATCCTTCCCGCTGGGGGGGTTTTCCCTGGGGCAACCCAGCCCAAGGCAAGTCACTGGCAGGAACCCAGTCTCCGCAGGTAACTCATCTTTTTCAAGCCCCCATCACTGCCGCTGAAAGATACTGACTTTGCCTGGCAGAAACCGCCCTTCCATTCCCCTGGATCTCTCCCGAACGTTGCGCCGATTTATTGAAAGTATCTCAGTCAAATGTCATGCTGTTCGACGTTCGCCCATTCGCCCATTATAACAATGCCAACATCAAAGGGTCCCTCAACCTATGCATCCCAACTACTCTGCTCAAGCGGCCCTCGTTTGATACTAAGAAATTACAGAGCACTTTCAGCGACGATGCCACAAAACAAGATTTTGGAAGGTGGAGGGACTGCAGGTTCATTATTGTCTATGACTCTGCATCTGCCGATTCCAAAGATGCAATGCCCCTGCTGAACGTGCTTAAAAAGTTCCAGGCCGAAGATTGGAAAGGTGAGGGCTTGGTTCTACAAAGTGGATTTGAAGGATTTTCGAAGCAGTTTCCACACATGATTCAGCAGTCACAGTCACAGCCGACTGGGCCCTCCAAGCGTCCTGGGCCCATGGGGATCAATCTGCAATCCGTTGCCCCCGTCGTCGGCGGTTGTGCTCTGCCGGAATCAACCTCTGCCGTGAATCCATTCTTTGGGAATATTCGGCAAAACATGGACCTCTTGGGCGGCGTCGGACAGATTCCCCTGAAACAACCAGATCAAATCACAGAACGAAAGCGACAGCAACTTCCTCGATGGCTACGGGGCGCCTCTGATACCAACGACAAAGGGCATATTGTCTCGGACAAATTCCTTAGCCTGGAGAAAACTGAGCTCGAACGCATGAAGCAAGCTCTGACGTACGAGGGACCATCGGCGGAAGCCAACGGAAGTTCTAAGAAATATCGTGTTGCGGGCATTGAGAAAGGCACGAAGAATCGTTACAACGATATTTACCCTTTCGACCACTCTCGTGTACGACTGGAGGGAATCCCATCTGGGGCCTGCGATTATGTGAACGCGAATCATATCTCGGCAGAACTCACCAATCGAAAATACATCGCGACACAAGCGCCTGTTCCTGATACGTTTAATGTGAGCGTCTATTCCCCGCAGTCCCCGTCATTGGATCGCTAACAGCCTCTCAGGACTTTTGGCGTGTTGTATGGGAACAGGATGTGCGACTTCTCGTCTCCCTCACCGCAGAGGTCGAACGGGGTCAGGTGAAGTGCGATCGTTATTGGGAGCCTGGAACCTACGGACCCTTTGAGGTGAAAGCCTATTCGGAAAAGTATATATACATCGAATCTCAAGGCCAATCTATCGATCCGAGTGCGGGGATTCTCAAGACAACGAGCGAGAAACGAGATGGGACGAACGAAAATCCGGTCATTATTGTCCGCCACTTCAGCATCTGCCACACCTCATTCCCTTTCCAACCACTTCGGGATATCACCCAACTTCAATACCCTTACTGGCCCGACTTTGGGACAACCTCGCAACCTACCCATCTGCTTCACCTCATTGAGCAGTGTAACAAGGTCATCCGTGCCACCAGTAACCCTGCCTTTAACAGCCACCAAGCAGAACCCAAGGGCCAACGGCCGGTTTTGGTGCACTGCAGCGCTGGGTGTGGACGTACAGGAACCTTCTGCACCGTTGATAGTGTACTCGACATGTTGAAACGACAGCGTGCCCATGCCAAGGGCGAGAGAGACACAGGTTCAAATCCCACCGACAACACTGAGTGGGTCCGAAATCTGGATATTGACCTAATTGCGAAGACAGTTGAAGATTTCCGAAAGCAGAGACCCAGCATGGTCCAGAATCTAAGTCAGTATGCGCTATGCTATGAAAGCGTCCTCGAGTGGCTCGTGACCCAGATGAGCTAGAGCTTTGTTAGTTTGCCTACTGCTTTCTTCCTTCTGGGTCTTCTTTTCTTTTTACTTTTCTTTTTAGGATACACATCTTCCTTTCTTCTTTCTTCTTTCTTCTTTCTCTTGCTTTTCGCTATGATGATGCAACCGGGATACCCTGTTCTCTGCCCATTATTCCCAGGGCTATGGTTTTTTTTTTACATGTACAATGTCATACAGCTCGTGATTCTGCATTTCTTGGTGTTGGGATGGACTTGAAGCGAGAAAGAAAGAAAGAAGGGGGGAAAGCGGCGCCTCTGCTTTTTTTTTTTTTTTTTTTGCGCAGCCTTGCATTATATATAGCAATGTCTTGAGATTTGAATCAATAATACTTTATTTTCTTTTCATGTGGTGATTTGTCCGACGCTGCTTTAGCCCTGGATCTCGGTCCTTCCCACTACAACATTATCTCATGCCCTGATAACCCTTTTCGCTCGCCTTCGCCATTGGAGAGGTTGATGTGCATCACTCCACGATCAGTGATCGCAATCAATTCGGAGTTCTTTTCAGTGAATCGGAGCTGGGAGCAGACCGCTCCTAATTGGAGGATCACAGGTGGGAGCACCGGGGTGTCAGACGAGGAGATCCACGATGGTGGGTAAAATGTGCTTTCGGTGTCTAACACTTCGGTGGGGTTCAGAGCCCAGACGTAGAGGGTTTTCCAATCTGCCACGGCGATTCGAGTTCCACATCGCGAAGCAGCCACTTGCGACCCATGTGAGGTTGTCGATTGCTGATAGCTCCCGAGCTGTGCCATGATCTTCCAACTTTCAAAGCGCCTGCCACGGTCCAGATTATGAACATGAGTACACCGCTGGCGAGGAAACGCCTCAGATCTCAGGAGGCATGCCACCGTCCAGTTTTCGACTCGATGCGTTGCTATGCCAAATGCGAGATACTGCCAATGACATGGTATTCCATTGGCAACGTTGCCCGTCTTGTGGGTGGCGAAGAATGGTATACCAATGGAGAATTGGAGACTCAGATTTGGTGCGAACTGCACGTTACACCTATTTGCAATCGATGGGCCTAGCTCGCCTTGCAAGTGGGTATTGTAGAGTGCTCTGAAGGATCCGTACAGGGGTTGGGCCCGATAGTGACACAGTAGCTGGAAGCCTCGGTCATTGAATGCCAATTTCACGACAGGTCCGGTCCCTGAGGCGGGACGATCGTGCGAGCTAAGAAAGCTGCGGCTCCAGTAAGAGGTATCTAGAAATATCAGCAGGTTGGTCCCGGTCTGGGTGGTTTGACGAACAGGTGACTTGGTCGTCTTTCTCTTCATCCACACCCTCAGTCTCATTGAACCGATAGAGGACGACCCCGTGGTCCTCGGGCTGATTTGCATTTTGCCAGGAGATGGCAAACTGTCTGTCGGCCACCGCGAGAGCTAGCGGGGTATATGTCTGGTGTTCAGGGAAGCCACACATGCGGACAGTTGTATTTTCCGTATTCAGGTCATGATAGGCCATGAAGATGCACCCGTGCGAGCGAGCCTGGGAGGCCTGCTGAACAAATGGATGGTTGGCGTCGAGGTCTTGATCGGGGAACGGCTTGTGTCGATGAAGCACGTAGACCCCATGGTTTCCATCAAAGGCAGTCTGGATAATGTCGACGTCTCCGGTGTCTTGTCCGGGGGATCTCCACTTGGCTTCCTGGATCAACTTCCCATCTTGCATCGTCACTAAGTAGACGGTGCTGTCATTTTTAAAGACCAGCAATGCGCGAGTGCTGTGTCTTTGTGACTCGAATGCAGATGCGCGACTGTCCAGGACTGCAGGAAAGCCATACGTTGTGAGGTCCGCCCGGTACTCCACCCCATCCAACTGGGCATTTGACCGGCACTTCAGAAGGGTGTAAAGATCCCTGGTTGTGAGTTGTTGCAGCTCATCACTATACCACCCCGGTGTGTGGTATAGGCGATGGAGTATAGCCTCTCGGCCACTGTGGGCGATTTTCCATAGGCGACGACTTGCCCGAGCGGCCTGGAAAAAGGCAGGAGTCTCACAGTGCAGGAGAATAAGCTCGATGAGCTCGGTTGGTAGCTGTAACATGGTGTGTGGGATCTATGAGGGATGGGGTTGATTTTATAGCCGAGCACGGACATCTGTTGCCTACGAGCAGTGGAGGTAGCAGCAGCCTAGGCAGACAGGGTCCTCTTTACTTGTATACTTCGTTCTGATATCGACTTTTTGTTTGCTACTTGGGGCATTCCCACCCCCAGATTTCGCCAGATGCTCATCTCTCTAGGGACTCTGTTCAAGAATATCGTGATTTCACCTAGGAACTATCTCGTCTAACAGAGTGAACTCACTGCCCTTCACCGCCACCGCCGGACATGGTGATGAATGTCAAAATGAGCAGCACCCACCAGTATCTGTGACCGTGATTAGCAATGCCATCAACATCCACTCCGACACTTACTTTTGCAGCAGGGTCTTCTCTTCCGGCTCTGGGGTGGCACCATCCGGCCCAACCACAATTGGTCGGTTCAAATGAGGCCGTGTGCCAGGTTCATCGAACACCAGGTCGACCTGGGTCGTTGCGAACTCGTCGGAGGAGAGGGAAACGTGGTAGACCTCGTTCGCGGCATCGAGGTGGAGGCGGAAGGTTGGATTGTCGGTCAATGAGGAGGCAGCGACAAGACTGCCAACCCATTGCTTGTTGGTGTAGAGGCCAATCCGAACCAGGTCCGCTGTCGGGTTCGGGGGGTGGAAGGCAACGTCGGTTTTCAACGAGGTCGGGTCGTAGGAGACGCGGGCGAGGAGAGAGGGCTCTGAGCCCAGGGGCCAGTAGAGAATATCGGTCGCTAAGGCATTGGTGTACAGGAGTAGCGACACCAGGCTGAGCAGAAAGAGAGATCGCATTGCGGAGGTGAAGAGGAGAAGTTGCAGGGGCGTCCGAGCTCCACCTCGTATACATGTACATCGACTGTACTCGCTCTGCCTGGGAGTACAGAGTACACATATACTCAACTCTATTGATAGAATTAATAGAATAATTAAAATAAAAGGGTAATGTAACGGGGGAATTACTGAGATCAGGTCCGAGTGAAATGTTGAAACCTATGCCTGGAGGGGAATATATCTGAGCAACGACATCAAGACATATCAAGTACATAGGTACCAAAGGACAGGGACTGGACCAGGATGCAATCAAGACTTGTCAACATCCCGCCACTTACCCCCCTCCGCTACCTTCCCCCCCCCCCCTCCACCCTCTCTCCTGAGATATCTGGACAGAATCATTTCTAATGGCATCGCTACCGTATCGTCGCGCCTCTCGCCAGAGCTCCCGGAAAGCATCAAGCGATCCGCGAGAGGATCTGGCAGTCCATCGGGATCACTTCATTGGCATTGATGTCGGGACCGGCAGTGCCCGAGCCTGTATCATCGATGCCAAAGGAGACATTGTGGGATTGGCTTCCGAGAACATTGGTCTCTGGCAGCCTGAACACGGCTACTATGTGAGTGAACTGGCGACACGCATTCACCTGTCATACTGACCCGCCCCAGGAACAATCCACGTCCGATATCTGGCATTGTATATGTGTAGCCGTCCAGCGGGCGATCAGCCAGCACAACATCCACCCCGACACCGTCCGGGGCATTGGGTTCGATGCCACCTGCTCCTTGTCGGTCTTCTCCAACGACACAGACGAGCCCATCTCCGTCACAGGCCCGAACTTCGACTCGGACCGCAATGTGATCCTGTGGCTAGACCACCGTCCCGTTGAGGAGGCGGAAAAGATCAATGCGACCAACCACAACCTCCTCCGCTACGTGGGGGGAAAGATGTCCATCGAGATGGAGATCCCCAAAGTGCTGTGGCTGAAGAACAATATGCCCAAAGAGCTCTTTGATAAGTGCAAATTCTATGACCTGAGTGATGCCCTCACCCACATTGCCACCGGCAACGAAAAGCGAAGCTTCTGCAGCGTGGTATGCAAGCAGGGATTCGTGCCTGTCGGAGTAGATGGCAGTGTGAAAGGATGGCAAGAGGATTTCTTGCAGGACATCGGCCTGGGAGATTTGACGGAGGATAACTTCAAGCGCATGGGCGGAGTCGACGGGGTGGTGAGCCTGTCCTTAAGTGGGAAGCAGCATTCTCGGCTAACGAACGTGAAAACAGAACGGTGACTACCTCAGTGCCGGTGAATTGGTAGGCACTCTCTGTGAGAAGGCCGCTGCCGACCTTGGCCTCCCAGCCGGGATTGCGATTGGCAGCGGGGTCATCGATGCCTACGCTGGCTGGATTGGCACCGTTGGGTCCAAGGTCGATCTAGACGCCGGTCAAACCACCACTGATGTGCCGAAGCTCGATAAATCAGAGGCCTTCTCCCGTCTAGCAGCAGTCGCGGGAACCTCGACCTGTCACCTCGCCATGTCGCCCGACCCCGTCTTCGTGGATGGGGTTTGGGGCCCGTACCGGGACACAATCCTCCCTGGGTACTGGATGGCGGAAGGAGGACAATCTGCCACAGGGGAGCTGCTCAAGCATGTCATTGAGACTCATCCGGCATTCAACCAGGCTCACTCCATTGCCGAGTCCTACCATGCCAACATCTACGAGTATCTCAACGAGCACCTCAAAGAGATGGCCCACGACCAAGGCGCCCCCTGTGTGTCTTATCTCGGGCGACACTTCTTCTTCTATGGTGATCTATGGGGAAACCGATCGCCCATTGCCGACCCAAGCATGACCGGTTCGATTTTCGGTCTCACCAGCGACAAGACGGTAGATGGACTTGCTATCTACTACTATGCGACCCTTGAATTTATCGCTCTGCAGACCAAGCAGATTGTGGACACGATGAACAAATCGGGTCACCGCATCAGCTCAGTGTTCATGTCTGGCTCACAGTGCCAGAATGATATCCTGGTCAATCTCGTGGCGTCGGCGTGTGACATGCCGGTATTGATCCCACGATACATCCACGCTGCGGTTTGTCATGGCGCAGCTATGCTAGGCGCAAAGGCCGCAAGTGCCGATGCCCAGGGCAACACCGAAGATCTGTGGGACATCATGGACCGGATGAGTAAACCTGGTAAGAAAGTGCTGCCCACGAAGGACAGCAATGAGAAGGCATTGCTCAAGGTAAAGTACGAAGTGTTCCTGGAGCAATGTTTCAAGCAGCAGAAGTACCGAACTATGGTGGATGAAGCCGTGGGGACCTGGAAGCCAACTTGATCCGCCTGTTTACTCGAGTATTTTCCAAAATGCCCACTCAGGGCGTCTTTGCCGATGCAACAAAAATTGTTTTTAGTGCAGCCCTGAGTGGGTGAAGCTTCGAGAATAAGATTATATCACAGTATGAACACAGCTCAACGGTATATCTGAACTACATCGCTATGCAAACTCGCAATGAATAATGTATGAGTACATCGAATGTCAACATTGGAGTGATCAGCGTTCTAGTAGGCCTCTCCACTCCTTGTTCGCCCAAGAGTGTAGAACTTGTCACGATTAGCGCCGACTGCCAGAGTATCAAACCGATCCACACCCATGTTGTCCATGTTGACGTAGCCTGACATGTAGAAGCCGATCAGAACCACCAGGTAGGTCAAAACAAGGATGGATCCCTTGAAATAGTTGCTCTTGCCCTCGCCGTACACATAAGATAGCAGGAACACGCATAGAATCACGCTGATCATGTCCCACTGGGGAAAGATTAAGCTAACGAAGTTCAAAGTCAGTCACAACAATGGTGCCAAAGAGTGCTAGGCTCAACGTACTTGAACGAGTGACTGGCAATTTCAGCCGCATCGAGCCCTTGACCGTATACCGCACTGAAGAGAACGACAGCAGGCACCTGTAGCAGACAGACCTGCAAGGCGTAGGCAGATCCGATTTCCATGGATAAGGCAATGTTTCCATTCATGGCGAAAGAAATAGCGTTCTGTTTGAGACAATCAGTAAGAGACCAGTGAAGTGGTTCATAAAACGTTTGAAAAACATACCAAGAACTCGGTGGTGTTAGGGACCAAAGCGAACAGAGTGATACCGAGGAATTTCTCATCAATGTCAACACTCTCCAAGACAACATCAACGGTGTTGACAAGGATCTCAGCAATGACTGCATAGAGGAGCGTTGCTCCAAGAAGAACGACAGAACTTTTAACCTTGCTCCAATTAGGTGCGTCATGGCCCCCAGACGAGGGCTCGGGAGCAAGTCCAAGATCCTCAATTTCCTCGCCAGGGATCCGCGAATGACCCCCAGCCGGCCGACTGGCTTGCCGACTAGTTCCCTGGTGTTGATGCTGAAGAGCCCTGCGGCTGCGGGCCGAATCCCGTGCAGCCTGAGCTGCATTTGTGGCCGCGAGTTCTGCAAAGTAGCGCGCTGTGCGCTCGCGGTCCTCCGTGCTCAAGTCTCGAAGTGCATCGGGCATAGAATCCGCATCCTCACCAGCAGAACGCGGTGGCACCACGTGCGGGGTGGCGTGCACAGAGCCAGCGGCGTGGTCATCGTGGGCTTGTTCAGACGAGCGACTATTGTCCAAGCCAAACTGCTTCAAGTTCGCGGCATAGGTCTTCTTGAAGATAGGATGATCCTGAATCGGCTCTTTGAACACCGAAGCCGCCCCAGAGGCTTCGGGCTGACCATTCGAAAAAAATAGGTGTCGTGGCTCCGTAGCATCGAAGGCGATTGAATCTTGGATATGGGCCTGGACATGCTTCTTTTCTTCCAATTCTGATGCCCAAATGAGAGCCGCGTGAGTTCTCAAAGTGAACCATAGACCGATGCCGTATGAGGTGAACAGCAGGAAGGCGCAAAACCACGCATATGGCTGTACAGCTTTTTGGAAGAACTGGTCATTGATAGCCGCCGTTTGGGAGAAGTAGCAGCGACGACAGTCACGACTCTCCGAATCGAGTGAATCAGCACAAGAGTGACAATTCAGCTCATGCTACAGATTTGTGAGCAAGTAATCCCCTGTTAGAATAAAGACGTGACGACAAACTTACACTGCCATAGACTTGATAAAACAGAGTAGGACCAAAAGCAGCAATCACTGCGAACAGAAGCATTGTGGACGTCACACCAGCCGACCTCACGTTGAACCGTTGGGTCTTGCGCGCCAGAGCGCCAAAGCACATGGATAGACCGGGGAGGAACAGAACACCCACAAATATACTGCCAATGATACTTCCTTCAACAAGTCCGGCCTTGCCCTCGGTCAAGGCAACACAGTAGAGGTATACCTCAACGACGGTCGAGAAGAAAGCGTTGATAGCAGCGCCTAAACCCATCGAAGACTGAGCGGAGATCGAGGCAACGGCTTGTCCAATAAAGTAAGCCAGAGGAATGATAGACAGCAAAGCAAGGGTGAAAATCAGTCCCGGATGGGTCAGCCAATTCTTCATACCCAGCATCCCGGCCAGAATGAAATAGTCCGCAATGACAAACACGACCACACCAAGGAGATTGATCAAGAAGATGTTTGTTCCGTCAACTGTGTACTTCCAATACCTCGTCCCCGCAGCTCGGTAGGTGCAGAGAAGAATAGAGGATGAGGTTGTAGTGGTGCTTGATCTTGCATATGTAGAGTCGGAATGGAAGGACAATGCCAGGGGATGTCTGCGGAGATGGCTCACTAGAGTGATTGTCACCCGACCCATGGGAATCCAGAATACCAGGAGCCAACAGATGAGGGAAGCGACGAGCATCAAAGGTCCAACTAAGAAGTAGAAGAACACAAAGAACACAACCCGGCCTAACGTCCATTCCCCACGTCCAAAAAGACGGCGCTTCGAGTGGAGTTGGGCGTCTTCACTTTGTCCACGCTGGGGTCGTCCAAGCAGACTGTCTTGCTCCCCAGAAGAATCGACACTGTTCCTTCTTCTACCAACGAGTGATCGATCTCTGCGGGGACCAAAGAAGAGACGGCCATGCTCCAGGTCCCCATTCTGCCATTGTTCATATTCGCTGATGCTGCGACCTTCGCCTTCGTCTTCTTCAGCATAGTTTTCGTCGGTCTCAAGAAGGACGAATGAGCCAAACGGATATAGCAGGTAGCGCGAAAGGCCCGCAAATACTCTACCATATTCTACAGCACTTGACGAATATGCGAAGAAAAAGCATGCAACCGCAGCGACAAAGGCAATCAAGGCCAGCCACCACCCAAAGAACAGGGACCAGAGCAGGTTGGTAAGGAACAACAGTGGGCTGACATACCCACCAGGCGATGAGTGAATGTCACCCTCAGCGGATTTCTCCACGGAGCGGCTTTTCTTGTACAGCGCAGGTTTCCAAAGTCTGATACCAAACGGGTGTGTCTGGTTGATAGCTTGCTGGCGATCCTTGAGAGTGAAGCTTTCCGCATCGCTCGCCGCATCTGCGTCATCAGAGTCATCCAAATCGTCGTCCTCATCACTGCCTACTTCGCTGTTTTCGCGGAGTCCCGTAGCTGGAGCATCGTTCTCAAAGTCCGCTCCAGGCCCGAGCAAGCTTGCTCCTTCTGGGTTATAGCCCTCTGAGTCGGCCCTCGCCAAAGGGCTGGGTCGAGTACTTGGGCGTCGTCTTAGCGTCGAGCTTTGTCTTCTCAACGGACGGATCCTAGGCGATGTGTTGCCCGATTGCTTCATAGTCATGTATTGCTTCACCTCGTTGGCATCGTCATCCGTCGAGAACTCTCGTCCCTTTTGGGAAATTTGGTGTTTGGAAGTCATACGACGCGACAGTGAAGGTTTGCGGGGCTTATCGGGAGATGCCGACGATTGAGTTGTGAACGCACGGCTTGAAAATTCTTCTCCATCGTCACGCAGCTCGGGATTGCTCGCTTCGAGGGAAGGTGTATCGAGTGTACCTATAACTCCAGGTCAGCCCAGGGTGTCCCCGCCCTATGTTACACCAGAGGCACACCAACCATAAGTCCTTCGCGTCGGTACAGACGGTCTCATTGGAGGCGCTGTTCCAGAGTCCGAGGGCTCATCCCCCGCTGCAGATGGCTGGATCGGCTGGCGAGAGCTGCTTCCTGTATTGCTCGCCATGGTTGCGTGGGTTGGGCACGACACGCGTGATGGGGGGAGGAGGGATTTGAAACGAAAAGAAAAAGCTCAGACAGCAAGCTTCCCCTCACCTTGGCTCTCTTTGTTGGCCCCAAGAGAGAAAGAGAGGAGGGGGAAAAAAAAACGAGATCAAAGCGACGAGCCCGATGACATTATCCAGATAAGATCTAAGGGAAACAGAACAGCCAAGCGGTTCAATGAAATTTCCATTAACAAAGACACATATACATTGCAAAGTAGGACGAAACTCGTGGGAGAGAGAGAGCAAGACTCTTTGACCGTTGCCTTGTACTTTCTCACCTGCCCCGGGGCTTGCAGATGATCAAGTCATCGGGCAGCTCTACCCAATCAGATCCACTTCGTTGATTAGTAGCTATCAAGTGAGGTGTTTGCTCTGTTTGTCTGATCTGGGTTGTCCTTGCTGCCTGACATATCAGGCAAACATGACTAAGCTGGACTGGGCACCTGCTCACAGCTGCACGTAGAGCTAGGCTGATCAGCTCTCCAAGCCCCGGCGTCAACTCTTTCATCCTCATTTCCGAACGACGTCTTCTTTAACCAATCGTCGCCATCTCACATCTGGGCCGTACGAGCACGCATCTGTCCTTTGACCGTATCTCTGGTCTGTGTCAAAACAATCAGCCCTTGAGTCTCCATAGCGTCATCACCCTCCCCCAAAATCGCCATCATGGCCCTGGACAACTACTACCGCAATAAGATCGAGGGCATGAAGCTCGAGATTATCCAAGGCCAAGCCGTTTTGAGACGATTAGAAGCCCAGCGCAATGACTACAACTCCAGGGTGCGTCTATTGCGCGAAGAGCTGGGCTTGCTTCAACAGCCCGGCTCTTACGTGGGCGAGGTCGTGAAAGTGATGAGCACCAAGAAGATTCTGGTCAAGGTACACCCAGAAGGGAAATATGGTAGGCTTCGGCCCAGTAGCCTCACAGCTGACGTTGTGCTAATCCGTTGTCCTGGCAGTTGTGGACATCTCCGATGGCGTCGATATTAGCAAGCTCACCGTTGGCAAGCGCGTCGCCCTCCTTTCCGACTCCTACAAGCTTGAGAAGATGCTGCCATCCTCCGTCGATCCCTTGGTTTCGCTCATGATGGTCGAGAAGGTCCCCGACAGCACTTATGACATGATTGGTGGTCTCGATCAGCAGATCAAAGAAATCAAGGAAGTCATTGAACTTGGTCTCAAGCACCCCGAGCTCTTTGAATCGCTGGGTATCGCACAGCCCAAAGGTGTCCTGCTCTACGGTCCTCCGGGAACCGGAAAGACCCTCCTCGCCCGTGCGGCCGCCCACCACACCGACTGTCGATTTATCCGAGTCAGCGGCTCCGAGCTGGTGCAAAAGTACATCGGTGAGGGTAGTCGCATGGTGCGTGAACTGTTTGTCATGGCCCGAGAGCACGCACCCAGTATCATTTTCATGGATGAAATTGATAGTATTGGATCTAGCCGGATAGATTCCGCCGGTGGCGGTGACTCTGAGGTACAACGTACTATGCTGGAGTTGCTGAATCAGCTGGATGGCTTCGAGCCTACTAAGAACATTAAGATCGTCATGGCGACGAACCGACTCGATATTCTCGACCCGGCCTTGCTCCGACCCGGGCGTATCGACCGCAAGATTGAATTCCCCCCTCCATCGTGAGTGACCTCCCCTGTTGGTAAGTGTTTGGCTAACCATTTCTACGTAGTATCGAAGCTCGTGCCGATATCTTGCGCATCCACTCCCGCTCGATGAACCTGACCCGTGGGATCAACCTCACCAAGATCGCTGAGAAGATGAACGGGTGTTCAGGCGCCGAGCTGAAGGGTGTCTGCACGGAGGCCGGTATGTACGCCCTCCGTGAACGTCGGGTGCACGTCACACAAGAGGACTTCGACCTGGCCACCGCCAAGATCTTGAACAAGCACGATGACAAGGAGGTGGCCGTGTCGAAACTGTGGAAGTAGAGGGATTTCGGCACGATCGACATTGTACCACTAGTTTTAATCCTACCCTTGACCATCCCAAACTGAATGCATCATTGCGTGACGACGTGTCCCGGTCCTGCTTACGGGGTCAATCGTATGCCACTTGGTGTGGCCACTATTCAACCCCCACATGTGTCCCACGTAGATCAGCCCGGGGGGATATGAGATTGGCTGATCTCGTCCCAACTGTGCTCCGTATGGGGTACCCCATGCGTTGTAGAGTCCTGTACGCTGTACTGTATTTGATTTGCTGTATCTCCCTACTTTGTACAGAGGACTCCGTACAGTCCGGTGCATCAACCATACCGAATAGTGAGAGTCCAGTGCCCGGCATGGACTTGACGTATGGCACAAACACTGAAAAAAAGGAAGAGCGGTAAAAAGGAGAGGAAATGTGCTTGGCAAACCTAGGCACCCCCTTGTAGTCGCAACGAAGTATGACAAGATCCCAGAGGTGAATCAACGCATGCTTGGCACAATGCGGACCGCGTAGATCAGTCTCCTATCGGCATTCGCTTGGCGCGGAAATCAGTGTCCGCGGATCGGTCTTGGCACAGGGTGCTGCCTGGATATGAAGAGATCAATTGAGGGAAGACAACCTTAGAACGGACATCGAGATCATGGACGATCAAGTACTAGTACGGAGTACATCGAGGGAATCAAGTGAAGGATGTGAGTGTAAGTACATAGCTGTAGACGGAGAAACGAAGTCGTACGGCTAATAGAGTAGCGCGTGACCGGTGGATCATTTCCCAATGAAAAGTGGGGCGCAGTACCGGAGCCCCTGGTCGTTGGTACCGGCTCCACCGGTGGTCACCCCATACTTTGCTGATGTATCCGACACCTGTCCGGGATGTATCTTTTCGATGGGAAGTCGGAGGATTTAGCAACTGAGAAGAGACTCATATGCCGGAATATACGGAGTACGGAGTACTGTCCAGTACTGTAGAGAGTCTACGGAGTAGAGAAAGGATCAAGGAAAAAAAGGAAGTCTGTATAGATGTACATATGCATCAGACTGACCGACAATCCCTTTTAGGCCCCGACAAGGGTTATCTGGGCTTTACTCAATCGCATCGTCCAATCGTATTGGCACGCTGAGCCGATCTGATTTACCCGGAATTTAAACTATTGGCCTTATTTGACGGCCCTCCCCCCCAACCTTTTCAACCGACTACAGTACTACACTATAGACGGGAAACGATGTCAGACCTATGGACATCACTAGCCTTCGCCATTGATCCGAAATCACAAGCCATGCCGGCCGTCTTACAATCAACCATTCATCTCCTGGAGAGTGAGCTGGTCAAGGCCCGTGCTGCCCTCCAAGAGATTCAACCCAATGCCTCGCCCTTTGGGTTTGGGGATGAAGTCGCCGTAGGGGCCATGGCCGCGTACCGGCAAGATCTCATCGGCCGGGCCCCCGATTTCTACGGATCCCGGCGGTTGACCCGCAAAGAATTGGGCTTAGAGCCTACCGTGCGCGATGTGCCTACGGAGCGGGTATCAAAGACCGTCCCGGGACCCCGTCGAACATCACTCGAGGACGTGCTGAGCAACAACTTGGTGCTGGATCAGATGGCCCCGTATCTGTCGGTGCCGTCGCTGATGGCTGTGAGCGCAACCTCCCGCCGCCTGCACACCGTGATCACGCAGACTCCATACGTGTTCCGACAGCTCGACTTGACCCGCTGCCAAGGAGCACAGCTCCCCGCGGGGTCACAGCCGAACGGAACGCAGACAGAAGATGAGATCCACTCGGCCCCATTGAGGCATATCTTCAAGAGCTTGGAGCGCCAACACATCCTACAGGATGTGCGCACGCTGGTATTGGATGGGCTGTCAGTGCCCGCAGATCTGGTGGCTCACATCCTGTTGTCAGACCGGTTCAACGTCAATATCCTGTCCATTCGCGAGTGTCGTAATCTGAACGAACGCAGACTCATGGAGATCATTCAGCATGCCGTTCGCCCTACGCGCCCCGCCGGGACCCCTCGAGTAAAGGGGATCTATCATTTCTCTCCGACACAAGCTCCCCAGGCAGTGGCTCGTCCCAAGTACCGGGATTGGTGGTCGACACGAGTTCAAACCTCACGAAGCCCTAGCCAAACCCCGTCCATATCCGAGACGCCGGCAAAGCAGCAGAATGAGTGGTACAGCCCTACTGGGAGGCTTTTCAAGCATAGCCTGGAGGAGGGCTGGGCCCAGGTCCTCCAGGAGTGTGAGGGAATTATCGCCTTCGATGCCACCTTGTGCCGGGGCCCGAAACACACGCCACAGCCAGATGCCATAGATCCGGTGCAGGTCCCTGGGCCTGCCGTGGCCACCGTTGCTCTTGGCCCTAGCGGATGCGACGGTTGTCACAGCTCCCCCGAGGGCCCAGCGATCTGGGGTCAATCGCCGGACGTTCACTTCCCGCTGCTCAGCCCCACGCCGCTCCATTCCTCAAGCCTGACAGCGGCCAAACGGCCAGAGTTGATTCCCGGGGAGCACCCAGTGCTCATTGCTCGGTGTGCAGATTGCCTCACCAACCGGTGGTGTCACCGATGCAACAAGTGGTTCTGTGGAAACTGTCTCCCTCACCCACAGCGAATCCAAGTGAATCTATCCCCCCACCAAACTGCCCATGCCACCTCTACTGAATCCGAAGAACGTGAGGTATGTGCCCTCGCTACTATTCCGCTTGCCAAGTCACTAATTCCTGCCTAGAGGGTGGAACGAGGGGTGAGCAAAGATTGCTGGGAATGTGGCCCGACTGTAATTATATCCCCTCATGTTTCGATCCATACTGATCTGAATAGTGTGCTTCATGTAAACGCGAATGCCAACACACTTGCCAAGGGTGCCATGGCGATTACTGCATTCAACATAACGAGGGATGCTCAAAGACATTAGTAAGTCCGCTGCGAGGCCAGTGAATCGCACGTGCTAACATGGGATCAGTGCGACTGGTGCAACACCAGTTCCCGTGGTCGAATGCGTGGCAACTTTTGAGAAAATACAACCGAAGTACAGAAGGAGTATAGAAGGACTTGATTTTCAATCGCCTGCCCAGGTGGAGGCTTCCAGAATCTCTTATCTTATCGATAGCGTTTTCATCCGGCAGAACTTACAGCGCTATTTATGTTCCTCGACATGGCTCTTTGTAGATAGACAGAATAATACCTCCCGTATCAAGGAGCACTTATGAGCCTTCAGCATCACTATTTAACCCAAGTCAATATTTTCAATTGGGATGGTATAACAGGCTTGGGGGACTGCGCTTTGTAGGCGGAGAGGAAGGCGGTGTATGTATGAAATTGGATTTTCCAGAATCGTCACTCGTTCGGACTAATGCCACTCGCGGATTATATACCTAAGATGGAGATGAAATAGCCCTTCTTTCGCTTTCACCCTTCATCATGACGCAAGATAGTCTAGTTTGGTCGTCCCAGTTCGTGGTCGCATCACCAGAACGAATGCCCCGACTGCCCGGTGATAAGATTACTCTTCCACAATCCGCTCTCGAACAGCTGCTCGCTGCCGCTCCGCTTCAAGCGGTGCCTGCAAACTCGCGGGTGCATACTGCAGCTTTTGACCCGCTGAATCCTCACACGTTCGCCGCAGAGTCTCGTGCCAGGCAGGAGATCGAGCAACGTCAACAGCAACTGCCCCACCCATTGACCTTTCGCATCGTCAATCCTCAGAATGGCCGGTTCATTTACGCGGGTATACGGGAGTTCTCCGCCGCAGAGAATGAAGTTGCGCTCAGTTCACTGCTAAGAGAATCCCTGGAAATCAAGGATGAAAGCTTTGCCAATGCAGAATCACAGGATGCAGCTTTACCAACCGAAGCGCACCCTACACAGGCTGGCCCCGCAGTCACTGTTCATGCGAAGCAACTACCAAAAGGTACCTATGTTCGCCTTCGCCCACTCGAAGCCGGGTATGATCCCGAGGATTGGAAAGCTCTCTTAGAACGGTATTTGAGGGACAATTTCACGACTCTCACCACTGGCGAACTTCTGGCGGTACCGGGTACCCGGAACGAGTCGTTCAGATTTTTGGTCGACAAAGTATTCCCCGAGGGCGAGGGGATATGTGTGGTAGATACAGACTTGGAAGTCGACATTGTCGCACTGTCCGAGGAACAAGCTCGCGAGACGCTACAAAAGAGGCTGGAAAAGTCTTCGCGTGCGCCAGGGACGAGCACGGGTAGCTCGCTCGGTGGGATTCTCAGCCATGGGGAAACTATTACTGCGCAAGTCCTTTCGGGGGACTACGTGGATTATGAACTGCGGGAATGGAACCGCGAGGGTGTCATTCGGGTTGAGCTCACTTCAGAGGACCCGGATGTCAGTCTTTTTGCTAGCCCGCTAACCCGTCGCCAGCAAGGTCGTCCCAGGGCAGACATGCACGTTTGGGGGGATTTTTCGAGCCGCTTTCCCAAGAAGTTTGAGCTCCGACCTACGAATGTGGCCCTGGAAGGGACCGAGACATTATACGTATCAGTCTCGTCAGACTCTCAACCCAATGATGGTAGTTCGCTCTCTCCATCGCACTATCAACTGCGAATCACCGTAAATGCCCCAGAAGCCCCTGGGCATGAGAACGGTACGGAAGAGCTCCACGAGCCTGGCGATGTACAATGCAAGAATTGCCAACAATGGGTCCCCGAACGGACCTTGGTTCTACACGAGAACTTCTGTCTCCGAAATAACATCCTTTGTTCGCAATGCAATGTTGTCTTCCAGAAGAGATCCGAAGAATGGCAAAATCACTGGCACTGTCCCCATGACTCAGATAGTGGCAATGACGCCTCAAGCAAGCAAAGACACGACGCGATATATCATCAGACCTACCAGTGCATCGACTGTGATTCAGCTGCCGAGGGACTGCCGGCTCTCGCCCAACACCGCACCACAGACTGCCCTGGGAAATTGATCTTGTGTCAGTTTTGCCATCTCCTTGTGCCCCAGAAGGGGGAGTCTGACCCGGATTTCCACGATCCCGAGGTGATGCTCTCTGGTCTCACCCCGCATGAACTGGTAGATGGCGGACGCACGACAGAATGTCATCTGTGCAACAAGATCATCCGACTCCGGGACATGAACACCCATCTCCGCCATCACGACCTGGAGCGTTCCTCTCGACCTACACCTCGCATTTGCCTGAATGTAAATTGTGGACGCACAGTGAGTAAGCACGGCAACGACACGCTCGGCCTCTGTGGATTTTGCTTTGGGCCGCTTTATGTCGACACATTTGACCCAGAAGGCAAAGCGCTGCGGCGCCGCATCGAGCGCCGCTATCTTTCCCAGATGATGACCGGATGTGGCAAACCGTGGTGCCAGAACAAATACTGCAAAACAGCGAAACAGAACATAGCATCTGAATCTGGTCCTCCAACACTGAGTGTTGCGGAAATGATGAAGCTGACCAAACCCCTCGCCGATACACTCAACACTAAACCGGATGCTTCCAACTCGGAGGCTTTGTACTTCTGTGTTGATGAAACAAGTCAGCAGCGCCGCAATTTGGCAGAATTGATCGCGGCAGACACCGATGACAAAACATTTGGACTGCCATGGTGCATTGCTGGAGTTGAAGCTGCTGCTGGTGATTTGGAAAAGTCAAGAGAATGGCTTTCCAAATGGGCACCGACCCGCAGTGACACCCGGTGAAGTGAACAGACGTTGTATAGATGAGAAAGCAGTCTAGGTTTGGCATCACGGAGGTTCACATTGGAACGTCCACAAACTTAACGCATAATGAGCTACAATAGAATTCATAATATTCATGATAAGATGCAAATGCCAGACCCAAGACAGTATCCTAGACTTTGCGACCATTAATTTACATGGTGTCTGCAGGGCAGCGGCGGTAGAGTCTAGTGCTCTTTTCAAGCTGCACCCGTTTTCGCGGCGAGCGAGCCAGAGCCACGAGAAGAGAAGATGCCCATGATCCCAAAGACCACATAGAACAAGGCCAGCGGGTAGGCTACCAGTCCCCGCATCCCACTCATGCGTGCCACCGCACAGAACATGCCCGAGGAGCTGTAAGTACACCAGCCAACGGCGGCAATGGTCAGCAGATATCCGAACAAGGTATCCATCGGGACAAGGATGCCAATCAGACTTGTAAGGACCAAGGGGAGGAAGCAGTAGCCCAGAACACTGGCGGACCGAGGGAAGGTCAGGGTAGCGGAGAAATGACCGGCAGTGGAGGCGTTGGACATGGAAGGTTTGTGGTGAGGGTTATAGTTGTTAGGGTCGGCGGCGTTGGGGGTGGAAGCTGTGTCGAGGGCGGGGGACATGAGGCTGAGAATCATGTGCAAGGCAACGGTGCCAAAGACCGCCACGCCGTAGATATAACCATAGAAGACCTTTCCGGAGAGGAGCAGGAAAGTACCGTACAGGACGATGTAAAGCAATGCTCCGTAGAGATCACTATCGTCCATAAGATGATTATCGATCGAAGCAAAGGGATTGAGAACGGTCAAAGTCTAGAGATCAACACTCCCGTTAGCGATGCGCGCAAAGCGGGAATTGCACTTCTCTCCGAGAACCAGCGTACCTTGGTGCGGATATGTTCAAAGTTGACCCCTAGCTCCTCGAGCAACGGCGGCTCCCCGTCATACCCCTCCGTGCCAAACGCAGCTAACCAACCGGTTCTCAGGCCGCCTTGGTCGCCCATGCGTCCACTGACGCCAGCGGCCGGTGATCCGAAGCCATACGCGCCGGCAGCTGGATAAGCCTGTGCGGAGGGATTGGGAGCGGCCCCGAATCCGGCACCATACGATGCTTGTGAAGGGGTCGTGTGGCCAGAAACAGAGGAGTAGGACGAGGGGAAGAACTGGAGGTTTTGTGCGGAGCCTTGAGGGGCGTAGCCCTGTTGTTGGGGGTAGTATTGAGCCATTGCCGTGGCGGCAAGAGAGGAGAGAGCACTGTAAGTGCCGTCGTGAACTGATCTGAGGCGTACGTGCGGACGGAGACCTGGTAAGCTCCAAATGGCCTCTGAACAATGCGGGATTATGTAATATGGGCCCCGACCAATTGACAGGGGGTGGGCCTACTTCCTACTCCCAGCATAAAACTACTAGTACTGCCTACATAGGTATGTATTCTCAACGAGATACGGAGTATGGCTGATAATAATATGCATTTGGCTGTGGAGATATCGGTTAACTATAATGATATGGTTGAAGTAAAAAATCAACTTCGCAACTAAAGGAAGTTGATGCCGATTCCCAGCTGCAAGCCCTTGCGGCCTTCTTCGCCCTTTCGCAGCACCAGGGGCAGGGAGAAGTTCAGCTCGAAGCGAGCGACAGGGTGGGCATAGACAATTCCGAACCCTGCCGCAACGCTGGGCAGACCATTCTGTAGTTCAGAGAGAGTAGAGACCATGGCATCCTGCACCTCGCCATTGGTGGTAGGAGCGGCTTTTTGAGAGGTTTGAAGAGAGAGCAGGCGGCCACCGTTCAGGAAAGCCTGGAAGCGAACGGGTTTTTCGGCTCCGAGACGAGGGAGAGGGAACAGCAAGTTGGCACTACCGGCGGCATAAACATCTCCGCCCAGGGAGTCAACTCCCTCGCGGGGGCCAAGGCCACAGAGGCGGAATCCGCGGACATCGGTGGGTCCTCCGAGCTGGAAACGATCGTTGACCCGAGAGAGCTGGGGTCGAGAGTTGGAGTCAAGTCCCAAGGGGTAGAGGAGGCCGGCGCGGAATCCAGTAGTAAAGCTGACACCGCTGTCGCCTTTAATTCCAGGGATGGGGATGGGGACGGCACCTTGTGTTTCGATCTCGGACTTGAAGAAGGAAACATCACCTTTGAGGGGACCAAATCCAGCCAGCTCGTTGAAGATCTTGGTGTAGTACCCGCGGGATGGGAGAAGGGCATTGTCACGCTGGTCATTGACCCAGCTGTGGAAAATGCTACTCTTCACACTGTCGCCAGCATCCGCACGGACAGTGGGAGAAGCGTTCTCAGCAAGACCGGTAAGTTGTCTCCAGAACCCGTTGTAACCCAGTTCATGACGGTGGCCCGACTTGGACATCCAACGGAGCTTGCTCCAACCGCCTTTCAGCACCTCTTCGTGGCTCGCCCAGGATTTCTGCGTGGAGCTCGCAATGCCACCAACTTCCAGACGGAAGTCGGGGTCACCCAAGATTGGGGTTTCGAAGGCGGCCTGGTACGCGGACCGGGTGCGGGTACCGAGAGAGGCATTCAGATTCAGAGTCTCGGCGCCACCGAAGATGTTGCGCCAGAGAAGGTTACCATACGCAGAGCCCTCGGCATTTCCAAGATCGGTTCCAGTCTTCAGTAGCACGCGGGACTTCTCGCGCGTGGCCAGGTACACGTCGATGTTGCGCATTCCATTTTGACCCTTCGACTCGTCCAAGTAGACCGAGATAGGCTGGTGGAACAGGTCTGTGATAATGTCAGTTACACTCGTGCTACACTGCCACTTCGCACATGTTCCTACCGAATCGTCCAAGCTTATCAGCAGTAGCCGATATCTCCCGCAACGCCTCAGCCAATGTATGGGGCCGACCCTTGTTGGCACTCAAAAGCGGGTTCAAGTTGCGCTCCAGGAAGCTTCGGCGAGTGTGGGGTGCATTGGTGACTTGAACGGAGGAGATGGTACATGGCAATGTGGAGTTCTCGTCGATCTGATGGGCGGCAGATTCACGGTTAGCCGGTCTATCCCGCAAGTTCAAATGACACTGCCATTCAAGGATTCTAGATGTTAAACAATCATACCAATTCTCCCAGACGGCTTTGAGCTTTCTGGTAAATAGCTCGCATGCGCTCATTCACGGCTTGTTGTTGCTCTTCCTGGACCTTGGGGTCTGCGCGCTGTTGCAGACGCTCGAAGACCTAAAAGGGTAGCAATGTCAGCGAGGGTGGGATACGCATGGGCTAGTTGGAGCAGAATCATACAGTTTCATCTCCGGCACCAAATTGAGCCATTCTCACTGCGACAATGGCCAAATATTTGGGCCAGAACACTTTGCTTCGGAACATCTTGATGCGCGCCGAGTCCGGGCGTTCAGTATGTGATCACGTGATGTGCGGGAGACATCCATCGTCCCCGGGGCCAGCGTTCTGCAACTTCTAGACCTGCTCTCCTCTCCTCTCTCTCTCCTCATTTTCAGAGCTGCTCCTGAGCTGCACTTGCGCTACATCAACTCCAAATCTACGCTCGCTTTAAATCCATCCACATACCCGAAGATGGCCACAAAAGCGGCATTCAAACGAGTATGTGGCAAGAGCCCCATGGATCTTCACGGTCTAACACTACTATAGCTCACCCGTGAATACCAAAACATCCAAAAGGATCCTACTCCCTTTATTGTCACGCATCCTTCTGAGACAAACATCCTAGAGTGGGTGTCATCCCCCACTTTGCAGGAGGCGCAAAACTGATCTGCTTCAGATGGCACTACATCCTCACTGGACCCCCGGGCACACCTTATGAAAGTGGACAGTACTGGGGTACACTGATCTTCCCCCCAGAGTACCCCTTTGCCCCTCCTGCCATCCGTATGCACACCCCCAGTGGTCGATTCCAGCCCTCGACACGACTTTGTCTCAGCATCAGTGACTTCCACCCGAAATCTTTCAACCCCGCCTGGGAAGTTTCCACAATCTTGATCGGCCTGCTTTCATTCATGACCAGTGAAGAGATGACCACAGGAAGTGTCAGTGCCACCGAGAGTGAACGCCGAGTGCTTGCTGCGCGATCTCGATGGTGGAACTCCACCGGGGGAGGTTCTCATGTGAGCGCCACCGCAGGAGTCACGCGAACGGCCAAGGGGATCAACAATGTGAAGGCCGGGGATGGAGGCCTCAAGTTCCGCACCGAATGGCCTGAGCTGGACCAAGAGAACTGGGAGTGGATGAAGGAACACCGCATCGACTCCGCCACCGGCCAGATCTTGCCCGACCCCAATGCGCCCACCAAGTGCTCCCCGGAGACGAATGCTTTGCGGCGACGACCTGTCGGCAGTGCGCCTGGACTCGGCGCGGTCATGGATGGGCAGGTTGCGCGGGAGGCGGGTTGGGCCGGACGAAACAAAGTGTGGATTGGGGTTGCTCTCTTCTTTGGTTATGCGCTGCTCTCACGACTTTTGAACGATGTATGGGCCTGAACCACTAGTATACCCCCTTTGCGATTTGTCCCGGACTTGGTCTTTGTTCCTTTTTTCTCTAGTCTGTCTTAGCGGGTTTCACATCATACCAGGGCGCAGTTAGACAATATACCTATTGAGTCGAGTATTTGGAATGCAATTTCATATGAAACCCCGTAGTCCGGCATTGTTACACCGTTGGCCACCGGATCATCTCGACGCTTTGCGCTGGATTGGGCTTGTGCTCACCCCGCGCATTGGCAACGTAACTATCTTTCTCTTCTAAATCCGCCTTCTCCCACTGCATAGTCTTTTTCCACTTCCTTCATTGGGTGTTTGTCTTTGGTCTTGGGAGTATGGATGATCTGCAGCCGTTCACCTTTGCGGGTTCCTCTCGGCATGCCCCTTCAGGTCAGTGCTTTTCTGATAGCCCAAACTGGCATATGAACCTCGCTGGAGAGAACCTTGGAAGCCGCGTTTCTGGGCCTCTCATTTGTTTATAGACCTTTCACGGAGGCCTGTCAGAGTTGCACCGTGCCTCGATTGACAAGGATTCGGCCCGTTGTCAGAGGCCAAGGCTGAACTTCTCCAACTAGAGCACAAATCGAAGCCTGCGCCGCTAGATCGGCCCTCGTTCACTTTCATCGATCACGACGATGATTTGACCTCCAAAAGAATCAAGGATGTCAATGCGCGGAAGGCGATTCGATCCCATGTTATGCGTGATGTGCGCCGACGGGAGAGATTGGCTGGGTTGAAACGCACCTCGCGACAAAATCGGGGACAGACTGCCTCTAAGGCTGTTGGCAACACGAATGAGCAGAGCTTGGTTCTACGGACGTCGTCTCAACCATCCGACGCTGTTCTGCTGGACGACCCCGAGAGTCTCTTCCCGGCAATACGTCAACGGGGACGTCCAGACAGATGGAGTGCTGGGTATCCTTTGCCTCTCTCCTCGACCCCCAATCCACCAAGAACCTGGTTCTTCGATCCTTTCTTTACGTTTCCGGGGACCGCTAAAACAGCCTCGGTGGTTGCACCTTTGGTATACTACTGTAGGTGGTATCTCGAGCCTGCCGTGGTGAGCTCAGTACCCTTACAAGAGTAAGGCTAACCCCAGGATGCAGGGAAGACAGTGTTTGTCCCCATGACATTCCCCAACACAAGCAAAGACGGAACCACGGAGATGGAACTGATGGCCCGAACATCCTTCTCGGACCCAGGCAGTTTCTTCGGTCTGATGAGCATGTGCGCCGCACATCGAGCCGTAGTTGCAAGCCAGAATTCGGGTGTATTCGATTCCGAAAGTGGTCGAGAGGCTTTGCTGGTGAATGATCCTGACTATTGCATGATGAAGGCAATGTCCTTTCAAGAGATGAGTGCCAAGGTACGGGATCCGACCCGCCGTCTCAGCAACGAGGCTTTTGATACCATTATCAACCTTCTCACCGGTTCGGTATGCACCCCGCACACTATCAACACATGACATGGCTGACATACGCCAGCTCATAGTCGGCGAGTTCAGCGAAGTTCATACTCACTTGACAGGGCTCAAACGGATGGTTGACATGCGAGGGGGAATAGCCGATGATAGCATTCGCTCTTCCTCTATGCTGTCTGCCATTATCACGTAAGATATCTCCAAGCTCGCTCATTTCATCTCAGCCTGACCCTTGTTCAAAGTACAGATGTCAAAGCCGCCTCCGGCCTCATGACCAAGCCAGTCTTTGATTTGACCTGGGACGCCCAGCCAATCCCACCGGATATCCAGGTGCGAATCAGACCGCCGGCGTTGTCACCCCTTCATCGTCTAGGGTCAGCTTTCTTTTCCAACGGGCTGCTCAGCCCCGCTCTTCTTCAGATCTTGCATGTAATCCGAGACATGGTCTTTTTCAGTATCACCCAACAGACTAATCCAACGGTGATTCAAGACAATGACCAGGACTTCTTTCGTGTCCTGAACTGCGAAGCCGAGCATCAGCTTCTCAGTTATATTTACACGGACGGTGTCCTCAACCCGAAGGTTAACCTTCACCCCATGGAAGCCGTTGTCAGAGTAGCTTCCATCTGTTTTCTCAACCACCTTCTGATCGTCTCGCCTTCGTCATCTGGCCTAGGCCGAGCCCTCACCAAACATCTGAAAACGGCAGCTACTAATTGTAGTTTCTCGTTTCTGCTAGGCTTGCCCAAAGAGAACCTCCAACTCTATGCTTGGGTGTTGTTCATCGGAGCCCAGGGCTCTTTGGGCCATCTTGAGAGACCATGGTTTGTGGAACGTCTAGCCCGGGTCTCGATGATCTGCGGATGGCAGTCCTGGGAACACGTCTCTATGATGATGGCAAACTATTTCTTAATTGATTTTGACAGTTTGAATTGGCGTTCGATCTGGGACGAAGCAATGACCGGGTTTGTGCTGTCTGAGTCGGAGGAATCGGAATTCTCATATCTCCTTGGAACAGACTTGAGTTCAGTTTAGCTATGGGCTGTCTTACAGCAGGTAATGATAATGAAGTCTTGAATGGTCTGCGATGAGGTTTATACTTCGGATTGTCCTATCACGTGGCAGCTTTATGTCATCAGGGAAAAATTATCGGATCTTTTATCGTCTCCCGAGCCTCCGTCCTGATCTACACTGCGTTGTTTTTTTCTTTCTTTCTTTCTTTCTTTCTTTGTTTCACTGTTTCTCACCATGGGTTGGTTTTGGGCTGATACTCCGAGTCCTGCGGTTATTCCGCATGCGCCCAGCGCATCCCCTCCGGTTTGTCTCGGACATCCCTCAGACCCGATCAAGACTGACCCTTATCTACAGCCGGGATGCCCGATGCACGAAGCAGGCGCGAAGCCTGCCCCAACATTGGCTGCTGAGCCCCCTAGCAGCTGTCCCATGAAATCCAAAGACTCCCCATTCTATTCGGCCCCGCCATCAACACCAGAGGCGCCGCAGCCACCCGTCGCGCAACCGCCAGTCACGCAACCTTCAACACTGTCGAAGCTGAATCCTTTAAACTACATGTTCTCTTCGATCTCTCAAGAGCGCGCGGCCAACCAGACTGTTGATCTTCCAGTTGAGCGCGAGCCCTCTTCTATCCCAAGGGGCGACGGCGGAGGCAACTGGGAGTATCCATCCCCGCAACAGATGTACAATGCCATGCTGCGCAAAGGGCACACCGACACCCCCCAGGATGCAGTCGAGTCCATGGTGGCAGTCCACAACTTCTTGAACGAGGGTGCCTGGGATGAGATTGTTTCCTGGGAGCGTGTGTTCAGCAAGGGCCTCAAGGCTGGATGGCAACATTGTCGACGCGGCGAGGAAAACCTAAGCAACGATCTGATATATGCCGACGAGAACGGCAAATTCAACGATGCCACCCCGCCTAGTCTGCTGCGTTTCCAGGGTCGCCCACAGGAATGGTCGCCCAAGGCCTCAATCTACCAGGCTCTGAGCTGGGCGTATCCGACCAAGTTTGGGTAGGTTCTCCATGATACGAGATTTGTGGTGGCATGCTGACTTCGATTGACAGGACGAGCCCTCCGTTCGATCGTCATGACTGGTACGTTGTTCGCCAGACCCCCGATGGTCCCAAGGAAATTCGATACGTGATTGATTACTACTCCGCGGACCCCGACCCTCACGGACTCCCGGTTTTCCACCTTGACATCCGACCTGCTATCGACACCCCCACGGCGGCGGCTGAGAGACTCATGCGGTGGGGAGGTGATGTTTGGTGGAGAGCTAGCGGCGCCAGTGCCCGCGAGCAAGCCTCTCAGGCTTAAGCAACACAAAACCCTGCAAAATGCTTCTCACTCCCCTCTGTATAGTTCCAACATGGCGCCGGCGTTCTCGTGGCTTTGGCTCATGCTTGTATAATGCTTTTTTCTTCTCTCCCGAGGTCCTGTCTTAACAATCTTTGTTTTGCCATTTGGTCTATGGCAATAGACGCATGATAACGATATCTTTGCATTAATTTATTTCAACTTCCTTCTCTTTCATAGTATGTTCAAATGGCCTGCATCTCCTACTTAGCCACTGGCAATCAGTCATAACCTCTTGAAGTTCGTGTCAAGAAAGCAAGCATCTATGGTACAAAATCTAAACAAATGTTCTTAGATATTAGGCGACAGTTGGTCATACTTGACGCACTGTTCGACACTCTCGATGCTGGCCTGCAGCAATCCACGAGCTTCCAAGCCAACCCAGACCCAGAGCATCGAATAGTCGCCCGACTGCACGGAGTCCATAAATGTACTTCCGGATCCAAGTTGTCGTAGGATGGGGAGGGCACTAAATACCGATCAGCTTCGAACCGACCGACGACAGGGCGACTCGCACTCACCTCTTGAATAAGTCAAGGTCTGGGTCCAGACTCCGTCCGATGCCCTCGAGCAAAAGACAAGAAATGACGACATTGACGAAGTCCCCCTCGAATCGGACGTGATGACCGCGGACCATTGTCAATACTTCGCTGAGAATATCTCCAATCTTGACACTGCCAAGAGCAAATGTTCGGGATTTGATGCTTAGAACCAGATGCTGCATCTTCAGTGCAAAAATCTCTGGGTCAAGGACCTCCTCCGGGGTGCGACACCTCTCGACCATGAGATGGCCGGCCCTGTAACCGTCAAATTCGGCGATCGACCGGAAGAGATCCAGGAAATTCCGGCGGTTAGTCTCGTTGAGCTGAGTCACCAGGCCAGTGTCGATGAAGATCAGCTGTGGCCTGTATCCCTCGTCATTAAGTTCAGCAAGAGCCGTCTCCCAGTCTTTGGGGCTCTTCAGATGTGGACGCAGTCGCTTGAGAACGGCCTCTGTAACGTCAACCTCAGCTCTCGTCGGAGCATCAAAGGCACGTGAATGCTTGCGAAGGGAGAGATCCAGTTCGTTTGGTTGGTAGAAGCGGACCATGATATTGCCCGGATGAAGATCAGCGTGGACAAAGTTGTCAATGAGTAACATATGCAAAAATGCGTCGAGGCCTTCATTAGCGATCTCGTGCTGATAAACGCCGCCTCCGATATCTAAAAAGGTGGCCAACGGGATGCCCTGGGCGAATTCTTCGACCAACACCTGACGGGTGGTGTATTCTAAATAAGGGTAGGGGAACCAGGCCGCTGTGCGCGACTTGAACTTCTGTCTGAACATTACCAAGTTGGTTGCTTCGATCCGGAGGTCCAGTTGTAGCTTCATCATTTCCCCGAACTGCTGCACCTCATCTGGGAAGGACAGCCAGTGCATCGTAGGTATGATATCGATCATATGGGCAAAGAATGACATGATGCGTAGGTCTCTATGGATCATCTGCTCCACTCTAGGATGCTGAACCTTGATCGCAACATATGAGGACGGGACTCGCTGCGGAGAGCTCTTGACCAGTACGTCGACATTTTTCCGGACCTTCTCCCCAAGTGTCGGTGGCTCCACGTCTAGTTCCTGGTCCCTGGATGCGGCCAGGCTCGGCTTTAGCTTCGCTTTGTAGACCTGGGCTATCGCCCCCACGCCAAGGGGTTCCTCCTGGAATTCCTCGAAGATGTCCTCGAACGGCAATCCATTGAAAGCCTTGCGGATGATGCGTTTCGTCTGGTGGAGGGAATGGGCGGGGGCGTTCGAGTGTAGGGATGACATTATGCTGCACATTTCGGGAGGGAAGATATCTGTACGCGATGCGGCCCATTGCCCGAGCTACTCCAATCAGAGGGTCAGCTCAGTCTCTAACGGAGGGCTTGGATCACTCTTACCTTTATGAACGCAGGACCGGCCCGCTCCATCGCTTTGACCAAGAACCGATACCACCACAGCGTGCCAGACCGGGCACCGCCATGATCTTGCAGTTTTCGGCCGATCCAAATGGCCGGGACTGTGACGACGACAGGGACGAAGATGACCGCCAGATGAGCAAATCTCAAACCGGTTGCAATCGGATCGTACACATAGTGGTAGAAGTAGACCCACAGCGTCTGGCAGAGCTTCGAAAGGCCATGCGCGTCGGGTGAAACGGTTTTACGGACCTCTTCCCGTGAAGCTTCCAGCATCTGCATTTCCGCCGTCTTGTCCTTTCCGTCATTCTCTTCAGCGAGTTTGAGGAATGCCGCCGGTCCCAGGGTGGCCATGAACACCCCGCCTATGATGGGAGCCCTGCGCGGGCTGTGGTGCCGAGGCCATGGGATATGTCGGCGCGGGACGCGCTTGAGGCATAAACGGCCGAGTAAACCGACCGCCCTCATGTTCTTCATGCAATATGTGCTAACATGGAAATGTATGCTGTGTATACAGTAGTCTCCAGCAGCCCAGGAGAGACGGGAAGCCAAGGCACGTGCAAGGCCCGACGTCATAATCTCGGCTCGGAACATCAAGGATCTATACTTGTAGTCTAGTAGACGACAACTTACCTATGTAGGTACATAGGTAGTTAACTCCAGGGCTATCTATAGCGAGCACGCGAGTTCATCTTTCTAAGTAATTAGTAATCACGCAAATAGATATTGAGATGTGAATATGTAGGTATCATAATTCTATATCAACTTAGTCTATCGATCCCGAGGTCGAGTATCACAACCTCTCTTAGGCTCAATATTCATCTCTATCCACAGAGAGAAATCAGACCAAGGGAACCTAGATGACTGAGCCAACAGTCTGCTCTGTACTTACAGGTATCGGCATCGCCACGCCAAGTCCGAAATCGTCACATTCCGAAGCTCACTACCGCCACATTCCTCTTCCGCTTGCCGCCCTCACCAAATCCGGAAACCCCAAGTTTGGCGATCATATGTAATAGCGGATTGAATGCTGGGGTTGGTGGCCCTCCGAAAACAGCAACCGTCTGATTCCAACAACCGGGGAAATGGCTTTGGGAGGCATTAAATGGGGACATCCCCAGAAACTCGCCTGCGCTTCCCCGAGACACATCAATGGCACGGGAACTGTTAATCAGGGGTCGCACCCGAAACCTCCGCGATGTGGAATCCAATAGCGAGAGAAAGTCTTTCTGGCGCGATTGGACATTGGTTCTTCTGTGGAGTGTTGTAGGATATGCTTGTCTCATCTTCACGGTGCTGGCGTTCTTCAATCCGCGTCTGGTCCATTTCGACATCTCATCCTTGCTATTTCGGAAGGAAATTTCTCCCTTCTTTGCCTTCTCACAGGCATCGGCCCATTACCCCAAGCCACAGGGATTCAAGATAGTGGCTTTGGTGCCCTATCACAATCATGAGCGAACTGCAATCTTGGACTGCTACTTGCAGGTCAGACGCCTTCCAACAATTCTCACAGATCCAACACTAACGGGCTTACAGAACAACTTGGTCCAACACGAGGGATTCCTTGATCAGGTCGTCTTCGTGCCGCAGACCGAAGACCCCACCAGCATTCAATGGCTGTACTCGATCATTAACCAGACTCCCGAGTACACCGTCGCTCCACCAGGAGACGACGGTGAATGGGAAGTCGCCGGCAATGTAATGTACATCCGGATCGATGGCGATACAGTCTTCCTGGAGGACAACGCCATTCCCACCATCGTCAAGACCAAACTCGACAATCCAGACTCGCTGGTAGTCTCGGCCAATGTCGTGAATGAAGCAGCTCTCGCATCTCTGCATAGCCATCCAGGTGTCGCTCTCCCATATCTCCCAGAGCTGCATCGCGCAGGGCAGCCGTCGCGATCGAAACCACAACCTGATGACGATTGGCGGCCATCAAACCTGCCCCGCTGGCAAGGTCCTCCAAGCTTCAAAATTATACGAGGGTTCGAACCGCCATTTGGAGGGCACCGCTGGCTGCTCTCCCATGATCCAAGCTCCAATCGCGATCCGATTGCAGCCTCGGTATACACCGACACTGGCCCCACATTGGATGACTGGACAGTGGGTGCCCAGCAGCATTACTCGTTTTTGCACCACCTGGAAGACAATGACCTGGGCCATTACAAATTCCCTCTCTGGGTCAATCCCAGTGAGCCCATCAGCCAGCATTTTGGGTGCTTCTGGGGCAATGATGCAGCGGCTGTGCGCAACACTTTCAACGGCACTCGTTATTCATCTCAGCACCTGTCAGACGAAACCCGCCCGCAAGTCATCATTGATGGCAAGGGCATTGCGGTGCACTACTCGGCGGAGCAAGCTGCGGCGGGATTGGATGCCACCGACCTCATCACTCGTTACCGCGCATTTGCGCGGGAGAAGGTGTGTCTGCAAACCGAATAGTCTTACAGGTCTTGGTGGATGGGTGTTTGTACATACAACCTAATGATTTGTTATGAAGCTGGCGCATAATGTGGGGGTTTACGGCGCATAGTTATGCTCAAATTGGGAGCTTGTCCGTCTTATTAAAACACCTCATTTTGTTCATTTGCCGTGTGTGCTTTGGGGGGCTTGTACCCGCTCGTCATGTAGTTTCTTCACATCAGTCATCCGATAATGCAGTACGGTGAATGCCGTTCTCTAAGCCTCGGCAGACGCTTTCAAAAACCGAGCATGAGACTTTGCTAGATCCTCTAGGAATCCTCTGTATCCCTCAGGAAGTGCTCCGGACTGATGCATTATTAGTAAAGTGGCAAATGTCAGCTGAGAATCGCAAGCCTACCTCGTTCTTTAATAATCCCTGCACAAGTACGAAAGCATTCTCCCGATCCTTGGCTACTTGCGACTTGTCAATTTCCTTCTGCTCTCCTGTCTCTTCCACTTGAACTTGATCCGATGCTTCTGCGCTCAATGCCGCCTTTAGAAGCTCGGTAACCTCGGTCTTGTGTAAGCATTCCACAACGGCAGAACATCCCTTTGGATCAATTCCCATCAAAGCGAGAGCAAACCAGCCTTCGCTGCGTACGACAGGCCACTTGGTTTGAGTGATCATCGCGCCTATAGGCATTGCAACGCCGTCGTGTAGCGTGAATAGTCGGTCTAGCAAATCTAAAGCCTTTGAATCCCCACCGCGGCCCATAGGGCTTAGAGTCCGACAGATCGAGGCGACTGTGCGGCCGATCTCAGTCTTGATAGGCGTAGAGTCTGTCTTTTCGAACAGAGACAAAAGCAGAGAAAGGTAGGTCCGTTGGTGAGCCGGGGAGTCCGGGTCCTGTGAGAGGGGAGCGAGAAGATGAGAGATGTTGTCCACAGAGGAGATGGTCACCTGGCGGGCAATACTAGCTGCGGAGAATTGAACCTGTGGCACCGACTCGTACGCCCATAAGCGCGAAACGGCAGGAATGATACCAGCTTCCCCAAGGGCAGCCCTATTATCACTAGCAATAGCCAGGTTTTTAAGGAAACCAAGTGAAGAGTGCAGAACTGCGCCGCGAGAGTCCCCGTTGAGAACCGAAATCAGTTCTTCGTGGATTTTAAGTTCACGCACCATCACCCGGCAAACCTCATCAGATCGAGCCAAGTTCCCCAGCATGACGCAGGCACAGATTTGAAGCTGGTCCTCTGATGCTACGACCCACGACTTCAGGGTATGAGAGAGAGGGGAATCGAGGGGGTAGTTTTCAGCGAACAATGGGGATGCTGAGACTTCAGCCAGAGCCTGGTTGGTCTTCAAGCGAAGCTGGGCAGCAGCCTTGACATCTTCGGCGGAGGATTGGTCCACCTCGACGGAGAAGGAACGGCGTAGAACATCTAGCACGCCCTCCACCATCTTGTGGGACACGCATACATTCTGGAATTTTTCCTTTTCCAAGTATGCGGCCAGTGCAGTTGCCAATGAAGAGAAATGACCGAACTCGAGGCCCTCCACGATGGCAAGTTGCATTAACAATAAAATGGTTCCATCGGGCGAATTTTCGATACCATCGGCTGGGATATTCGTGTTAGAACAGGATGCTGTGTGTGAGGTAGAACACACCTTGTTCCGAAGCCAACTCAATTAAATCGTAGGCAAAATTTAGCAAAGCCTCGTTATCCTCAATGGCCCCGTCTTTGATCAGTTTCAACAAAATGTAGGCTGTCCGGTTAACAGCTATCTGAGCGTGTGCCGGTTCTGTAAGCGCGTTAGTGATCTCCGTTGTCACTATCATCTCTTCCTCGAGTCCTACCGTAATCCATGCAGATGTTATAAATGACTGGAATAGCAACAAAGACCAAGTCCGGGTCCAGGAAGTACCGAATGATAGCAAGTGTGTAGTTTCCTTCAACAACGATCTCCCTGTTCTCATCTACATCAAGATTAGCTCCGGGCTACTCACCCAGGTAGTTCAGACATACTGGTATCCGCACAGGAGTTTCCAATTACCCGCAAGGAATGAAGTAACAGGTTGGATTCCACCTTGTCTTTCGACGAAATCACATCCAAGAAGAACTTCAACACTCCCGACTGGCCGAAAGGCACACGCCATGAAGCTAGACGATTGTTATTAAATGCCTCAGCTGGTGCATGGAATTAACTCACGATCTCTGCTTCCGTTTGCAATGATCTCGGCGGCCTGAACTAGATACTGAGACTCACACGCCCACAGCCTATGCAGGATTTCACAGACGCTTTGTAGAGTTTGAGCATTCCGGTAGCCCCGTTTCGAGCTTGCCTCTGCTTCTTCCAGAGTGCTGTGAAGCTCTTTCAGATCGAAGGCGTTCTCCGCCTCGGCCTGAGCCTGCTCAATGATGTTTCGCAGATTGTGGAACATCTCCTGTTGCTTTGAGAGATCAATTGTCTCCGTGCGGACTTCCAACGCGGCAACTGTACCAGGCAACTCCTGGAGAACCTCTCTGATAGAAGGTAGTTCCACATCCTTGCCGTGAGTGGCACTATGGCCGATAGATATAGCCTGAGAAGACATGTGAAATCAGAGCGGGAGGATCCCAAGACCCCGGATTCCAGCGCAGATTACCCAATTGGGAAAGGCTTAGGGAAATAGATGAGGGAGCCTAGATGGCAGCCTTCAGGTGAACGCGGTGGGGACTGAATCTGAAGCACCGCAGTATCAATGGCTCACCGTAGGCACCCGGAGGGGATTTTAGAGGGGTGGGGTGCCCGTTGTCTCAGGCAGCAACCTCGTTTAGGCTAGGCGGATATGATCTCGCTCTCTTCTCTTCTCTTCTTCTCTTCTTCTCTTCCAAGGTTCTCTTCTCTCGGTACGGAGTACCTTGTAGATCAAATGGAACCGATGAATGAGTAGTGAAGCAGATGAGCAGGACAGGGAGACCAAGGCGAGATCACGTGTCTTATACTAAGGGGTATACTACTTGTATCGGAGAAGACTGCCCAGGTCAACGTTATTGCCAATACTCTTATCTTCAGCCCAAGTCGTATAGAAGCTGCAATTCATATACCCTTCGGCAGATATGGAGTACTGATCGAAGGGCCGTCCAGTACGCTCTGCCCAAGTGCGGAGGTCGGAGGACGAAGACGGGGGGTCCAGTGACCGCCAAGAAATGCATCCCCCAAGCTGGCCTCTGCCGCATACCATCAAGATCCCCCAAGTCCCTCATTTTCGCTTTCACAATTGACCTCTTTTCTCTCCTTGGTGAATAACTGACCCTTTTTGTCATCATGACACGCGCTCTCCAGACCCTCTCTGTCCTACTCCTGGTCTCCTCCGTATGAATGCCCCCAGACGCCCTCTTGGGACATCGCTGACAATGGACCCAGCTCTACTTGTCTCTCTTCCTGGGTCTTGTGCCCCTGAATGATACAGTCCAAACCGAAATTATTCCTGTGGTGCGTACATTTGCATCCGGAATCGAACTGTGCCGACAGCTAACCCATACGCATTCTAGCTTCCCTTCTACGCCCTGATTGTCTTTGCCTGCTACCTTCTCGCTCGCCTGGGTGTCGCGATTCTCACTTTCAACGACGTTCCCGAGGCTCACGCCGAACTCCAGAAGGAGATTGAACAAGCCAAGGTGGAGCTGCGCAAGGGCAAGGTCGAGGTCGACTAAATGCGCGGGCTTGCATCGCGCGGACCCCTCGGACACTCGATCAGCTCGGCGGGCTGAGTCGGAGGCTGGACGCACGATTCACACATACGCCCATATAATACACGACGCTGCCCCGTTGCTCAATACAATCTTCTTTTTGATACCCGTTTACAATGCCACGCTTTACGGTCCAAGCCCACGTCCATTCGAGTACAAGCAGCTTCAATTAAGCGTGGGGCAATCTGCCGATATGCCAAAAGGGGACAAAACTTTTCTATGGGAATTCATCAAGTAGATCGTAAAAAAACAAAAATCCGTGGTATGCGCGAGAATATCTCTCGAGAATACCGGGAAAGCGCCGTGCCAAATGATGCTAAGACAATGCAACCGTCTAGACGATGGGGTTCTCCTTGGCCAGAGCGTCGTGCTCATCAATGTCCCTTCATTGCCGTTAGTCATGATTGCGACGGGATGAGAGGGGGGGGGGAACGTACTTGGCCTCCCACGGGTAACAGATCCAGACATCCTTGGTGGTGACGGACGCGTGGTAGCGACCACTCTCCATCATATCGGTGGGCAGAACACCCTTCTTAGCCTTGTCCTTGTTCTATTGAAATTGTCAGCCGAGTTCACCTCCCACAGCGGTTCCCAAACGTACGTGCAGAACGAAGACGAAGAAGTTGGTCTTCTCGCCCTCACGGCCGAGCTGCTTCTGGGCAATCTCGACATCCTTCTGGAGCTCGCGCACGGCGTACTCGAGGGTTGTGCGGGTGTCATCGACCTCGTCCACGATCAAAATGTTCTTGCCGATCAGGTTGGCCATCTCGAGGGAGCTCATGTCGAGCCATTGGGTGCGGGTGACCTTGGTGCCGGGAACCTCCTCGGCATCGCCGCGACCGAGATCCTCGTAGAGGGAGAGACCGATGGCCTGGATGGGGATGTTGGCGTCGCCGGAGCGCTTGAGGAAGGATCTACGCGATCAGTATGGAGCACGTGCGTGGGGGACCTCGACATACCGAAGAATGCGGGCAGGGACGTAACCACCACCGCCGATAGCGATCATCAAATTGGGGTGGAAGTCCTTGAGGATCTGTTCGGCCGAGGTCTGGCACAACTTGTGGACCTGTTGATCGGTTAGACATTTGCGACCCTTTGCGGGGAGGTGCAGATCTCTGTAGAGATGACAGGGGAATCCTTACCTGGTTGTAAGTAACATAGAACTTTTGAGTCATTTTGGCGATGGTATGGAATTCAAGAAGGATCAACAAAGTCACGGAGAAAAAAAGGAAAAAACGAAAAAAAATATGTCGTCGGCCCGGTGCGGGGCGCTATCTCCGGGGCAGTTCTATACTTTCGTCCGCTTCTACCCTTTTACCCTGTATAGACTCATAGATCTCGATTCCAAGGTTGCATAGAATTTTGCAATTATAGAATTGTATATCTCATACAGGCATTGATCAGCACGTACTATATTTCAGACAGCACTCTTCAGTTTGAACATGATTCATCTAAGATCTGGCCACCAGCCTTGGGAGAAGCGGTTATATAGTTCCATCAAGGGTTGCCGAGGCAGTCCACCAGTACCTAGGTAATGACTGGAACTGGGATATTGATATTCTCTCGATCGGCAATGGCCGAAACGCTTCATTGATCTTCCAAGGTTGACAATCTTGGCTTCAGTCTCAGCTAGGAGCTTCGAGGCCCCTCTATTTCGTAACAGCAACTTTTGAGTGCGGCTCAGCAGTATCCGTAGCTCGGCGATATGTAGGAGCACGGCATGCCGAACAAGGGACACCCGCATCCTCGGGGCTCCGATCTGGCAGCGACCGAGCGAGATCACCCTGTCGAGCACTTCGTCGACTACACTGTGGCTCGAGCGAGGGGTCCTCGCTTCCAGCTCTGATTGACGGCCATGCACCATGAGGAATCTGGCCGCGTTTTCCACCACCAAGGTAAGTTGCTGGGCCAGGGTGGCAATGATAATCCCGTTTTCGACGCAGGCGTCGCATAGCTCGCACGCCAACACTTCTTCCAGGGTCTCCATGCCCCGTCCGAGTAAAGATAGTCAGCATATCTATCCCGAGTTTCTTGGTGTCGGTATTTGTGCCAGCTCCCTTCGCATCCAAGTTCTGCAGAGTCTGTGCCATCATGCGCAGACATTGGCACGAGGCACGCGAGCTGGTCGGTCGTAGACATCCCGATGATCCCTTGCTAGACTCGGCATAGTAGCTGGAGTTCGACCCCGAGGCGGTACCAGGGGATTGTAGCGTTACGGCAGTGGATCGCAAGACCATATCAGGGTCCACATCTGCGCTGTGGCCAGAGTACTCCGAGTGTCCCGAGTGCGTTTTGGAGAGGAGGTGTTGATTTAATGATTCAATTTCCAAGTCAAGTTCGAATTCGAATTCCCAGACCTGGTCTTCGACCCGACTTTTTGACTGGGCTCAGGGCATTCGAGTGTCTGGCATCACCAACGGACTGAGCCCCGCGTTCACGTCCGTGTTCCCAGGCGGCACAGCCCCATCGGCCAGGCCAAATGGCATCGGTGTTGACAGAGACCAAGTGGAGTGATCTGGACGAGTGGACTGGGTGTTGCCCGAGATCTCACCAGGCGCCAACCCCGACGGCGCGATCTCAGCATCGGCCATGATGAACAGCGAAGGGTCATACGTATCCCACTCTCTGTCGCCAAAGCCCGATGATAGCGGCAATGGACACTCGAGACGGGTGGCGCCGGGACTAGTCGATCGTGGCTTAGCCCGGGCCGGGGCCGCTTGGTGGGCGCTGGTCTATAGAACACTACGTTCCTCGGGCGCCGGAGACGGACTCCACTGGTATATGCATTTTTGAGAGCTGGCTTGACACTTCTTGCACCCGGTCTTGTCGCCACTGCATTTCAGATCGAATGCCAGTGCAACCGTTCCGATTGTGTGTTGATTACTACCTTTCGGTCCCGACATGACTTGCACCAAGATCTGGGCCGACCATTGCAGCAAGGCATTGAGTCAAACTGAGACGATCATCGCACCGTAACTTCTCAATGGATAGGGCTCTTTTCTTCTGGGTGAATTCTTTCGAGAGGAGAGGAAACGACACTCCGATGGACACTCAACAAAGGCCCCCAGATAGCGCAGATGGTCGGTCTCGACGATGCGCCGAAGGCCCCCGCAACTCCTAGAATTCATACAGAGCCAAAGCTATTCTATATGCCTCAGCCCGCATAAACCACCCTCTGCAAAGAATGCACCCAGGAGCTCAGGGCAACTGAGATCTCCGAATGTGATCTCATCTGCGCTCTGATTTTCCGAAGTCTTCTTCGAGCTTCAACCAGCTTGAGCTATGACACCAATGAAAGTGAGCCAAAAGTAGCCTCTCTGACCTTACCTTTTGATGGACGACCGCTGCTGCTGCAATCGATGGATAGTCTCTATATCGGAAATGTGAAACTTGAGAACAGACTCACCGCTCGAAACACTGATCAGCCCAGCCACAAGTATCCCATGGGTTGCCAATTCCATCTACGCACATGCCGAGACCTCCACCCGCCCAAGTGCGCTTCTCTCCGCCTATAAGTTGGCTCATTCTGCTGCGGAGTACAGCAGTAAGAATGGATTACGCGCGGCACGAAATCCTGCAGTATCGCCATCCGTAGGGGTGATTGCACCTATGACTCTCCCGTTCAATGAAACCTGTTTTGGGAAACATGTCTTCGGGAACAATGGAAATCCTGAAGGATTCCGACCGCTCATGGGGTCATGCAATCACGGATTCCACACTTGCTTTGTGGTTCCGCGGAAGAAGGCTGGGGAAATTGAATTCGTTATGACTTTGTCCGAGGAGGAGATGGAGTCTTTGATAGACGGGCGAAGTTGCTCTTGCAGCAGGCTCGATGATGAGCCGAGGCCATGCAAAGCAAGGATTCTCATTTTGTGAAATGAATCAGTACCAAGATCAAGAGCAATTCTTGTATGGGGTCTCTTGACTGTCTTCTAAGGTGTTGAAGCTAAACATCAATCAACAATGATGGAAAGATCATTGCTGACCAGAGGCACACGCCCTGTAACAACTCTATAGAGAGATCTCCGGTCCCCTTTGCCTTTTTCGATACGATTCGGATGTTTGCTTTTTGGGCTATTTTGATGAACACCCGAAAACATTCCTTGGCTACAGAGTGTGAGTCTACAATCTTCGGACAGCTCAAAACAGAATAAATTACATGACAATGAGGATACAGTAAGATCCACCTGACTTCTACATCACCGGCATATAGCTAAAGTCCACAAGTGTGGAGAGATCCGGTGACCACGCATCGATGTCCGAGAACTTCACTTTCAAGCTCCCAATTAGCATTGCGGATACACAAGACACCAAGAAAACTCTACGTCGGGTCCGACCATCCTACGGTGTCTCAATGAGACAGGCACCGATATACATGACCGCACCCGGGACTGTGGTAGCATTACCTAGGTAGTCGCCTTGGTGCCATAGACTGTTTGGGGTAATAATAGTGATTTTCATTCAAGAACTTTTGGATATGACAGACATGTCGGAGCATATGTAGTATATACACACTATGTACAAATCTTTTCTGCGGTCATGTTTCTCGATTTGGTCCTGTGGGCAGCAATAGAGGTCAAGATATTACCAAAATACGAGGCAAAAACCCTGATCAAAATTGACTAAACCTTTTGATCCGCGTATTTTGTCTTAGTTTGTTACTTTTGCAAATTGATATCTGGGGTTTTCCACTGCAAATTCTTGCGAGACTTGACATTATTCTACTACAAAGAAGCAGTTACATTCCGACGTGACACTATCCCACCCACGCTCCTGGCACAGACCCAAGAATCACCCTTACGGGGTACGTAGCACATGATGATACGCGAGTTATAAAGGGAGACTTGAGTCTGACAATTGCCGACAACGAACTGAGAGCAGCGAAATCCAACACTCCAAGTCACATTGTCTCAGATCTAATCCAATAATGCTGCTAACACAGGCTATCTATTATGTTCTGGCTATAAATGCCATGAGCGCTGCAGCGCATCCTCTAACAGAGCCTGCCGTGGTTGAAGGTTGGGATATTTCCAGCACCTGAGTACAAAATGGTTCTAATAAGAGGCCATATAAAACCCTCTAGCCAGCCATAGCGCCTTTGAAGCTACCACTTCTCCTGATTCGTCGGTCAAGGAACGTGATGTTTCTAGTATCCAAGACGACCAAGGCACAAACGAACCTAATGACACATTAGGAACTCAGAATGTCTACGAAGGCGTATTTGAACCCTTTCTTCAAATTGAGTCCCGAATTTTGGAAACCATAGCAACATACTAATCAAGAATAGTATTGCTCAGCCGGTCGTACTCAGAGATGCAATTTCCTCATTCACGGTGGCTTTCAGTGGAGAAAGTGCGCGAACAATCATCGAGTGAGTAGGCTATCCCTATGGAACAAATTTGTAATAACAACGGGACTACAGTGTACTCGTACGGGGCATTGGTGTAGCTGGTCTGACTCTAATCATATTGCGGTCTGTAGCTAATTCTCAAGCGCATATGCTGGTTTGATTTCGAGTTCAGTGTTGTGTTTGTATACTTCAGTTCCGTAGACGAGATCATCGGTCATCCATGGTTGTAATGCAAAACCAAGGTTCCAGGGTGACTGTGCCATGGGACTTTTTATGGGGCAGAGAACCTTAAATGAGCGCATTTTGACGCTGCCGTGTAACGGCTGTCGCCTAGAAATCTCAACCCTCAACTCTTCTCTTGACTCCTACCAGTCTTCTGTTATGGCAGACAACAAGCCTAAGTCCACACCTGAGGGATTCTGGATACTTGATGACAATGGCAAAGACCTCAAGTTCATCTCAGAAAAAGAGCTCGATCGAAATGCGACCGAAATGACCGATACCGATTGCACGATGCCTACCAAGCCACTTGCAAAGGATATCAACGAATACCTTTCCACCTTGACTTCTCTCCAGGAAGGGATGCGAGACAAACTCCGCGACCTAGGCTGGAATGACAGTGCTATCCACAATATTCTGACCAACCTCGAACATATACAGCGATTCAACTGCGCGAAACTTCGCCAGAAGGGATACACTGAAGCTGAGATCCAAAGGCTTGATACGCTTGGGAACGAAAACATGACGGATTTTTCCCACCTCAGACGTGGAGTTGGGACCGCAGCTGATGAGGATTATCAAGTGCAGCTGTATTTGCTGGAGGAGGTGAAACGAAGACGTCTGGTCATGTTAGGAGACGAGGAATAGGCGGACGTGGCGGAAACAGGGCTTTCCGTCCGCACTCAACCCACACGCAAAGGAGTTGGGTGGATGACACCCCCGATCCCTCATTGTTTTGTATTCCAAGGTTATCATTATTGTGATTTCGTCTTTGGCATGCGGAGTCTGAGCGAGTGAAGATGATATGTTTAACAAGTGATGAGCCACTTGACATTTCACGGACTATTGCTAAATTCCCTCGTTCTGCACTTCGGGATAAGATCATAGACGGTGTAGATGACTTCTCAGGAAATGATAATGAACGCCCAGAGCGAAACAATATGATCAAAGCCGCGCGGGTAATTGCGAATGTCGGAAATCCATGAGACGTAAATACAAACACTAGCTAGGCCCCATCTATACCTGAGACCGATATTATAAATGAAATTAGCGTCAGCTATACCCGTGGACTATTCAGTCAAGCTTCCAAGTGTAAACTTAATCATGTGGGTGTCGCCCGGGTGAGAAATGGGTGAGCGCCGCCTTAAGGTCGCGCGGGGGTGACAAGGGTGAGTCCGCGATAGACAGGGTGAGAAGGCCGATGAGAGATCAACCAAGTCTGCCGCACTGACTCACAGGAAAAGGGGAAGACAGAAAACCGAAGGAAAGAAGAGAAAACCAAGAGATAAGAAGGAAACCGCGAGGAGCTCCACCCGAAGACGCACGACCATTTGCGAAAATAGCCAAGTTTCCTGGTTCACACGAGGCTCCAGCCCTCAGCAACCAGAGAATCAAGAGCAGCACTGGTAGCAAAAGAGCCATCACTCAAATGGAAAAAGCCAGCAACACCGCCTGACTCAACCTCAACAATCGGGGCACCACGCGCACCATCTGAGACAAAGCCTTCAATATTTCCGAAAACTAACTTGACCAATCTGGTATCCCATTGTGAAAATGGAATCATGGGATGACCGACTGGACGGATTGGTCGTGATTCAATAATCCCAGTGTTCATCATGCTGAAAAGCCCGGAACTCATACCATCAATTTCGCTCCATGAGCCTTGGCCGATATGAGCGCTTTCTAAAAGGCAGGTGGGTGGTTCAGCCTGGAAGTAGCAGGTGTTAGTAAAGCTCGAAGAGGCCGCGGGTGTCAGTTTGACGAGAGCTACATCGAGCTCAGGTCTGGTATCGACCACCTGGCCGATCAGGTCTCCCCCGTTAACCTGGGGGTGGTAGATATCTTTCGAGGACAGAAACCCATGGTTAGCTACGGTCAGTCTTTCTTCTCCTGCGGTATTGCGAATTTTGACCCCACATGTGGTTGCGGCGGTGGTTGGTTGCAATCCTGGGCTTGGTACCTCAAATCCACTTTCAACCCTGCATCCTGGCGTCAGAGCCGATCGTCTGAGGTAATTTGCGGTATCATGTACTGCAGGACTAAGGGGGGATGCCTGGGATGGCTGAATGGCCCGAGGGCGGGTAAGACTCCGCATGGTTTTGAAGAAGGGGATATCCTGGTGGTGATAGAGTGCTGTTCTGCCTCCCACTGTACCGGGTAGTGAGAGTTCTGGGTAGCTGCGGCCATCTCCTGTCTCAAGCTCGAAGATTGTCCAGAACGGAAGAAAAATGGCAGCCCGTACGTTAGCAAGTTGCGATATAGCCTCAAGAACAGCTGTTCTCTGAATTTTGGTCGGGTTAACCATTTGCGGCCAGCGAACCCCCGGACATGGATCAGGGAGACGAGGGTTAGGATACGGAGCGGAAGGAATGGGTTCTTCAAACGGGCCTCCAGGAGGTACAAACAAAACTGGCATCGTTCCAAGTGTGAATGTAATTGGCTGTGGTGGAGAGGCGGTCTCAATGCGCATCAGCCATCCATTGTGGCTTAATGCTCCATCCCCAAACTTTCTCCGGATCCAGGCGGACTGCTCACGTGTAGGATGGTGGAATTTGCGATTGACTTCGTCCCAGAGTGTGAAAGGCGCCGAGTCGTTTATGTGTCTGGCTCCCCAGGCACCGGGGCTTTCCCAGCGTTTCGGCTCGGGGTGGGAGTGAGAGCCAGTTTGTCGAAAATGTTGGGTGTTTTCTCGGGTTCTAAGCGGAGAAATAGCTGCGTTGGTGTAAATGTCAAAGAACAGAGAGTTCTGCTGTAAGTGGCTGATCTGTGGGGAAAGGCGGATTGGTGACGGCATTGGTGACGACATGTTGAGTTGTGATGAGCACTTGAGGCAGAACGAAATATAAACTCTGAATCTTTTGGTTGAAGCGTGAAAGGGAAGACTGGACAGAGGGCTGAACAGTGGACTGGAGAAAAGATGGAGAAAAGATGGAGAGAAGATGGAGAGAAGATGGAGAGAAGATGGAGAGAAGATGGAGAGAAGATGGAGAGAAGATGGAGAGAAGATGGAGCAGAGTCAGAGAAGAGTCAAGAGCCAAAATAAAGATCCATGGATCCATGGTTATATGCTTCCATGGCTACAGCCCGATCTATACTTACCATATCGAGCCCGGATACGGAAAAACCATCGTAATCTTGCGGTATATTTCATGTATCTGTGTAAATTAACAACTTCCAACTTTCTATAGATTCTTCTAACCTTTGAAATCAATTGATCTATGGATTAGACCTATCTTTCTGCATCTATGCCCTCTGCTGAGCCAGATATTGGTTCATACGTTCTGTCTCCTTGACAAACTCGCCCCAATTTTCCAGCTTCACCCGGTTACGCTCGTCTTCCAATTTTCTTCGCTCATCTTTCTCTGCTTCAATATCCTCTTCCGTCATACCTTCCTCGTCGACTTCATCTTCCTCGGCATCCTCAGTAGCATCTACTTCCTCTGGCCCCTCAGTCTTTTCGTACACATAACAAACATCACCGTCTTGTGTGCTGCCTGGAAGCTCTTTCTCGACCCGCCGAACTGCCTCAAAGCCACTCAATGCGCCATCTTTGTCGTAAACAGGGCGCTCGGATGTACTGACAGGACCAACGGAGCATGTGACATTGAGGTCGAAAACCTGCATTCCGTCAGTAAAGAATCAACGACATAGATCGAAAAAACTAGCCTTAGAGCTAAAGAACTTGAGGACGGACTGCGGCTTGAAATGGAGTCCGTGGAATGAGACAACCTGCCCCTTCGATCCCTGTGCGACTGTGTCAGTGTCGTGCTAGTTGCGAAATGTTGGAATAAACTGACCGGGACCGCGGGACATGTTTTCCAACTTCTGCTCTCTAGCTTTTCAAGCGATCCGGTTCCGCCGCCGAGCTTGCCAAACCCAGTGGCCCCGATATCAGCTCCCAAGTCGATATCCTGGTTCTTGCTGTTCGTAATTTTCATGGCGCATTCGTCGGTGAAGTAGACGCCCTTGATCGCCCAAATTCCGTCGTCTTTGGCAGCCGATCCATGAACTTCCTCAATCTTGTGTCCGTTCGCCTTGATCCACTCTTTCGCGGTATCCTTGAATGGCCCGAGGAATGCTTCATAATTGACCAAGCCACTGGCGATGAGGGCTGCCTGGCTTTTCGAGCCCTTCTTGTATTTCACATCCACAGATGCTTCGGCCGGAACACCCCCAGCAGCACCGGAGGCTCCTATATTGCCGCGGTGGCTGCGCTCCGATTCGCCCTCGGAAGTCCTTGTGTTCCATTCGCTGGTTGCCGTTTTATATTCCCCCAGCTTTTTGTACGACTCAACGTAACCCTCGGAGAGAAACGCCTCAGGGTCCGATAGGTCGGCGATGGGGCTCCAATCCTTCGTGTCGGGATCGAAATAGCCAATGACTCCTGGATGAAGTCTCTCGTGGACGATCGGCTTCCAGAGGTATCGGCCTTCTTTCTTGCTTTCGAAAAGCTTCGCATAAGTTTCAGCGTCGTCTTGGGCTGGCATTTTCTCGGTATTGCACAAAGGCCACAATGTCTGAGAGACTGAATTCTCAGTGACGATTTGATCATTTAAGTAGCACACTGAGCAGCTCCACAGTCCCCCGTAGCCTTTTAGCTTGTGGGACGTCCATACTCCGTACACCTACCAGTATTAGTAGGTCACAGATCCAGTCTGCCATGAACCCTGTTTGAGACCGAAAGTGGGTCTGCTCCCAAGCACGTATCAGGCATCTATTACTACTATAGTACCAGTAGAATAGTTCAGTTTGCCTTTTCTCCTTCTCTCTTCTCTTTGATAACTAAGTTGAAGTCACATTTTCCTTCCATAATATTGTATGCAAAGAAACTCTACCCTCAGGGGACGAGCAGAGATGATGCAATCGTTTATAGTACTCCATCAGTGACTTCGCAGCGGCACCAGAGCCCCATACGCTCTTCAAAATATGCATCAAATCGTCACGTTCTCCACTATATTGCAACATATCAAGATTTACCGTCAAATAGCAGATCCGAGTGGCTGGTTTGTGCTTTCTCCAAAGACCCACTAGTACTTCATCATTCACGCTTTTGTTTGATTTCCTCCACTAGCATATTCCCAGTCTGGGTTTGCCGTACTCGTACTATGAGAGTGTATACAATGTACTAGTACTATTAAGGGGAGAATAAGTAGAGCCGAAAACCATAAGCGAGCTATTGTACTCTACGGTCTGCGATCACTACGTAGCGGCTGAGCGTGGAGTGGGTCGGGGGCTGGGGATCTTGAGCTGAGACCAAGATGTGCACAATCCTTTATGATTCGCGATTGGGCGTCCGCCGACGCCGACACAATGGCACCGGTTGACGAATTGGCGATCTTTGCCTAGTGTAGTAACGATGAACCAGTGTGATCACCCGCAGTCAAATCTGTTGACTGAAGGGACGGAGTAGGTAAGAACCGGCGGGGTCTGTTTTAGAGTAGTACTACCTAGGTACTAGGTAGTTGTCGACAACAGTAGTCGAGTTTGGTTTGTTCAGCCCCTCACAGCCGATGGTATCGTTGATCACACCAATACGGAGTAGTACACAGATCGCCAATGCTGTCGTTGCACCTGGGCTCCACCGAGAGCCAACCGGATATTCATCAATGTACTGGACTAGTACGAAGTGAAACATAAGTTGTCTTCCCCCGGAGGGGAAGCAAAATGAAGCGAATGGGGTATTTTCCGCAGATATTGCACTAGCCCTCAAGTTGGTACTCCGTACTGATCCTAATGCTACTACATATATATGAGTACCGCTTCGATCAAACCAGGAGTGGGTAACACATTACATATGCTCCAAGGCTGTCTGATACTCATGTCGATAGAGCCCTATAAACCTTGGAATACTTATTCCCAGCGGCGATTATGATAATATTTTTTCATGTCTGCTTGTCGAGCAGATTCGACCACGTACGTACTAGTACTGTCTTGTACGGGCACGGGCACTGCTCCCCTCTGGTCATTTGGTCCCAGGTGATATGACACTGATGGAGTCATCGTAGGTCTACCCCTCTGGAGACTAGATGAGGCTGCAGTGGTGCGGGAAAGATTGTTGTCGTCGAGTTTTGATGCTGAGATCTGGACATGGATGGTTTGTTGCCCAGCTTGAGATACACCTCGAGAAGATTGATCACTGGGCTTCAAGGCTGGGCCACTGTGTCGACTGTCATAGTATTGGCTTGATAATTGTTGTAGGGTTTCTCGCGTTGGCTTCGTTAGTGCCTCCGATGTCATGCTCCGAGATGAATATGAAGGCTCGTATGCTGACGAACTAGGCTCGTTCAAGGCGAGTTGGAAGTCGAGGGCATAGCAAGAATATTCAGAAGAATCTGCGTGGTCCTCGGAGAAGTCGGTCTTCCCTTGAGCTGAGAAGTCATTGGGGAGCCCCATTCTTAACCGATACGTGATGTAACAAGCAGAGGGGGAGACAATAGGTCCGGTTGAAACAAAGTTGATTGATTATAAGTAAACGGGGGAGAGAAAAGAAGAAGAAAAAGAGGGGAAGACTAGTTGGGATAGCAAGCTCCCCCATAGGTACTTTCTCTTCTCTGCCTTCTCGTTACGTTCTACAGTGACTTTAACGCCGCAACATGATGACACGAAATCGGTTACCAATGCCAATGGCTTCAAGCGAGGAGTGGAAAATTGCGGCCACAGCCCAGTCGAGAAACTCATGTCTAGTTCAAGCCCTGGAGTCCTCTCACAGGCAAACTGTCTACGCCTATTGAGCAACCAAATAGGACCGATGTATGAAGGACTCTATCTTGCCGTGCGGGTAGGCTGGGGAACGACTTCTCGCGGCTAAAACATCAGCTCTACCTAGGTAGGTTCTGAGCTACAATTCGTTAAAATTTTGGACCATGAGCCATCGGCTCTGGGGGTCTCTGACAGATTAGTGAGAATCGCAAACCTTAGAGGGTTGGAAATATCTATTTTCGCCGCAACACCCAATTGTCTGTAATCGGAGATGTTGGTTGGACAACTTATGCTGGACCAAAAAAAAAAACAAAATAAAAAAACATACAACAGTGAGGATTCGCTGGTGGTCACCCACCCAACTACTAACTCACCGGCGTGTGGCTTAAGTACGGCTGAGCGGACGGGAAGCCCTGTTTTCCACACCCTGTGGTCGTATGTGCTAGATCGGACTAATGAAAGGAAATATATCGACAAGAATCACCAACTCGCCGGCGTGTGGCTTAAACGTGGCCAGTAGTCGGGTGGGTATCGCCCGGGTGAGGTATGGGTGAGCGCCGCTTTACGGTGAGAATCGGGGTGAGAATCATCAGAGTCGCACGCCGCACTGACCCTCTTCTTGGATGAGCTAGTAATGTAAACCATTGGGCTGTCTACGGAGTAGTTCCTCTTGAAACTCTTCGTGTCTTGGCATCTGCACATTACTTCAACTGGAAGCGCAAAGAAGTTCGTTGTTGTCCCAAACACTACCTTAGTAGCCAGGAACGTTTACAACAAATTAAAAAACAAGTACACGCTAATTTGCACACTTGATTGAGCATTGTGGGGATTATCGAATCTAACTACATCGGCAAGTTGACAGCCAGATTGCCGTGGGCTTTATCGGACAGACGACCAACTCCACACGGTGATCTTTTACCGAACCTTGGAATTGATTGGAGATAAGGATCCTCTTTTATAGCTAAGGGGAAATCTGGGGATTGTCTCTGATATAAAACATCCCTTTGTATATATTTAGTGAATGGTTGGTCTCCAATCGACCTGAAATCACTGCACTGAACCGCCTTTGTCAGGTATTTATCCCAATAGACAACTTCAGCAAGGATATCGCAAATAAGGAGTCCGATCGAATGACCGGTGTCCAATATTTACTCTACCTGAAGTTACCCCCGATCTCACGATTTGATCAGGACAACACTGATCAAAAGTGTACCTGTGGGCTAAGTCCCGAGGTCTTGAAAAGGAACCTTGGAATTTATTAGCTTGGGAGGTATTAACCTTAAAATACGAGAGCAGTTGTACAGAATTTGCATAAAGTCTGAAGAACCTTGGAAAATTGCGCCCTCTTGTCTATGAATTGAACATACCTAGGTACCTACCTAGTAGGTCCCGAGGTCGCAACCTTGGAAGGTATTCTTCGCTCGTCTTCCAAGGTTTATGTTGTTTTGATTTGATAAATCAGCGACCTCTATTTACAACCTTGGAACCTTGAACATTTAGTAATATATATATATATATATATATATATATGGGATTGAGAGTTGTCACCTACCTAGTAGGTACCTAGGTCGTTCTCCGACCTAAGCAGGAACCTTGGAACCAACTTGAAACACCGCGGGTATATACAGACAGATACCCTGGATATACCTAGTATATCTGACATTCTATTCTTCCAAGACCCCAGTATTCCCGAGTCATCACCAACTACTAGTATGTGGAATACTGGGAAGATTGTACTGCCACCCAGTGATTTCTCGAGGAGATCAGTCTGACTCGGGATTACCCCGAGGAACCTCAGAAATATATAATTTACACAAAACCCTAGTTCCCCAGGGTGGAGGAATGGCCATTGCTGGAGGCATTAAAAGTGATAACATTGGAACATCCAGGTGGGGATAGTCTTGCAGGTTCGAAAATATCAGGCTGAGCCTGTGAATAGAATCAATGTATGCAGTGATTAGTGACATACACCAGTTGACTTGTGTACGGGTCATGTCAAGTTCTATCGTAGGTTCCCGCCAAGTCGGCTTGCCGAACATGTACAGTACATCCCGACTGGAGTGCTCGGAACAAAGAACAGTGTGACACATAGAAACAGAAGATTAACAAGACATGAAGTAATGAAAAAGAGAATGGCCCGTCAACATAGAAATCTCTGCAGCGGGTCTGGGCAATATATTACTTCTGATTGGCCAGAGCGGAAGATCCAGGCAAACCAAGCAAACAGGCTGCGCACTCGCTTAGTGCTAGCGCCCCGGGCCGCGAATATAAAAAGAGGCTGCCCCCTGGACCTTCTTCTCTTTTTCAAGCGACTCTACGTATGTTCAATCCCCCCCATACTGAGAGGAAAACAGTTACTGACCAACCCAACAGTTCAAAGAATCACTTTAGAGTAGACGTCCTCTTTCTAAGCTCTTTAAAAGAGCCACAGAATCTCCACCCTTGCTGATGACTGCATGTCCTCGGTGCCCTAAAGTGAAACCTTTTGACTTCCGCCTCGACTGTCACGCGTGCTGTTCGCAGTGTCTGTGTTTCGGTCCAGGGAGTGGTGATGATCTTGACCTGGTCTCGGCGTCTTGACTTCGGTCGGCTGGTCCTGGTGGGTGTCGAGGAGGTCTGAAAGGTCTTCTTTTTCTTTTCCCATCAATTGTCTCGGCAGTGCCGAGCGCTTGGAGGGGAACCAGTAGACATTCGACTTGGAGTAACATCACATCTTTCTAAGTTTAATCATCTCGCCATGAAGCTTTCAACGTGGAGCCTGTGGGGTTGCCAAGAGTGTTTACAGGGCCAATTTCTGTCTTATTCATAGCCTCTGCCATTCGGGTATCATATCTCATGGAACTTCTAAACGCTAAATTACTGATGCAACCCCTACTTGGCCTCAACCGCAGTCTTTTCCGACGCAGCGGCGCCCTTGGGCCCTTTGTTTCGTGAGCCTCGTCCACCACGGGATCCACGCGAGGATCCTGTATTGCCTCCCGTGTTGCCAGCGTTTCCTCCCGCACTGCCTGAGCCCGCATTGCTGGTTGCGCTCGCAGATGGCTCAGCCGCCTTGGCTTTGTTTGCATTGTGGGCCTCGCGGCCTTTGCGAGATTTTTCACTTCCAGGATTCTCCTTGCGCTCCAGCACCACGACTTGACTCTGGGCAACAGAGACAGGACTGGCGGCGATGGCCTTGCGAAGTCCGTCGGGCTCGGCGAAATCAACGTATCCGAAGCCCTTCTTCTTGTCAATTTCAACCTTGGTAACCGCCCCGAAGGAGCTGAAGGCAGATTCGAGTAGTGCCTCTGTCACTCCTTGGGATGGGTTGGCGTGCTTGAGGAAAGCCTGCTTAGCAGTGGATGGAGCCTTGGATTTAGCGCCCTTCGACGGCTTGGCCGGTGGGTTTGCGGTCGAGCCGGTGTCGGCTTTAGTAGTCTCGCTATCCTTGCCCTTGCCCGTATTTGACGTAGCAGGTGTGTTTTTGGCTGACTTGCGCTCTTTCTTGGGCGCATCAGCCGTAGGAGCGGGCGATTCCCGAGGGGATTCGTTCTTGGGAGACACAGCATCAGCGGCACCTTTGCCGCGTCGGCGTCCGCCAGAAGTCGATATCCCCAGATCGCGCTGCAGGATCTTGGTCGCCACTGCGGGGGTTCCACGCTCTCGTTTCCGTTCAGGTGCAGTGGTTGGTTCTTTCGTAGAGGTGGATGCGGTGCTGGATTTGCCGGACTTCGCACTGGCAGCGTTCGCTTTCGTTGCCTTTGATTCCTTGCCGTTTGTTTTCTCCCCCCTGACCTTCTTGTCAGAAGCGGCAGCTGTGTTTTCCTTATCGCCCCGCTGCAAAAGCTTCTTGGCCTGGACTTTCTCCTGCTTAGATTCCTTTTCGGCCCGGCTGTGCTTGGACTTGGATCCCGATCCGTCCTTCGATTTGCTTGCTTTCTTGTCCTTAATGTACTGAACCAGAGGGGTGGTCTTCATGGTGTCTTTCTTCTTTTCCTCGCCATCAGCTGGGGCGTCGACCCCGGCCGGTCTGGTGATGGGCTGCGTCAAGCTCTCCAGGAAGGCAATGAAGTCCGCATCCTGATCAATCATGCCCTGGCGGGCATCCTTGCGAGAACGACTGCCAGGAGTCTTGGCGTAGGGTGCAAACTCCAAAGAAGGAGGCCCGAGCAGGATGGGGTCATGGAGAGTGTTGCGAGCATCTTGAATAGAGGTATTTCGCAGAGTATCAGAGAGTGCAGCAACACATTCAGACGATACCACGTGGATGTAGGCTCTGGAGGGACGTGATGGTTTGGCGGGGCTGCCCAAAAGAACGAGATCCAGTTAGTCAATTTCCGATAGCGTAGCTCTGGCTGGGCTTCAATGCTCACTCTTTCGACACCTTGCCGGGCTTGTATTGAAGCCAATCAACCTTGCCTGCTCCGACTTTCCATTGCTCACCAAGGGCAATTTCTAGCTCTGCCTGTGTCAGGCCTGGTGGTAGGCGTCGAATGAGCAGTTTGAGACGGGGCGCTGGTGGTTTCGGCGCCTTCTTTGCGGGTGCCCCAGAGCCGGACTTCTGGGTGGCTGCTGCGGGAATTGAGAGCAATCCCGCGGTATTCTTCCCCTGCTGGGTCATTGTGAGGGCTGTCGATGTGAGGAAGTCCTGGATCCCTGTCCGGGTCTCAAAAGAATGGAGATGAGGGGATCGTCGAAGGCGGTGAAGCGGCCGACAGCGCGGGATTGTAAGTAGTTGTCTCCGGAGCTTGGAGATTGGATCTAAGGTGAAACCCAATGAGAACTTGTCTTGGAGATCCTTTGATTACCCAAGTAGGTTACTCCGTACTGCGTCAGCAATTGCAAATGCCGCCCTGATCCGATGTCACCTCACTCTCTTATCGATAACCCATACTCCGCAACACCTCTCAACCATGAGTCAAGAGAAGAGCAGTCTCATTGAGAGCCAGGAACTGGTTCCCAGACGAAACAGAAGACATTCTTGGATTTGGTCTTTGTGTACTTGCGCTATCCTCGCGACCTTTGTGTGGGTCTCTCGGCCGGAACTGCGCCGCTCATGCTCTGCCCCGAGCATCGACGAAAGAGTGCAAAGGATTCTATCACAGACCCCATTGATTGGTATGGAAATCGTGGAGAAACCAGCAATGATATCTCACTAACCTGCATAGATGGCCATGATGATTTCCCTATCTTTGTTCGAGAGATCTACCAAAACCACATCAATAACGATGAGTTCAAAGAGGCATTTGTTCACGGTGGCCTGCGCGGCCATGTGGACATTCCACGCTTGAAAGAAGGCAGAGTGGGCGGCAGCTTCTGGAGTGTCTTCGTCCCGTGCCCGAAGGATGGATCGAACTTCTCGGACGAGAACTACGCTGCAAGTATGTGACCTGCATCTCACCCTCCAGAATACAGCTAATCTTGTAAATGAAGGTGTTCGGGAGACTATGGAGCAAGTGGATGTGATGTCGCGCGTGCAAAAGGCCTACTCCGATATCTTTTCCACCCCACCGAACGGCACCACAGCGATGTCTGCGTTCCGTGACGGCAAGATCATATCTCCACTCGGGATCGAGGGACTCCACTCGATCGGCAACTCTCTAGCCCACCTCCGCATCTTCTACGAGCTGGGGGTTTCATACGCGACGTTGACACATAACTGCCATAACCGGTATGCCGATGCGGCCGTCCTTGAAATTCCCGGCGGTGTCAAAAAGGCTGAGCCACTTTGGCACGGCGTGAGCGAGGAAGGCGAAAAGCTTGTATATGAGATGAACCGACTCGGGATGATTGTTGATCTGGCTCATGTGAGCGCCGACACCATGCGGGATGTTTTGGGCGCCGGCAAGTCCACCTGGAATGGGAGCCGAGCCCCGGTTATCTATAGCCACAGTTCTGCATACGCAATCTGCCCACACCCGCGCAATGTCCCCGATGATATTCTGCAGTTGGTTCGCGAGAAGCATTCCCTGGTCATGGTCAACTTCTCACCGGACTTCATATCATGCACGGCATTGGACAATGAGAATGGAATCCCCATTGTTGACCCTACTCATGCCACTCTAGCACAGGTTGCTGATCACATCATGCACATTGGAAATCTTATTGGCTTTGAGCATGTTGGTATCGGTAGCGATTTTGACGGTATCCCAACTGTTCCGCAGGGATTGGAGGATGTGTCTCGCTTCCCTGCTTTGATTGCAGAGCTTCTCAAGCGGGGGCTTACCGACACAGATGCAAGCAAGGTGGCAGGTGGTAATTTGATCAGAGTGTGGAAGGCTGTTGATGAGGTCGCGCTTGAGATGCAAGCTGAGGGTGCGCTGCCTGCGGAGGATTGACCACCCCGTCCGTTTGTGGCCTGTGTATAGGAACCGAATCATTGATAGAACAATTATCGACCTCAATTTCAACACCAGACTGTCAGCACTCTCTACTACCTAGGTAACCACCAGGTTTCCGAGGGCTCGGGTTTTCCATGCCAAGCGCCCAAGACTGCCCACCTGGGCGCCCGGGCAGCCCTAACGATGCCCGGTGGGCCCCCCAACGCCGCACGCCCGGGCCCGCCGATCACCGCTTATGTCAGCATCTCGCATGTTCAAGGATTTTTTTTAATCCCACATGCTTGTCCGGTCATCATGACTAGGAGAACGTACACGAAGGTCAAAGGAGCACCCGAATACGACGAAGCTGAATTCTGGGATGCACGCTTCGCCACAGGGGTCGATGTAGGCGAATGGCTCAATTCCGGCGAGGCTCTTCTGGAGGCGGTCCTCTCCGACCTAGAGAACCGCCCTAATGTCACCACAGGCAAGATTCCTCGTGTCTTGCACTTAGGTCCCGGGGTCTCAAAGTTGGGATGCACTTTACGCGATGAGTGCGTAGAGCGAGAGTGGCAAGGCAATGGCATTGTGGTAAGACAGAACATCATTGATTACTTGTCGTACTTGACTGACTCGCTCACCAGAACGCCGATTTTTCGAGCGAAGCTGTCCGCTTGGGTTGTGAGGCTGAGAGTACAAAGAAGTCCACGCATGCTATGCATTGGATGCGGACTGACCTGCGTGTTTGGAAGGAAGTCTCCGCTCTCGGTCAACATGCACCCTTTGATGTGATTATGGACAAGAGTACCAGCGACGCGATCTCTACATCTGGTGACTTTGAAGTCTCCTCCCAAGAAGAGCTTTCGGCCAGTTGCCCAATCGTGGCGGACATCTTGAGCAACAACCCTAGTACCGTTCTGTCGCCCGTGGAGTTATTGGGGCTACAGTTGGTCCCTCTAACCGAGAAGGGGTCAACGTGGATTGTTCTATCGTATTCCACTATGCGCTTTGATGGATTGAAATTCATGGCTGCGTATTGGAACATGCGATCTCGAATCCCATTGAAAGCGCCACCAGGCCCAGTGTCTGCCTCCACTTATACCCCAGACGTGTTTCATTGGTTGTACATCCTGGAGCGGGTATGAAAGAATTTCCCCTACGAGGTTGACTGTCGTCTACCCGTCGTTCGGTCTGGACTTTGTGTGACTTGCTGGCTGGTTCCGATCCAGATTCGACCAACTCAGCAGCCATAATTTTGTCTTCCAGGTGGGAACTTAAGGGGGAACGGACAGAATTTGGCTGCACGCTCAAAAGTCAAATCTGTTGATTCGACCCTACAGCCTTTTTCGTGGCCCGGAAGTGGAGGAATACCCCAGGGGAAACTGCGATATCCAAATTCGACTCTCGACGCCACCTGAGCAGCTTGTTACATTTAAATGCAGAGCACAGCATATGCACCGTCCTACGAAATCTGCATCCAAACTCTGTCTTAACGAATTCACATTGGCTCAACACTGCTATATCACAACTACTCTTCCATTCACCAAATCAACAAAGCTGTTCTAGTAACCCAAAAATGGAGAAAATTCTTGTCGTTGCCTCGAAGCAATTCTCACCAAATTTCCGACTGTGAGCTTAGCAACCCAGGGAGATGGCTGTTCTCTGGTCAGCTCATATTCACATGTGGCATCAAAGATCTTTAAGACTTACCGTTGGCGTACAGGGCGTACGAGTCGGCGTTCAGGACGGCCTTGGCGCTGGTCAGAGCAACGGCATTGGAATATCCGTATCCGTTGTCGACGGTTCCTGGGCTGTAACTGTACGTATTGAAGTCTCGTCAGCATGGTCTCAACTTGCCGCAGAGGATGGAATTCGGGGAAGACTAACACTCCAGGGGCGTGGGTCAATTCGTGAAGGGTGGTGGTAGCCTGGTCCTGGCTGTGGCAAGTGCTAGTCAAAGCAGGAAGGTAAGAGTAGTAGATATCGCAGTTGGCAATGATGTTGTATGCTGGCAGGGTGTAGGCCAACACATTGGGATCACAGCTGTTGTCATGTGAGTCAGAAAATATCAAGACAAATGATCGAAGAAGGGTTACTGACTATCCGTAAACATCAGTGCAGTAGTGCGTGGTAGAGCCGGAGGTGGTGGAAGAAGCCTCCTTTGCCACAGCCTGGAGGCGGGCAGCAACGACTTGACGTGTCGCGGTGCTAGTAGTCTTGAAGTACTCAGAGAACCTGTGTATCTTGTGAGTATGGTGCGGGAAAAAAATGCCGGTCAATACTTACTTGCTGGCAGACCCAGACAGAGCAGCCTTGGCAGCAGCATTGGCAAGGGTCACAGTGTTTGCCAGGGCCTTGTCGAGAGCAGACTTTCTGCTTGCGTTGCTGCAGGATTCGACGGTGCGGCGATCAAGAGGCTTGACAGCCTTCAGGACACGGGATGCCTTGGCACCGTCGACGTCAATCTTCAGCTCGTTGGAGCGGTAGGGCAGATATCCAGCCACCGCGCCATCAACGACAATGGGGACCAAGCCGTTGGAGCGGAGAGTCAGAGCTCCTCCATCAGCCAAGTCATTGGTGCTGGCGATATCGAATTCATCTTCGAATGTCTCTCCGGCAGCCAGCGAGGTGAGAGCCTCAGCGGTCAGACCCTCGGTCCTGAAACGGCGCTTGACACCTTCAAAGGCGACCTCGGCATCTGGAGGACAGGTCAGTATACAATTGCCATGCTTCGATCACCTTGCGTACCGTTCTTCAGGACCTCAACCTTCTTGACGGGAGCATTGTCCCGGAAGAAGTTGAGGTGCACGAAAGTGACATCCTCCTTGCCGGTGTTCTTCACAACAGCCTTGATGCGGGTGTCGCTGACACGGCTCAAGGTGACATCAAGAGCAGAGGCCTCATCGGTCTCAACGGGCAGAGCATACGCATTGTGCGCAAGAGCAAGAAGAGCAGTGGACAGAGCGACGAGCTTCATTTTTGCGAGTTGAAATTTTGATTGAAACCGAGAGTTCGAGGATTCGATGTCAGCTTGGATGCTTGGATGCTTGAGTGCCGATGGAATGAAAAACTTCGAATCTCGAGAGGAAACCAACTGATTTATATTCCTTTGAGCACATCTGCAACATCTCTCTGACATGCTGCGGCCTTTTTTTGCCCAGCCGTCCCTTCATTTCGCCATCGATGCCCAGAGAGATGGCGAACAGAGCACCGTGGTGGCTTCATCATGTCAAGCCCCTCTACTATCAGATTATTCGCTAGTCTTGCACAAGACGAGGAAATTTGGGTGCCATCCCATGGCTTCCCGAGTGCGTTCCCATTCCGAAATGCCCGATGCCCGCAGGGAAGCCTGCGGGCAAACATCTCACTGGCTGCAGATATCTCCAAAGGCTGCATATTCCAGAAGAACCCAACTGGTGCCTTCTTGGCCCGGCGGAATCCGTAGCTCGAAACTCTGTCTGGTTAAACCTTTATGCCTGCAGAACTAAACAATGCAGTTGTCTCGACATCGTTAGGGAGATTGCCCGAGGTAACTCAGGCATAGTTAGAGATAAACAAGGTCGGCGCTAGGGTTCTGCATTGTTAGCGCTAAATCCAGAGACAACATGCAGACCCAGCTTGGCCCGGGGCTAATTGATTAGCTCGACAGGGTCTACACAATTATTCTGTAGTATCTCATGGGGACGTCGGGACAGCAGTCGGCAGCCAATACTGAACATTCATTGATTCCAAACGTTCACTTCCACGCAGATGAACAACGTCTCCTAGATTGACTTTCCACCGTGCGATCACGATCGACCAGTCCTGCTGCGCACGATGCCAAGCCCTAGACCCTGGCGTTGACACCGGACTCCGGCGCCAAGATACCACCCAAGACGGCGCCGAAGTCTTGACCACGGACACAATGCTTATTATGAGCCATTCTAACCTCTATGAGACCCTTCAACGTGACTTAGAATGAGGGGGACTCTCACAGATAAAGTCCTGCCAAGTGTTCCGTCGAGGAGTGTTGCACGGAGCCCCGGAGCGATGTGGTAGAGCGCCCTGGCTAGGCTGACTTGGCAAGGAAGGACAACAAATGGACCAGTTCGATTGGCTACGGCAGGATGATCATCATCTGCAAGTATAGTAGTCCATGTGAAGGACTCCGGACAGTCCTGTTGGCAGTTCCCTCTACCGTGACTGTCTACTCCCACTCTCCGATCTCTACTGTTACTCACGGTTCGGAAAATAAATCGACTTCCACACAGGCCTCAGACACACGCATTTGAATATGAGCCTCGGTCTGCAAGTCACCTTAGCCTCCCAGGCGGGGATTCAAGCCCAAGCGATCGCGTTACCCATCACCGTCTCCGTCCACAACACTGCCGAGATCCCTGTCACTATTCTCAGATGGAATTCCCCCTTGGACCCCCAGGCGGGTGTGCTGGGCGTATTCGAGGTTTCTGACACGACGGAGCAGCGAACACTACCTATTCCCACTATCATGGTCTCACGCAAGCTTCCGCCCTCCGAAGAAGACCTGGTGGAAATCAAAGCAGACGAGAAACTGGATTTCGTGGTCAATCTACCAGTCCAGGGCCTCGAGGAAGGACACCAATATTCTGTTCGCGCGCAGGGAACATGGCATGCCGTATGGCCGACCGAACTAGCAAACGTCACCCCCCAGCTCCAGGATCAAGGCGATGAGAAAGGCGACGTAGAGCGGGGAGACTTCACCTCCAATGTGTTGTCTTTGAGCGTCGAGGCAAATTCGTGAATTATCGCGATCGCTTTATGCAGCCCTGCAGAGACGCCGAATGAAAGCGCCAGTTTGATGAGTTTGAATGATTGGTTCGAGTACATAGCTGCATCACATGAATATAAAGTACACGTACACAAGCAACTGATGCATTCAGTATTCGCGAAACCCCAAGTATGATTGGACGTCAGCTAGAACTTCCTGAATAGTCACTGCATGTGGTATTTAGGTGACCCTCGCATCGCTCTCCATCCTCTTTACTTCCCTCTCTTTCGGTATCTTCACAATATAACCGACATGCGGACGCCAAAAGTACCCGACCCAAAGGCAGATGCACGGCAAGTTTTCCAGGTTCTCAAACATGGCGGAATAGCGATCATCCCTATGGACGTGGGCTACGGGATTATAGCCATCGAACAGCGGGCATTGACCTGCATCGTAAAGGCCAAAAGACGAGATCCAGACAAGCGCCAAGCCGTGATCGGCAGCTACTTACTACATCGTGAGATACATGCTCTGCCGACTCGAGAGGCCGACATCGCCAGGTTGTTGACGGTGGATTTGAACCTTCCCCTCGGTGTTGTGGCACCGTACCACTTCGATCATCCGATCATCCAACGAATACCCTCTGATGTTCTAGAGAAAGGTGTGATGAATGGCACCTTGGCGATGTTGATGAATGCAGGCGAACTAGCCGAAGAGGTATCCCTGCTCGCTTCGAAAGAGGGTCATCTTGTAATGGGATCCTCTGCCAATATCACCGGCGCGGGAAGCAAGATCACGGTGGAAGACATCGAGCCTGATATCTTACGGGTGGCTGATATTATTGTCGATTACGGAAAGCAGAAATTTCACTATCCCCGGCCTTCATCTACCATGATCGACTTTAGGAACATAGAGGTTCTGCGATATGGAGCCTGCTACGATGTGATACAAGATGCTCTCTGGCGGTTTTGTGGCATCAAAGTGCCTGATGACCCAGTCCCGTGAATTTGTCGGGTGCTTTGAGACGAGGACTTACTATTGATATTTGGATGTGAAACAATGCTGACCTGTAGTAATTGAAGTATCAGCCTTGGAGACAGCCCATACTGCTTGAAGACCAGAAACGATAAATGTCTGATGGAGAATCTGTCAAGGTTGCAAGCCCAAGCCTCTGGCTCATTCGATTGAAAGAATCCTCCAAATGCTATGAGAGAAATGCACCTCTATTTCCCAGATTCAAAGATAACTGACCGTGACACTGTTGTTCGTCACCGACGCCGTAGTCAACAACCGATCCTGAGCTATGTCTATAATGACGGCCTCCGACGGTCCAAATTGATCGTCGCCAGCAGAGGCGACGGTATTCGTAAACACCACCGTTCCAAAATCGGCAAAAGGAACCAACCCAGTGCTGATACTAAAGTCCTCCACAATCCACTCCGCATTCGTCTCACAGAGACTCGCACCAATTGCACTCGGGAACTGATGGGTCACCGACATGCCTGTGGACAGGTTCTCGATTATTGCAGATCCAGAACTTGTCGAAGTAGCTTCGACTGTCATTCTGATCGAGTCTCCAGCTGAGATGATGATGCCTATAAAGTTGTGAGAGTAGTCCGGGAACCACTCATACCAGGCATCATATGAGACCACGCCGCCTTGGACACACATGTCGATTCCTGTTTGGAGAATGGCGGTGCTGCAGGTATCGCCGTCAATGCCAACCCATGCAGAAGCACAGTAGCCCGTGGTGCTATCAGCCCCGTGGGGAGGCTTGGGGATGGGAACTATGGTCTCGCCGGTGACGGAGGTGTATCCTTTACCGATGAGCACGGCACCGGCCCAATTGGCGCTGTACTCTTCCTGTGATGTGCCGTTGATATATAGTACATCTGCGGTGCCGGGCCTGAGAGGTCTACTTCCATGACCAAGAGCTCTATTGGTTCGACTAGCATGGAGTGCCTGTCGCTGCGCCGTGAGAGGTGCCGCCACAACCAATGTGCTGAGCAGTGCAAGACCCAGGATGGCAGCCGAATACCTCATGATGTGTGATGAAGGAGATATCTTGATTGTGAGCTCGAGGCGATGATTCAAGTCAGATTGAACGCTTTGGAAACTTCCAGACAAAATCCAGGTGAAATTCGCCGCTTATAAGTATTTTTGCATTCCGGGAGATGTGTATTCTCCCCCATGGTCCAGTCATGAGAAAGCAGTCAATGCAACACTGTCGGGTCTAGCACAAAACACTAACAGAATCACACCTGTGAAGTCGGAGTCCGATGACTGGCCAGTAGGTCTTCTGTCAGAGGCAGATTATGACCCGTGGCGAGGTCGCATCGAGTCTGACCTTTCAACTGGGATATGTACCGAGCCAAGTACCACCAGGCTCTATGTTATTGACCTTGTGGGGGCTTGTGGAGTTGAAAGACAGGCTTCTGCATGTCTATCTTGGAGGCATTGGGAAGTGACAAGTCGACCGGGGACAAAGACGAAGTCCACTACATTTCTCTACTCTTTGCCGACTGGAAACACAATCTATCATACATTACTGTAACAATTTTGCCATTTCTTCTTATTTAGTGAGTTCAACAATGCCCTTTTGGTTTGTTTTCCTTTCTATTCTTCCTCCCCTTTCACTCCAGGTTACCTAGGTTACTCGCCGCTTGGCCTACGATGTCTACTATATCAAATCGAATCTCAAGGGCATCGCCACCACTAACCCAAGTCTGAATCCTTTCGATGCGGTGAGTTCCTCGCGGCCATGCACCAAGAACAAGACACGCTGCAGACTTGCCGATCCGTGTCCCCATAATCTCCCGATACCGTCGCGAGGCATAGTGCCAAACGCATGGCATGGAAGTGCTTTTGAACGGAAGGTCATTCTCATTGTAGATTACATCTCGCACGTACGGATAGGTCTGCACATTCACCACGCCAGCAAAGTAGATATGCTTGAGAGTGTCGATATTGAAATCCATCTTGTACTGCGCCAGAGCAATATCAGACCAATTGTATCCGTGATATCGGAAGATAGCTTCACCAATGATAGCGCCTTCAACGGTCATGTTTGAGAACTCCGAGAACCTACGGTGACCTCCCCCATCGAGGCCGTGGCGTCTCACCCATACACTACGGTAAACTGCCGCGACGGGGAGTCCTAGCTGGCTAAGGTCGTTCATATGTCCCCGTGGGGGTTGGGACCAGCTGCGCATGACCACCTGGTATCGATCTTTCTTCAGCTTGGCCCAAATCAAATCTTGAAAGGTCAGTGTCGAGAGTTGAACTGGACATCCGGGAGCTTCAGGATTATCCAGCCATTCAACAAGGGCTTCTCCATCTCTTCTAAACTTGTCAATCACAGCCGATTTGGTAACATCAACTTTATCACTCTCCGACATACCATGGATGCTTTCTGTGCTGCTTTGGCTAGAGCCACTGGAGCCGGTTTTGGCGAAGCAACGTCGGGGCCATTTGGGATCATTCGGATTGGGTGGTGGACTCACACGCTGCCTTTTGCTGGAATGAGGATCTTCGGTCTCCTCGGAGCGCTCACGCTTGACCCCTCCGGGTACCATGGCTGATGAGGTTGTAATATGTTCGAAGTGAATTGTAGACTGTTGCGTTGTGATTGTATCACAGGTGTTGAAAGTCTGTGCAACAGACCCTGGACAAGCTTGACTTTATAGAATTGTCCTATCCAACCGGTCTCTAGGTCATAATGCCAAGATCTGACCAAGGCCTTGTGGTCAAGTATCAAAAAGAATGTTGTTCAAAGACTTAGCCATGAGGACAATGGTATCCCGACCCGAGCATCGTCCTAGGGGCAATAATGAGCCTCCAAGGCTGGCGCGAGTACAAAGGGAATACAAAGACAAGTAATTTCATTCAGCCTCTAACAAAGCTGGACAATTTCACAATGGTGATTGTTCGACTTCAATGTAGCTGTGCAGTACCTCGTTCAGCATGCTGCTGGTTGACCGAAGACGTCACAAATTGCTCCGTGATTTCGAACAGCGAGAGACATCATCTGCAAGACTTCTAGCAGATTCCAATGTCAAGAATCAAATGTCTTGCGATTGCAGGCACTGAAGACGTCCCAGTGCTCTCCAGTCCACACCGCTTTGGCTCGCCTCGATGGGACAAGATTTCCCCTCAAACGCTGAGATTCTCCAACCTCCCGAAACAAGGACCTGAACAAACCTGGATGGGCCCGGGTTGCCACCATCCTGGATCGCACAGAACCCCACGTCCGGCGCTCCGCCGATCCCCCAGCCACGCAGTCCGGACCTGCATTAGAGCCAATTCCAGCCCGCACCAATGAGGAGCCCGACTCCTTCGGATCATTGATCAGTGAGATCCCCGATTCCCAAGAGATCCCAGCTGCTCCGCATGCAGAAGCATCATCCTATGCCGCACAGTCTGCGGCACAGGCGGATCCGGGGGCGTGCTTCGTAGACTCACTTCCAATATCATTTCCGGTGGAAATCCACCCTCCCAAACCACCTGTGTCGTCAGGTCCTTTCAAAACACATATCACCCCGACTCTGTTGATGCTCACAGAGCGTCTGAAGCCTGCGAAGACGTATATTCCTACATTTCAGACTCGGGCTCTGGATCCTCTGGAGCGGGGGTATTGGTTTGTGCGTTTCGATCTCACGGCAGATCATGCGGGTCGAGATCGGGGTGCTCTCGATGGGCCCACCTGGCCTTATGCGCTTTTTGATGCCTTCTGGTCTTTTCTCTCAGACTTCATCGGGAGGGATGGTCGAGCGGGTTGGGGCGTTTGGTGTATCCTGGAGCGAGATGGGGATTCGCGTCCATCTCAGGTGACATTGAAGGTCTATGCGTGGGGCGAGGTCGCTATGCATATTTATCTTCTGTTGTTTCTGGCGAGTGAGCGACGTATTAGAGGAATGGGCGCTCAGTGGAAGGATTCGCGGGAGGAGGTTGTCGTTCAGATGCCATGAACATCGATGGCATTCATGCCGCAGCGATCGCGAACAGACCTGGACTGTTGCTTCTCTTTAGATTCTACTTTATACCCACACAGCTAATTGATCTTTTTGAATCCCAATCTGACATTTTGATAGAAAATGATATTGTACATGCTAGAAAGGAGCCTAACAGGGCCGGTTTTGGAACGATACTCGTTCAGAAAAGGAAATTGGTCTTCAAAGATCCTGAAACAGATTGAAGTCTGCGAAAGCAAGGGCCATGTTTTCCCGAATAATCCATATGCGCCATGTCGCCAGAGTTAGATAAAGCACACAGACACGAAAGAAAAGTAAAATAAAGTAAAAAAGAATGCAAGGGGGAAATCAGGTGGGGTAGTATGGGTGGGCTTAGTAGTTCAGCTCGCCACCACCTGCGCCGTCAACGGCATCGAGGTCTTCGTAGCTCTTCAAGCTGCGACCCTGAACGGCCTCGCGGGGAGGCATCGGGGCACCATTGGAGCCCGCAGAGTCGGGGAATGGGTTGGCTGCGACCATGCCGGCGGCAGGATGACCGGCAGGAACATTGACAGGAGGCACCCGGCCGTACATGCCAGGCATGCCACGGGGAGGACTCAAACGGCCGTTACCGTTGAAGCGACGACGATCGTAAGGGCCAGGTCGGTGGTTGCGGTTTTGACCACGGCGCATGGGCCCAGGCTGATGCATGCCGTCTTGTCCTATGCCGTTCCAGCCAGGGTGACCACCCATCATAGGCATCCCGCCCGGTGGGAAGTGGGGCATGGCGCCGTTAGGTCCATACGGCATGCTTGATAGGCTGAAGCCCCGAGGGGTGCCGCTGTGCCCTTGACCAGATCCGAGTGGGAAGTGACCATTGCTATTGGCATCCGATCGGGAGGGAGCAATGCGTGCCGGGTCAAGGACATAAGCATTGACGAGGTGGAGCTGTGATGGGTTAACGCTGGGTAACAAGTTGGAGAATCGGATACTCACATCATTCTTGATCTGCTCGAACCACTCCCCGTGGCGCTTCTCGACGTGCTTGCGCCAGAATGCCTCGGCCTTGAAGAGCTTGGTGCAGTCGGGAGCCTTGCAGCGGTACTTGGAATCGTCCTCTTGCTTCATATATTTCAATAGCTCATCTTCCACTGCTTGATCGACCGGCTTACCGCCGATCTTGGTGAGGTCGACGTTTTCGGGTTCTAAGATCTGCAACAGCTTGTCTTCAAAGGTCTTGACCCAGTTGAAAGCACGCTGCATTTGCTGCTCTGACTTGGAGCCATGGCGCTGGCCACGCTTCTCCCGCACAGGTGAAGAAGGGTCCTCTCCTTCCTCGCTGGGCTCCTTTTGCTTAGAGGGGAAAGGCTGGCCAAGTGCGCTGGCGCGGGCGACTTCTTTGGCCTGGCTAGAAAGGCCGGTACGGGGACGGCGGAGGTGCCCTCCAGGGCACTTGCGACCGAGTTCGTGGACCGAGTCACTCTCAAATACGCAGAAGAAGCAGAAGTTGTACACCCGCCGCAGGTATTCAACGATCAAATCGAGCTTCTTCTTTTTAACGGCGAGCTCTTCGTCATCAACCTCCTCGTCGTCCATAGTATCTGGCTCCTCGCCTTCTTCCATCTCACCGTCGTCTTCATCGCCGTATCCATTCTTTGGCTTTTTGGCGCTAACGGGTCCTGTGGCAGGGGGTTGGAGCTCCCCTTTGCCACGCAAGTCATCGACGTACTCTTCAATTGTGACGATTCCATCTACGTTTTCACCCATCTCAGAGTCCAGCTTGGAGGCCAATCGCTTGGCCAACTCGAGATCACGATCAATGCGCTCTGGCGCAGAGAACAGATCCCAAAGAGCCTTCTTGCGAGGTTGGGTAGGGGGAACGTGAACACCGACGTGGCAGACAAAATCACCATGAACAGAGTCATGGATTGTCTTGTCATTGACGGCTTCCAGGGCCTTTTCGGCTGTGCTAGCCGTGGGGGCGCCGTTCACACCAGTTCTTTCCGACTCGTCAAGCTCTTCTTCGCGTCCATCTCCTCGCTCAACAACACTGGTCTCGGTGGATGGGTGAAGCATGATCCAACCCATACGGTGGAACTTCTTGGATGGGTTCGGATCGCTAAGGCTTAGACCCTTGAAGCCTCCGTCATCCTCGCCGAGGTGCTCTCGGCAGAACTCTTCAATCTTGGTCCGGCTCACATTGGGTGCAAGAGTTTTGATCAACAGAGCCGGTTGGGAAAGGACCTCGTCGCGAAGATCTCCCCCACGCACTGGAAGAAGATCGAGAACGCCCATAGTCTCGGTGGCAGCGGTGGTCTCTCCCTCTTCCTTTTCGACTACACCGCCGGCACCGTCGCTGTCGCCTTTGTAGATACCTTCGAGGGTGAAATCCTTGAAGAGGTGGTTCTCGACGTCGCGCTGCCACTGTTCGTATGCGCCCCGGCGCACAGCTATCAGGCGGCTGCGAAGGGGGTCTCGCACCTCGGGGACATATCGCTCTTTAAACCATTCTTCATGGCGATGTTGTTGCACAAACAGTCTAGCCAATCGAATCTGGAGATCAATCTTGTATGTGTCGTAGGCGGCCTGTATTTGCGCGCGCTGATTTTCGCGATCTTCACGCGCTTCACGTTCGCCCTTCACGCGACGTCCACCGTTCCTGGCGCGCTCCTTTTCTTCATTGATGATCTGCTCTGATCTCCACCACTCGGCGAACCAATTGAAACCAACTTGGAAATCGAGCGAGAGCGGGTTGGGAAGGCGATTGCTAAAGTGAGGACGTGGGGGCTCGCCGAAATCTTGTCCGGGCACGTAACGGTCGATATTCGCGACATTGGGAGAGGGGGCCCTCCGGCGGTCCTCGCGCTCGCGGGCGGCGTGGTCCCGGGAGTTGTTGTAGTGGTCATCTCGGTGGGCCCGGCGGTCCGAAGGCTCGTAGCGATCAATCACAGGGGAGCGAGAGCGTGGTCGAGCACGTCGTCGATCCTGGGGAACTGGTGGATGTCAGCTCGGTGCTGATACGCGGGGAGAAAATGCCCAGATCAAACAACTTACTCGGCGATCGACGTCGATATGATTCGACGGGGTCTCGTCCCGAGAAGGAATCCGCCTCGCGGCCTCTTCCGGGCGACCCGTAACCGTCATATGACTCCATGGTTTCTGGGAATTCCACAAGGCTAGAGTTATTGACAGCCTGCGCGGCAAGAGAATCTTGATGGGTCCAGTGCTCGGCCCTGGCGGGTAGGGAAACGTAGCAGTCTGAGGCGATCTGTAGGGCTGGGAGCGCGAGATCCAATCGATCAACTAAGTGTTGACATCGTCAATATCAGATCCAGAAACATCACGGGGCGAGGAGCGATGGCGGTTGGCAAGTTCAAGAGTAAAAAGTAACAGAGTAGTGGGTTCGGGGCAAAGAGAGAGACAAGAGCACACTGCCGCGAGGGAGACGTCGCGACCCTGCGCTAGGCACGAGACGAATCATGGTCGCGGCAGGTTGAATATAGAAGAGAGAAATGAAGGCAGAAGCCCGTGCAGCGAAGCATTCAAAGATGGAGCCTCAGCCATGCGCCAAGGGAAAGGGGAGAGAAGAGCAGGGTGATCGGAGGGGCACAACAGAGAAATAGAATAGAGCCACCTACAAGAAACCTCAAAAGACAAAGGTTGTGAGATGGAAGGGAAAGAAGAAGCCGAGGAGGTGAAGGGAGCTGGAGAAAGCTGGGCGCTTGGCCGAAAAGGGTATGGCGTCACGGGGATGGCTGGTCGTTGCTGATTGGCCTTTACTTTCACTTCACTTTACTACTCACTATAGCCCTAGGCTCTGTATATAGTAGGAGGGGATATTGTCCATGAGTCTCTGTCTTATAAGCTGTCTCTACTATCCATTCACCATAGTACCTGGTGAATGGTCATGTCTGGGTGTGAGACTGCTTGTTTAGCCTGTTTTCATACATGAAACTGACACCATCTAGCCACAGAGTACTTCGTACTTTGAATACCGGAGAATTGCAAGTCGCCTGGCAGATATGCTGGTTTCTACTCTGCACAATTGATCAACCTGTCGCCTAATCCCGAGGTTGGTGGTTTAAAGAAGTATATCTATCCAATATGACGTGTATTGAGCTGTGGAGGCTGTCTCGTACAGAGTAGTCTGTACTGGGTAAGTAATGATCTTCTATACGAAGCATACACAGTACGTACTATAAATACAGATCTGAAACGCACGGCCTCCAGGCTAAGGCTCAGGCCCTGCAGGAACCGCGCGGGACTACGGAGTACAGTACAGTATAGGGTGTTGGTTTTCATACTGGCATAAGCGGACCAGGGACACTATCATAGGGCCTGCTATGGAACTAATTCCCAGGTCATATTCAAAAGCAGAACAGCATACTACAACAGCATACTACTAGTTTAATCCTAAGAACTAAAATCTTAGACGTGAGGTACAGAGTAGTTGGGTTGGTAATGGAAGTGGATGTTCTAAGGTTGGTATTTTATTTATTACTGTGACACAATGGAAAAGAGGAAGATGGGAACATACTGTATGTCTTAGATCCTAAGATGCATCTGAAGAAAGGACTCATGTCTCAATAGAAATGGATTGGTGTTCAGCTCCTTTATGTTTTGCCGACCCACCTGATTGGACACAATTCACCCCAACCACACCTCACTTCGCAAGTACACTCCACCACATGTCAGGTCTCCTCAACTCGCGATGGGCCCCGACGCCCTCCGCAACTGTCTCCAGGCCCCAGTACACTCGTCCTCAAGTGAGCGGTAGCATTCGCTCCGGAGGCCTGCTGCCGCCAGCCGAGGAACTGTCGCGATTCATGAAAATCGTGGCAAGGCTTCGATGGAAACTCCCCTTCCTGGCTGAGGGCTATCGGCTCGCGACACTAGAGTCCGAAGACCACATGGCCGAGGTGTCACATGCAGAGATGATGTTCAAGATTGATTTCCACGAATATTATGCGCTGTTGGAGCGCGCGATCGTGCACTTACTCGCTGTGTTTAATATAGCCGTCACGGCGCGGGGTTCCAATGGACCCGCGAATGGGACCGAAAATGGTCCGGTCGGCGTTCATCGATACCATGCCAATGTGCTGGAGGCGCTGCGGGAGCAGACGACGCCTCTGGCGCCGGTTCTTGGCAGTGGGGTGGTCTTTTCGCATTTACAGAAGGCCAAGGAGTTACGCAATAGATGGAAGACCGCAGACTTGACGGCGGAGGAGAGGGAGAGGCAGGGCGAGCGGACGGATGTCCTGCGTTTGGCGGACTTTGACTTCGAAGACATTCTCTCGGGCATTTTCGCGGGCCTGGAAGAGGCGTATATGAGGGCGAAGGATCATGTCGATAAATGCGTTCGTCCGGATGACTTGCCGGATCAGAAGAACTTCGAGTCCGACTGGGGCTTTATGGTCGATGCCATGGACTGGGAGGCTGTATGAGAATTGGCGATGTTTGTGCTATACACACCATCTACTGCTGGCGGGCATGGCAGCTTTGATGTCCGTCCATGAACAGGTCAGATCCCGGAGATCTTTCCATCCTCGCCGAGATGAGGAGTTGTGTCTCAGTGCCGGTGCAGGATGACTGGGTCAACGTCTCCCCCACTCCCCGGTCTTGAAGGACCGGTGAATCGGTCGCGTTCCGCATCTTGGGTTTCAAGCGAGTCTTGATATGAAGAGCCCACCGAGGGAAGACAGCTCGCTCACAGGAATGAGCGGCTCGGCGAACAGAGCGATGCGATGCATCTGCCCTCCTATCCTGTCACCTTCAAATGTCACAAAGAAATCGGTTCATCCCATTTTCACCTTTCCACTTCCAAACCAAATCTAGTCAAGTGAATAGGTAATAGTGCGCTCGCGTGAGATGGAACTGTAGCATGCTTCCAGCTTCCAGAAGTTCCAGCATCTCATACCGGTTAAGTCGGCCCTACTCAAGAGTCCAGGAGATAGCGGTAATGAGCAGTTGCGCAGTATAAGGCAGTATATCCATAGCTCAATAATCTACAATCCGAATTCACCCCGTCCCAAATCCGCCCTGACCATGAACAAGTACCAGAAAAGAAAAACCCATACTCAAATTCGGATGCTCGTAACAAACCAGTCTTTCGAAAACCCGATTCCCGATCTGTTTTTCCAGTGATGGAGACACTTTCTAAAATTCCCAGCCGAAGACCCATAAACCCGCAACACGAGACACCGAAGAAAAAGAGAACAGTGGGGAAGAATATAGAATATTCATGATAGAATCATCAACGTCCAGGCTCAGGGACGCGTGGAAAGCGACAGAAGGCTGGCAGTCCTGGAATTATACGATAAGGCAAGCCTTTGGGTAGCGAATTCCGCCCGTCGCAACCGACATGGTGTGAATGCTTCGACGCACCCGAAAAGCCAGCAAGAGCCCATCATGAAAGAAAGAAGAAAAAAGAAAAAACGAATACGACGAATAACGGAGGGGGAATGAAGAAAAATAATGGAAGAAAAATCGTCCCAGCATAGCGGTTATAAACAGACATCAGGGGCAGATCGGGATGAAGGGGAGGGGCGAGAAGAAGAAAAAGAAGAAAAACATCCAAGGGCATAGAAAGAGAGATCCATACACATCGCTCGCTAGAGAAAAGGTCCAAGACATCCATCCATAAAGCCGTGACGACAAAAGAAACAACAAAGGAAAAACAATTCACATATCACCAGCTCAAGACAAGGCTCGCGGTGGAGAGGCTGGGGAGATTCAACCGTCCTCGTCAGAAGGTTCAGCGGAGTCTTGTTCGCTCAAGTCAGCGCTAGCAGTGATCTTCGACTTCTTCAGGTTGACGCTGTCATCATGCACCTCACTTGACTTGCGTTTCTGTCCGGCGCCGTTCTCCGTCGGTAAAGGCTTGCTGAGGTCCTCGAAAGTGACTGGCTGGCCGGTGACCTCGGCGCGCTTTTCCATGGCGGCAACTTCGTCGGCGGTCAGGAACCGGCCACCGGGGCCACGGGGCCGGCGCATGGCATGGTTGTGTCGTGACTCATGGAGATATGGTTTCCGGCCCTTGGATGTCAAGCGCAACTGCTCTTCAAGCTTCTGGCGCGCGACGCGACGCTTGAGAATGCGATGGAATTGTTTGGCGTTGACGTACAAGGGCGACTCCTCTTGATTGCTGCCGGGGACCATGTCCGGCGAGGACTGGTTCTGTTGGATGGCTGCCTGGGGGAGCGGGGGAGCTGCGATCGAGGGCCGTCCGACATGGCTCATCACCGGCTGTGCACTGGGGACATTGGGGCTACCCACGTGGCTCATCCGGCGCTGGGGCATTTGCTGGTTGGGAGGCATCTGGACTTGGGAGCCCATTGGGGGCATCTGACTTTGCATCTGCGGTGGGGAGCGAGGGTTGCGATCCGCCTTCATTTGCATATTCGCCATCCGTGGGGAGCCTCGGGGGCCAGGGGCCATCTGTCCCGCCATCGAGTCCTGGTGCAGAGGATAGAACTGCCCAGAGGCCGCGGCGGTGGCCATCGCGGCCGCCTGGGTGGGTGAGATACCGTAGCCCTGTGCCATGGGCGCAGGTACGCCGTAGCCCTGCGGGAAGTTCATCTGTTGGTGGACGGCACCGGGCCCATTCTGTGCTTGCTGGTAATGCGGTTGGGATGGGACGATAGGAGAGGTCTGATGCGTGGAGTGAGGTTGAATTGGTGCCTGGGCGTTGGTGGGTGATGCCATCGATCCAACGGGAGCCCCGGCGTTTGATGCGCCAGTCTGGTAGGGGCCCGGGATGTGAGAGGAGGCGTGTGGATGTTGCCCGTGGGGCTGTTGGTACTGGGGAGGGTACTCCATGACGTGTGGATCTTGTCACACCACGGCAGAGTTTCAGGGGATTGATCTAGTGCGACCACTGACTAGAGGATGATCACCAATCAGATCGACCGGAGGAACCTAATGTGGGAGGTTAGAATGGATCAAGGTTCACGGCGACGTCTGTTTGGTAGATGTATGGGTACGATATCACAGGGCCCGCGCAATGAGGGACAGAGTCACCACAAGCGTAGGGGGAACGGGAAATGATTTGACCAGATAGGCTGCAGGCTCGGGGCTTCGCGTCAGCAAAGCGCATCGCCGAGCGGTCACTGGGTTTCAGAGTGGGGGGGATGGGGACCAAGACGCGACCTGGCACGTACCTTACAATAGGCGCGTACTGTGAGCAGCCAATATGGATACGATAATGCTCCCAGAGGGGACTCTGAGGTCTGTATGGCGAGAATTCTCTCAAACGCCCCGCGGAGGGTTTGACTCTTTTGTGCAAAACTGTCAACGCCCACTTTCGGGTGGGACGTGGTTGGGCTGTGATGCAGTGGCCCCTCAACTGAATGCCGGCTTGATGCGTTGTCAATCGACTGCCAGGTGTGGAGGCGACGCGGACTAAGTCAAGCACGGTCGGCAGGCTGCCTCATTCACGCACTTCTGGGGTTCTGCCACGTCTATACAGACTGAGGCGGTGCCTTGATGTCAGAATGCGCCTCTCAGGTCAGACTATCCAAGATTAGTACACGTCCCATGGCGCCAATCAACGGGGAGGGTGCCAGTGACCAATGCGCTGGTCCCCGGGGGTCTCTTGAGGGGGTTTGGGGGAGATCCGAGGCGGGTCAGACCGGCCATGGCTGAGGGGCAACGTGTGCGTTGGCAAGAGATGCATGAAACATACCTGATAGACTTCTGCAGACGCAAGAATATTTGAGGCGAGACTAGTCAACGCCAGGGAGCGAATCAGTAGCGACTATGAGCTGTTAGATGATCCCACGAGGATGATGTAAACGCCAGGGACGCGTGTGGATTGGAAAACATCAAACGCGCATCACTCGGGCCAATGGGGGCAGGATAAACAGGATTGGTTCACGCGTTGTTATGTCGGATCAAGACGCGCGGATCGAGATCAAGATAATCTCCGGACAATCAAGGGATCCCAGGGTACACGGTGATTTGACCGGACTGGAGGGGAGGGGGAGATCGCGGAAGCGTGCCAACGAGAGGGAAGGCGGTGGTTCTGTGCGCAACCGCAGCCGACCGGATGTATATCATACAGGTATGATCTCGATCCAGGGACATTGGGACTTGACAAATACAGAACGTTGTTTACATGATAAGAATGCGGAGCGAGGGGGAACGAGACAGCGACGATAACATTATACAGACCAAACAGGACGAAGCTAGCAAAGAATAAGGAATAAGACACTTACAGTAAAGTAACTGCAGCTTGGTTTCACCAATGACGATAAAAGGGGGGAGTACTGTGCGATGGTTGGAGGAGGAACTGGAGAGGGCGGGCAACCAACGAGAAGAGGCAGAAGGAAGAAAGGCGAGGGAAAAGGGCGGATGGGGCAGTTTTGTAGGAGATTGACTGGCCCGCTGCCTGGAGACCGCCTTGCTCCCCGCTGCTAAGGCCGCCTTTTCTGCGATTTCACCGTTCCGTACGAGTCCCGTACGCCCTCGTACACCTCCTTACACAGCATTACGGGAGGATCCTTTGCTTTCACTGGTCCATGGCCCCTCACCCCCACCCACTCGGCCCCCATGGGTATCCGTATGACCATACCTGTTCAATACACGAATCCGGCACCTCCGGGCTCTCGTCATGTGTGACCCGACACTCAATGACGCATTCCTTTTATACTCCGTCTCGACAGGGTCAGGTCAATGCTCCTAGTTTACTATGCCATATCCCAGACTCCTACCTGCCACGCCATCACTCGCCTCATATCAAAATCCTTAAGCGAACTCGGCTCTTAAATTAATCATTTTGCTTTTTCCGTCGATGGAGACCGAGTATCTCGGTCCTGTCTCCTATTCGGGGAAGTATCATCCATCTCAGGTCCCATTCCCCCATGATCCTTGCCGGATCTCGTGTATTCTGTCGGCTAGGGAAAGGCGGCAACGGGGGTCGGTGAATCACACTACTCTGACGCTCAGTTTACGCGTGGCAATGTGATGGGATTGCCCAGGGCGATCCGCTCACCTCCCGGGCGGCAACATTGTGATTTGGGCGACAGTGACGTGCAAACATTGGCGGTTGCCATAGCGCCTCGGGGACACATGAGGCCCCTGAGTGCATTGTTCTCTGATCTCTGGCAGGCTGGAAATGTCATTCACTCGCCTGAGGCCTGCCCAGCTGTGAATGCTACATGCGTATCTTGTAGAACGGAAATTTCTGCTAGGTGCGACAATGCAGACTATCTGAGGTACATGGGAGAACTCTTTAGCCATTGGCTGGGCCTATCTTGTTGTGACACCGTGATCGCGCCTTGAGAGGCGCGCGAATCTAGTCTCTCTCACGGCGTGTATCAACCCCGGGTTAACAAAAGCCGGCATTCTGCTTGGTTGGCTCGAGTGGCTCGAGTGACTCGAGCCCTGGAGGTAGCTTGATTTCCCAATTCAATGAATGGCATGGTATGGCAAGCAGAGACACGCTCCATACATTGTTCTGTCCAGCTTCAGTAAGTATTTGTCCGACTCCCCGGCCCTGAACGCGTTCGTGCCTGGCTCCCGGCCGTCTGCAAAAAGACTGGCCATTATTCGCAGTGATACTCTCGTTATCGAGGGTCCTTCTACAACCTTGGAACCTTTAAAGTAGATAAGCTAACTCAAGTGACCTACTGCGATGATTGGCCAATACATGTGCTGAGGCACGAACTAATGTACCTTCACCCCTACCTAGCTTGTACCATGTGTCTTCGAGCAACTTGGAAGGGAGCTTGATATGACAGTGAGATAGCCCAATGTACTATATCCCCAGGAAGAAATGGCGAGTTACAGTTCGTTTGATCTCAGATGTACAAACACTTCATATATCCGGATTTTAATTGGATGAATGAAAGAGGTCCTAGGAACCTTGAAGAACCTTGAGAGGCGGGCTGAGTCTATTGTGCGGGCCGGTCAATTGCTTACCTCGAGTCTGATTGGAATCGTGGAATGTCAAATACAGCGAATACCAACCATTTTTTGAACGCGTGCATGAGGTTTCACATTATTCAAATTTCGAGATATTCTGCCATATCCTCTCCTACCTAGAGGAGTATCTCGTCTCGAGACATCGCTAAAATGTGACTAAAATAGCGAAGTGGCGGTCGAAATCATTCAGCTCACCGCAGTTTCTTCGAGCTGAGATCCCCACCTTGCGGTGTTGACTCGGATTCCGTTTGTTTCATGTCAGCCCAAGATCCAGGGCAGAGCTAGTACAGTAGGTTTGCTTCACTCGGCTAACAATCCATACCTTAGAGCATACTCTACAGAGTATACTAGATGCCCCGGTCTCCACGTGCAGAGAGTCAAGGGAACCGTTTAGCGGCGATAATTCCGATTTGCAGTCCGATCTCGGGAACCCCACGTGTGGGAGCTTCCAAGGTTCCGTGGGTTCGGGACTCCCACGGTCCGGATTCTGCCACTTCCATGGTTCCAAGCTTGGGAAGTTTGAATCAGAAAATATGCTACGTACATACTGGAGGTATGAGACGAGATGAAAAGAGATGCCAAACTTGTGTATTCCAAGGTTTTACTAGGTATTTTCTTTTTTTTAAAAAAAAAAAATATTCACATTCTGAGTACACCTGGCGGTTGGCATGGATGTGACCGTTATATATTTCCAAGTTGTTCACCCGAGTAATTCGATGCGGGTCACATCGACGCCATCTTAAAATTCCCAATGGATATTCAAACTGGAAGTAACTGAGAAATATGATATTCCCGTAGATTCAATGATCATGACCAGTCTCACTCTGGCAGAGTGGCCAAGCGATGGTCAATCATCGAATCCGACGCTCTGTAAAATCACGACCGAGGAATCAGACCAAAATGCCGAGCCACGTCAAAGCCGAGCTGACAATGTGACATGTTCCGCCCGAGCTGGGGAACAATTATGTCACCAACACATTCTCCGTACGGAATAAGTCACCTAATATTGAGAAATTAGGTCCAGGCCCCTGCGATCGATTTGTGGGTCTATATGCCTTGGTCTAGAACACCATCGTAAGCTTCTCCCCCTTGACCGGACAGGCATTCGTGAGCTGTAAGCCTCGGTCGTTTCGCTTTGACATGATGTACGGAGTACTTCGTACGGAGTATACATGAAGGATCAGCCTGAGCCTAGTGAGACGTACCGAAAATAGCTGAGCTCTGCCACTTTCAGCCCCAACCTGCCCGATTCCAATCAAGATGCTTATTGTATCAGAAGCAAACTTGGCCCCCGGTTTGCATTGGTGTAATTGCCTGGGACCGACGGTTGTGTTCCCTGGAGTGTGTGCGCAGGTATTGTTACAGATTAAATCAAGTGATATATGAACTTGTTGAGTTGGTGAATCACACTTGAATTTTATCCCTCAATACATACTCGGGCTGGGTAATTGTATGCGACGAGGGCTTGTGTAGATTGAAGATCGGAACCATGGCTCTCAGTGGCTGGATCCTTGGTAGCTGAGATCTGAACATCGTAAATTAAAGGCACACTTCCAATGCTCCGCTTTTGTGTTGATCGAATCCCGGACTGTTAGCTCTGCTGTCGCTGAATCCTGGGGAGGCCCAGTCAGAACGAAACCTGCAACGTGCGCGGGGAGATTAGACCAACGGAGCGCGAGGAATCCAAGAATTGAAATTTAGAGAGTTGCCATAGGATTGGCATGGTGAATCTAGCCTGGTGTATCAAACTTTGGAAAGTTCAGAATTCTATGGTCAAAAGGAGCGGAGTGAGGTGCGGAGTACTCCTTACCCCGTACAAGGTAGAATGTTCGCATGTTTTGCTGTTCCTATGCATATGCTCACTAATAAACAGAGTCGTGGACATCTGGTTAGTTTCCCTCCTGCATCAGCCTCCAGGTAAGAGTCACAACCTTGGAATTATCAAGGTGCGTTTTGAATCAGCGCAGTGGGCTGTGATCTCCAGGGACATCTGGATATGTCGTGGCTTATTACACCAGAGGATACCATAATATTGCTCGATCAGGGAGCGACAGAAGCCGTAGAATGCAAGCTTAGGGAAGAACCTCTCGATTTCCACCCCTTCTCAGGCCACCGCGCGTAGTGTCTCGCAAGCTCGAGCGGTGGAGTGATTACTCATCATCTACCCGCTCCAGGGCTCCGGGGACTCATGTGGCTTTTCCGCATGTTGACTCGACAATCGCATTTGCTTTTACTTTGTACTTAGAGCGAACCGACTCTGCGGCTGGTATTCCTCAGTGGTCGACCCTCGAAAGCCTGCAAGTTCCAGGAGTCTCCGCGCACCGGACACTCCCACAAGAAAACATCACGGACACAACAACATTGATCCGATACATGACGTCTTTGTTGACGACGACAGTTTTGAGACTCAATTTGAACTACGCGCAATCGGTCGAGGATTTATCGACACACATCAACGCGCTCGTTTCTTTGCGACGGCATTTCGAGCCGCGCTCCTTGCGGAGTTCGCGCATTGGTGTACCCCTGTCACCGCTTGCGTCCCACCCCCGGACTCGGGTCCTCCTACAAATTCGCTGTTGACAACTGTGCCCCGTGTATGGGTTAAAGAGCAAACATGGCTCCAGGCGGTGCTGGAAACATTAAGGTGGTGGTGCGGGTGCGGCCTTTCAATAGTCGAGGTGAGTCGAGACCGCGGGAGGGGTTCTCCCTTGGGCGCCATGCTGACCACACTGCCTTCGCACAGAAAAGGAACGAAACGCAAAATGTATCGTGGCGATGAAAGGAAACCAGACCGTGCTCACCCCACCACCCGGCGCAGAGGATAAATCAAGGAAAGGCGGGAAAGGCGGTGGTGAAGGGAGCAAGACGTTCGCCTTTGACCGGTCATATTGGTCCTTCGACAAAGATGCGTCCAACTTTGCTGGCCAAGATGACTTGTTCGACGACCTGGGCTCACCCCTTCTGGACAATGCTTTTGGAGGTTACAACAATTGTATCTTCGCCTACGGTCAGACAGGTTCGGGAAAGTCATACTCCATGATGGGTTATGGAAAGGAATATGGTGTCATTCCACGGATTTGCCAGTCGATGTTTGAGCGGATCACCGCGATCCAGGCGGACAAACATCTTAACTGCACCGTGGAGGTGTCCTATCTTGAAATCTACAATGAGCGAGTCCGCGATTTGCTCAATCCATCCAACAAGGGCAATCTGAAAGTCCGTGAACATCCGTCGACTGGTCCTTACGTCGAGGATTTGGCCAAACTTGTCGTGGGATCCTTCCCGGAAATTGAAAATCTAATGGATGAGGGCAACAAAGCCCGAACGGTGGCTGCGACCAACATGAACGAAACGTCAAGTCGATCGCATGCTGTGTTTACATTGACACTCACCCAGAAAAGACACGACAGTGAAACTTCCATGGACACCGAGAAAGTATCCAAAATCAGTTTGGTTGATTTGGCTGGTTCAGAAAGAGCAAATTCCACCGGTGCCACCGGTGCTCGGCTGAAGGAGGGTGCTGAAATCAATCGCTCACTTTCAACACTCGGTCGTGTCATTGCTGCACTTGCTGACGTCTCAGCTGGCAAGACGGCAGCTGGCAAAAAGAAGAATGCTTCCATGGTACCATATCGTGATTCAATCTTAACCTGGCTGCTCAAAGACTCACTCGGAGGTAACTCTATGACATCTATGATCGCGGCCATTTCTCCTGCAGATATCAACTGGGAGGAAACGTTGGGTACTCTTCGTTATGCCGACTCAGCCAAACGGATCAAGAACCATGCCGTTGTGAACGAGGACCCGAACGCACGTATGATTCGCGAACTGAAAGAAGAACTCGCGCAGCTCCGATCTAAACTTGGGGGTGGGGTAGTGCCCGGAGCAGGCGGCGCTGCAGGTCAATCGGGTGCTCCTGCCGAGGAGTACTATCCGCCTGATACCCCTCTGGAACAACAGATGGTCTCGATTCAACAATCCGACGGAAGTGTCACCAAAGTCAGCAAGGCGGAGATTGTAGAACAACTCAACCAAAGTGAAAAGCTCTACAAGGATCTCAATCAGACATGGGAGGAGAAGATGATCAATACCGAACAAATCCACAAGGAACGTGAGGCTGCCTTGGAAGAGTTGGGTATCAATATCGAGAAGGGATTCATTGGGTTGAGTACCCCCAAGAAGATGCCCCATTTGGTCAACCTCAGTGATGACCCCCTTCTGGCCGAATGCTTGGTCTACAATATCAAACCTGGAACCACCACCGTGGGGCACATGGATCAAGCCCAAAATATCGAGATCAGGTTGAATGGATCGAAGATTTTGGAGAGGCATTGCACCTTCGAGAACGTTGACAACATTGTGACAATTGTTCCTACCGAAGGAGCCGCCATCATGGTGAACGGCCTGCGAGTCGACAAACCCACACGACTAAGAAGTGGTCATCGAATCATCCTGGGTGATTTCCACATTTTCCGTTTCAACCACCCCCAAGAGGCCCGAGCCGAACGTGTCGAGCAAAGCTTACTTCGCCATTCCGTAACGACAAGTCAGCTTAGATCGCCGGCGCCAAACAAAACCCATGACCGAAATCTCAGTAAAACGGGGTCCGAAGTGGATGGCGATTCAAGTCGGGCAGACTCACCGATGCCCTCGCAGCGTAGCCGCGAATCAGATTGGTTCTTGGCCCGCAGGGAGGCTGTCAGCGCTATGGTTGGGCCAGACCAAATCTCACACTTGCCTGACGACGAACTGGATACACTCTTGGAGGATGTGCAGAAGGTCCGGGCAGGTCGCCGTGGAATGCCCGACGAAGATGATTCAGATTCCCTCAGCTCGTTCCCTATTCGCGACAAATACATGTCTAACGGGACCATCGACAATCTTTCCCTCGACACAGCGATAACGATGCCGAGCACGCCCCGACAAAATGAAGACGACGATATGAACGGTGTCGCATCCTTGTTCCAAGCTCGCCAAGATATGCAGAGACAGTTGGATCGCCGAAAGGAAGAGTTCCAAGAGAAGCTCAAAACGGTTGAGGCCTCGGTTGACCCGAACTCACCAGAGCTCACCACAGAGAAACAGCGGATGGAGCACGCTCTGCGAACTGCCAAAGAAGAGTTCGAGGAGCAACTCCGCCAACAGAAAGAGTCCTTCGAGAGTCATATCCGAGATATGGGAAAGCCGGTGCCCCAAATATTCGAGAATGGGTTCGCCAAATTGGACGAGCGTGAAATTGAAATCGCGCGCGCAGTGTACAGCCATTGGTCTTCACGAAACTACGTGCGAATGGCTGAAAAGATTCTGCAACACGCTTCACTTTTGAAAGAGGCACAGGTCATGAGCCACATAATGGACAAAAATGTGGTTTTCCAGTTTGCGATCATCGAACACGGTCACAGCATGGAATCCTCCTACGATCTCGTGCTGAATGGGATTTCCGCCGACGAGGACATCGCCCTAGACGAGGCCAAGAAGCCCTGTGTTGGGGTCCGCGTTATCGATTACAAACAGAGTGTCGTCCGGCTGTGGTCAATCGAAAAGCTCCAGCGCCGTGTCCAGGCTATGCGACAGTTGCATCAATACATTGATCGCCCCGATTACATCCAGCACTTCAGACTTGACAATCCGTTTTCCGAACCCTGCTCACCTCAATATTCTCTTGTGGGTGACGCTGATATCCCCTTGACTGCAGTCTTCGAGACTCGCGTCCAAGATTTCTCTGTTGAGATCACTTCACCATACACCCAAAATGTCGTCGGTATTATCCGGCTATCGCTCGAGCCGTCATCTGCACAAGCGCCATCGTCAACCCTAAAATTCAACGTTGTCATGCGGGACATGATCGGATTCGCGGAATGGGAAGGCTCGGGCGTACACGCCCAGCTATTTGTCCCAGGGATTTCCGAAGAGGGAGGTGCAACCACCACCCAGATGATCAGTGGATTTGAAGATGGTCCGGTTCGGTTCGAGAGCGTGCACAGCATGAGCTTGCCATTATCTAGCCCACGAACAGCTGCACTAAAGGTCTGTGTCTATGCTGGAGTCAATTCGGTCCACCTGGACAAGCTTCTTAGTTGGGATGATATGCGCGACTCGGCAGAGCCCCTGCCACAGAAGCGCACTGCCCCTCGCATCCCTGAGTCTGAATTCTTTTCGGAGGAAAGACACGATGTCTTTGCTCGAATTCAGATCCTTGAAATGGCAGAATCGGGCGAATATCTTCCTGTGGAGGTTATCCAGAGCAACAGTCTTGACGCGGGAACGTCCCAGCTTCACCAGGGATTGCAGCGTCGTATCTCGATCAATCTGACCTACAGCTCAACGGAAAGTCTTCCGTGGGATGACATCAACAACATTCGCGTTGGATCTGTTCGCCTGCTGGATCCCTGGGGCAAGATCCCAGATCAAGATTTCCAGACCCCGGACGTTCCGTTGAAGTTTGTGCAAGATCCCATGGTCAAAGAAAATGCCGATGGAACTTCCATGGTCACCATTGTGGGTCAGTGGGACTCGAGTCTGCATGGATCTCTCCTCCTCGATCGAGTCACGGCCGAAAAGTACAGAGTGCAGGTTACTGTACGATGGGACCTGGTCTCCACTCGTCTCCAGACCCCAGTCGTGTTTGAGGCGGATCAGACCATTCAGATCCAGGGCCGTACATACGTTCGCCAGCAGTCGATGTTCAAACAATTCTGGAACTCGATCCGAGTGGTTCATTCGACGACTTGCATGTACTCCTTGGTGATTCGTCCGATTTCCGCTAAGCGTGCTGCTGATCTTTGGCGAATGAACACTCAAAATGACTATGTGAAGGGCGAAGAGCTCCTGCTCGCTTGGGCCCCTCGAAAGGTCTCGCTGGTGCGAGACTACATTGCCAACCGCAAGCGCCGACAGCGAGTAGCCGAGCTCCACGCTGCTCGGGGCGCGCTGAGTGCCGGTAGCTTGATCGCATCACCCGCTCGGAGTGGGCTGTCAACACCATCACGGGGCTCAGCTCTCAACGAGCGTAAGTCAAAACTTCTACGGAAGTATTTGGAACTGTGGTCGCTCAAGCAGGATCCTACCGAGAAGATTCTCGTCCGAGGCAACACCGAACCCCCTACGGATGGAGCCGCACAGAGACCAACCCCCAACATCAATGGTCTTTCCAATAAGATTTCCCTCAAACCTCGCTTTGTCGCAACCATCCAGACTCTTCCCAAAGCACCCGACGCCTTGAAGACGGGATATGTGCTTACCCCCGATGATACCAACAACGTTTGGGTCCGTCGTTTCGTGGAGCTCCGCCGGCCGTACCTCCACATCTACTCAGTCCCCGAGGGAGATGAGATTAACGCCATCAACCTTCGCAACGCGCGTGTTGACCACGCACCCGACTTCGCTAGACTACTCGACGGTTCAGGCGCTGGCTCTGACCGTTCTCTCTCCGCCAAGGGACGACCGAACGTTTTCGCTGTCTACGGGACCCAGAACACATTCCTCTTCGCCACTCGCACCGAGGCACAAAAGGTGGAATGGATCCTGAAGATCGATGAGAGCTACTTCAACAGCAACAGCCCCAGTGCGGCCACGAGTAGTTGAGCGGTCACCGATCCCCGAAGAGATTGACCTTTGTGCCTCGCCTGCTTCATGCGTTATGACTCTACGGGTTACAGTCTGCTTCTTTCGTTTTGTTTCCTTTCATGACCCACTGAGATACCCCTTGAATATATCGACTCGCTGTGGCACTCCTGTACATAATAATCCGATATAGTTGGGAATAGATCCAATTGTGCGCAGTTCCTTACTTTCCAGCGACCAAGATCAAGTCCGTACAGTAGCACCGAGCACAGTGGGCCATCGCATCCAAGACCGTTGCTATGGAAACGGAGGTGACATCAAGGGACTCGAGCTCACGAATCGAAGACTTGTCTCACTGAGAAATCTCCCCGGGTGAAATTGGGCCTTCCAGAAAGAATGCTCGCTCAACGCCCATCACTGCGCTTCCTGGCGATCGGGGCCGTCGTGTCCCTCTTCGTCCTAGCATTCCTCGTCCTCGGAACATCACCCCGCGGACTTTCGTCCCAGTTCAACATCAAGACACAACCACGACCAGTCCAGACTTGTGTCCCACCTTCCAACTCCTCCGGGTGGGAGTTTCTCGTCCAAAGAGATGGCAATGACCATGGTCTCTCCGAGGACCAGTGTCGCCTCGCATTCCCCAAGCTATTCACCGAGATCGATAAGTCATCAGCGTTGAGACAAGACACGCATATTTCCTATAAGGAGATGGACTCCCGCGCGGTAGATGATGGCATGGTGCGGGCGATCGTCGATCGAGGACAGGTAGGTGGGCTGACATGCCGCAACTATGCGCGATGCTAATATCTTCCCAGTTATACATCGTCGACTACGCCCCCATGCCCGCCACAGCAACCCGCGCACGCGCAACCCTCAACTCTCTCCACCGTGCGCTCGCAGCCTTTCCGAACCGCGACCTTCTCCCCAGCATCGAGTTCACTTTCACAACGGAGGATTTCGCCTCAGACACCCAAAGCGCAAGTCCCATCTGGGCATACTCCAAGCGCGACTCGGACACCTCGGTCTGGCTGATGCCTGATTTCGGATACTGGGCATGGCCCGAAGTGCAGATCGGCCCGTACCATGAAGTCCGGCGCCACATCGCAGCCATTGATGACGGCCAGACGGCCGCAGACGGGACTTTCACCCCGGGTCTGCCGTTCCAGGAAAAGAAGAAGCAGCTCGTCTGGCGGGGTAGCTTGGCCACAAACCCGCCCGTGCGAAGCAAATTGCTCAAGTCTGCGCTGGGTCGTAGTTGGGCCAGTGTGCGGGTTATCGATTGGGATGATGAGACGGATCTTCGATACAACTTGCTTCCTATTGAGGATCATTGTCGGTATATGTTCGTCGCGCACACGGAGGGGAGGAGCTTCTCCGGCCGTGGCAAGTATCTCTTGAACTGTCGCTCGGTGATGGTGTCGCATGCGCTGGAGTGGCGTGAGGCTCATCATGCGGCGCTGGTTTCGTCCGGCCCGGACGCCAACTACGTCGAACTTGATCGCGATTGGAATGACCTCGCCCGGAAGATCGATTATCTGATTGATAATCCTGAGATCGCGGAACGCATCGCGAACAATGCCGTGCGCACGTTCCGTGATCGTTACCTGACCCCTGCCGCTGAGTCTTGCTATTGGCGCCAGTTGATCAGACAGTACGCTGCATCTTGTGATTTTGAGCCGGTGCTGTTCTCCACTGGCCGTGATGGCAAGACTCAGGCTCGAGGTGTCCCCTACGATACCTGGATCTTGATGCATTGACTGGAGGGATGAAATGATGTGAATGCTTTCTGTTTTGATTTTCTTGTTGCTTCACATAGCAGCGTGGCGTTTGAACTGGCGATATTCCCTGGCGTTTTTGTGATGACCTGTATGATATCTTCTTCCACATGCATATAAGACAACGATTTGACCTTGATGATCGGCGATGAGTCTCCGTTGAAACCAAACGACGCGCGGGCGTTGGTTCTCACTACATGTATATAGCCCAGTACTCTCTCGAAAATCATATCTCAGTGCTGTCGGGATGTCCTAGTAAACAAGGTGAGTCGCCCGTCGCGGGATCTCACCGCATCTCCACTTGGTTTCGGCTCTTCACCTCTCGAGATGTCAAGGCCGGGCTTTGAGTGCATACCCTGCAACAAGAAGTTCTCCAACAGGAGCCACCTTCGACGACACGAAGACACACGTAAGCCATTCCCAAGCCCAGTTGACGGGCTTCTTGTAACGCGGCGCAGACACCTCATCTCACACGGTCTGTGAGTTTTGTCAAAAGGTCTTTTCGAGAAAGTAAGATCTGAGTTCAAGCACAAACAGCGCATATCATTGACCATCACAGCGATGCACTACGCAGGCACTATAAGACCTGTTCATGCATTGGACGACAGTCCGAGCCCGGCCCCTCTCGACCCGGGCGTCGACGCAAAGCATGCGATAGCTGCGCGAAGCAGCGGGTGCCATGCGATGGAGCTATCTCATGCATAAGCTGCCAGGCTCGCGGCATTGCTTGTACATATGAGCGCCTCGAGAAAGAAATCCCATTGGGACAATCTCCCGATACACGGAGTGTTCCCGTGCAAACGCGTCAACCCCGAAACGCAGGCCCCTCGGACACAGGAGCCACCAACAAGGCTTCTATGCCATTTCTCCTGAACTATTCCGGACCGGGACACAAGCATCCCAGTAATGTGAATCACGTCCTCTCCTTGCTTGCGACCGCAGAACCCGGCGAAGCTCTGGATTCGGCCTTACCGAGCTTTGATCTCGAACTCGACCGAACAGATGTTTTCTTTGAGGATTCTTGGGACCAAGCTTTTGGTTCGTTTGGAAATTCCGAGACAGGTCAAAGCTCGCCCTTGCCTGCAGGTTTGGAAGATTCACAGCAACGGCATTTAGCGGCTACCAGCATGATTGACTGCATATCGAAGTCGCAAACAGAACGAGACTCGAGCGGAATTGCGCCAAGAAAGTTCGATCTCATTCAAGCCGGGTGCTTTTTCTCCGAGCAGCGAGTCCTTGAGTATGTGAAAGCATATTTCGACCAAATCGTTCGTCCGCGTTCTCGCATTGTGCCAAAGTCCACATTCCGCCTTGAGGAGGTCTCTGTACCACTGCTCTTGAGTATTTTTCTAATGGGGGCGACCTGTGACACGGAAGATGAAGTGAAAAAGCAAGTAGTGGAATATGCCGAGGTGGCCGAATTCGTGGTATTCGAGAGCCCCGTGTTTCGAAAACTGATGTACCATACAGGGGAGGCCCATTGGAGCCTTCTCACAAAGGACGAAATAGAGATTATCCAAGCAGCAATTCTCATGATTCTGCTGGAAATCGCCAGCCCTGAGCCAGAAACGCGGCGCCGGACCCGGATTCGATGGTACCCAGCACTCGTGTCTGTCGCCCGTGCATCTGGGCTCACGAAGGTGCGGAATGAGTGGCACCGGCAAGGTGATATTGTGAGCCATGATCAATTTCTAAGGAATGAAATTTGTATCAGGTTTGTTCGCCATGTACTCGGGGTGCTGTACATGCACTAATCTTTCTGGCAGGATGATGGCGTCTATCTCTATGATGGATTGCCACTATATCATGTTTTGGAACACTCCACCAAATTTTACAATTGCCGAGTTCTGTTTCAATCTCCCGGCGGAAGAAGAAGGAATTGATATCCCAGACAGCCCAACATGGAAGCTTTGGATGGAGAAGGTGACAAAATACCAACCTCCCCCATCGCTGAATGATTTTATTCAGAAACTACTCTCCGATGAATGGGAAGGCTATGAGAATGTCGGATTCAATCTGAATATCTTCTCTCTATACCTTGTTGTATCAGGTGAGATCTCTGGCCACTATGCACTCCAGATTGCCCCAAAGCTAACGAAATCAAGCATTCTTTCAAATAGTGTTTGGACTGCGCTCTAGTATATGCAACACAACTGACGCAAAGAGACAAACCGACCGAGCACTATTTCGATGGATGGAATTGTGGAGAAAGACAAAAGCAGCCGCGAGCCTGGAGGAAATCTACCGCGCAGGAATCACGATCCACGCCCAAGATCTGGGAACATTCGCTAGGCTTTTGCTTCGGACCCCACCATCCGAGACAGGAGAGGTTGCACGAGACTCGATGGCCCGCATTCACGAGCTTTTAAAAAAGGCGGCCCATTGAATATAGCAACACGAGGCCCCGAGCACGGCTCGTCGATCCTTCTCTCTCACGATCAAAACCGATACAAAGCCAGACCAAGCGATGTGCTCACGCTGCACCCTAGAACCACCCAAGTGGCTCTCCCGCTCTGTGTTTTGCTGAGCAGACGACCCGAATCCCAGACCAGATGCTTCACCCCGTTGAAACAATGATACGTGAATGGCATTGAAGCGCCGAATTTGAGAGCCGCTTTTACCCCCGTTGGCAGAGATCCGAATGCCGCGACCATATCGCTCGAATCAAACTGCAGCCCCAGAGCTGGCGCACACAGGTACGCCGTCGCAAGTCCGTATACACTTCCAGACAGCAGGAGGCCGGTGATTCGGTGCAGTGCGGAGGCCGTCGAAATATATTGCCATTTGTAGATCGTCATGTGCGGCGCGATAGGGCGGTTGCGCCGCTGAGCTGCCAGACGCTCATGTGCGGAGTTCGGAGTTATCTTCTGTGTTCCGATGTATCTCCTATGAAGCATATCAGTACTTGTGGCTATTCCCAGTCTGTTGAGCAGCATGTCTTCATGTGCCATGAAGCTTACCGTGAATGGGCGGCCAACTTGCAGCCATTTCTGGCTGAAACGACTGTGTTTGCAGTGTGAGGCTGTGATTTGGGAATGGGGGGTATGGCACGCTTACTTCTTGAAAACATTTGAAGGTATAATGAAGGGACGACGAGATGCGGATGGCAGATACAATGCCGAACAGAAGTGATTCTATACTTCTGACCCACCTGGGAAACACCCACATCCGGAAAACACCCACACCACGGAAAACTTGCGAAACACCGCGACAACGCGACAATGCGTTGAACATTCTCATCTTTTGAATTCACACAGAATCACATACATCCGACTCAAACCTTGGAAATTTCCAATGATTACTTCACAATTCTATTTTGCCGAATTGGCTATTTACACCTTTACCACATCACAGCATGCATTTCCCCGCATTGACAGCCAGGGCGCTTGTGGCTGAATGCTGCAGGCTTTTCGGGGCTTGTCAAGGCGACGCCAGCAGGATTTAACCGTGTTCCTGTGAAGGCTTCGCGTAAAGTACGTGGAATTTAGCCTACGGAGTACTGGTGCAGGATCCAGCGAAACAAGTTCCAATTGAGCCGAGGCACTGCAAATCCGCTAGCACAGGAGAAATCCAGCCTGTCGAAGCTACGGAGACTGGTGAGACTGGTGGTTTGGGATAAATGGAGTGGATAAATTAAATCAAAACACCCAGGAGGTGAAACGGTTCTACTCCGGGCCCCACATACTCCTGTCAATATAAAAAGAACCCTCTTTTCCAGGGACGTTCGGTATAATCCAAACCTCAACTCATCATGGTGTCTTTCAAAAGCCTTTTCGTCGCCGCTTGCGCCGCAGTGAGCGCCCTTGCCCTGCCCAGCGATGTGGACAGCAGAGCCGTCATCACCACCAGCCAGCAAGGAACCAGCGGTGGCTACTTCTTCTCGTTCTGGACCAACGGCGGCGGTAGCGTCAACTACGCCAACGGTGCATCGGGTCAATACGCCGTGAGCTGGAGCGACTGCGGCTCGTTCACCTCCGGCAAGGGCTGGGCGACTGGTTCTGCCCGGTAAGCGCATCATACCCTGATCTTCGTTCAACAACTAACACATGTAAAGGAACATCAACTTCTCCGGATCCTTCAAGCCCTCTGGTAACGCCTACCTTGCTGTGTACGGCTGGACCAAGAGCCCTCTCGTCGAGTACTACATCATGGAAAGCTACGGCGAGTACAACCCCGGCAGCAGCATGACCAAGAAGGGAACCGTCACCAGTGATGGATCCGTTTATGATATCTACACCCACGAGCAGGTGAACCAGCCTTCCATCTCCGGCACTGCCACCTTCACCCAGTACTGGTCTATTCGTCGCTCCAAGCGCTCCAGCGGAACCGTCACCACTAAGAACCACTTCGATGCCTGGGCCTCGCTCGGCATGAGCCTCGGCTCTCACGACTACCAGATCGTGTCCACCGAGGGATACCAGAGCAGTGGCTCTTCGTCTATCACTGTCTCCTAAGGGACTGGGATATTGCGCAGCGTCTGAAACTCCAAGGTTGCTGACCGGGTGCGAAATCGGTAGCACACATAAGTTTGGATATTTGAATGGAATATATTTTTCTTGATCATCCTTCGGTGGCTTTGATTTTCTAGCCCAGCCTTCACCCTTATGTTTTTTTCGGAAAGCATCACCAAGAGAGATCCATAAAACGCGTGCAATTGAAAGAGGGTGCATTAGTTGATAGGCCCTATAAGGCAAACCTGAGACGGATGAAAATGTGAGAGTATCACCACTTAACCTTGGAAAACAGCGTTCAACTTTTGAGGTATGAATAAGCATTATATGCGTCCACGGGTGTTGTCGAATGTTCAGTGAAGTGTATCAATCATCCTTTGTGGTATCCGCAGGCATGTTGCAGCCTGGTCCTTGAGGAATTGCTCATAGACAGTGTCCATAAAGTCCGGCTCATAGATACTGACTCTGATATTTGCCATGAAATTGGTCGTATTGCTGTGCGCTTTGATCGCCTGCAGGAACAATGCAAGCGAAACCGTCGGCGTAAGCTCAACTGCTTGGTCCTTGACGTCCTCGAGAGCGCTTTTGAACTTTTCGATGAACTTGTCACAGGGGTTCCTGTTATAATATTTCACCTTGATCAGCTTTTCCCAGGCGACAAATATTGACTGCGCGGACGTGTCGCCATAGAGGGCTTCGAGTTTCAGGTATGCTTCGTGGGCATCTGAAATTCTCTCGATGGCATGGTTGGGTGTGGGTTCCAGACTCGAGGCGAGGATCTGGCGAGCGCGGATGTTGAGGATGCTTTGGCTGTAGACTTTTGAGCCGGAATTACCATTCTGTGGACTGGGAACAGATGGTGGCCCTGGAATCACAATGTCAAAAGTTTTCGGGGTCTTGAGAAGAGGTGGCCTGTGGAGGTTCACGAGAAGGCATACTCTCATCTTCTTCCATGAGATCCGCCTTGTCCATAATGATATCCCAGTATACGCCCGTTTCTTCCACTTCGTAGAATGCCTCTTCGACATTTCTGCGCCAGTCGGCCCAGTTGGGCTTCCCTTTAAGTCGGGGAAGCCAATAGGGTACGCTTAAGGGTTTTTCATTCATGATGGCGATGGGATGGATGGTCATGGGGAGGAAGTGACGGTGATTCGACGATCGACTTAGCATGCAAGTTGGTCAGACGATAAGGAGCTCTAGTGGAGAGGTGTAAAAGAATGTTTCGATCGGCCGAATTTGTTGACGCCAAATTTGTCGTTTTAAATAACACACTTCGGACGGTTTTGGTAGTTCGGACGACATAAGGATCAATATAGTCTCTAAATCATATAACGCTTGGAAGTGACGGTGAAGTGACGGTGAAATAACAGCGATGAAGAAGAAATCACAACATGCAACACCCTGATAACGGAAATCTATACAGTGATATTGTCTGTTTTTGTTCTTAACTACAAAAGTGACGCTAAAGTCACGACACAATAATACTATCAAAAGGAATAATCATAGTATAATAACCCACGCAATTAAAAAAAGGATAACATAGCAACCGAAGCCTACTAATATCTCTAAGATTTTGTTTCTAACTTCAGTCAACTGTTGAAAGTAACGGTGAAGTTACGACCTTGGGGCCCGACAACATGGGCACAGCAAAGATACCGCAAGGCGCGAGAGCATACATTAATGGCACACAGATTAGCAGCAAACAGCAATAAATGAATCTACACTGTCTAAATTGACTGTTTCAAATGACTGCATAGCTGGCGCAGCCTAGGAACGAAGCACATATTATTCTTTGTTGCTATACAGTGCATAGACTAACTCGATGTATCACGGAAAACGATGAAGAGTCGCGATAAACAGGGCAGTGATTGAAGAACTGAGACGAATGTAGCTATTTACCATCGAAATTCTGTGGATAAAGCATGTTGATATGACCCCGCGAAATTCTCAACCCTCTAGAGCCTTGCAGGGCTATGTGGCTCCCTCTCTCCCCCCTCCCTCCTCTATATTCTATCTTCATACTACTCATTGGTCTTCTATTGCTTCCTATATCTATCTTCTTCTTTCATTCCGTCATCACAAGTATAATTACAACACAATCTCTGCTTTCTGAGTGGCATTGCTGATCGCTAGAGTTGCAGCACGCTCCATCCCCTTTACCCTGCGTCCCCCAATGACCGAATAGCCACATTCTGTCACGGCCGATCTACAAGTCTGAGTGGCGGCCAAATGAGGGGTGTGCGCAAAGAGTCTCACCACAGCCAAGAGCCGGGCGACGCTCATCTTGGAAGGTGTTTCCGTCGGCCCGGTAGACAACTGCGGTCTTGCCAATGAACGCGGGAGTAACTTCTGTTCTCGCAGCGGGGCTATCTTGAGGATAAAAGGCCCAGTGGACGTCGAGATGTGTTGTTCTCAGGTCCGCAGCTCACTGGCATCTTGAAGCAAATCATCCCGGATCATACTCTACCAAGACCTTCAATATGTCGGAATCATTCTTGGCCTCAAATCTGTTTGACATTAAAGGAATTGTCGCAGTTGTTACTGGTGGTGGTAGCGGTAAGTCGTACACTTGCGAGGTCTTTGATTCGCATACACTTACGGACAGTGCAGGTCTTGGTCTCTTCATAACCCGGGCACTAGCTGTGAATGGAGCTAAACGGGTCTTTATTCTGGGCAGAAGAAAGAAATTGTTAGAGGATGCAGCTCGAGATATTGTATGTTCTCTGGTCTCTCGCCCGACAACTACTAATGATCTCCAGGGCCTCGATAACGTGATACCCGTTCAATGCGACATTACAAACCAGCAAGCCTTGAAGAATGCTGTTACTTTCATTGAGAATGAGGTTGGATACATCGACCTGCTTGTTGCTAATTCGGGCATCGCCGGTCCAGCTGGCAGCGTGGGCCCCAACGCCAGCATCTCCCAGGTTCAAGAGACCCTATACAACATTCCGATGGAGGAGTTTACAAACACTTTCCACGTTAACTCGACCGGCGTTTTCTATACAATAATTGCCTTTCTATCTCTGCTGGATGCTGGGAATAAAGACACCACTTACCAGAACGCAAGAAGCCAGGTCATAACTACCAGCAGCATCGGAGGTTTCAACAGAAAGATTACAGCAGGTTTTGGCTACACCGCCAGCAAGGCAGCCACAACAATGATGATGAAGGTACTGGCGACTTATTTGGTGCCTTACAGAATCAGAGCAAATATCATATGCCCGGGATGTAAGACTGGCCAACTACCAAACCCCGAGATAAAGACTGACAGCTCTTTAGTATTCCCAACCGATTTGACAGCTTCACTAATTGATGACAAGAAACCCACGGAAGAGGGTGCATTCCCACTGGAACAAATCCCAGCAGAGCGAGCAGGCTTGCCAGAAGATATTGCGGGCCCGTTGCTATACCTTGCATCGCGAGCAGGAGCATACTGCAATGGCAACTGCGTTATTACAGATGGAGGAAAATTGAGTGTTACACCGGCTACTTATTAAGCGATCATGTCTTCAACAAGGCTCCAAGCCTCGTCTATCAGATCCATTAACCATATATTCATCATATAAAATTCCTCAATAGGCAGTACTTGAACACATAGAGAATAGAAAATCCCTTTGAAACTCCAACTTCCAAGTATGGGACGGTCTAAACGAAATCATTGATGTTTCACTAGGAATTGTCAAACGGATGATACCACGCTCTGTAGATTTCATCAGCTTCATCGAACCTTGAAATATCATCAATCGCACTCACAAAGTCCTGCTCCACTTTGATCTTTCTCGCGAGCAGTTCCCTCGACAGGGTTGGATAAACTCTATCCAAAGACAAAGCAACATTATCCTCTAGGATATGTATATCGTTCGATCTCATTCCATCACCTTGATTATGATATATCCTGCAGCTATGAGATGGAGGGGGGCTATGACCCCATCCTGTCTGCATTAAAGGACTTTTCCCGTGGGCAGAGTTATTACGATCGTAAGATTGGGGTTGAACGCCGGAGGAACCGTATGGGGACTGAAGCGTGCTCTTTGGCGAGGATATGACGGCCCGAAACGGGGGAAGGCTTCCAACGACGACAGCTATTGTGACCGTTAGTGGGGATAGGGAGATGGTTTCAAGAATGACTTGCAGATAGATGTTTCTACGATTCCCCAAACTGCGAGCGCTCCCGGGTCTGAGAATGTACTGGTTCCGCTGATCTCGACGGCTCTGATGATGGCCGCGGCGATGATCGCAAATCCTATCATGAAGACAAGAGCCAGGCCGACCTTTTGTTTCACATTGATTTTTGCAACCCAGATGATGCGCAGAGGGAGAGACATGACTATCATCGGTCAGTTATTGCCCAAGTGGTAATGAACATGTCTGAGCGATGTTCATACCTAACAGATCCGTGAGTATATCCACGGCTGTGCTGTAAGATATGGCAATGGTAAACCCGTTGAAATCGACCGGCTTTCCACATTGACCTGACAGGCATTAAAATGAAATTGACAAAGTTGGGTGGAAGGGGTCACATACCCTCGCCATACTTGAAGTAGCTCGAAGGCGGATGGCAAGTGTATACTAGCACAACCCAACAACCGATGTAGCCCAGACAAGAAAACACCACGACAGCCCACCACACGCAGCGATAAACTGGCAGCCCCTCGGAGACCATCCAGAACAATGCTAGGAAGGAACCCTTGACGCTCCACAAGATTGTCCAAAATATCCCACTCATGGCGAACTCATAACACAGATATCGTAGCACGTGGTACTCAATGTCGCTACCCGTCGGATGAAGCCCGAGGTAGTAGAGATGCGGCGTCTGCAGAGTATGCAGGATAGCGTTCGCGACGAGAAGCACCAGTGCAAAAAGCATGAAGTAGTCATCAGCAAGTAAACGATTCATATACTTGACGCGTACCAGTAAGCGAGCCGACGTGAAAACGATCCCCAAGCTTGCTCCTCCCCAGGCGATTCCGATCAAGCCACTTGGTGGCAGGTGGGCTATCACGTTATGGGGTAGTGGGAAATCCGCCATTGCTGTTGACATATGATCGGATCGGACCCCTCTCGCTCTTTCGCCAAGTTAATTTGAATGAGTCGTAATGTAATTTTGTTCTGTTTGAGCCTTTCCCATTGTCAGTGGACAGAAAAGCAAGGTTCTCATTTTATGCGATGAGAAGTATCCTTTTATTAACGATAGAAACGCGACAAGCCCGATGCCGATGCGTTCGGCTTTCTCTCATACAAGAGCTGACTGGGGGACCTTGTCAGTCCCAGACGAGGTCAGGGATTGGCCGAATAGACATAGGACACTTTGAATTCTGCAGCGTTGATAGCAAGAGCTGAATCGGATCCGATAGTTCATCTTTGAAGAGATAGATGACAGGTGGGCCATACCAATATGATTCAAACTACCCGGAAGCTTCAGCGCATGTCGTCTCTACCACGATACTATAGTCTCAAAGTAGTCAAAAGCGTGGGCTTGAACTACCGTCCATATCTGAACGGAGGGGTTCGAGGATCCTTGTAGTTGGTTTGGGAATCCTTTCTTCTTATGTCTCTTCTCGATGTGTATGTCCAGAGAACAACACAGTTGCGCTAGAAGATATAGGAATATCCTGTGTTGATACTCGCTTGAATTTCCTGGGGTATATCTCAGGCCTTTATGTCTCGATGCTTACCACATGGCTTCATAGAGCAAATCATGACGCGGGGACCAGGTGACCTTGTGTGACGTCCTGGGGGATTTCGGGGTTTGTATTCGATCGAACATTCTATTTCAAAAGCATATCGCAGTTCAGCTTGCAAGATGAGACCTTTCGGCATTCTTCGGTGGTGTAGTAACTCGAAAACGATTTGGATGGATGTGTGATCATGCTCTGTATATCTCTGTCAGTTGACTGATTTTTGGAATACAGTGGACTCAGAATCTTCCACCCAAAGCGACTCGACGCGCTTAGTTTCATATGACCGTCAAGACCAGGGATTTTTGAAACGACGTCATGATTTTTGCAAAGAGCGTAACCTGTCAAAATACACTTCAAGCATGCCAGGCGCTCCCCACAGGGCCATACTGGCAGTAGGAGCTTGAATCTTCGGATGCTGGGTGCTCATGCTCGCCGCTGCATCGGGGTCTGGACCTTGAGTAGGATATTCAGGCCTCTTCAGTAGTAAGTTCGAAATTGCAATCATATTGGGTATCGTATATTCATTTCATGTAGCGACATCAAAGTTGGGACTCAACAGTCCCTATGATTCTGGGACCAGGCAGCATTTCCTGCATCGGATAATGTGCAAAGCGCATCAAAGCCTCAAGCTCTCTCTCTGCAATTCTCGATTGCGGTCCAGATACTTGAAACGGACTGTTGGAACTGCGTGTGAATGATTTGCATGCTCCTCCACAATCACCATGGTGATGCGATCGCATGCCGGTACCCCATTGCGGAGCGGTTCTCCAGCAGACTCGAGCTCATAAATTCGCTTTAATACAGCGATGGATTCGGCGGAAGAGGAAACGCCTTCTCGTCGATTGTATTTTTGAAAAAGATCCAGCACTCTTCGGCGGATGGTCCAATCCCGACACTTGAACCCACAAAGCAACAAAGAGCCGATACATCCTTCCTTGATGGAGAATGTGAAGTCCGGTAATTGGTTGAATGATGATAGGAGAGCTTCCGCTGCATCCACAATGTTTTTGAAGTGTGGAAGGAGGTTGTCCCATCCCATTTCGTCTCCTGCGTAGCTGACGGAGGTATGCAAGATGCGGAAGGTTTCAATATTTATTTTGACCATTAGCAGGGCCCGCTGCTGAATGGCGGACGGCTCTTTCTCTGCCACAGAGCGCTCGATTTGAGACTGGAAGGGGTTGTTTTCATTTGCCGGCGAACCTAACAGAAAATTTTCCATTTCAAGAAACCTAGGGTGCGGTTCCTGGGACAGGGTGCAATTGTTGATCATCACAATCCAAGCTCGGACGGACAGCAAGAGTGTGGTCTTTGCTTGTTCATTGTCGTCGGCAAAATCGGATATTTCAGCCAAATAATCGGACATGAGGTCTCCGATGTATGCAAATTCGCCCCCAAGGTAATCCCGGAACGCCGTGGCTGTTCCCCAGTGAATGTGGAGCTGAACAAACGTGTGGAGAAGAACCGATGTGAGCACGCTCCTCTTGCCATTCGTCTTTCTCCACTCATATAGCAGTCGAGTCCCCGTTCGAAGATGGCAGCGAACTGTTGCGACGTCTCCTTGAAACAGTCCGAACGTAATGAGAACGACGCATGCAATCAATATTCTCTCAATCTGTGCTGATTTCAGGGGCTCATTTTTCCCGAAGTCAGCGCGCAGGTGAGCGATCGCTTTATTGCATTGCTTGATAGAGAATATATCATTCTGGTAAGATGTCGGATCTAAAAATTGGCGATGTAACGCGCTGATCGCAATGACCGAGTGGCGTACTGCTGGGTGACTTTCACTCGCCTGGTGAACGAGCATCTGCCAAAATGGATCGAATGCAAGACCCGCACATTGAACGGACGTGTGCGAACGGAAATAGTTCAAGTAATGCCGCTCCATTGGGGACAGACCGAGCTGGCTGCCGTCCGTCAGACAAACCAGGCCCGTACTTGGCGCGAGCTGCTGCTGGGATATTCGGGCAGCATGCAGCTTGGCTATTTGCATTTCCCTGGCTGCGCGGGTTCTCTTGTCGAGGGGCGCTTCATACCCTTGGCAATCCCTCCCACTCTCGGTGCATACCAAGCAAGCGGGACGGGCCTCGTCGCATTTCTTGTGTCGCAGCCTTCTCACGAGTCAGCTTGGGGCCATCCCGAATAGGTCCGGTGCCGGTATTTACGGAGGACTTACTTGCATGTCCGACAACCCGTGCGGACCTTTGCAGCACTGGCTCGCCTCTTTTTCGCCTTTGCGGCCATGATTGGGCCTCACAGGTGGATCTTACACAGCATGGGGCGATCTGTGAGCGAGTCGTATGGAAAGCGAGCCCCGGTCGCTTTGACACAAAAGCGCGTAAATGCGAGATTGAAGTGGATATCAGCATTCTCGCCAATCAAGTGGGGACTTTCACCGCCGTCTCCGCAACTCGCAACTTCACTCTTCATCATGTCGCGAGATGCCCTGCAATTCCCGGATTCCGACCGGGGGTTCCTAGAACCTCATCTGCCTCCAGGTGAATCGGTGCAGACCGATCTGCCCTTCACCACACTGACCTTTGCGACGTCGCTGGACTCGTCGCTGGCCTTGTCCCCGGGCGCGCGGACAGTCCTGTCAGGCCCTCAGTCGAAGGCGATGACCCATTACTTGCGGTCGCGACACGATGGAATCCTGATTGGCGTTGGTACAGCGGTGGCCGATGATCCCGGGTTGAACTGTCGCATCGCCGGAGTCGGCGGGTACGGTCAAGATGGCTTGCACGGCCAACCCAGACCGGTGGTGATTGACCCGACAGCTCGGTGGGAATTTTCCGAAGACAGCAAGCTGTTTCAACTGTGCAGAGAGGGCCGGGGCCTGGCGCCCTGGGTCATCACTGCGGTGGAGCAACCCAGTCCCGAGAAGCAGGCTCTGCTCGACAAATACGGCGGGCGCTTTTTGTCGGCCAAGATGCTGAGAACTCATACCGGTGGCCACCAAGTTGATTGGCGCGATCTTTTTGCGACTTTGAAATCAGAGGGTCTCCAGAGCATCATGGTGGAGGGTGGTGGGCAAGTTATCAACTCCCTCCTGAGCCCACAGTACATGTCCCTACTTGACAGTGTGATTGTGACAATTGCGCCAACCTGGCTGGGCCAAGGGGGTGTTGTTGTCTCCCCCGCGCGGCGATTCGATGAGGGAGGCAATGCGATGTCTGCAGCAAGGCTGAAAAACGTCAAATGGTATCCGTTTGGAGAAGACGTTGTCCTGTGTGGGCAGGTCATAGTCTCAAACGGAGAGTAAATTACATCTTTACTTGAGACTTGATATTGGAAGTCACTGCAGAGTACCTCACATCCCTCACGACAGTCTGAAAGGTCTGAGAAATACACGGGCGCGACGAAGTAATGAATTTCTTTGTCTCGAGCACCCGGCATGGCTCGGGCGACAATGATCCCAAACAACAAAGGCCCTTAAACAATAGCTTTCTAGTCGCTGTTTTCTCTCGTTAGCCAACTGGAATGGTCAACCCCTTTGTCAATGTCCGAACTTCCAAGGTTGTGTCCCTTCCCGGCCTTTCACCACATATAAAGCCGATATTGCCCGGTCGGCAAGCGTCTATCACGCTTCCGATGAGAATGGGTTCTAACTACGAAAATCCAGCTTCTATCACATACGTTCAAGACCCGCGCGAGCGAGTGCTGCGCGCCATCCAGACTCAGGTCAACTATCTCCGCCATAAGCCCGACAGCCGTCTCCGCATCATCCGCCGACTGGAAGCACTGCGTCGGGTCATCAGCACCGAAGCGTACGTGCAAGATGACTCGGACCTCGGTCAACTTCTAGACGTGCTCCGGAAACGGCTGCCTAGTCAGATCATGCTCCTGAAGGCTGACTCCAAGAATGATGAGAACGTGGCGGAGTCTTTGGCTCAGGTGGTTACTGAGGTTCCTTTGCTTGGGTGTTTCACTTATCCGCAGAATCCTTAAAGGATAGAGGCTCCAAATGAGCTTCTGAGGGATATTATTTAGATGCAGATGATTCGAAGGGTTGTACTCATAGCTAGGAGCACAAACAACAATTCTCAATCTGCTCAGTGGTAAGCAAAACTTTGGAATATGAAGAGTCCCATTGACATACCAGTACCCAATGGCAGAGGTCCACTCAGGCCTACGCTGGAATAAGCTTAACGTGTATGCGTGGCAGTGTGAAGAATCTTGAAGTTGTTATGCTAAGCCTTATACTGCCAAGACGTAGGCAATAGGGTGAAGCAACTAGCGTATCATCGTAGAAACTTCGTCTAGTTGCTCTTGGCAGCATTGAACATCGACTCCTCCAATCACAACTGTCGTCGGCAGATCTTCTCCGATTAGTAAGAAGGGTGTCGAACCCCTGTTGAGACAGCGACGCGACGCCTAATGACGGGACGGCTTGGCTCTTTCTGCTTCGACTTCTTCAAAGTTGGTAAAGGAGTCAGAATGTAGGGTTGAACTGGATTCGACCTTGGAATATACTGGGAGGGCTCAATTGAAGTTGTATCATGCCGGTCTCGTATACTTCGATGTCTCCAAGGACATACTCACAGGGGGATTCCCGGGCCAATTGAGCCTTGCAAGGTTGTATCTCCACCAGGTGGACACTACTGGGTATCTTCAGCTCTCCGCGCGGACGGTAGCAAATAAGGAGCCTGCCAAAAATAAGAATCTCATTAGAGAGCCGTCGTCAGCAGTTGACGGATGAGATTCTAGCAGCCTTCAAAGGGGTGGGATAACAGTCATAGAAGTAGATATATAAGGCTGATCCCCATCCAGGTGAATCATACTCCAGACATACAACCCCAAGAACATCAGTCAAGATGCGTACCACTTTCCTTGCAGCCCTCGCATGCGCCTCTGCCATCACCGGAGTGGCCGGTAAGGCAATCATCAATGGATCTGAAAGAATTGCATCGTACTGACACAGACCAGCTCACCCAGAGCGTCACGACCACTCCAAGCCCCATGCCCCGGCAATTCACGCCCGAGGCACAGACAAGTGTGCTCGTCAGATCGAGCACCGCCGTGATGCGGCCTTCCTCAAGCGCCGCAATGCCCTGGGCAAGCGGTCGACCTCCAATGCAAACCGTTTCATGTACAAAGAGCTCCAGAACAAGACTTGCACTCTGTCCCCGGACACCATCTTCGGTCCCTACGATGTGGACGGTGAACTTCATCGCCACGATGTCCGCGAAGGACAAAATGGTGTGGACCTCTATCTTGACCTTGGTCTCATTGACGTTGAGACCTGCGAGCCTCTTTCGGATGCTTGGTTGACTATCTGGGTATGTGAAGCCTGACACTGCGCCCCGGTGAAAATCGCATCTAACTATAATCTAGTCCTGCAATGCCACTGGCACATACTCCGGATACATTGGAATCGACCCCGATACCGTCGAGGCATACGATGGCTGGACCACCAGATCAGACGGCACAACAGACGACTCAACCTTCCTGCGCGGAATCTCCAAGACCAACGAGGCCGGTATTGGCGAGTTCCTGACCATCTTCCCGGGCTACTACTCGTCCCGCACTACCCACATCCACGTCACCGTGCAGTCCAAGGTGAAGGGAGATGACACGAGCTACTCCGATGCCGCGACCCAGCACGTCGGTCAGCTCTTCTTCCCTGAGGATCTCATCAACTCTGTCTACCAGTTGGCTCCTTATCATGCTCATCTGGCGACTCTGAACCGCACCCTCAACTCGGAGGATTCGCTGTACCCGACTGCCAACTCGGATGGCAACGATGCTATTATCGCCACCGAGCTGCTGGGCCAGACTCTTGCCGAGGGCTTGATTGGTTACATTACTATCGGTGTCAACAGGAGTGCGGAGGCCATTGCCACTACTGGTGAGCAGGTCAATGTGCAGGGAGCCATCCCGACTGTTTCCTTGAGTGCGAGCGCTCAGGCTGCGGCCAACACCATTGACATGGCTCAGGGCTACCGACCCAACGGTATGAGAGTTTAGATTCGTGTGAGAAGCTTGTAATTATAAAATATTCTTCAGAGCGATCAGAATGCACGGATTGAGAAATCGAAAAAGCAGACTTTTGATTCATGGGCATATAAAGCCGGGGCCGATGCTGATGAAAGATTATGTATTAATGAATCGTCTATTAAATCGCCCTTCTCTGGTGAGTTAGTCCTTAAAAGGCAGGGAAAACGATGGCCCAGTAGTACTCCGCCTGTCTTCTGAACTTTCAACATTCGGCCGAGACATCTCACGGCGAATGATGCCCATTAAATCTTCCTGATCTTTGGTAGTGTCGACAGTGCCCCGTCTGGGTCTCTGACTGGGGATCTGCGACTCCGCATCCGAGGCACTGTCGACATCTTGAAGAGTCTCCTGGCGCACAAGTTGAGCCTCCTGTTGCTGGAGCAGCGCCGCCGCGACACGTTCTTCGCAGGCCTTCTCGTCCGATTCAGCTTTGATACTTGCGTAATGAGCGCGCCGGTACACGCCCACGGTACTTCCCGCAATGCCGAGAATCTCGAAGACGAAGAGGACGGGCAGAGCATAGTACAATTGGGGGTTGCAGCCTCCGGACCAGATATCGAGGAGGACCTGGAAGACGGCATGAGCAGGTAGCCCGAAACCCACTTTGTAGAAGGCGGGGGAAAGTTCGAAGGGCAGAAGAATCGAAGTGACATTGGTGATGATCCAAGTGATCAAAGCCATAGGGACGTAAGGCGGCGGAAGCCAGATGGTGAAGACATCCAGGACGAGGAAATTCAAATGCGCAAAGAGCCAGAGGACAGCCCATGTGAGCGCGAACTGATTTCCATTCACGTGCCAGCCACTTCGGAATGCCCATATGGCACCTGCTGTGCACAGCGCCCCGATAAGCGTGTAGCCGGCTGAGATGATGAGACGGACGATGGCCATTCGGTGAGGCCGGACGGATGAGTACAGTTTGTATTGGACGTAGAGACCATTGACGGTACCGAGGTAGAAGAACTCTTGGATCATGATCAAGATAATCACGAGAGTGTTGTAGATCAGGCGTGAGCCTTGCTTGGTGGGTTGGAGGTTCATGGAGGACAATGTCCACGGATCATATAGAATCGCCATCGCAGCGGGGTCAGAGGTATTCAGATCTTGCAGTGCTTGCTTCCCGTTTGCTTCGGAATACATCACCCGGGCAGACTGCGATAGCGTTTTCAAGTTGCTTTCGATTGCCGAGTCCACGGCGGTCGGGTATCGCGCTTCGTTCCACACCATGGTGAGCACATCGTTTTTGTCGTAGGTTGATGCTGCCGATCCTCCTGCCAAGGCAGCCGTCAAGGCATTCGACGCATTTGCAGTGGTATATACAGCTCCCCAGAACTTGATGTCGCACACGGCACCCTCAATCAATCCCGGCTGCGGATACGCGGAAACAGATCGCTCCATAAGAGTTGGGAACCCTTGTCCTTGTAGTTTTTCGTACGCCCCGCGCACTGCACTTCCTATGGCACCGCCATCGTAGTCCACAAAAAGGATATTCACTTGATGAGTGTGAGAAGTTTGCTGGAAAAGAGAGCCAAAAATGTAGCAGAACAATCCCAAAAAGAGGAACTGGAGTAGCAGAAGGTTCACTCCCGCGGCCCTGAGCACCGCCAATCGTCGTGGCCGAACTGATGGATGGTTGATGCTGGGCCGCTGCTCTCGTGCTTTGGGGTAGAACTGCATGAGCGCTCACAATGAGGTGGAATATCAGACAGGAGAGGTAAGAGGGAGAAGTTGACTCCAAACGATTCTGAGTCAAGCCCGTCAGCGGTCAAACACCGAAGGCCGAATAATTGTCAGCGGGTCCTTAGTCGAGCTAAGGCCCAGAGTCTCCGCTCGATAGAGTAATTTAAGCTCGCCAATCAGCAGTGCGCAAACAGTATGGCAGTGCCAGTCTGTGTTCGAGTCTTGGATTCTCCAGTGCGAGATGAGGTTGCTTGCGGCCTAAATCACCAGGCACCACTTTCCTATTCGGGACACGCCAAGGAGTCAAGTCTTTGATCACGTCCCCTGTTGAGCCCTTCTTTGTACTTCGTGTACTCCGTAGTAACAGTATACCAGGTTGAAATGGTGAATTAGTACTCCTCTACCCGACCGGTTTTGGGTCTGTAATCCTCCTTGCTTCCGGATAGGCTGTTTCATCACAGATTCTTGTTCGGTAGTGTTCTAGAAAGTCGGAACTAGTAGTATCTCGAGGTGGGTCGCGTTCCGACGCGTAGACCCTCTCTGACCCGATCGGATAGGGATCAGTTAAACAGAACCTGCTCCGAACCCCACAATTCTGACATACCAGCTGCGGACGAGTTGCTGATTTCGGTCGGCCATATCCTTCTTTGGGCTTCTGTAATCTTGCGATCTCACAAGAGCCTGCAATGGTCGCGTTTGCACTACACTGTGGGTCGTGGATCCACGCAGAGCACGGAATAAGCAGTTCCGGCATGGGGTTTCCCTGTTGAAGGTGTTGCAACAGTACGGTATACGATTCCAAGGTTCTGGTGGTTGGAGATGTCATTGGTCAAGGCTGCGTGAGTGAAGGAAAAGGTGATGTGGGAATATCCCAACCCCTCTGGACTGTCTACTCCGTACTCAGGGTGAAACCAAGTCATATTATCGCATGTTTGCATATTCCGAAGTCACCTGGCAGTCAGATTTGTGCCCCTCAACCATAAGGCGAGGGCTCTGGAGCTTTTCTCTGGTTCATTCTCTTCCGGCTTCCATTTCTTCGATCATGACCAAGTCTCACGATCCTGATTGATGAATTTATGGATCAATTTCCCGCTGAGGTGAGCTTTTGCAGATTGATCAAGAATCAGGTTCACCTCTCTACTATGGAGCACCTTTTGGGGGTCTTAGTTCTGAATCCGGGACTCTGCAATTAAGTTATGTGGCAACACGCCGGGCCCGAGCAAACGAGAAGAGTCGGCATCTTTCAGTGCAGCTTTCGTCTCTACCGCCAGTCTCCAATCATGACCTCTGGAATATCTACTGAACTTGAATCATATACAGGGCCTGTGCAGTGTATGCACGTTGTACTCTTTATGACCCACCGCTTTGTGACCCGGGCTTCGGTTGGGCTGCATCAGGTCGAACCAAGCAGGATCAGACTCTACGGCAAGGGCCTGTTTCCATGGCCAGAGTTCTCAAAATTTCAAAGCAGGTAGGATGCGTCGAACTCAACCGGGCGTTGAATAATCCAACAATGTTGAATAATCGAATATTCCCGAGATCGCCCAATGACCAATCAGACGCATGATTTACGGGTTTGGGCAACCTACTCGATCCAATTGCAATCAGGCGAAATCGGACTTCGTGGATTCATGACATTTATGTGTGGCAGAACCTCACTGTGCTCCCCCAGTTCGAAGTCTCAAGAGACCTCGGGGAGGTTCAAGTAAGGGGTCTCTATCAAAAGAGCAAGGCACTTGGGGGTTCGCACAACGTTACACAACCCAATCCAATCACAGATAAGAGAAAGGCCATGCAGGGCTGCAGATCAGTGAGCAGTACTTCTGATATGGGCGACTTTTGAGGTCTCTTCAAAACCCGATTCATGTATAAAAACACGGTCGATTCGACCATCTGTATAGGTCCGACCCTCCATTCGCCTCATCAAAATGACACCAACTGAAGATATGGAAGCTCATTCGAATGACACTGCACACACATCCACGTGCAAGGATGTCGATCACTTTGGACACAATCTCACGCTGAAGGAATCATATTCGCAAGGCTTAGACTGGGATAATGATCCAGTCAACCCCTACAACTGGTCACTTGCACACAAGTTCTTACAGGTCGTTATGATTTCATCCGCAGGTTTGACAGCGTAAGCTCGGGTCTGTCCCACATCGCAATGTGGGGATATACTGACCATACCTCCAGGTCCCTGGGCGTCTCGATAGTGAGTCCCGCCCACCAGGAGCTGATGAAAGAGTTCGGCGTAAGCAGCACCCAGGCAGTCTTGCCCTTGTCGCTCTATGTCTGGGCCCTCGGCTTAGGCCCTATCGTCGGAGGTCCACTTTCTGAAACGGTCGGGAGATACCCAGTCTTCATCGGCGCGATGCTGTTCGGGGCTCTTTTCACTATGGGGGCTGGTTTCTGCCATTCATTCGCCGGTGTGTGCATCTTGCGCTTTCTGGCAGGGTTCTGTTATGGGCCGACGCTGTCGATCTCTGCTGGAACAATCAACGAGACATTTCGACCTCCGGACCGAGCGATTCCAGCAACTCTGTTCATCTTGATGCCCTTTTTAGGGCCTGGACTCGGGTTTGTATTGCCAAGCTAGCTTGATGAGGTTCTGTGTTGCTGATCAGAGCGCAGTCCTGTCATTGGCAGTTTTGTCGTCAGTCGGAAGGGCTGGCGCTGGACTCAGTGGACGATGGTATTCTTTTCCATTTTCACTTTCGTGGCAATTGCTCTCTCCAAGGAGTCATATCACCCTGTTCTTCAGCGTCGCCGTTCGAAAGGACTGAACCAAGAACCATCTCCACGGGCACCCCTGTCATCGCGAATCCGTCTTTTTGCAACGATTGCTCTCCTCCGACCCTTGAATATGCTGATCGCAGAGCCAATCGTTGCATTCATCTCACTATATGTTGCATGTGAGCTTGCCACTCTCTTCTCCTTCTTTGGTGCGATCCCCCTGGTCTTCCAAGGAGTCTATCATATGTCTCTCGAAGTATCTGGTTTGATCTTCCTCGCTATCGTGATTGGATGTTTGCTTGCAGTGGTCACCATCCTCCTGTGCAATCTTTTTTTCTATCTTCCCCAAACAGCCCGCTATCCCGGCCAGCAAGTGCCGCCTGAGCACCGCCTATACCCAGCGCTTATTGGCAGTCTGGGATTGCCGATCGGACTGTTCTGGTTTGCGTGGACGGCAAGGGCAGATATCTCTTGGGTGTGTCCGACCATTGCTCTCATGATCTTCTCTTGGGGGAATTTGTGTGTTTTCATTAGCACATCGATATACATCGTCGATACGTATCGGGGAAGTACAGTTGCCAGTGCGATGAGTGCCAATAGCTTGGCGAGGTATCTACTGGGTGCTGCCTTTCCGCTTTTCACTATCCAGAGTGAGTGTTGCTTTCCTAGTCTGTTGTCTTTGCTCTCACTCATCATTCTAGTGTATGAGAATTTGGGCATCGGGTGGGCCTCGAGCTTGGTGGGATTCATCGCCGCTGCCTTGTTACCGGTTCCCTGGGTTCTCTTCAAGTTCGGGAAGAAATTCCGATCCTGGAGTAAATATGAAACTGCGAAAGATGCCAATGATGTGTACTAGTCGAACTCATTGGGCTTAGAACTTGGATTGGTACATAGCCAGCATATACTAGAGAATGTGCACATAAGTCATACCCCCAACCTTGCAAGTTCCAACTCGCGCATACTTTCTGTATTTTCAAATTTCCATTCGAATAGCGATGAATTGTAGGTGTAAGAACTACTCAACAAAAGGTAGCCCCTGCCGGATCCACCCAAACCCAAAAGTGTCGTTGTCCTCGAAGGATTTGTTGGGAACACAGTGACTCAAGCTGATACTCTGTTGATCACAAATCAGAAATTCAGATCGATATCCTATAAAATATAAAAGCTGCCTGTTGAACGATGCATATAGCACACATTCAGAACTGTGTACGATTCTCATGATGGTCCCTAAAATCACCTTTTACTTCGACATTGGCAGTCCCTTCAGCTGCATTGCCTTTCATGTCTTGACCGTGAGCGCATCTTGATGTTCATTTCTACCATAGCTAATGCGCGACTTTAGACCTCGCCTGTCTTCTCGGGATGCGAGATTGAGTGTGTCCCCGTCTCCCTGAGAGGACTATTCCAGCTATGTCAGAACACGCCTCCAATCGCAGTGAAAAGTAAGTGATGCACTATTTGCACTCGTGCAATATTATAGACTAAATTAATCATCCGACAGATAAATTCCAATGGATCAACCGAGAGCGCATCTACTGGGCCCGTCGCTTCAACGTCCCTATGTCCGAAGCGATCCCCGAAGGGTTTCCCGCCTCTACAGCCGATGTTCAACTCGTTCTATGTCTTGTGGCTCGGGAGCACCCCGACATGCTGGTGCCCATGGTCCAAAGACTGTATCGCGAATACTGGGCAGATGGGAATTCAAACGCTCTGACTGAAGGACTGTCTGTTGTTCTGGAACAAGAACTAGGACCTCAGATCGCCGAGCGCATACTTGCACTGGTGGGTTTACGGCCTCTCCTTGGCTAGATACCTTTCTAACGATTTTATTATCTCCAGGCAAAGAATCCCGACGCGAAAGCAGCTTTAGAAGAAAATACACAGGAGGCATTCGGATCCGGGGCATTTGGGTTGCCTTGGTTGCACTGCGCCCAGGGGGGACAGACGGAGGGCTTTTGGGGCATCGATCATTTTGGTCGCGTGGCGGACTTTTTGCATTTGGATCGCGGCCTGGATGGCTCATTTGGGGTTTTACTTTAGGGTAGAGTGATTCATCCTATGTGGTTCTTTGTCTAATTTGTTTGATTTTCTCCAACCCGAAGCGATTGTGGTCATGACGGTCGGCAAATGACAAGATCACATTTTCAGTATGAGCGGCAGATGTAGATCTATTGCCTCTCGCAGCCGATCAAATAGAGGGCTCTAGTCAAGATCGCCCGTCACTCGACCTCCACTTGCGCCCAATATTGCGCCAAGTTGTCGATCCGATCGCGATGACATCAAAGTCTTCACCTTATGCGGGGTAGACTTGTCTCTCGGTGCTGTGAATAGAGTCATGAGATGCTTCTGACGGTTTGGGAGTGTTCTCCGTAAGTGTTTTGCCGTTCTTGTTAGGGAAAAGTCGAAATAAGCACATTTACAGCTCTTAGCCCTGAAATTACTGGACGGGCCACCGGAAGCGGGTGTCCCAGTGCGGACCTTATTTACCCCTTGACTGTGTATACTGTACATGTACATACTGTAGGGCTCAGTGGCAACTATCTACTGGATAATGACTATCACAATAAATAGCCCTGGAGTCTAGTTCAAAGGCCATTGAAAACCCGCCTACTCCGAACCTGTTTATGCGACTCGCCCTTGCATCGACAGGGAGATTTGAGAAGCTTTGACCGGGATCGCCCCCCGCTGTTTTCGTCCCCAAAAGTGTGTCTGATCTACTATTTCCGTCCTGACCTCCACTCGCAGAGCCTTGTTAATATGGCCAAATCTCACCTCGATACGATAATCTCACACAGCCTGGCACTAGAGATGCGTGTCGTGGCAGACTATCCACACCGAGGACCATCACCCAGTCATAGTCTCCCCTGACAGTCGAGGATACAATCCAATAATCCTAGACACAGTAACTCTCCGATGCCAAGAATATCCACTCTTGGAGCCGTAAACATCCCCTTGGCCCTGGTCACTTTTTGGGCTAAGCCCTTAAAACAACGCATCTCGATATTCCGGCTCTCGCAAAAACGGCTCCAGTCCAAGCCCATGATTGGCGTGTTTTAGTCTTCGACTCTGGGATGCCACCTGACGGGTCGTGTGCATTTGACCGCCATCTCCCAGACTCCGCTTTGAACTTAGGGTCCCAAGAAGCCCAAGACAGGGTCCTTTTCGGGGTTCCCTTGGCGACAGAGGAGACATATAAAGGGTCCTTCCCTCCGGCCTGTCTCCAGATCTTCGAGATCAGCGGCTCTCTAGTTTCTTAGTTTCACTTTCACTTCTCTCACTAGTCCCTGAGAATGCAGCCCTTCTCGATTGCATCGCCCTCGACGTGGGCTCTATTAGCCCTGCCGTTCCTCTCCTCTGTACTCGGCTCGCCGTTGCTACAGCAGCGCGCAAAGGGGCCATGGAAAGGTCTGGATACCAACTTCCCGGATCCTAGCTTCATGAAAGCCGCCGACGGCAAGTGGTATGCCTTTGGCACCAACGGCAATGGCAAGCGCGTGCAAGTTGCCCGATCTGACGACTTCAATACCTGGACTCTCCTCGACGTTGAAGCCCTGCCAACTCTGGCATCCTGGGAGACCAACATCGACCACTGGGCGCCAGATGTAGTCATGCTGGTGAGCTCGGCATCCGAAACCCAATCCTGAAACCAAAGACTAACCCAAGACAGGACAATGGAAAATATGTCATGTACTACTCAGGTGAAGCAAAGTCAGATCTGCGACACCACTGCGTCGGCACAGCCGTCTCAGACAAGCCTGCTGGTCCATACGTGCCAAACGAGACACCACTTTCCTGTCGTCTGGACCGGGGCGGATCCATCGATCCATCCGGCTTCAAAGACAAAGACGGCAGCCGATACGTCGTCTTCAAGGTCGACGGCAACAGCAAAGGCCACGGAGGAGACTGCAACAACGGCGTCGAGCCTCTCGTCGGAACACCTATTCTCCTACAAAAAGTCGGCGCGGACGGATTCACTCCCGTCGGCGACGCAGTCGAGATCCTCGATCGCAACACAGCCGATAACGATGGTCCACTCGTCGAAGCGCCAAATCTGATTCTACACGGCGACACGTACTTCCTCTTCTACTCGACGCACTGCTTCACTGATCCCAAGTATGATGTTCGTTACGCGACGGCGTCTAGCATCACGGGTCCGTACACCAAGAATAACAACCCGATGATTAGCGCCGCCAACACGGGTCTTCTTTCGCCTGGTGGTGGTACAGTTTGCGGCTGCGGTGATCGTATGCTGCTACATGCTTTCTGTACCGAGGAGAGGACTGACAGGTGCATGTATGTCGCTGATGTGAATATCAGCGGGAAGACAGCATCACTTGCTTGAGTCTGCAATTCCTCGTTTCTCGTTCTTTGATTTTTATTTGCGATGATACACCAGTGCCTCTGTCCAGGTGGCTTGCGACCATGGGTCTTACATGCTTGAGTTATGATACCAATGAGACAACTTTGTTTCTTTCTTGACCTTTTACTACACTGATCACTATCGCTCTATCCCTTTGTCCTCGTAGATCCGATGCAAACATAAAAAACTCGCGCAAGCCTCGTTCCCCGAACATATCCTGTGATTAGATACAGATTCAAGGATCATTTAAGGGAAAAAGATGTCTCGCAAAGACCTAGATATTCAAGAAGTCGTTGATCGTAATTCATTATTCTAATATTTTCAAGGGTTAAGAAACCTGTTCCTTTTCCTCTCTCGCGCGCTTCTTTTCAAGGGAGGTCTGCACCCACTCTGCTGCACCTTCAATAGCAGCCTTAGGAGCTTCCTTATGATTGAGAAGGTATCCCTGGATCTCAGCAGCAGTGAACGTCCCAGCCGGGACAACGGCAGCGAATTCATCAGCCAGACCGGAAATGCTGGCTCGGAGCGATTGAAGCCGAGCCTGAAGCTCGTCTTTCTCATGTTTTGGCGCTGCTGCAACAGTCCCGTTGACCTTCCCATTCGTCCCAACCCGCCCATCAGTGATTTCAGCCGGAACCTTGACCGCAATTCTTGGAGGTAACCCGTTGGAGATGGCTGACAGGATCTGATTACGAGCCAGATCACCCTCCATCGTCACGTAGATGGAGATGAACATCTCCTTGATATCTGCTTCGCTGGTGTAGCCAAAGGTGACGGTCATGTCAACACGGCCAGGGCGAAGAAGAGCCGGGTCCAACTTATCGGCGTGGTTGGTGGTCATGACGAGAATGCGGCCCTCGGTGGCAGCCACGCCGTCGATGACGTTCAAAAGTCCCGAGAGAGTCACGCCGCCCTTCTTGGGCTCTTCGGAGAGGACTTTGGCATCGGCCCCGGCATCCGCAGGTGAATCATCGGGGACATCGGCCGCCTGGTTGGCGCCTCGGGTTTTGGCAATACCTGCCGAATCAACGTCCTCGAGTAAGACGATGCACCGACGGGGCAGATCGGCGAAGAGAGACGAGAGGGATTCTTCGTCCAAGGATGAAGAGTTCAAGTCCAGGAGGTAAAGTTTCAATCCGAGAAGTCCAGCCGCGGCAAAGCAAAGACTAGTCTTTCCGGTTCCAGGGGGACCGTGAAGAAGGTATCCGCGGCGGTAGGGAATACCGCGGTTCGAGTACCAGCGACGCGTTCGGGGGTGCAGATATTCTTTAATATCGTCCACGAACTCATCCTTCTGGCTTTGATCCAGAATCACCGTGGACAAGGGACGGGGCACGCGAGCCATGCACCGAATCCAATAGTACGAGCCTCCACCGGAATAGCGACCACCGCGGTAGATGACCGTCATGTTCCCGTCGCGCTCGACATACGCCTGCTGAGCCTCCCACAAGAGTGATTTGAGAATCGAAGGATCCCGACCCAGGCAGGACAGGTACAGTCGCTCGTTGTTGAGCACATAGCGCGTGCCGCCCTCCTGGTTAGACCGGGTGAGCATCATCGGGCGATTCTTGTACCAGAAATAATGGGACCCTTCGGCAGGCGTGAACTGCAGCGCCTTGTACTTGTCGCGACTGACGACCTTGGCCCAGTATGTGTCGAAGGTGTTATCGGCCGCAGGGGCTCCATCCCAGTTGGTTTCATCCTCCATCTCATCTCCGTCCTCGTCGTCGCTGTCTTCATCGCTAATGTACCCGTTGGCTTTGACGCCGGCCACAAAGCGATTCGTGCGTCTCATCTGCTGCTGGCGCGACACCCAGTACATGAGGTAGCTGAAGATCTCATCATCCAAGCGAATCTCGGCGGTTGAGACGAAGAATTCGCTGAATCGTTCCCAAATGACAAAGAAAATGTATCGGAAAGTTGCGCCAAAAACGGTGAGTGCGATCATGAGTTGGAAGTAGGCCGTGATGTCAAAATTGAGGTATGAGTAGAGAAATCGCGAAATGAATCCAAATCCAGGGACCAGAGCCTCCAGCATGGCCGTGTCGGAGGTGGAAAACGGCCCAGCCGTTGTGCGGGTTTGGTTGAAATCCATGATCTGGCCCGGAGATGAAGTGAAGTGAGGTGAAATCAGGAAGAGTCCCGATTGTATACCAGATCTATCATGAAAAGGCAGGTGCTTTATACTTCCAACAGCGCAGAGCCTCAGTCAGGCATCAACGCCCGGACACCCAATCTGGAGCCCGGGGTTGCAGATCGTTCATGAATTGTGGGTTGTGAGTCTGAGCCCCTGGCCCATTCTGCTGCAGGCTTAGCCCGGCCTGATTGGATATGATTTGGTTCGCTGCGGCGACTGCCTGGAGTTGAGTCACTGCTTCATGCCAGCTGAACGGAGTACCCGTGACTCTTTGCTTTGACTCTTTGACCTTGAAACATCCACGGATGTTTGCTTCTTCCAAGGTTGTTTGACAAGAACCAACAAAAAAAGAAAAAAAGAAATCTCTCCCTCGGGGAATCGAACCCCGGTCTCCCGCGCTTATCGGTGTTAATGACAAGCGGAAATCATCACCACTAGACCAAGGAAGATGAGATGGCTGAGTTACTGCTCGGCCACTTGGCTGGTTGATGAAGAATGTGCTGGTTAGCGAAACTATGAAGCAAGTCAACTTCTACTAGAGATGTTTCTACTCCTCACCTCTGTGGTCACTCTACACCCCAAGGCTAACACTCAATTTAAACCCGAGAAAGATTTATCTGATCACTTTCAGGGCTTGACTCAGAAGTATGATCATTGCATATAACAAATTGAGAAAAATGCCCCGGTGAAATCATGAATTTCTATCATGGATGGTCTGGTAATATATGTTTCCAATGTTCCGAACAGACAGGGCAGCATCACAACCTATCACAGGTGTAGTAAAATAACTTCCAGTAAAGAATCGTTTATAATCACCGTGCATTCGAAGGGCCAGTCGAAGTTGCAGCATCTTCCCGGCCAAAGTAATCATTACGCCCATAAAAGGTCCGGGCACGCGCCGCTTCGCTATCCGCCCGAATGCTGTCCATGTACTGGCGGAACGACCGACTCATATCCATAACCTTCTTGAAATGGTCACTCTCCACAGTGATCTCATCCCCGTCTTGGTGATATTCACTTCCACGTATATCGTATTCAGCCAAAGCGATGGCAGTCTGGAAGGCGTTTCGAATCTCACGCCCGTTCCACTCCATCGAGCTCATCTCGTCGCCCATGATGAAATGAGCGCAGGCCGGAGTGACACGGATCTTGCCTTTCTGTTCCTGGTGAAGCTTATCGAGGAAGCTCTTCCAGATCATTCTCCGCCTTTGAGGGTCAAGCTTTTCGAAGCCAATGATGACATGCACTCGGGAGATGAATGCTTCGTCGATGTGGCCGATTCGGTTGGTGGTCAAGAAGAGCAAGCCTTTGAAGAACTCCATCTTTCGGAGGAAGGCTGTAAGGACGTGATTAGTGGTGGAAAATCAAATAGATCATACAGTCAGGCTTACCGGAAACGATTCCATTTCGGGCAATATCCTTGTGTTCGCGCCGTTCGAGGAAAATGTCTGCTTCATCGAGAAGCAGAATTGCTCGCCATTTTTGAGCAAGGGAAAACCAACTGGTGAGCTGATTTTCAATTGATTCTTCTTTCGTGCCAAGATCTCCTATCGTCAGACTGATCAAGGGGCGGCCAGTGTTCATTGCAATTGACTCTGAATGTTTGTCAGTGTGATCAACATCCATGGATCTTCCAAGGTTGAGGGCATTAATGAGCTAACTCACCTACTGTGTACGTCTTGCCGACTCCAGGGGGTCCTGTGATATAAAATGTCAGCTGGAGGTGCCTAATATAGCGCAAAGACTGCGACCAAGCACACAACTGACCGTGGAGGAGCACTACAACACCCTCGCCTTTGTCTTTGATGAAGTCTGCGGACCAGGGATTCTGCGAGCTGATTTGACGATCCGACAAGGCTTTGATGATTTGAAGGTGTTCGGGTTTAATGTTCGCATCTGGGATGGGAGCCGCGTCCTCCAAATGGGTTGCATAGTCAACATTCACAAACTCTGCAGCCCTAGTTAGTAGGTATGACCAATTCTCTGATCTCAAGCTTTGTCTTACCCCAAGTCTTGGTCAACAATGCAAATGCAGGCATAACTGGGCATTGCATAAATAGATGTTCATCAGATAGTTGCGATTTTGAACTTTCACTGGCAGTCAACTCCACCGGAAGCACCCGAGTGATTGGGTTTGGATCATCTTCGATCTTGAAGCTCTTGTTGTTGTTTTCAAGCCAATCGAATGACCAGTTGTTTGAGGGGAAATCAACCTGAAGATCACAGGGCCCGATGATAACGGGGCCATCATACTGCAAGGAGTTAGTGCCTCTGTCAGTAAAGCTGGGCTCAGAGATCAGTTACCCTTTTTTTTTCCTTGCCCATGAGCCTGCCACTATATTTCATGTACATGTGGCCCTCCCATACGATGTCCCGGACCAAAGCGCCTCTTTTCTCAAACGCATGGCGTCGTTTGTTATTGTCTTTGCTGTCGTGGAACTGCCGTGGGAAAATGGGCAAAGTGGTCACGACCTTCTCGCCGTCAAAGGCCTCGATAATTAATTGATGCGGTATTCGACCAAGCACCTGGGAGTGAAGGGAATTATCTTGGAACAAAATATTCACCTGCCAAGCTTCCTGTAACTCGTCGGCCTTTTCTCGGAGCTGCACGCTCTCGATGGCGCCCCCGACCCATGTATCGTCATTGAGGAAGTAGCTCAGGGTTCCCGGTTTCAGCATGTACCAGATCTCATCAAAAGTGACCGTTGGAGTCTCTTTCAAAAGTCTCTTATCCGCCGAAGGTACCAAACGCTGGACCTTTGGATTCAGGAAGTCTAGTAGCACGTCGAGATCGTGGCACTTCTGTGAGAGAGGAGCATCGGAGCTGGCGGCGCTCTCTGTATCTAACCGGGCCCTCAGGTCTTTCAGCTCCTGGAAATGGTGAATGAGCACCCTGTAAGGCTCATGTATTGTCACCTCGTCACCGATCAGGTTCTGACTGCGATTCATTAACCTTTAGATCTCGGGCACCGCATTCAAGAGTTACCTTGGGTAGTACTTGACGACCTCTCGAATGGCATCGATGAGCGGCAGCGAGTATATGATCATTTTGGCCTTGTTGATCTCTTTCACTTTCATGAATTTCAGTGAAGGCAGTTCGGTTTCTGTTGGCTTCCCATCGCGAGGCATCCCGACCTCGATTTTCGTCGATATCTCGAACACATAGGGTGACTCTGTGGGAGAGTTTTGCTTGGAATCTTTCATGACTTTAAGCTGAAGGGGGTCAGCGTAAGTCTCGATAAAGTCGGCACCGTCCCAATTGTAGCAGTCATAGGTATATCTGATCGGCTTAGGCGGCTCTTCTGTTTTTTCGCTCTGCTCCAAATCTGGCACGCTCTGCTCCAAGTTGGGCAATGTTGCGCCATCTTCTGGTGTAGAATGGATTTCATCCTCTGGCGTAGACTGGGCTCCAGCTACTGGCGGAGACTGGGTTTTATCCCCTGGCGTTGAGTTGTTTGCATCATCAACAACCTCGCAAGCGACAGCGGTTTCAACGTCCGTACAAGCCATGATGGAAGACAGAGTAGGATGGCTGTGTACGAATAACCCCCGAGGCCTGAGAAAACGTGAGGACTTCAAGGGGACAGCGATATGCACTCTGCTTTCAAAAGTACTCAGTGCTGACTCTGGATCATGATGCGGGGAGATGGGATCTATTCATAGTTGGCTGCTTCCAGCCCCAGAGGGCGTACTCGGTACTTGAAGTGATGTCCCGGCGCTTAGAAAACAAAAGGATAAAATTAAAAACAAATAAGGTAAAAGGAAAGATGACGCGGCCGTATCAAAAATCGGGCGAATGTTTCCGCATCTGCAGAAGAGGCCATAGACCAGGGCTCTTCCTATTACTCTTTGGCTCAAGGTACCTAAATCCCCTTAGACCACGGAAATACAAGTCAGATACCGGATCTCGAATTTCTATCACATAGACCATCGTGTACGCATTACACCATATCCATACCACCTCAGGGCTTGGGGGTTTGGGAGTATCCAGTTTGGCCCCCTGTTTCCAAGATTGGCGAAGCTTCGATATTGAACTTGCTTCCCGGAGGAACGTGCGAATCTCTGCCCCCACCTTTCAGCTGCTGGTGAATAAGAACCAATGGAATCTGAAAGCTACATGCAGGTGCAAGGTCCGTCCCGTGATGCCTTCAGATATTCCCACGGAGTATAGTTCCCACTGGTTGTCAATGCAGATGCCCCAAACCTTGAAAAACACTAAGCTGTGCCATGCCGCGCTACCCTGACAACATGCCGCGCTGAACTACGTGACTCCAATGAAACCGGGGCCTCACCTGAAGGTCAATGCACGTCCATCTTACTGGCCCCCACGCCGAAGCCGGGCGTATATGCATAGTCCAGATTCGGGAACCCCCGGATATAGCATATGCGGGCCTTTGTCGACTGAAAAACCGACACGAAGCTTACAAACGGCTCCAAGGTGGAATGTGAACTGTAGAAAGTGACAAAATGATCTCACTTGCATTTGGGTGAGGAGTTGTGAGAGGCTGGTTCTCGCACCGGGAAGAGGAGATAATGCAACGGATATATCACGGAAATGAGACTATTCCCTTTTGACGCTAGCTTCAAGCCACTGGCGTCTAGAAAAGGTGACTATGAGCGGGATTTGGGTATCACAATGGGCATTATTCGAGTGTGAGGCTCGACAAACTGGTACCCCCTCGTCTGTTCTGAGACTGTCACATCGATCTGATCTGTGATCTGACTTTCTGACTTGGAACAGTGTTTCTTTCTGATATGTTAACATCTGAATTATCCCCAACAATTTCGACATGCATCACATCAGGCAAAGAGCAGGCGAGGCCCTAACACATGTCCGGCATTTCAGCTCCAAGGTTAAGAATGAACAACCCGAGGAACCGTGGGTGTGAGTGACCAAGCCTAGATCGATGACTACATCCTGGGGAGGGTATGCTGACGGATAGTTCAACAGGAGAAGCCTGGACGAGCATGTGCAGTGGGAGATCAAGGAGGAGTTTGAGGGCAGGAGACTGTTCCGTCAATCCACTGACCAGACAATCCGCTTATATCGGGACGGATCACCGACCAAAGAAATCTTGTAAGAGCTCACTCGTTTTGGAGTGCCGGTCCCTAACTCGGTCATTATTTGGCCTTGCTTGAAGATCTTCCTCTACCGAATTCACCGAATCCGATGAACTCAAAGAAATAACAAAGGAGCTCGAGACAACATGGAAAGACGCGATCAAACACCTCATCAAGAAGCGAGAGGGTAAGAGTAACGACCTCGCAGAACTCATCAACGATCCCACTCCAAAGAGGCTTGAGGCGATGGTGCGCAGAGCTGCACGTGAAGTGGAGGCAAAGGCGCATACAACGGGAGGGAAGATGAGAGCAGAGTTTCGCAAACTGGTCGCAAGGATCGAGAACCATAAGTATCTCCTTGATATGCTTCCTTCCGGCGACATGTATACCTCGGTCTTGATTGGGGGGCTTTACAGCCTGTATTAAGGTCTTCAACCACCCCCGCGAAGCAAACACACCGCGAGACTGACACTTCAAATAAGACTACCCTTGAGCACGAAGAGATTGCAGGTTTAATCTCCGACTGCCTTGAGAAGCTCTCCGACAAGACCCACAAACTATACCGAGCGATTCGCAACCCGGATCGGAACGAGTACATCAGAACCCATATCATGAAGTTCTATTCGACGCTATTTGGGCTCTTGGTTACAATACTCGATAGGTGGTTACTTTCAACCGCTCAGCGCTGGAAGAACAGTTTCGGGAGCAGCTTTCAGAATCAGCTCCGGCGCTCAATCGATGGTCTGGACTACCATGTGAAGGAACTGACTGATGAGAACAGCTCCTTGATCTTACAAGGCGTATCTAACCAGGTTAGTCAGTTGGGTCCCATGCTCCAGGCCCTTTTGGCTGGTGGAATCATTGATTCATCGACTGGCGTTTACTCCGGTATACCATTGACGCCCAAGAAAACTTCGGCCTCTTCTATGACCCCCTTTGCCGCTTCGCAGGCCACTCTGGACTCTGTTTCTAGTTTAGCAGCAAGCGTGGCGTCAAGCATGCAAGACGAGCAAAATGACGACTACTGGACCAGCCAGACCATCCTTGAAGACACGGCGTGGATGAAGGAATATGTCTGTTCTAAGAGGGAGCAGTATCTACTTGAGCGAAGTCGATACGGATCTACAGACCCCCAAGTCTATTCTCGTCTATTACGATGGACTCAATCATCGTCATCGGAGGCGCTATGGCTCGAGGGCCCCTCAACAATGGGTGACATGACCCCAAACACACTGATAACAGCATGCATCGTCGAAACATTCCGAAGGCTTGACGTTCCCATCATTTCGTATTTCTGCCACTACGACCCCAGATACTACAGCACATTCTCCCGTCCACAAGAGCTCTTGAAGATGGTATACTCTTTGACCTCTCAAATGCTAGCCTTCATTCCCAAAGATCTATCTTCTGCCCTGGATGCGGAAGATTTACCTGATTTCTCGCCCGCTCGAATCCAACGTCTTTCTTCGGATTCAGGCTCGCTGCCCGACGCAATTGATTTCCTGAGGGATATCATTCCCTTGGCACCACCAGTCCTGGCCTGCTGTGTTGACGGGCTCCAAATCTTGGACTCTCGAGACGAGTCCCGTTGGTACCGAGACTGTTTGAAGTCTTTCATTGAAGTTCTGGGAACGACGAAGCCACCTGAGCCGCGCATCATGAAATTATGGCTTTCCACTGATGGACACAGTCTGACCCTTCAAGATGCCGTGAACGCCGGTTGGATTGAAAGCGATATCACAAACGGCGAGGACGACACAGAGCCTCTAACAATCGAGCAATGGATGTAACCGGGTGAATTCGGTCGTTAGTCAATGCATGGGGATGTTCCCGAGCCCAAGGGTGCTCCGTTTTGAGCGCAGGAGCGCAGGCATCGTTAGCACATCATTCCCTTGCACGGTCTGGTACGGGGTGATTGAAACAAGTAAAATCCATGGACCGTGTAAACGGTCACTGTAAGACAAAATGACCGAATGCTCCGTAGCGAAAGTTCAGAAATTTAAACATTATGTACGTGGTATGTTGTGGGTATATACAAAATCCAATAAAAGCTCAGGCTTCACCAAAAGTTATTCACTGTCAGAATGGGGGTGGTTACCTTTGATGGCATCTGCAACACCGCCAGCCCAGTCTTTGAAATCATCAAATTTGTTCCAGACAGTGTCCCACCAGCTACCATTCTCACCACTCTCGTCACTCTCGTCCCCTGCAGGCGCTGACGTGTTGGCTGGTTTGGTGGGCTCTGGTGATGGCTGCGCCGTTTGGACTGGCGGACCAGCCGACGTTGTGGTTTGCGGCGGATCAGAAGGCGTGTCCAGCACGGGTACGTTCTCATCAGAGTGAAGACCAACTGGCTTCAATGGAAGACGGAGGGTTCCATTGCTTGGGAGAGGATCCACGCCCAGCGAGTCACAGAGAATATTGTACACGTTGGTGTTTTCTAGTAAATCATGTTAGCAAGTCATATTAGATGGGATAAAGTCGTACTCACGGAAAGGTTCGACTCGACTGTTAGCTTTGTGTGGGAAAGCTGGGCCTCGCGCCACGAATATCGCACGCATCAATGGGTTTTCATGATCGTACCCATGAATACCGAGAGGATGGTATACTCCGCCGGTCTCCAAAGCCTCTTTGACATTGAACTCTGAGCGGTCGACGATAGCCCAGCCTGTTTTGGGGATAACCCACAACGGGGCAATGCGCTCGTTGTTCGAGAAGTGATACCGCTCGGGCATGGTGTCTCGTGTGTAAAACTCGAACGCATGCTCCCACTCCGGTGCTACCTTCTCCAGCTGCTTTTGGAGAGTCTCCAGGTCTTCGGGCCGCTTGGGACGAAGGCCACTGGATGGCCAACCGTCAATGCGATCGATAAGATCATAATCAATCAAATCGTCCAGCTGGATTAACCGTTCAGTAGAGGTGGATGCCATCCCATGGTCTGATACAACCACGATGTTGACGACATGAGTCAGATTGCGTTGATCCAAACCAGCCATCAGACCGGCAATCATGCCATCGGCCTGCGAGATCGTGGTCCGAATCTCCGTGCTGTTGGGTCCAAACTTGTGTCCGTCCCGATCCACGTCTGGAACATAAGCCGCGATGAACTGTGGCCGCTCGGGCGCAATTTGCGACTCATCTTCCAGTCCTGGAAGATCGAGAAACTCAAAGATGCGATTGACCTTGCGCGAGAGGGCTTCTGTGCTATTAAACTTGTCCACATAGCTCGGCTCCTTGTCTCCGATATGGGCTTCCGACCCCGGCCACATATGAATAGCAGTTTTCACGCGCTGCTTTTCGGCCGTGACCCAGAGTGGCTCTGCCATCCACCACTTCGGCTGCATACTGACTTCTGGGTGGGTGTAGTAGAAGTCCTCCTTCATCTCGGGATCCCAGAAGGTGTTGCCCACAATTCCATGGCTCTCGGGATAGAGCCCCGTCATGAGGGTGAAATGATTCGGGAAGGTCACGCTCGGGAAGCTGGGATTCATGTATTGCGGCGAGACGCCATTCGCGACGAGAGAGTTCAAAGCCGGTGTAAGACCACGGTTGAGGAAGTCGGCGCGGAACCCATCGAGGGATACCACAATGGTGGTTGGTGCGAACAGGGCCGTGCCATTCGAGAGGAGAGACGGAGTATGCGGGCGCGTAGCCCGGGAGCCGTTGGAGGCTTTGTATGCGCCGAGCACTAGGATGAGGAATAGGACGAGCACAATGGCGGAGATGAATAAGACTTTCCACCATGAAGGCCGTGATGGCTGCGTACACGTTAGCAGGTAGAGAAGAGTAAATCGCGGTTAATCATACCGGCTCATATGCGTATTCGTCCTTCTCATCGGTGTCCAATGTGGAACCACTCAAGAGAGATGCATTGTCATCTCCAATACCCTCCTCCATTTCATACATCAGCTCGCCATCCTCGCTGACTCGTTCGCGGCGGGATCCTCTCCGCGGTCGCCGTTCTTTGGATTTCTTCCCGATCGTCACGCTGCCTTCGAGTGGACTGAATATTCTCCGGATACCATGCCCTGCACCCCGACGGGTCAGGAGGTTCTCCAGTTCCTCTTCATCCTCTAGCACGGCGCGGTCGTGCTCTGCCAGCTCCATGGTGCTGCGATTCTGGTGGAGGAGGGCATCGTCGTCGGAATCGGAGTCTTGCTCAGAGGGTGACCGCAACGATGATGCATCGTTGTCATAATTTGCGGGGGAAAGGAGAGAATGACTGCGGTCCGGGCGTCGCATTGCTCATGAAGGCGTGGCAGTGAGACGTTGAAGTCCAGGAGAAGGGAGGAGCCAAGAGCGCCAAGACCGAATAGCTCGATTTCCACTCCGGAGTACAGCGACATTATTCTTTTGCACTCAACATCGCTATGGATTGATATGGTCAATACTATGTTACCCCAGACTGTTGTTTAATTCTATACAGCACAGAGTAGGCCATTGGGTCTTTGTGTACTCCGTACACCCGAAGACATGCGGCAAAACAATGGCTCTCGCACCTGTCGACTTTGCTATCATTGACAGACCTTTGCTTTTGCGAACGGTAGATGCATGTCAGAAGCAGTTTCGTCAGCTCACGTCAACTGGCACGTTTCAATGAGCACATCGTGCCACATTCTCATCTTGCGTTGCATGTCCGCAATGAAAGGCAGATCCTACTCGAATGCCTCTGTGAGAAGAAGATCTGCTACAAATGACATATGCTGGGGGCATTCGACTTCTGCTCACAGCCAAAATGAGGCGAAAACGAGTTGAGCCGCGTTGACACTGGCGATCCTCTGCCGGATGCAGCATTCCGACCTGATTGGCCGACGTGTCAGCCCTACAGCAACAGCTCTGGTGTGCCCTCGAGACCTGCGAGCGACAGCGCCACAGTATAGGTGGCTCTCTAGTAGGCCAGAGGTGCTGGAGTACAACCCTTTCAGGAGTATCTCCGGGGCTGTCACTAAGACGAGGACCAAGATTGAGGGTTCATGCCCCCTGTCTGTTGGCGTGTCCAATGCGAATGATCATAGTACCGCATTACGACCTATGACATGAAGGTAATGTTTTGATGTCGAAATATGCTATATGTTTTGTCGCTACAGATGTCTGCTATCAGAACTCTCTAGTAGCTGATGGGGCCCTCTAACCACCGTCCTTGACACGCGTGTGGTGCTGAGGTGGGGAACCTCAGCTCTCAATTTGACACCATGCAACAGGCTGTCAATGCTTTGTTCTCACATGTTGTCATGTTGATCCTTCTGGAATCCTTCGCTGGGCCGCTTGCGATACTTCGTTTTCCTATTTGGGAAAGATATCACGTGACATATACGACCGCGTCCACCCCCCTTGCTGAACGATCTTCACGATTCAAGCCGGAAGCCTTGGAGCCCATAGCTATATTGGGCTAGTCTTATTATATTAGGTTATCCGGTGGGTCTTCTGAACCCCCACTGTGACCTCCCCGACATCCGTCTCCCGTCTGTCTCTTGTCCGGATGCGGAAGTGAAGCAAGTTTTCTTCTTCCGTGGATTCCAGCGAGGGCAGATAGGAACAGAGCGGCTCAGAAGCACGTTTCCAATCTGAAATTTCTGTCCGTTCATGTCATCACCATACAAACCTAAAAAGCGATCTATGTGGACCGCATTTGGATGTCCAGGACATCTATAAGTATGGCTTCTTCACCATCTCAATTCGAGTCCACATCTGCTGTCTCAGTTGCATCAGAACATATATACTAAGTTCTACCGTCACACTCTACAAAATGCACTTCACCGCTCCCTCCGTTGCCGTCCTGGCCCTCGCCGCCGGCGTCTCTGCCGGCGCTTTCAAGCAGCACGAGCCTGCCCACAAGAGCGTCACCCACCAGCCCAGCGCTGCTTCGACCGGTACCCACTCCATCATCACCGGTCCCCCCAGCAGCACTGTCGTGGTCTCTTCCACCGCCCCCTGCTACAGCTGCCGCGCTAGCTCCACCATCCCCGTCTCTGTCCCCAGCAAGACCCCCGGTGCCTCTCCCTCTCCCTCTGGCTCCGGCGGCAGCGGCAGCGGCAGCGGCTCTAGCTCTGGCTCTAGCTCTAGCTCTGGCTCTGGCTCTGGCTCTGGATCTGGCAGCGGATCTGGCTCTGGTTCCGGCTCGGGCACCGACTCTGGCTCCGGTTCTTCCTCCAGCGACTACCCTGCCGCCAACCCCGGCTCCAAGATCACCATCCCCCACGTCGGTGCTATGGGCGCTGTCATGGCCTACGGTGCTGCCATGTACCTGGCATAAACGCCTATCAACGTTTATGGCTACGACCTTTAACGCCGGTGTTTTGGTCTAGAGGCTGCTGATACATCGTCTCTGTTTTTGTTCTCATCAATGGCTGCTGCTCAATGGTTTAATCGAAGCTGAGTACGAGTTTTCAAGCTCCTGGACACTCGTGGAGTTCTTTTGCTTGGATTTTTGTGTTTTATCTGTGGAATCCAGAATAGATCAATACTTAATATGATTCTTACCCACAACATGGTTCTGTGAAGCACTATTTCTTTTGAGCAACGTTAATATTGAGACTATACATGGCTTCATTTTGAGTAGTATGCTTAAACCCAACTCACTAGAGACAGCAGGTATCAAAATCCCAATTAAATTTTCTTTCCATGTTTAATCCATTGAGATTTGCATACTCGCTGCCTCATAGACCTGCGCAAACTTTAATCATTCGTCGACGAATGCAACGTCAGGTACTCTCGCAGTCATACTCTATAAATAGCGCCCAAAGTGGAAGTCAGTTACCCACTTGATCGTCGTGCTTGAGCTTAAGCTTCAGCTCAAGGTTTAACGCATGTATTCAATAGAGTGGATTGGCTGTAACTGAGAGCTGATTTGGCCGAAGCAAAGGACTGCTCCACCTAAAGTCTCGTCACCTTCAAAGTCATAAAGTAAAATCTTAAAAGCCGCGCAATGATACCAAGCACTTGGTGCGCGGCATGGCCAAGAGTCATTAGACTCACTGTGGATAGTATGATAAATGTGACCGAATGAGTCTGGGCTTTTCTCTGAATACCACTTGGAATGAATACGAGTCTCTTGCCGACATTAGCAGGGGATTAGTGCGTCTTGGTTCCTACTGAACGATCTAGGATTCAGGATTTTAGCTTCACGGACAAAGAACTCTCCCGTGGGCAAGACTTGGCTACTCTACGGGAATTGATACACCGAGCCCAGTGGCTAAGAATGAGAAGATCAAAGGCAAACAGATCAATCAGGGAATCATTTGCTTAATTGAGTAGCAGCTACTCCGTACTATAGGTGCCCAGACACTATCAAACTAGCCTACGCCTAGTGTTAGTTCTATCGCCCCGCTGAGGTCTCCATTCCGCCGCCCCGGCGGAGAACAAGGCTAGGCCTGGACACTCCGTACATGTTTGACTTAGCATTGCGAGACAGTTTACACTTCTACGATCAGAGAAAATAACATGCGTAATGTTAATACCTGCCAGGGAATGTACAAGTATGTAAAACCTCAATTCGCTAAATGGTTACATCGCCACCCACGCCAACCCTGGAACAGAATGCAAGTGCAAATGCAAAATAAAAACATAACAAAACACGAAATGAAAAAAATCGAGACCCAGTTTTGAACACCGTCCATGCATCTGCAAATATGAGTACACAGTATCCATACCTACAGTGTAGATATCCAATTCACCCATTGGCATCCACACCCTCCAGACCCTCCATCGACACCCCCATAGTTCTCAACAGTCGAATTCTTAGTCCCACTTATTCCTTTGAAGAGTCCCATCGCAGGATTAACCAGTTCACCTCCAACATCCCGCTCTTCAAGCTGGAGTTGCACACCCGTAATATTGTAGTGTCCATCATCCACAGGATAGCAGTAAACCATCTTCTTCTTCTCTGCGCCACCGTGCCGATCAACAGTAATGGTAACCGGGTACGGGAAGGAACCAGGGCGCGAGAAATTCGTTGCAGAGGACGACGAGGTCGGAGTCGTGCTTGTTGACGTGGGCGTTGCCGCGGCAGATGTACTGGTCGCCGTGACATTACCGTAAGGAAGTAAACGGCGATTGAGCTGATCGGCCTTCGTCCAGATCTGCACGAGGAATCGGGTCTGAGACCAGGTGCATCGGTAATTTGCTTTTTCTTTGGTGGTTCCGCCGTTGGAATCGACTGATGCGCTCTTGTCTTGCGAGGTCAGGAAGATGGATTTGTCAAAGTATGTGTAGAAGCCGTAGTGCTCGGTGGATTGGCCGCGGTTGTAGAGACGGATTGGCTGGGCGGAGGGGAGAGGGTAGAGCATTGCGGCGGCGGCTGAGCCGTCGGAGTTCTCGTCTGGGGCTGGGATGATAGCTGAGATGTTGGGGTAGGAGGTGCCGTTTGAGTCGAGGGAGCGGCGGTAGACGTTTGTTGATGAGAGGGAGACGGGCGAAAGCATGGACATGTAGAAGGGGGTTTCCTCGCCGGCGTAAGGAGCAGTATTATTGTCTGTGTATTGGCCCATGAAGGTTTGGTCGTCATCATCTGGTGCAGCAGGCGAGGGATTGAATTGATCGTTTCTCTTCACGCGCCGGGTAGAGCTTGATACGGTAGTGCTGTTGTCGTATGTGCCATTTTGGAAGAGGATCGAGACACGGAAGTTAGGCTGGTTTGCATTGTATGGCTCATTGGACTCCTGCTGGTTCTTGGGCAGAGCGCAGCTCCACATCGAAGATGGAGTGATACAAGTTGACCTTTCGAGCTGAGGCTCTGTTCCAGCGAGGGTTGCGACGCCCGTCGGCATGGGTGGGTAGCCGGTGAGATTGAGCCACTGGGATTGAACGGCGGTCGATGTCCCCTTTCTCGTCAATGTGACTGCCAGAATGATGGCGATCATCACAATGGTGAAGAAGAACAGGCAGATGAGGATATACCACCTTCTGCGGATTCGACCTTCACGTCCCGCGCGTCCATTCTTCTGCTTGAATAACGAACGTAGGCCGCAGGCCTTCCGTCCGAACTTGTCCTCATCCTCTAATCTGCGACGACGAGCCTCGTGAGGCCCGATGGCTCCACTGGGGTTCACTATTGTCGCATTCTCAACATAGTTGGATTGATAGGGTGGGTGAAGACCGTAGTTTGGCGGACCAGTACTCCCACGAGCAAATTGGGTGTATGCGGGAGCCGGTGCTGGCATATCAGCCATGGGAATTGACCCTGGGCCTCCAGCTGCACGCTGGAATCCGGGAGATATGGGCTCAGAATCTTGCGACTGTCCATGCGTAGGAGCTAAAACGAGTCCTGCGGGTATTGCTCGCTCTCCACTAGAAGAGTCAGATGCCGTAATTTGGGGTTGAGCCTGGGGTTGTTCGGACTCTTGTCTTTGTCGATTTTGGAAATCAGATTCATCAGGTATTGTTTGTGGCATCGGGGGCACAGGTGGAGCATTAGTGTGAGGGTGTGCATTTTGCGCAAACGGCCACCCCGATCCAGACTGCCGTCCTTGAATGACAGGTGGACCTAGCAAGTGGTTTGTTCGCTGACTGGGGGCTCGTCGAACTTGTTCAATGGCTGCTGGCTCAGGAGGCGGCTGTGCAGATCCAGGCAATGCTCGCGTGGCACCAGCAGGCTGTTGTGGTTCATTTTGATCATAAGCCCACGCAAAGTCCTTGAATAATTCCTGGGAAACAGGCTTTTGAGGCTCTACATGAGGCTGCGGCTCCTGTTTTGGCTGTGCGTTTTGTCCCCATGGCCATTCCGCTCTGGGAGTAGCAATTGCTGAGCCTTGTGGATAAATTGGCGCGTCTGGAATTTCTCTAGTCTCCGCTTGTGGTTGCTCTTGTGCCAGTGGTGCTTGTACGAATGGCTCTGTCGGTGGTCCAGGCTGAGTGTAAGGGAAAGTAGGAACATATTGTGGAACTATTATCGGCTGTGGCTGTGGCTGTAGCTGCTGCTCCGGGTGTGGTGGATAATGCACATTGATCACTGGGGGAGAGACGTTGGTGGTGATCTGGGGGGCAGGGGCAGGCTCGGGCATAGGGAGTGGAGCCGGGGCGGGCGCCTGGGGTTCTGGCATTGGAACAGCCGCTGGGGCCGGCACAGGCTGGGCTGCAATCTCCCGCTCGGTTGTCTCAGCCGGAACTGGAACCGGAACTGGTGCAGGAGCCTGCGATTGAGGTGCTGGCACGGGTTTTCTAGAGATCGGTGGTGGCGCCGAACTCTTTCCATCGTCACTGGCAATAGGTGAATCCCAAGAATCACCGCTTGTATCAGACGCAGGCGATTTGGTCTGAACTTCTTTCGCATGACCTGCAGACTCGGATGGAGCTGCTGTATGGGCGATGCTAGACGGACGCGGCGAGTCAATGTCAATAAGCAATCCGGCATTCTTAGTCGACGTGGTCGAATCTGCGACTGGAGCATTGGGGCCTCCACGCGTTTCTTCAAGCCCAGACAGCCCATCGTACGGATGTGAAGCGTCTACAGAAGCAAATGCCACGTTCCGATTACCGTCAGCTCCAGGGGGAATGGTGACATTGACCGGTGTGATCGAGCAGACATGATTGCAGCATTGAAAGTACGGCGTCTTGCTGAAAAGTTCATGCGCACATGCCTGGTAGTACTCCGCCGCCTCGCCCTCGATTGTCTGGCCGTTGTTGAAGACAAATGACATGACATTTTGCCTGCTAGAGACATTCGAGACATAGGCTGGTGGCGGGGACTGTTGCCTTTCTTGAATTTGACTCTGGTCATACTTCTCTGCTTCCATTGACCGGGCGAATTCAAATGCCTTCTCGCCCATTGGAGCTGCTGTCTCCGGCGTGTCTGGTGAAAAGCATGAGATTTCCTTTCCTCGTTCGCGCCATTCGGCTGGATGTCCGTGTCCTCCGATTGGGCCTGGTGTTGCCGGAGTATCTGGTGAGAAGCATGATATTTCCTTTTCCCGGGGCCAGTCTTTCGGAGCTGTTCGTGCTGGTGTATTCGATGTTGATGGCGTAGTGGGCGATTCACGAGGAAAAGATGGGCTGAGAGGCGATTTGGCTGAACGGCCCAGCAGCGGCGAAAGAAGATATGTCCACCAGCCCTGGGATTGGGGTCTATCTGCCTCCGGGTCGGTGATAACTGATAGAGTGTGCGGCTTTTTGTTTGGAGATGGAGGTAGGCTGACATCCTCCCACGTATCGACTGATGCTGGACGCTGGCTTCGAGGTTCCACGTCCAATCTCTTCGGTCCCTCGTAGCTGTCTTTCACCACGGAATGCTGGGCTGGGATAGCCGGCACGGGTGGGACGTCATTATCAAATTGCCAGAGTCGAGGCGTGGGCTGGGAATAAACACTCGAAGCCACTCTTGGGCGAAGCATTTCGGAGCTCGCATTCGAATGGGCGTTCCATAGTGCCTCTTCATTCGCCGGCGTGATCAGAATCGAAGGTGTGAGGGGTGTTCCTGAGCCATCGGCTTCCCTGGACCGCTCGATAGACTCGCCATGCGGTACAGTGAGTCCGATCATCACATTGCGATCTGACGGCGAAAGTCCATGTTCATGTCGATCGTGGAAGGGGTCTTCGTTGTCGGGGTTCAGATATGGATTGCCATGTCCTTCATTATGAATAGGTTCTTCGGGCAAAAGCTGGAATCCACGCGATGGTTTCTTTTTGTATGTCGACTTAGACTTCTGTGTAGACCGTTCCTTTTCCCGCACTTTCGATAGCAGCTTTAAGTCATTCAGGTCAACGAAGGGTGCCGCTGACTCTTCATTCGTAACTATGCGTTTCCTTTGTGCTGGCACTGGAGCCAAGTTGAATTCCGTGACGAGATTCAGACCGACCGGCTTAGCGACGCTCTTTCGTTTCTTCGTGATGCCCCGGAAATTCAACCTAGACGATTCCCTTCGACTTTCCCGATGTGCAGTCTGTGCCTCGATCTTAAGCCTGGTCGCCTTGGACAGAAAGGCAAAGGGCCTATTCTGCTCATCCTGATCTTCGGCCGAGGAGCACGACGGACTGGCGATTTCCTCGCTGATCGGCGACGACAAAGGGAAGTTTGGCACTGGAACTTGCAGCTGAGGTCGAGCTTTCTGCTGTTTAGGTAGCATTTTGAGACCGGTTCACTGGAACTATTGTGTAGCAGCTATGAGCGGTTAGTTGCTGTGAGGAAAGTCTTCGAAATCACATACCATGTGTCGTGCATGTAGTTGAAAGAGGAAGAATCGCTGAAACAAAGACCAGTCTATAAATATGAAGCGCTCTATGCAGAAGATGACGCCGGTGAAACAATGAAAAACGACAATAGGCAATGGACTGAATGCCGTCTATTGAGATACAAAAGAACAAAGGAAAAGAGAATAAGAGAAAGACTAGAAACCAGAAAAGCCCCGAGATTAAAGGACAAAGCTCTATTTCTGCACTGTGAGTGCCGAGTCCAGCCCGATCACTCTGCAGCGAAGCTCTATAGCTACTGCCAATCAGCACCATGTCGGCAACAACATCAGACAAACTATATCTGCAGAGAACCTATTCAACCTCCGTTATTGGTCGACTGGCAGGAAGATCACCAGGGGCAGCGAACTGGGTGCGCATGGATTGGGTGATGTTGCTGCAAGTGCCAGACTGGGGCCAGTCTCTACGCGCCGGGCCGGGGGGTTGGGCGCTTCGAGAGACCAATCGTGCATCGACGACGAAAATAGCTGGGAATCAAAACAATCTCTGAAACTACGACAGGTGTGACAATTTATTCGATGCTCAGAGTATGCTAGACTCCAAAACTATCTAGGTACAATTTCTACGATCGACTCTACGTACAATACTTGCACTAAGCCAGGGTTTGAATTTGGTATACACTCGAGCTTATGATTTTATCTCTTTTTTTTTCCTTTTGGATCCCGAATCCCATGTTCAGATGCAGTGCAGAAATTAAAAAGACACACGTTGCGGGTATGGATAACACAGAAACTCCATGGAGTTAAAAAAAAAAAAAACAGGAAAAACAAGGCCAGGGAGGCCGAGGGCAGGCATCTAGAGGAAAGTCACATTTCCCGAACATGGGGAGGGCATAAGAAAATAAGTCGTTGATGATAGGGCAGCGTGATTATTCATATCTCATACACGGCTTTCTGGATGCGACGGGTGAATAGGCGAGTAATTCGCGTTACCGTCGCTCATCGGTATACTGAATACCTTGCATAGGCGCCACTGAGCCATTCATGAGTGGCGGTAATGTGCGCGGCTGGTCTGGCGCGACTTGGCCGTTGCCGAAATTGGCAAATACAGGGCCTTGCGGCTGGCCATTGACCTGGGTAGGATTCATCTGGTGATGTTCGTAGATGGAAGGGGTTCGGGAAGGGCCGTTCTGCTGGCTGAGTTGGGCGCGCATCTCCTCCAGCTCGGATTGCATAACGTTGTGGTCGCGTCGCGATTGCGCGACGGTCTTTTCCAGCATGGTGATGTAATCGATGGCCCGGGTGAGGGTCTCCCACTTGCTGGATTTGTTGGTCTGCCCGGCTGGGAGACGGAGCCGGAGCGCTTCGAAGCAGTCTTTCATCTCACTGCGACGTTTCCGCTCGGCCAGTTTATGTGTTACACGAAGTTCGGGGGTGCGACTGTAGGGCGTGCTCCCCGGGGGTCCTTCTTCCTCGCCAATCAAATCGCGCACTGCTTTGTGTTGTAGAGAGTGGTGGTGTACATTTTGGGGTAGGTCTGAGCGGGTTAGAAAGCTTGGAAGGCCGAGCAGAATGGGTTACAAGACTCACCATGTTGTCCTCGTGGCATGCGCTCCGAGTACATACTGTTCATAGATTCGGCCATGCTGCCTTTGCGGGAGAATGGGGGATTTGATTCCCCCTTCGACGAGACTGAGCTGGAACGCGCCATGTCGGGGTCGGGGAAGGCGTAGGCCATACCTGCGGTGGGTGCCTCCGCATTGTAAATCTCCGACCGAGGGTTCGAAGAGATGGCCGGCGCCGTGCGACCGGCTGCGAAACTACTTCGCTGGTTGTCCGTCGGACGAGGGCCCAGCGGTGACAATGGCTGGCTGCCGCCAGAGTACCGAGGGCCCCGGTATGAGTTCATGTCGGTGGGAATTCCCCGCTCCCTCTGGAGACTAGAGACGATGGAGGACTGAGAAGCATTGGTGCTGTGATATGGGGAGGCGGGATTGATCGCAAGGGAGCTGATTCCTTGGTTGACGCGGCTGTCGACGCTACTGCGCCGAGACTCGGTCTCGGCGACGCTGGCCCGCTGAGGCGGCACTTCATAGTTCTGGTTGATAGAGGGGAGGGCGGAGTTGGGTTGGTTAAAATTCGGGGAAGGATGCTGTGTTCCAGCTGAAGGGGGGGTATTCGATTGGTCGTAAGAGAAGTGGGAGCGGTCGACCGCGGGGTGTCCGCGATTTGGTGATGGTTGCGACGCGGCGATGAAGTGCAGGGCGGAATAGTTATTGCCCGTGCCATTGGTGGTCGTCGAGTAGGTGGAGGATCCTACAGGGTCAGCACCGCGCCGTTCCCAATCCTTGGGCGAAGGTCTCCTACTTGTACTTTGCGGCATTGACCAGTTTCCGGAGTCTCGCTCAATGGTGTTCAATGATGCGTTGCCAGGAGATTTCTCGGCCGGTGTCCCTGTGCCTGGCATATGTGCTGTCAAGGTCGAGATCGAGGGTAGTGTCTGCGACGAGCTGGTCTGGCCCGAGGCAGTTTCCCATGGCCGATGTGCGACGGAAGGGTCCATGGTGTGAATGTAAAAAAAAAAAAGAAGTCTATGTTTGCATATCCAGAGACAAATAATGGGGGGAAAGGGAAAAAGAGAGACCAAGCTGCAGGTTGTATGTATAAAGAAGAGAGGATTGAAGGGTGGAGGTCCCAAGTCCAGATAAGTTTAATCTCGAATACTCGAAACTGAAACTCGCTCTTTTTTATTTTTTTCAATACGCAGTAATTTTGACTTCCATTTTTTCGTTTCTTTTTTAACCTTCCCCTTTCTTGGTCCGCGTCAGCCTGTTTCCATACGTAAGATTACCCGTGCCACGAGGCGCGGTATGGTACTGTACAATGTGAGGTATCGTAAGTACTCCGTCCTCCGTACATCTATATGCTCTATCTACTCCGTACTGGACTTTAGACTTCAGACTCGTACGGAGTACGGAGTAGATGTTTGCTGCTATTTTCCCGTATACTGGAGTCTGCCGTTATGGTACGGTACTGCATTCGCGACCGGGGGATCTGCGTCGTTCCGTATGAGGTCGGACACATGGCAGAATGCAGGGTTTGGAACTCTTCACATGGCCGTTCTTCACGTGGATACTTTACTAGTACTCGACTAGTCTACTCCGCGCCTTTACCCTATAGCTTTATAGCTTTGGACATAGTACGTACGTAGAGAATCACATCCACTCTACGTTTGTTTGTAACACACCCCTTATTCTGGAGCTGGAAGAGCTCCCTGCAACCACCCGCCCTGTTGCCCGAAGCATCACATGTTGCTGGGTTACATGGGGCCGTTAATGTCGCGCGGCTATTTTCACCTGAATCTCCTTCGGGATTAGGAGGTAAAACAACGGGATCGCACACCTGGTCCGACCAGGAAGCTTGGCGAAGGTGATCAGGTTCTGGATCTGGCGATCTGCCGAACTAGTCGATATTGCATTCAATCCGATCCTCGACTATCCGGTCCCTGTTGCAATGGTAAGGGGGACGCCACGAAATGGGTTTGGACAAGTCGAATGCTCCACACTTGTTTGACTCCCAGAATAGACGGTTTGTATGCATCGAATCCGAGGGAAATTACTCCGTACCTAGGTACCGCCACAGTGTGGCTCACGATACCATACCTGCAAGTGCTCCGTACCACCATGTCTATCATCGCCTGTTCCAGTGTATGCCACATGGCACCATTGTCGCCTTGCAGAATGTCTTGATCGCCACCCGATCGACGGAGTGCGCATTCCTCGAACTTCTGGCACCGTAGCACTTCTCCATACTTGATGAGCGTCGCTTATCTGCCTATGGCGGGAATTCTCAGTACGACTCTACCCGACAACGTTGTACACACTCTGTCGGCAGCCGGGTCTCAACCCGTCATCAAGGGATGCCCCAGGGTGCAGATCGTTGGTTATGTCAATAGTGCGTGGCTGTTGCTCAAGCCTTGCTCCAGGCTCGCTCATGGCAGGGCCACGCTCTTCCCATCTGCTCCCAACCCCCATGGCACCGTGGGCCCCTTCCCAGGAATTCGTGAGGACCCGTGCCTTGCTGTCTCAACCTACACCGCGGGTCGTACCATTGCCGGGGGTTACGGTCCCCCCGGGTAAATCTCATTTCCTCGCACATGAACCCTTTCTCGAAGCGCGACATACGGGTCAGATGGGGGCCGTTCGTTACCAGGCTGTTCCCTGCAATTTCCTTCTAGCAAACGGTTGACCCCGTCCACACGGCTTCCATGCATCTGAAATTGCAGTGCTTAACTCTCCATGTGGACAAACGACTGCTGCCTGGCCCGTGTCCGTCGATCCTCTCACCGGCTCATCCCCGAAGCTGGGGAGCACAATGCAGAAAGGTTACATGAGTTCATGTGTGTTGAGAGATCACACTAGGGCGACACAGCGCATACTGCAAATCTACCAGGGAGAACGCCCCGATAGTCCGGCATGATTGGTAGATCATTCCATGATCTTCCCTCCGTGGCATATCCCTTTCCGAATTAGCTTTCCCAAGTATCGCGTGTCATTTGATGTATTGCAATTACCTCTGCGTTTCGTGGATTCCACGGGGAATCTACGCTTCCCTTCCGTTCTCCATGTGTATGGCGTAGGGTCAATCCTCTCGGTAGGTGTTTACTACTTACCCGTTTAGGAAATTTGGATCATTCCAAATTTGCTCAATTATTGCACTGATACATGACTCAAATCACTTCTACTAGTAGGGAGTTATCATCCACTAACTCTGTACCCTTGCTCTGATTCAGATTCATCCCCATGTGCTTATGGCGCTGTGCGCCGGGACCGTCCCGCGTGTTCCAAGGTTGTTTTGTTCGTCAAATGTCGCGGTTTATGACTTTGCACTGGATCATCCTGGGCATGCTCAATTCGTACACTGTATTGTAGTATTTGCAATTCGCAGCCTTGGGCTCTGAGGTGTCTCGAAAGTCATCAGATGTCTGCCATACGGAGCCATATTCGTGTGATATATCGTCGAATCGGGAATCAGAAGCACTAAATCGGGCCTGATTCCTTATAGATATTGATCATCCTTAATAGTATCATAATAACACCACATTCACAACAAATAGGCTGGTCGCATGGATCCATGATCCACAGATATATTTGCGGGCTCTGGTCTAAGTACCCAGGATCCATCATCAGAACAGGCCCAGGTGGGTTTCAGGGTTGCACACTGTATACTTGGGTCTTCGACCTTGAACCAATTCGCCATTTGCATATATCGACTTATGCCCACCTGGGCAGGTGAGACCTGAGGTCGAATAGCCTTAGTCCTGGAGCCCAACATCATTCCAAAGTTTCATCAATTCAAGTCATATGAGCGGCAATATACATCTATCTACAGGTCTTTTTGGGATCTTGCGCACTACCACAAGCATGCACGGATGAAGATAGCTTATTCTTCATCCTCGTCATCCTCATCATCCTCAAACTCAACACCAACCTCACCCGTGATATCCCACCGGTCGCCCTTGGCCGCCGCACTGACGTACTTGACGAACTTGAGCGTACCGCTATCACGTAGCACGATGCTGAGGCGATTCCACCCAGCCTGTGTGCTGAACAGAATGCCATCGTCCTCGTCTGCGCCGGCAGATCGGTAGATGGCAGGGTCAGCCTTGGTCTTCTTTTGTCCCAAGACCTGATCGGCGTTCTCGGGGTCCTCTTCCTCCTCCTCTTCCTCATCGCCGGCCATGTAGATCTCGTAACCACCAAGGGCGGGTCCCTCGACGGCCTCCTCATTGGTCTTTTCCTTTGGCTCGGGTGCCTTGGTAGACTCCTTAGCTTCTCCGTCTTCGTTATCCTCGTCCTCTTCCTCTTCCTCCTCGTCTTCCTGCTTCTCCCAACCAGGGCTAGGGGTGAGACCCAAAGTGAATTCAAGACGAGGCTCCTCGCCCTCGTACGCACTAGCAAGAGTGTAATCCGCGCCACGGCGGAATCGTCGCGCAATCAGATCATGGCTGGTGAGGTGGTCAACACCGGTGATGAGACCGAGCCACTTGCGGAAAGCCTGGGAGGGGAAGAGCACGTTCAAGAGCTCCTGGATCGGGTTCTCTGACTCCTCCTTGCCGGAGGCGTGCTGGTAAAGATATCTGTGCTTGTGGGGAGGGCGAGCGACAGTCCATCCGCGCTGCTTTTCAATCTCATCGGACGAAGTCGGAAGAGCTTGTCGCTCCTGTTCCTCGATGAATGCGCTCATGCGCGAAGCGAACTTGTCGTTCATGAATCGCTCCAGGCTGAGAGAAGACTCGGCGGAGAACGCATCGGACATTTCCTCGGCGATATCAGGAGTCAGGTACGAGGGTGCGATGTAGCGCACCAGGAAGTCGAGTTCGGATGCATCGAACTCTCCCTCGGATTGCTCTTCGGCCTTGCCCTTGCCCTTGCCTTCGACTTCGACTTCGGGCTCTTCCCAGGAGACGGGTTGCGGCTGGGGCAAATCGTAGATATCGCCGCGGCCTTGGAGTTGAGCAAGACTGCTGCGTTCGGCCAGCTTCTCTTCCAGGCCCTCTTCGTATCCGTCCTCGCCTTCTTGGGGAATGTGGAACCATCCACTGATGGCCATGCGCACGCGCTTCTTGGACTTGTCCTCGTCCTCGCGCGGGTGGTATACTTCCTCAACATCGTGGAAGCTCTCACCAGGCTGGACGGTGAAGAAGCTGAGCTGGTTGAAGGCGGGCGGGATGGAGAGGCTGTAGTCAGGACTGGGGATCTTGACGTCTTCGCCCTTGGCATCCTTCTGGGTGGTGGTCGGGAACAGGCGCAGCGCACCACCCCACTCGGCTTGCCAAGGTGTGTCGGGATCGGTGAGGTAGAGAATGTAACTGAGGCGGCGACTGCCGATCACGTCGTCGTGACAGAGCAGGTGGCATCCCTCTGTGTACACGTTGATTGCCATATCGGTCTTCTGTCCACTCAGCTTGCCCGAGCCAGTCACGGAGGACAAGTACTCGCGGAATCGGGCTGAATACATCGCATCGCGGAGCTTCAGCACGGATGGGAGCTTGGACAGAGAAGAATCGTCCAGGCCATCAAGGTTGGCCAGATCACCGGACTGGAAGATCTTGTAGATATCAGTTTCCTTCTCGGTGAAGGACACTTGGGTTTGGATCTCATCGCGGACGGAGCGGAGGAGGGACGGCTCAATGAGTGGGTGGATGACGCCGTGCAAATAGCTATCATGTTAAACCGAATTAGCTCTTTGGAACTGGCCTGCATCTCTGCTCATACATACGGAGAAGACTTGGCGTATTCACCAGTGTACTTCTGCTGCTCGGCCACGTCGAACAGACCGTCGCGGAAGCGGGCAGCAGCCTCTTCGCTAGACAGGGCTCTTTTCTTGGACTCTGGCATGGCATTGCCATCCATTGAGCCCCGGGAATCTGTCTTGCGCTTCATTTTTAGGAGTTGGAGGTATGTGAGCTTCCTCCGCGAGTGGTCTGATTTCTGGTCATTTTTTCCCAGGCGGTGAGTGACAAGTCCGGGCGGTCAGCGCTCAGCACAACAGCCAAGTTCCGATGATGCCTTGTCCCGATATCCTTGTTTATTTGTGATCTGAGCAAAAAGTCTGCATTTGGGACATAAGAGAGTCCCATTCATCCTGTCTGCTCTCAACGCCCGTCAGGCACAGGCAGTGGTGAAGTCCGACCTGGCAAACCGCCCTCTGTCGTCATATCCGCGATCCTTATCAAACCCCCCACTTCGCCTTGAGCGTCTTCAAACCCTCGATCATGCAGACTCCGACTCAAGATCCCCCGGGGACACCGCCTCGTCCCCCGTATTCCCCGGTGACGCCTGTGTTTGCGCAACTGGCCCCGGTGCCGTCCAACGAGCCCAAAATCGTTCCGCCCCCTCTGTCGCCATCGCCGACATCGCAACCCGCCACACATAGTTATCCACGCCCCCCACCAGCAAACCCTCCCGTCTACAAGCCCGAACCACCACCAGTCCCAATTTCGGAGAGTGAGAACCCCGATGCGATCGCGCTACGATCCGCAATCTCCATCCTGCAACTGCAAAAACAGCAAAGCCTACGCGATATCCAAACCTTAGATCGCATGAAGAGCGCCGCTGAAGCGAACCCGGAAGCCTTTGCGCATGACCTCGCGACAGGCCGATTAAAGACCGAGGATCGGGGCGCGGTGGTCCAGTTCTCGGACGACCACGAGACGGAAGAAGGGGATGGAAAGCGCACGAATCCAGATGGCTCCCCGGCTTCCCACTTTGGGCACATTCCGAACCCTCAGAACGTGGTGCGCATGCCCCCAATCAATTGGGCCAAGTATAGTGTTGTCGGCGAGCCGTTGGATCGGATGCACAAGGAGCAGCTGCGGCGGCCAAATCCTGGGGAGCCGAGATGGGAGCGAGCGCCGGAGCATGTGTTGGCTTCGCCGTATCGGCCGTTGGTGGATCAGCTGGAGACACCGGCGAAGCTGGGTCGGTCCAGCAAGGCAAAGAAAACTTGACCCTGTGAGGGGCTTTGATGATTATGGATTCTTACGACTTTATGTAATTTATACTCTGCTGATGCGCTCGGCGGAGATTCTTTCGATGAAGAGTTATTTGCTGGCTCTGTCAGTGGAATGGTCTTCAGTTATACAAGACCAGACCGGTGGACATGTAATAGAGCATGTTTTCCACACCATTCTAATCGGAATCAAAACATATATCCCATTCACAATGTCAGTCCAGAGCCCAGGTGCTCCAGCACAGCATTTTCACATGTGTACCCAGCATTTTCTCCAGTGGAGACAAAATTGCATCAACAATCCCACCAGGAAGGGCATAAGGCCCTTCTGGAGCCATGGAGTCAATAACGAAAGGCCTAAAATGGCTGTGGGCATGAGCCAAGGAATGAAGTTTTGGATCTGGTTTGCTGTCCAAGTTTGTATAGCTATCCCCAGAAAATCGCCCAGTCCATGCTCCAGCTGTACTAGGTAGTTGACGGAAATGACAACCTTGGAAAGTTATGACATATTGTTGGCCACCGGACTGACACATTTATGCCATTTACCCGAAGTGCCAAACACTCCCCTTGTCCCGAGTCTGGGACACCTGGGCATAGTATGCCCGGAATAGCATGTTAGGCGGGGCCAGGTGATACTCGTGCATCATCCCGAGGTCACCATATCCATGCCCCTGTAAGCTTCTTCAAGAGCTGCTGTGGGCTCAATAGATGCATATAACTACATAGTAGTCAGGTGAATGCACATTCCAATGCCCACGGCTTGATCATTCCAACCTTGGAAGGTTGAAATATAAGCCCATCCCTTTCTCTGCACTTGATCTCTCTTTGCATTTTCATCTAGAAAGACACTGCCCACCTAGGCAGGTGGTTAATCGATGATTGTTTGCGGTCGCTTGGCAAGGACATGCCTCTTGGCATGATGTGAGGTATCCCGGAACAGACGGGGCAGGGTCAAGTTTCGCGCCGCGACAATGTGGAGTCTAGATACATGCAGCAGAGTGAGTATGGGGTACATCTTTGGATCTATGCGAGCCCTGGACATCAGCATCTGATGAGGCAACTTCTCCTGGCCAATCCTAGAGCATAACGGTGATACCTGTGGACCCTAGGGTATAGAATACATCAATGGGCACATGTACAGTGAGATGTACCATGTGTTCAGGGAAGGCCCCGAGTGGACGGGGAACATCAGCCAGTCCGGGGAACATGCCAAACCCCAATCTGGGCATTGGTGCCGACATCATCGCACATGAACAGGATAGAGCCAATCAGACAGCTTCCGACCCGAATCGCCACATATAAAAGCTACATTTCCCTTGGAACCTTTGCAGTGATGCCGGGAGACGGGAGGACCACGGATGTAGTGGTCCATTGCGGAAGGTTGGCCATTGAGGCAGTGCAAAACCTTCCCCAGTGGGAACTGTCAACCTTTTGTCTGATATATTATGCCAAGGATAAAATAGAATAGATCAAATTGGCTGGAATTATTGGTATGTCGCTAAAAGTACTGTACAAGAAAATCAAACATTGGAACATCTGGCTACGCAGCTATTCCAAAGAAGGATTGCGCGGCCTCGGGATTGGGACAATCATCTGGAGCCAGGCGATCAATGAGTGGATCTTGCTGGAGTTCTTGGATGTCAGATTCCGTGATTCGGGCACTGGGCACGGTTAGTACGGATCCGACTAGATGGTTCCGGTGACATACGAAAAGCCTCTCGCAATCATGTCGGGGAATCGGTTGGTGACAGCTCCCCCATTTTCTTGAATCTTGCGCATGTAGGCATTGATGTGGTCAGTGGTGGCCGACTCGTCGAAGGTAACCTGTCTTGGTGAGTGGTGGGTCTAGAGAAGTGCCCACGAAAACATACAATGTATTCAATGGTCATGTTGCTGAGAGTATTCCCGAGGCTAGATTAATTCAAAGGTGAAAGATCTAGGTGAACGGCCTGGAGAACGCGTAGATTTATACAACGACCTTGAAACGGGTGATGTCATCGACGGGAACCGGGCATGGGCAACGGGCATCCTCATTGGGGGGTGGACTTCCAGAAGTCGAATTGGCTTATTTGCATGTAGTGATATGGCGATCATGGGCTTTCGATTCTTGGAACCTGCCAAGGTGGGTACAGAGTACGTTATGCTCTATTCTTGTTCATGGGCCTGCACTGATTGCTTGGAAACTACTCCGAGATATGCAAAATTGGGATATCTAATCAGACATTAACACATTAACACATAATCGAGACAACTACTGGCCATGGATTTGGAATCGCATTCAAGCGGGGAGGGCATTATGGGTGCTCTGTGCCCACCTCTTCACGTATTGTCGAATTTCCGCTTGTTTGTGATAATCGATGATCTCGTCATATCTGACAGGCGATTAGCAGTGAACGGACAATAAATCTATGGGGAAATACAATTCCATCTTCCATGCATTTGAGCATCTTTCATGGATTGACCAATCATACGTATGATCGGCGACAGGCTCATCAGTGGGGTCATGATAGGCAGCAAGATAAGGGGCGGCGAGGGCATCGGAGGCGCAGATTCGCTGATGAGGGTCAAACACTAGCAGTTTTCCCAGTAAATCGAGACCTGTGATTTGTTCAATTGATGGAAAACAAAAATAGAAACAGATTGAACGCCTACCGGTGGAATCTAAACTCGAGAACAAGCTCGGGAGTCCAGTGCCCTTGTAAGAGGGTAGAGACTGTATGAAATGCAGAGTCTGAGAATCACCGGTCAGTGAGAGTGCAACGAGGCCATGCTACTGCAGTAGACTTGAGGGGAGAACTGACAGATTGCGACGCAATCCTGGCAAGAAGATCCTCATTAGGAGTACCGAGTAATTCGGTGATGGCACAGAACTGCTCAACGTGATTTCGTCCAGCGAACAGTGGCTTTCCTTGGAGCATTTCAGCAAAGATACAGCCTACACTCCATACGTCCACCTTCTCGTCATACTTGTGACTAGCCAACAGTAGTTCCGGAGCGCGGTAGCACCTGGTCGGAGTGTAGCTCATGGTATGTGTGTCTTGCACGGGCAGTCCCAGGTCACATATTTTGAGATCGCAATTCTGATTGATCAGAATGTTTTCAGGCCGGAGATCCCGATGGGGAATACCGGCTGAATGAAGATACTTCAGTCCTCTCTGATCCAGCAGTTAGTGGAATTGCTCTTAACCCGAGAGTGACGGGAACATGCAAGCATCTGATATATCAAGAACGGAACAAACTCAACCCCGATGGGTTTGGTCTCTACGACCGTTCGTAGGTCTGTCTGCATGAGATCTGTCACCAGATATCTGAATGATCAGCATACGCCAGGAGACTTGTTTCGGGTTGACCTACATGTCTTCCGCCGGCGAGATGAAAATATCGAGAGGAGAAACGATCTACTCAAGAATTAGCGTCGTTCGGGACAAACTGCCGAGAAGTGACATGCATTCTCATGCTGGATGCGTTTGAGTAATTTGATCTCTCGGAAAATCGAATGTGCCGTAGCAGGGGTCCCAAATGGGTCCAGTATCTTCTTGACGGCAACATATTGCTGGTTGACTTGATCCCAAGAAGAGCTGTGGAAAATGTCAGCACCATCCAATCTAGCAGTATGGCAGTGACAGACCAAACAAGACCGGAAACTCCGATCTTCAGGGTTTTGGGATCGGTATATCTGTAGTGAACCTCTTAGAGATGGGACATCAAAGGGCATATCGTGCACATACCGTTCGGGCGTTTCGAAATTTCCACCCAAGACTGTACTTTTGACAAAGTGCACCATGGTGCCCAGGAAATACGACCTACAAGCAGATGTCAACAACCCCACGTACAGCCCTGGAGTAGATCGCAGAGAATAAGGGAGAGCTGAATTGAAGTATGTACTGAGCTGAGGTCACATGGAGAGCTGTACCCCGTAGCCCGTGGAAGGTGAGCTCCACCGGCTTAACCAAACCGAGTATACACCGGGATACTGTCCTGAAATCCGCAGCCCTTTCTCCCGGGCTGAATCCCAAATTCAGGAATCTCCTAGTCCAAATCCATACTCTTGGGTGGCAAATGTCTAAGACGGGATGGTTTGCCCTCGCACATAATTGCATTTTTGATGCTGTTTACTACGAAAGGGAGTAGATTTCACGCATATTTTTATTTCATTTTTTAAGATTGCAAAGCCAACACATTCTACGAAAGGCGATGGTCGAACATTCTAGCGGAGGCCGTTGGGCAGAAGCCTCCGACCAATCAGGGCAGTGTGGCTGTGAGATCCGCACCACTGATACCCGACGCACCCGAAGACCAGCCCTAAGACCTTTCTACTGCTCCGGGCCCAGAGACTCGGGACGAATTAGTGCAGGAAAAAAACGAGTCCAGTGGCGAAATAAAGAGTGATTAGCAACTAATCTCGTTCGTTAGCGGCCCCCGGGATCGGTGGAAGCCTAGCGATTCCCCGGGGAAACAAAACAGGGTATTCTATACGCACGGGTTATTCCTAGGCGGGGCTGTGGCTGGTCAAACTTAGGAGTCTCGTAGGAGTCTTGTACTAATAAGCAAGAGCTCACCAGAGAATCCGGATTAGCAGAATGCATTCTACATAGAGGTGAGGGAAAAGGAAAAGGATAGGAAATCCGGCACAACTGAGAGAGGTCTTATCTTAAACCAACACATTGAATCCTTGGGACGACAGAAGCTCCGTGAAGATAAGCCACGCACGTTCGAAGGTGGGATCCCGGGTAGACAACTCACTCAGCCATCGGAGAACCTTTTTGATGCGGGTTAATGGGTCGGCGTGAACTTCACCCCGCGGCGTATTCCACATCAGCAACTGGGTGATGAGGACGACAATGCTTTGGGTGATGTAGTGGAGGGCGGACCACCAGGGGCAGCAGCCCAGGAGCCAGGTCACATCAGGCTCATCAGGCAGCATGTCCACGACCTGGGCGGCGATGTGGAAGCAGATGGTCCTCATTTGGTGATTCAAAGACTGGGACGGGTCTTCATCGACCGTATATAGACGTAGAGCAGGTTGGGAAATGACCAGCTTGGTAGAGAGGTATTGAAAAGCCAGGCTCGTACGCTGGGGGGCAACGTCAATCTCGTCACCAGTGTCCGCGAACCGATATGCCGCAGGAAGTCGGGCAAACCAGTTGTCGGCTGTCAGGTCCAGAGACTTCATTGCCTGGGCGATCTCCATTCCAGATTTCTTCGCCGCGTCAGGAGTGTATAGGATCTCGATTGCGGCCCTCATCACAGTTGCCAGCTCGATGGAGTAGAGTAAGTATGGAGATACTTGAGGGCGCAGCCGTTGACCGGCTGACGATAGCCGAGGTCTATCCCCCAAGCCCAGATTAGACTGGCTCACTGGAGCGGAAGGGCTGGAAGAGAGAAACGAGCCCACGAGACTCGCCCGGGCTTGTCTGTCTCGGAGAATCGCTGCGACTTGATCGTCCCAAAAGCTATCCTCCGGGTAGGGTACCGGCAAGGGGGTGGTGCAGTGCTCTCGCTGCATCCTGGGCATGCGTCCGGTCATGACACAGACCTGAGTATCCAGTAGATACAATGCCCACCACAGTCGATATCGGATCTCTTTGGAGACGTACGTTATATTGGAGCTGTCACTGCGCAGATGAATTCCCATAGCCATGGCCGATTGGATCGCGACACCGCACATTCGCCATGCCCTATCACGAAGTCAGGCGTCGATGTAAAACTTCCAGTTGTCGGACTCACCTGTTGATCTGGCCGGTGGAAAGGAAGTACAGTGAGAACAGTCCTTCTATCTGCGTCTGCTGTAGGTTCGGATGCTCCAGCAGCGCGGAGTCATTCATGCTCAACTTCCAAGCCCGAGAGAAATACACAATGTCATTATTGTGATCGAGCCGCTCCTGGTCCCCCGTGACTCCAGAGTGTTTTGCTGCGATTGCAAAGACAATATTCAACAGAGCCATCCATTTGACACCAGGCTGCATGGTGGCCGATTGCGAGAAGAAGGATCGGCACTGGCTGAGGAAGATCTCTTTGCCAATGAAAGGAAAAGCCGAATGCGCGACTTTGAAATATCGGTCGACGAGTTGATCGGCCACCACTTGTGATGGATATGCGAGCAAGTCAGGGCCGTTGCCCAAAGACATTGTGGAGTCGTCGAGGAAAAAGCCACAGGAAGCGAGTGACAGGTGGGATTGTTGATTCGGCTGACTGTCGTCGGTACTCGACGCAACGAAGCGCTTGAGTCTATAGAGCCATGCCCTTGCTGAATGTTCACCTAAGAACCCGGTTGCTTGCAATGAGGCATCTCCGTTGAAGTCTTCGAGTGTGTGCTCCATACATGGAATCGAAGCTGGCGCCGCGTGTTCTAAGATGTTGTCGTCTGGAGCATTGGCTGCGGTCGGTGATGACAGAGAAAGGCCTGAGATCTAGCATTTGTCAAGTCAGTTGGATCGAACCGAGTCCATGTCGCCGGTTGATTGAAGCAGAACAGAGGGAGACAAAAGAAGGAACCTCACATACTTTTCCAAGGGCTTGGTCGACGAGCCGAGCAACCTCATGGTCGACCTTGGGATAGATGTCGCGTACCAGGTTTTCATATTGTTCGAGTTGACTGGTCACGGAAGAGAGATGCCTAGGATCTGGTTAAATCTCATCGTGTTTGGGATAGCCAGGAGCAAATTCAACACACTTGGCATTTCTCTCCCTCTTCCCGTCGACGTAGACGCAGGGGATGTTGAGCTCTTGACACCGCTGGCACGTCGGTCGCTCACCGGAACACTTGTTCTTCTGCTTGCGACAGTTGTGACATGCTCGACTTACTCGGCCATTGTGGCTTATGGCTGGGAGTTCGAGTCGTGGAATGGCGACTTTGGCATTGGCAAATTGGTCTGCAGTTCGATGTTTTCCGGGGTCTCGAGTATTGGTGGGTGTATCGAGAGTCGCCACATCGGATGGCGTAGACGGCGAGGTGTCTAAGTCTTCGCGGGCCGCGAAAGAGGTGTATTCGTTTCGGCCAGATGGATGAAGCTCGGGTGGCAGGGAGTTATTTAGAGAGGGTCTTCCACTCATTGCGATTCAGCAACTTTTTCATAGTCTGTATTTGAGTGATTACTTTCAGGACTGGCAGGGGTAAAGGAAGCGAGAGGACCAACCAACAGTCGAAAGAACTAAGAAATTCCCCTCCCCCTTCGGAGTGTGAGACGCCTGTACGGGATTATTCGAGGATATAACTTACTGTTTTGGGGGGGAAGCTGGCATCTGTGATTGGCAGGCCATGACTTCCGCGCCAAGAAGATTCTAAGGGATTCCTCACGGCCCACTGTCTCTCGAGGGAATAGTATGCGTAACCAAATGCCGAGACCTGGAGGAATTCTGTCTAATAGTGCAATACTCGCACGGCAGGTTAAGTTTCCACAAGCCACTGGCCAAAGGTGCTCGCCTTTCTGGCAAACTGACCATTGCCAAGTTGGTACTTTTGTATGTACAGTGCACCGAATGCAGTAAAAGTCGAGAACATCGTGAGACCCATACCATTTGCTGAGGTCAAGTGGACGGTAGAGACATCCGTCCAATCAGTGCCCGTGACAGGCCGATGGACCCATGGACACGGTTCAAGATACACTTCTAGGCCCCTTACTATACACTTCGATATTGGTTCTTGATCTAAATCAACCATGGCTCATGGTTAAATTCCACTACTTTACTACCACCTAGGTAGTATACGAAGTCTGTACAGTTTAATATAGTAAAATATTCATCTCTGGGTGTTTTCTGGATTGGATGTATCACATTCGCGGTTTCCCCACAAATATCATTGTGAGCTCATAAAAAAACCGTAGACTTGCATTCTTCCACGGCACGGTCTTGACCAACACTGTTAAGCCCACACAATGACCCCAGAATCTTACTCCTGCGCCATACCATCCAGGGCCGGGGAAACCAGATACTAGTACACACCTGCACCGTACATGACATAGCATTGCAAGCAGCAAGAAAATGATAGTTTTCATTCAGCCAGTAGTCCATTTCCGAATTGACGAATCCATGGATCTTTTGACACCCTCTAGGCCTGGAGTCTAGCGCTCTTTAAAAAAAGACCTAATTTCCCAAGACTAGCCTACAGATTTAAGCATAATTACCAAGCTTCTCTGCCACGATCCTTAGAGCCTCTAAACGTTGGAAAAACCACGTTTTGAGGGCTTCGGGCGGAGCCGCATCCACGGGCCCCACTATGCGCCTTGTACTATGCCCGAGTACCTAGGTACCAGTAGAAGTTGGAGATTTACATCGCGACCCCTGCCGAGTCTGGGTACAGGACCCCATTATCTATGAATAATTCATAGTGGAGGGGCACGAGGCAATGGGCGCCCGTATCTTGTACTGAACAGTCTTGCATGTCAGCGGAGATGGTTCTTCAAATTGCCATGCGTCTAAGACATACCAAGCCAAGCCGCTGTCCACGGGTGGTTTGGATAGTGAGTTACAAATGGTTTGATCTTCTTCTATAGCCAACAATACCCAAGATTCAGGATGTTTTTCGACCAGGAAAAGGGCTCAGTCGTAGCGCCGAACTAATCTCTCTACTTGCTGAGAGGATCTCGCTGTTGATACGAAACAGAGCTTACGCTGAGATACGGATGAAGGATTGATAGATGGCCACAATAGACGTTTTTCAGAATTGAGTCTGATCATCTCTTGAAACAAAGCTGACTCCTGTGGAAGCAGAAAAGATTAGTCGAAGCCCCCACATCAATAGAACAAAGTCCCAGAAGCTTCATACCGAAAGGACAGCTGATATCGCATTGCACAACTCCAGGCTCCGAAGAAAAGGACTCGTCACAGCTCAAGGCACAGCAAACAAAAGTCACAGATTGATATCATCCGTCGATTCTCCCATGGCAGTCCAGAAGAGCCGATGAGCAGCCTGAGTCGGGGCAAAATCGATCGGCATCAAGTCCTCTTCCTCCTCTTCCCCCTCAAACACACAGAATTTTTCGTATTCAGCACGATCCACAGGAGCCATTTCATCAGTCATGGTAATATCGGAGCACTCTGAGGACGGCGCGGAGTCTTGGCCCAGTTTCTCGACAATTTTCGACTCAACAAGAAGAGTGGTGTTGCGCTTCATGAATTCTTCAGCCACAGGGTCATTGGGCTTGGTCTTGGAAAGGATGTGGTTGAGACCGGCTGCGTTGATAGGTGGGTCGGTCTGGCGGTTCTAGATCACAGGTTAGCTTGCGATGGTGCTGAAATTACTGGGATCATACGTCCGGGACTCCCTCTGGTGCGGTCTGGTATGCGTGCCCGATGTACTGGGGCAATGGGATCTCAGCAGAGGCGTTGATCAGGCAGGTCGAGATAGCGTGATCGCCTGGCTGTATCCAGTACAGCTCCGTTGCTTTCTGCCAGGCTGTGGTCAGGTCCGCGCCTAGGGCACGCTGAGCATCGAAGAGCTCCTGGAAGGAGTGACGAGGGTAAGATTGATTCATTGGCGCGGTAGATGAGGCCAGATTGGGGACTTGAGAGGATGTGAGATCCATGGAGTTGGATGGAGCTTGCAAGATGCAAGAGACCCTGGGTGTTGCGAATGGGGAGGGAAGGCTAGAAGGGAGCTTTTGAGGAAAGCGTGTGAGTCGCCATGAAGACTATGGGCGCTCGACTTCCTAAACGGGAAATATGAATGGAGTCTGGCAGCGTGTTGAGGGGGTCGGGGGCTATTGACTAAAGGCCATTGAGAAATACGCCTCAGCTGTATCGAATCCAGTCATGAGGACTCAATCTCTTATCCCTTCAAGTGACTCTAAATTGCAGTGGCGACTTGGAGCAGTAGGCAGTCTGCCATTGAACTTCTACCATATAGCACACATTGACCATGGACTGAACTGGATAATAACCGACTCTCGTCCTTGAATGTCAGTTAATCTGATAAGAAAATGTAGTTATTCTGCCTATGAATTTTAGATAAATGTAAATATAAGGTGAAACTTCAATATCAATTCACTTCATTTTAATGCTCAATGTTTGCTGGTCTGATCCCATACACACAAATATCATCCCAACATTGAAAGCCATTCTACCCATCTGCGTATCAGAAGTCGAATCGAGACTTCAAAAATGTATGTACAAATTTCCGAATATGAACAGTAATCCCGAGATCTCCCAGCAAATTACCTCGATCCTAGAGCTTCGCCTTATTCTTCTCAAACTCCCTGACGTTCTCCAAGCCCTTCTTAGAAACAGACTCATTCTTATTCTCGACATTCTCCCGCCACTTCAAGTTCCCAGAATGATCATCTAATCCATTCAAAACGCGAGCATACATCTCTTCCTTCATGGTCCCATAAATGCCGGTTGCAGCTTTCGTCTGAAGCTTTCGCTCTTGAATCAGAGCAAGAGTCTCTTCGATCCCACCTACAGCATCCACAATCCCAGCCTGGAGGGCATTGCGACCACCAAAGCGATGAGCTTCCAAGACGACATTCCGGAACGTGATTGGAGTCAACTTCTCGCGGAAGATGGACATCATGGGCGTTTGGAGCGGGACTCCAAATTCCAGCTCGTTGACACATACAAAGCCGCGATCTGGGTTCATGATCCGGTAGTCGTGGTACATGGCTAGCATGAAGCCTCCTGCAAACGCGTGTCCATTCAACAGGCACACCGTTGGCATGGGGTATCTGAATCGCTAGTCAATATCTCTTCAAACCTCTCATGAAAAACCAAACAGTACGTACGTCAAGAACCGGCGGAAGAGTTTCCACAGCCAGTTTTCAAGGAAGCCTTCGGTGCTTCCAGCGAGTTCAAGATCAAGTCCATTACTGTAGAATTTGGCGATTCCACTTGTGGTGACTACAACACCTTTGGGATAGCGATGCTCGATGATGTCCAGTGCCAATACGAAGGCATCAAGAAAGACAGGGGTCAGCCGGTTGTCTTTGGGCGATGTGAATGTGAGCACATAGATGCTTTGGTGCTCTTTGGCGGCACTGGGGTTCGTGCAGATGATAGAGCCCCCGGTTGAAGCGATGGGGACAGTGAATAGGGTCGTCATATTGAAGATGTTACAGAGTAACCGTGAAGAGGTGTTCATGATGTCTACATATTCACCCGGGGCCCGAGCTGATAAGTAATCAGCCTCGGGCCCCGGGCGTCACATGCCGAGTTCACGATTCAACTGTTGGACCCTGTACGATGTACGATGTACGGAGTCGAGAGTTATTCGTTGTCTCTCGGCTTGACGTTACACATTCCAAGGTTCATGCAAGGAGAATTTGCCTTGCGGGTCTTGCGGATCTCTATTTCCGAGAGCCTTGTATCCTCACTAGACTTGAATATCTGACTTCATTCCGTCTCTAAAACCCTACAGGGGAGAACCAGATGCTTTAGAGATTCGAAACATGGAGATCGAAGATGGCAGTTAGCAGGGTTGTGTTGGTCTGTGTGAGGTGCTTAAGGCTTTCCGCTGAGAACCTTGGAAGCTGATGTACTCATCGCCTTTTCAACTGAAAGACTGCATTGCCGCAATTACAGAGTACTCCATGTGAATCATTTGGATCAGAGGTTAGTGTGGATCGAGTAATATCAACCTCCCCTTTCTGGTCTGCTTTCCAGGGGCGCCGAGTGCATCGAACAGTTCCAACGTCATGACAGGCCATCGCATACCAGCGCTCAACATCGTATGCTGGTTGGATTTTTGACGAGCAAAACGAGCGCACTATACTCAGAGATTAAGATGCAACTGGAAGCATGGGATGAAATCAACTCCACGGCGTATGCTGAAGAGTCCAACCTTGAAAGCTGTGACAGCCAGGCATCCAAGCGGTCATATTGTCCCATTTCCGATGCTGTGTATGACCCGGTCTGCAGTTTATTCCGGAAACATCGCAAAATGAAGATTCATCCAACTCCAGGGCCCGGGCTGTGATATGGTTGATGTTCAACCTTGAAGTCGTGAGGCGGTCACTTGCCGATTCGCTGTCCGACAATCTCAATACCTCGGCAACGTCAATTCAATGACTTGACAGCTCAGTTCTGCTGATATTGCGAGGTTACTGAATTGAATAACCCATCGTTCGTGTAATAAGTATCACCAATCGCCGATCTAGTCTTTTTTTGCAATGACGAACTCCACACCCGCCCTCCAACAAGCGGCCGTGGTCTCGAACCCCGGCGAAGGATATACTATCGCCCTTCGAAACGACATTCCCGTCGCAACACCGGGGGAAAATGAAATCCTTGTCAAACTAAGCTGCACAGGGCTATGGTAAGTACCATCTAACCGTTCTGCTTTCACGAAGCTAACCCCACCCAAAAGCCGCTCCGAGCTTCGCGCCGCTCTAGCCTGGGGCGCATACAATTCCATCATCGGCCACGAAGGTGTTGGCGTGGTCGTCCAAGCTGGACCCAACTCCTCACAATCCCTACTGGGAAAAAGAGTCGGTGTCAAATGGCTCTATAGCGCATGCACCAAATGCTCCGTCTGCAAGCGTGGGTATCCGAATAACTGCGCTCAACAACTAAACACGAGTCGACATGTTCCCGGAACTCTACAGCAATATGTGATTGCGGATGCGCGATTCGTGACATTGATTCCAGACGATGTGAGTGATGAAATTGCGGCGCCGTTGCTGTGCGCCGGATTAACCATGGCCGGGGCGTTAGCGAAGCTGGATAATGAGCTTCGGGCCGGGGATTTCGTCGTCATCTCTGGGTCGGGTGGTGGACTGGGCCATATTGGAGTGCAGATTGCGGCGAGGATGAAATCACTGCGTGTTATTGCTGTTGATAGTGGAGAGGAGAAGAAGAAGGTGAGTCTTGAGTCTGGGGCGGAGCTCTTTATCGATTATAAGAGTGAGGATGTTGTTGCTCGAGTACGAGATGTTACTGGGGAGGGGGCGCATGCGACGATCGTTGTACCAGGGACCGAAGAAGCATTGGCGATGGCTCCCCAGGTTGTGCGGAATATGGGTTTCGTGGTGAATGTTGGCTTGCCGCGGAATGACTTGAATATTCCGCTTTCTGCGACGGTTTGCACTGCTCGGGGTGGGTTTGACCAGGCCATTCTGGGAGGTTGTATGCTAACTAATGATTACAGCTCTCACTTTCATCGGGTCGTCTGTGGGCACCGAGGACCAGATGGATGACCTCTTACAGGCAGCCGCGTCTGGCAAGATCACGCCTTCGATTCAAGTGTTTGGCTTTTCGTCGGTGCCGACTTTGATAGCCAAGCTAAAGGAGGACGGGATTTCGGGGAGAGCAGTTGTCAAACTCCCATAGATTCAGAGCATGGAACAGACCTCGGAGATATGCCTCCTCCACTTAAATGCCGAATCCACTTAGCCAAATGGGATAGTTCCTCCAACACAATTGGCCCTCGAACGCCAGACCCGGCAAGTGGAGGCCGCGCAGCGATTACAGCCAATGATTGTGGTGAAAGTGCAGCACGAACAGTCTCACCTTGTTTGGATAGGACCTCACAGTCAGCCATTGAAATCTCGAGTCTTCCAGCCTGCATATTTGCATTCGACTACACATGTGCAGGCCAAATTGTGTACTTCGTCTCCAGTGGCAGAACAGGACCGCCTACTGTTTCAGGATCCGGGTCAGATATTACTAAGCACCTGGGTCACGAGACCTGCCCAGGTCAGCCCTGGAGGTGCAGTCCGAGTCGAGCAGAGACCGAAGACCTCAAAATAAAAAAGCCATGTAGTAAAAGTCGTAAATTCTTTCTATGGTGATTAAGACGAGCACCGAGACCGTCCTGCAATAACAGGGTCGTTAGTATAACATGATTGTTATAGATGGTGTTGCAAGAACACATTATTAGATGGTATCCATTATCAGGAAGCCTGCCACCTTTCCGTGGCAGAGGCATCGAACTCAAACATCTTCGGGCTTTCCAAGAGCACGAAAGACTCGTATCGAAGACCGCGCTCGCGCTGCGTGCTTTCAGACCACTGCTCGACCGTGCTGTTCCACACGCCGGCATAGCCATCCAGCAAAGATCGCCAGTAGCAGGCCTCGGCGGCCGGGGTCAGGTACCGCTCGCGGAAAGTCTTGACGCTATTGGAGGCGATCCGTCGGGCGGCCTCGGTGTCGCTGATGAGAGGCTCGATTTTGTCCGCGAGATCGCTGAAATCACGCTCCACTTCAACGTAGTTCTGGTTTGGTCCGTCGGCAACTAGGAGGTAGTGGTGGTGTTGGATGAATTGGAGTTTGTGGGCGACGAGAACCGAATGACAGGCCTGTCGGTACTTCAACGAGGCGGAATAGGAGCGGCCTGGGGTTGATTAGCTCATGTAGAGAGTAAGGGGCACGATTCAACATACCTTCGACGTGGGCGATAAACATGTAGTGGCAATGGTCTTCCATCTTGAGCACGTTCGTCCCGGTGCTCCAATCAACCTGCTTGACATCGCCCCACGGCTTGTCTCTAGCGGCCTCCATCAACGCGCGTCGCAGTTTTGGCGCGAAGCTAGGCTTGCCTCGCCAGACCAACTGGGGTTTCTTGTCGGACCACGGGATATCGAGTCGTTTAATTCGATCCACGACCTGGTCGTACGGCCCTATGTAGTTGTTCGGGTTGTCCCAGGCCCAGAAGCTGAAGTCCGGCATGAGCCAGACCCCCTGCTCGGTGGGGGTGCGTGAAAACACCCACACCGGCCACTCGGGGTTGGTCACATCGTCCACCTTATCTTCGACAGAGAAAACGAATTCGACATCGCGCCGGGAGGCTCGTTCCGGGTCGGCGGCCAGCGCACGGTGGATCGAACTCAAAGTTCCCAGAATTTTGCGCCGGTGATCTTCGCCTTTGGAGCGGGCCGTGACGACGTGTAGCTCTCCCTGAGAGATGAAGGCCCGGGCCATGCCTTGTTGGATGGTGATGGCGTCGAGCTCGGCCGTCGACAGGCCCCCGTGCGTGGACCAAAACTTGCCACCGCGCGCAATGTCCTCGAACAGGCCCGGGAACGCTGCCTGGCACTGTCGTTGATCCAAGGCCTCATTGCGACCGTCGCGGACGTATTCAAAGGACCAGGCGGGGGTGGTGTTCTCTTGCCGCGGGGGCTCGGGGCAGGTCAGGCATGTTGAGCACTGGAATGTGGTGGAGGATTCGCAGGCACAGTGTCCAGCGGGGATCAGCTGTGTTAAGATCGGATGTATATAGTCGCGATCGGAGTTCATGCCATACCAGATAATGAATATGACGCTGAAGCCGAGGGCGGCAATGGTGCAAAGGAGTGACAGACCTCGTTTCGGTCGCAGTGTGTAGGCCGTCATCGCGGGGAGCCAAAATGGCATGGCATTGTCTGGGAGAGGGGACAAGTGGGAAAGGGAAAAAAAAAGAGGTCAAAAATACGAGAATTGAAGGGGTCTAAAACAAGAGATCAAACAGCCCCTAAGACAGCAGTGATGGACGTCGCCCCCAAATAGGTCAAGGCGGGAATTTGGGTCAGCCTCAGCGCATGTGGGTCAGCGGCGTCATCGCGTTGATCGTCGAGTACTATACCGCGATGCTTGTCCGGCGGAGAAGATGAGGTACAGTACTAGTAGATAGTCAGATAGTCAGTGAACAGACCACACTGTAGACCAGACCAGAGACGAGAGAGAGTGTGTGTGAAGAGAGAGAAGAGAAGAGTCGCCCTGCCAAGACCGAAGTTAAAATTTGGACCCTGGTTCCAACTGCCACTGCCTACTACTGTACTACAGCTAGTATACTGTACTACCTATGTATACTACACTAGTTAACTACTATAGAGACTGGAACTAGCATGCAGGTCTCACATCTGGCAATACGAAGCGAGTCCAATTTGACCTGCAGGGTTTCATGTGAGCCAAGACCGGGCTTGTTTGAACTAAGCACTGGCATTAGGTGTTCAGACGAGCGTACTTCGTAGTCAGGTATCTAATAATGTGTTTGATCCAGTCCCCAACGCCCCTGCAATGCATGTACTCGTAAAATCCTTCGAACTCAACAAAAAAAAGATCACTGGCGTGATTGACTTCGTCCGTGTCGCGTGCTGCGGCTCCGCCCGCTAGAGGGGGCCGGCGTCTCGATATCGACATCCGGGGTGGCGGGGGCACGCCGAGACTTGCCCCGGACACGACCCAGGGCGCGGCGGAGCATTCCATCGGCTTCATTGTCCAGATCCATTTCCACCTTCTCGTCCTCGGCCTGCGGGGTAGAGACGTGGGGGACTTCGTCGGTCCATTCCTCCACCACAGGTTCTTGGCGCCGTCGGCGGGCTTCTGTCGCAGGACGTTCTTTGCCTTTACTGCTCGAGTCGTGGCTGCGAGGTCCGCCGCGTCGCTTGGAGGAGGCCACGCTGGCTTCCCGGACGCTGGCTTCGAACTTGGCCCGGTCACTCTGTCGACCTTCGATGGCCCAAAGTTCGAGAGCGCGCGAAAGTAATGTTCCGGCGACGCCAGCACCACCGGCAGCGTCACCACCGCCGCTGGCTCCGAGGACACGCACAGCCTCGTGTAATGTCGTCACTGCTTCTGTTGTACGGCCCATTTCGAGAAGAATGAGGCCACGAGATGTGTGAAGCGAACCAATCAATCCCCGATCCTCGTATCCGCCAACGCCAGATGCAGTGATGGCGCTGGAGCCACTGGAGCCCGCACCTAGGAATGGCGAGCATCCCATGCTGCTTCCCCCAGCTCCCACGCGGAGACATTCGTCGAATTCACGGAGCGCTTCGGGCATGCGTCCCATGCGGCGGAAGGCGTGGCCCAAGTTGGCGCGGGTAGCGACCCACGCACTGGGTTCACAATGGAGCGTAGTAGCGAGGGCCAAAGCCTGCTGGAAGAGTTCAATCGCACCGACCAGTTGGTTCTGATGATAGAATACCACGCCCAGCTCGTTGAGCACCAGGGGATCCCCACCAACAGCCGCAGCAGTCGAACTGGGCGCAGGAGGGAGTGCAGGGACAGAGTCCGGCGCGGCTCCGGTGGACATCGAGTAGGCGGCGCAGAGGTATTCGTGTGCTAGAGACATGTTGTTGAGGGCGAGATGTTGCATGCCTAAGAAAAGCTGGGGGAGATGACTGCCCTGGAAGAGGCGAGCCGCGGTACTGTAAGCTGCAATGGCTTGGTCGTGCTCGCCCTCGGCCGCGAAGGTGTGCGCAAATCCGATCCATGCCGGTGCGGAGTGAGGATCTAGCAGTGAGGCCTTGGAAAAGAATCGTCGTGCTTCCGCAACCTTGGACACTGATAGGTAGTACACTCCGATGGCCAAATAGGTGTAGGGTTCCTCTGGTGAGTGATCCGCGAGCATGTGAGATAGGAGGAACAGCGCATTGGTTGCTCCGGTCTCATACAGACAGGCCAGGTGAAGCGGGTATATTGCTGGGGCATGGCCCAAGTGACTCTGTGCCGGCACGGAGGTTGTGGTCATGTCGGTAGATTGGGAGGTAGAGAGGATGGAGGAGGTCAGCTCGAGCGCTTCCGCGAACCGACACTGCGTGTACAGCGCCTCGGCGCGGGAAAGGAGAATGTCTGGGTTTTCAGCCAGATTGTAATGGGTCGAGAGGGTTTCCGTGGCGTCGGAGAGGATGATCGGGGAGGAGTATTTCGACAGGCGAGTCGTGTAAAGCATCTTCGTGAAATGGGCGGCTTCTTGTGCCATCATCGGATCAGGAGAAGAGACAGAGTCAAAGTCCAAAGATTCTAAAAACTCCAGCTCTTCCGCGGGCGACATCAACGAGTTCTTCATAAGCTGGTCGAATGCCTCAAAACATTGGACATCAATCCTCACGGCATCCTTGTAGCAGTCCCGAGCCCGGTCGAAGGCATTCTGTTTGGCAAAGCAGAGTCCCCGGAGATAGCACATCGCGGCCTCGAAGCGTACATTATTGGCATCCTCCCTTTCGCGCTCCTCGGCTCGATCGCTTCGTGGGGTCGCGCTCTTGCCATTGCGCAAAGTAACATGGCTTTGGTGCTGGGTCTTCCGCCGCGTGTGATTATTCCGAATCAAATCAGATGGGTTATGTTCCCCGAGGACGGTCAGGGCCTGTTCGAATTGGTTCTGCTTAATGTAGGAGTGCGCAGCCAGGTAGCGACAGGCGGTGCTCCGTGAGATCAGATCCTTGCGGGATAGAAGCGCGAGGGCCCGGGTGAAGTTGTTATTCGAGAAATGCACTTGCGCCAGCCAAAACGCGTCGGAATCGCTGTCTTTTCCCGTCAGTACTCTGTATCTGGATGGATCGGGCAGGACTTACTGGTCAGTGCAAGGACCTTGTCCCCGATGTAGATAGCGGAATCATGCTGACCCCGATTCAATGCATCCTGTCTCCAGGAGCGTAGAAACCGTTCCATAGCGAAAAGACGCGTGGAAGACAATTACTCGCAACTGTCAGGACATGTGAGTGACGGCGGGTCCGTTTATTTTGAACGAGTGGGTCCGTGCGATCAGTATCCTGTCCCTACAGAGTAGCAGTGCTGCACTCAATAACCCATGAACAAATGTTTATATTTGTATGAGCATAGTTGAGCCAAGCTCTGAGAATGCATGTTCGGCTATGGATGATAAACAAAATACAACGGAGAACAAGCCCTGGAGCCCTGGAGACTGTGATCTATTATGTCAGGGCATGGAGAACCGGCAGAAACCATGCCGCCTTAAGCAGGAACTGTCCAATGTCCGAGTTGGGTTATTCCGGTATTGGTGTATTGCAGTTTCCAGATTTTGCCCTTCGAAATTCACTTCGTCGTATCTCCACCTCTTCCATAATCCGGGATCTCTTTTATCCGGTATCCTTCCTCTTTCTGATTCGCGACACAACCCGGATTCTCTTTTATCCGGTATTGTTTCTCGGAAGTTTGTTCCTCCGCTCCGATCCCACCCTCGTTCACCACGGTATTGATACCACATCAATACCGGATTAAAGAGATGCCGGCCGATCAGAGCTCCGCGAGCTCCCCCTCCGACTCGAAAGAGTCTCCCTCCTCCTCCTCCCCTCCTCTTCCTCCCCCCACGAGCGAAATGGCCGAACGCAAGGTTTCCTCGAAGTACTACCCCCCGGACTTCGATCCGTCGGCTATTGCCGGCCGATCCAAGAAGAAGGATGCGGGTCGCGGGCTGAAAACCGAGCCAGTGCGGCTCATGGCGCCTTTTTCGATGAAATGCCTGAACTGTGCGGAGTACATCTACAAGGGCCGCAAGTTCAATGCTCGCAAGGAGATTCTCGACGAAACCTACTTCAACATCAAGCTCCACCGGTTCTACATCAAGTGCACCGGCTGCAAGCATGAGATCACATTCAAGACCGACCCAAAGAGTAAGCGGACCCCCCCTCTCCCCCCCCGGTGCATTTCCTTGTGGGCGCGGCGTATCTGACTGTAGGATTTAGGCGGCGACTACACCTGCGAACGTGGCGCCCAGCGCAACGCCGAAGCCTGGCGCGATCCCAATGATCCCAAGTACAAGGAAGAGACCGAGCAAGAGACCATCGATCGTCTTGCCGCTCAGATTGGCGAAGAAGGCGTCGACGAAGATCGCGACAAGATGGCCGAGCTCGAGGACAAGATGAAGGACAGCAAACGCGAGATGCAAGTTGCAGATGCACTCGACGAGATCCGATCACGCAATGCCCGCATTGAGCGCAACGAGGCCACCGACAAGAAAGTCGTAGCTCCCAAGAAGAGCGAGAAGGTCTACTTGCAGACCCCGGTTGGCCCTTGTGAATTCGAGTCTCAGGGGGAGCTGGATGCGTTCCAGGCGGAGGTCAAACAGAAGGCTTATGAGGCATTCCACGACAAACAGGGAAATCGCCTCAAGCGTGACGGTGACGGCAATATCATCCGGCGCTACACTCCCCAGGAAGAAGCTGCGGGACTTCATCTCATTGATGACAAGCCTGGTGCTAAGAAAATCAACCTTCCCGCTCCCATTCCCGAAGAGGAGGATGAGATCATCGGCGAAGAGCCTTGGCCTTGGTCTGACGACGAGATTACGGCCGAATATGATTTTAAGCCCAAGAATAAAAAGGCCAAGACCCAGGGTGATCGCTCTGCGAAGATTCCTCGCAAGAAGTGAGCCAACGCATTCATTCACCACTCCTGACTGCCATTCTTTTTTCCCCACCATTCGGTACTTCTTGATTCCCTTTTTCCCCCCCCCCGGTGGTTTCATCTTTGTCATTCTCATTATCGTTATCCCCTTCGGTGGGACTGAGTCTTAACGTTTGGCGCGGAGTTTGTTTGCGGATACCCCTCATAGTTACCGTGGTTTTTTCTGATGATTTTTCATGCTGCAAGTTTATCTTGCCCGAAAGCATTGACTGCAGACCAGATAGTTGCTCCCACTAATATCATGGTCTTGAAACGCATCGTCTCAGCACTGTAAATCTAAAGTATCGTTGTAAACATCTACGCTTCAAGCGGCTACTTTGCCCTACGGTATGGGAAGTGATGAACATGAGCAATAAGATTAAGACCTGATTGGCTGTAAAGCTAAAGATATAAAAACTATCAAGACAAGAAAAGAAATCGGTATCACAATCATAGTAACATGAACAAAGCGCACCTCAAGCGCCACGCTTGGAAAGGAAACCCAGAGACAAAACGAAACCACCGCTTGAGAAAACACCAGAGCAATGCCAATGCCGATCGGCTATGGGAGAAACACAAGAGTCCAAACTCCTTAAAGGTATGGCATCCACAAAGCATCACACGAAGCCAGGTGCTGGGGATTGACGGCCTTGGAGACCAAATCGATCGTGGTCTGGTTGGCGGGCAAGTTACCCTCTGGCGGGCTGGCAAGACTGACGGCTCGGTTGACGATGATCTCACTGTTGTTGTACACGAGGTCACGGAGCTGGTTGGGAGGCAGAGAGCCACGGTGTTGTGCCGTGGCCCAGAACATCATCTCGTCACGCACGAAAACGCTAAGCTGCTGCTCCAGCTCGTGCCGTGGCTCTGTCAAGCATCGGGCGATGGCCATCATGGCGCAGGCGAACACACCCTCTGTGGCAATCGGCCCGAGTAGGGTTTGGATGTTGGGCGTGAAACGGAAGGGGACTTGTTCCGGGTTGTAGAAGAACGCCTTGGCTGGGTTGATGGTGGGGATCAGTTCGGCACCCCAGATATCGCCGGTGGAACGAGAGATCAGAATCTTGTTCGGGTAACGGTTGCCAATGTGCATGACATAGGTCATGAACGCAATTGCCGCGTATTGGTAGGCGAATTGACGACGGAATAGCCAGAAGTCGGAGAAGTTGGGATATGTGTGTTGGAAGTATTCCAGGACCACGGTGCTCGGCACCCACTTCTCTTGGATTGCGGTCAGAATCTCGGTACGAAGAATCTGCTGCTGGTCGGGGGTGCGCTGGATAATGTTAGTCTCGTTTGCGAAGAGGCTGTCTGATGAACTTACATTCTGCTTTGTCTCTGCCAGTGATCTCATTTTCTCCATAGTGAAGAGAACAGGCTCGTCCTTGTTCATTCCCATGCGGCGACAGTAGTCTTCATAGATTCCTTGCATGGAGATGTATGAAGAGTCATCACGGACCAAGCGAATGTGAGGCGCCAGAGGGACCATCAATGGTAGGTGGAAGTACAGATTGCGACGACGGCTCTCCTTGCGTTTCGCAAGCAGTCCGTTGAAGATACGGAACAATTGGAGGATACGCTCTTCGCGTCTGCAGTGTCGAGCAGCGGGATGCTGAACAGCGAATGCCTGAACACTACCGTCGTGTCCTCTGATCTTCAGGCGGCGATGGCAAACACCAATGCCCCGTACCAGATCAACATCCGGAAGGAAGCGGTCGATACGGACAAAGTCCTGGTTCTTGTCCTTGTGAAGAAGGTACTGGCCTGGGATCTCGACCTCGTCGAACTTGAGGAAACGGAACTCACTCAAGTGTGGAGAAGCGCTCTCAAGGAATGTTTGCTGGGGTCGACGATCAAGCTTTTCTTCGAACTTGTCACGCCAGCGGCGTAGCTTGTGGATGTACTCGTTCATGGTCGGTTTCTTGGTAACAAAGTCTGCCTCAAACGATTTGCGAATGTGGGCGGGGAGAATGGTTTCAGCAAAGCGCGTGATATTGGCTTCAGTGGCGGCAGGCAATTTGAAGTCCGGTGCGTAGGAAGCAGGCATACGGCCAACATACGCCAGACCATCGTTCAAGAGGGCGACAATCAATCGGTAGGCATCCTCGTCGGGAGGACACTTGAAGTTCTTGTGGATCTGGTCGACCATTGTCTCCATGGACAGAGCAAGCAAGGGGAAGGCTGTCTTCAAGCCGGACATGATTTCATCAGAATACTCCCAGGGTTTCTTGAGCGGCTCCTTTTCACCCTCCACTGTGGTAGTCTGGTTCTGTGGTGTTCCATTCTGGCCCGGCACTTGCAGATGCTGAGCCTGGCCTGGGGTTTGACCAACCTGTGGGCTTTGACCTTGGCCTTGTCGGGGGGAAGCCTGGATGGTGTTTTGGGACTGAGCAGGAGACTGGTTCGGGAGACCAGGGTTCTGTGTGGCTGGAGAGCCTGCGGCTGCGATGGAAGGCGATGCATTGGCAGCCATAGCGTTGGCTTGAGCCTTCTGGGCAGGGGAGCTCTCGGCACCAGCAGTTGAGTTTGGCTTGGTGCTTGGTGACGACCCTTGCTGCTGTTGTCTGGCTCTGTTCAACTTCTCTTGCTTCTGGTCATGTTGTTTCTTGATACTCAACATGTCTTCCCTGTTGGTGCGCAGCAGGAAGAAGAGAGCTTGCGGGTACAGTTTGGCAATCTTCGTCAAGACAGCCTTGCAAAGACGAGCCTCGCGATGGGACAAGCTAGTCAGAAGTTGCGGGATGAACGTAATCCAGTACCACACAGGGGTATCACCCTTGAAGTTCTCGAACGCACTAGCAATCTTGCCCTCATCATTGTCCAGACTCAGAAGCCATAAGATCCTGCTAAGCAACTTGCGGGATTTCGCACTCTTGTAGAGACCAGCTGCTTCCAGATAGCAACTAACGGCATTGCTAGCAAGCTCGTAGTCGGTAGGATCCGCCTTGAATCGTTGGTCACTGTACTGTCCCCACTCGGACCAGGCCTTGGCGAGACGCAGGTCGTAGTAAAGAGCAACACCAAAGGCCTCGTTGGCCTCATTGACATGGTCCAATTTGGCAAGGAACATGCCCTTGAGCGTGTAGAACTCGGCCTTCTGTTGCGGGCCAAAGTAGTTGAGGTTGGTGTTGTTGATCACATCCAAACCGCTGTTCAGCTCCTTCGGATTCTGATAATGGCACTTAGCCTGTTCCCGAAGCTTCAGGAAGGCTTCCTGGATTTCAATGTTCGGAAGGGTGTAGATGCGGCTAAGTTGGTTAATGCAAACTTCGGGCATCTGGTGCTTACGAGCCACGTGAGCGAAGCGATTAATGATCCAGGCTGTTTCGTGGTATCCGCGGTAGGCATAAGAGTTGCTGGCCACGTTGTTCGTCTGGGGAGGCAGCAGGCTGAGGTAGGTCCCATTGATGAGCTGGAAGATGTGTTGACGCCAGGTGACAAGATCCTGCCAAGTGTTGATATCATCCCAGAGATTGGGCAAACGGTCTCTCCAAGTTCCGAGAAGCAACTTGAGCTCGGCGGACTTGGTATCCAAGTTGCGTTCATTTGTCTGAGCCAAGCTGCCGCAAATGTGGCTAGCATCATGCAACTCAACAAGAAGCTGGAAGTGTTGCAAAATTGGAATGTGGGCGTTGGTGATGCGCTTGGGTAACTGCAGCCATTTGCGAATAGAAAGTTGAATAGACTCGTCGCAAACGCTGTTGAAATCCTGAATGTTGTCTTTCTTGGTGTGGTATTGGAGCAGGGCCATGAATGCCTGGAAGAAAGTGCGTCGGGGGGTGGGAGCATCGGACACAGACTTAATCAATGACTCGAGCTGCTCTCGGTTACCCTCACTCTGCCAGTTCTCAATGTTTCTCCAAGCAGCCTCCAACAAAAGGTCATTCAAATTCTCGTGCTTGGCGAAATCGCTCAGAATGTCCCATTGCTGAAGCTTTTGCGCACAGGTCAACCAATGATCCTCCCAAACGAAGTATTCACCCTGTGAGAATGGCATGGCGCCCGAACGGGCCTTGATCTGGGCATTCTCATAGAGCTGCTGAGATTTGTCCCACATTCCCTGTTGCTCATAGGACAGCGCAGCATTGGTTTCCACAAACTTGCAACGTCGGCGCCAAGTTCCGTAGAAGAAATCGTCCTCTTGAAGACCAGCATAAACCTCAACGAGAGCATCCAGATTACTCTCGCGAACAGTAGGCGTATCGATGATGGGGTCGATTGCAGTCTGTTCAAGATAGGTGGCTGCCGTGTACCAAGCATCATAAGTTCGGCTTAGATACTTGATGACATGGGGTGGTATCTTAAACCTAGGGCTTGCACGCACGGCGCCCTCAAGTAGGGCCTGCACAACGTTGGGTCTCTTGTCCAATTGACGGTGGTGGTACTCCCGGGTAACGAGAGTGACCATATCCTTCTCCAAATCAATGCTGTCTTCCTTTGAAAGTGTGGACCAGAAGAGAGGGAACAGCGTGGTCCACAACTTGTATGCAACGTTGTTGTCCGTGTGTTGGAGTTGACATAGAGGCTCAATAAGGTCACGAACTCTAACATCACCAACGTCAGACATGAAACGTCTCCGTTCAGTAACGAATGCTTCGAGAGAATTGTCGACCATGATGTCTGACTTCCTTGGGTCTTTTTCTCCACTGCCAAAGAGGAAAGAGACGGGGAACAATGTGAAGTCGTCATTGTGCAACCGGGCGCTAGTGTTCATATCAACACATCCAAGTACCAGGTGGGATGCCTGGGCCAACCAGAAAGAGTCGGCCAGAGTATCCCAGTTTTGGCATGTGAGCACATAACTGAGGCGAGAACTGGCGAGACGGGTCAAGCTGCGATCAAAGATTTGCATGAATCTGTTGCGCATTTCGACATCTTGGGCTCTCGCGCCAATCAAGAACGCGTGCTCAAGACGAACAGTCAACTCAGTCCGAGTGATCTTGGAGTCTTCGTAAATGCGAATCACGAGATCAAGGAACTTCTTCAGCATCGTTTGATCAGAGCGTGACTCAAAGAGTAACATCTTGTGAAGGACAGCTGTCTTCTCCTTCAAGGTAGGCCAAGACTCAGTAGAATGGAAGACCCAAGACTCAGCCATACCGAGAATCTTGCTGCAAAGTTCGTTGTTTTGAGAACGCTCAACGATCTGGGCAAGTACGCTGAGGAAGGGGCGTCGTTGGTCTCCAAGATGAGACATGCGGACAGAAATCAACTCGATGGTCTTCAGAATGAGATCAACGCCCAGCTCAAACTCTTGTGAATCGGTGGTAGCGGCGGCGGCGGCTCCCTCGGCCGGCTTGGCACCGTTCTGGGCTTGGGCGCCGTTCTGAGTGGACGCGGCAACGTGCTCCTTCGCCAACTTTGTGGAGAACGCCTTCATGACTGCAGGGATGTGTGCGTCAATCTCAGCGGGCTTGATCTTGGAAAGTGTCCACAAAATGTTGAGACTCGAGACATAGTTGTTCGCCGAGAGGGTCTCGTTGGCGATGGCAGACAAGTAAGAACCGAACTCAGAAGGTGTGCCTTCAGTGTCCATCGCATCTTCGTCATCGGGCTGTTCATCGGGAATGGCTTCGAGGACGTAACGAATAGGTGCGGGAAGCTTGTGGACAAAATCGGTGTCATCTTCAAGACCATGCAGACAATCTTGAATTTCTGGGTTGTCTGACTTCAATGGCTTTTGCAGTAGCTTCTGAATGGAAGGCAAACGAGCAGCGACCCATTCATTCGGCTTGGTTCCAATGAGTACTCGGAGCACCTGAAGCGCGTTTACTACGAATGTGATCTTGTCCTCGGGCTTGTCGCCCTTTTCGCCCACCAAGATGGGCTCGAGTACCTTCTGGTAAAGATCGATGTCAAGATCACCCCAGTACTCTGGGGAAAGAAGGCTGCGAAGCAAATTGATTGCCTTGTTGATCATCTCCCCTGAGACCGGAGTTGTTTGCTGCTTGTTCGCGGCATTCTGGCGAATCTGAGCAGCCGGAACAGAGAATCGTTCAGGGATAGTCGTGATGAAGGTGATGAGGTATTTTACCAATGCCGCACGCAGATCTGTGGGCACGCTGTAGTCAGATGGTGCACGGCTGCTTGGGGGTCCGAGAGCAGGAGAAGGTGATGGCTCTTGAGCTTCATCCAGCTTGCGCTTCCTCGCAACGGGTGACTCTGACGATCCATTTGCCACTGAATGTGACTCCGCGTTGTGAATGCGTTTCTCCTCCCAATGCCAGATCAAACTGATCAGGTTAAGTGCCAGCTTCTTACTATCATTGGACGTGTTTGGTGGCCCAGTGATCTTGATAAGGGATGGAACAATGAGAGGCACGAAGTGTTCCCTTGACTCGTAGAACAGATCTGGCTGGCGAACCAAGAACTGGAAGATGCTCATGACCTGCTGCAAGTTGGCAGTCTCCTCGGCCAGAATACGACGAGGCCATTTGGCCCAGAGTGGGTATCTGTCGCCTGCGTTATTGGCCGTCCGTGTGGGAAGGACGGGGGCGAGGACATCAAGAGCCTGGGTGACCAGGGCCCTGCCTTCGTTTTGATGCGCTCTCAGCAGCGCAACGTAGACCTGTATCACAATCTTGAATGGTGTCTCATAGTGGGCAATAAAGTAGCTGATCAAGACGTATGCGCCGTACTTGTTGATGATATCCTCGAGACGAATGTAGTTCCAGGCGAACTTGATGATATCCTTGCGGGAATCTTGCACCGTTTGAGAGTGGTACTTGATCAACAAGGCGGACAGCTGAAGCAACTCCATACGCGAGTGATCAACGCCTGCTTGGTTGGACTCTTCGCTTAAATCCGCCAGCTGTGGCTTCCAGAGACGACTTTGGATTGACTCAGTCATGCTCTTGTCCATGAGCTTGGGGGTGTTCGGGGGGCTATCCCATGTGACCTGGACATCCATGGCAAAGATGGGGTTGACGAGATGACGGAAAGCATACGTCTTTGTCTTCTGTGGGCAGCTCTTCTGGCCGTAAAGATCCAAACAGCGCATGATGACAGACCGACGGTAGTCGATGGACTCGTTGCAGATGATGCTCTTGTAAATGTACTTAGGAAGAGCGAGGGTCCGCTTCAGTTCATCCGCGGAGAGTCCATCGATGACCTCAAAGAGGAAATCGAGGTCGTGGGTTGCCTCTGACAGGTACATGGTGAAGATATCCATCAACTGATCTTCCGCCTGTTCCACGCGAAGGCGCTCATCGGCGGGCAAGCTGTCACCTCGGAGCTTCCTCTCCAGATCTCTACCGGAGTGCAGAAGCTTGGTTCTCATGTCTGCATGCGACACCAACCAGCGCTTGGTTGAGTTGTACGAGCAGAGTGAGTGTGCAACATAGACTCCATTGATAGCAGCAGTGTTCTTGCCGTCACTTGTTTCTTGGTTGAAGGTAGCAGTAGAGAAAGCTTCCATATCAGCCACGATGGCGTTTCGTAATCCTTCGCTCTCGGGGTCTGCCAAAATTTGGCCGAAGAAGCGACCAAATCGCTCATCCTTGAATCGAGCGAAGAAGAACGCCAAGCTCTCCTTCGGGTAGCGGTTGAGATACTTCACAAGCGGCTTTCGGAAGGGGCTGTGGGAGGTGCGTCTTAATTTCGACTCAAGATCAAGCACCTTGTTGACAAGGTGTTCCATGAATGAAGTCGCAGCAGGAGGGAGGAGGTGGAAGATATTAAAGATGGCGGCGACAATTTTCATGGCGGGGTTCTGTTCGACAAGACTGAATGAAACCTTTTGCAAGACTGCGTCATCCGCAATCACCTTCATATGGTCGAGAAGACGTGCACCGATTTCAACCTTGAAATAGTTGGTAAGCAAGGTGAGGAGACGAGCGAGGCCATCCAATCCAGCAACACTCAACCGCTTGGGGTCTTGCAGGTTCATGAGAATGGGACGTAGACCATTCTGTAGCAGATCCTTCGGGAGCTTGTTGGTCTGCGTGAGAACATCGCGAAGACCAGCATTTGCTGCTTCAATGACTTCCTGCGAACGGGAATAGAGGGATTTGAAGAAAACAGAGATGATACGGGCCCTGCTCGTGTTTTGGGGAGTGTTGGCAAACTCAGAGAAACTCATTGCCATGGATAGCAGGCGAAGACAAGCAACACGCAAGTTCACAATCATGTCTGCGTTCTTGAACTCATTGGGCTTTGACGCGAGGGACTCGTCATCAGCATCAGCGAGCGCGAGGGATTCCAACATGAGGCGGTTGAGGGGCTCGTTGAAAGTGACGATCTCGTTATGAAGGCTCAAGCAGTAGGTGATAGCATCAATGAAACCAATCTGAGTGGCGAAAGGAAGGGCACGCAAAGGCTTGTTGAAAATTGATTGCAAGAGACGATCTCTGACTGGCAAGATCAACTCATGCACCTCACAACCAAGGACGTCCTTCAGGGTTGTGAAGCAACGACGGGCCGTCTCCCGAACGTGTTTGTTCATGTGTCCTAGCTCGTAGACAAGCAGACCACAGAGAGCATACAAACGAGTCTTCTCATTCTTGAGATCATCCTTGGGAATGAGCTTTCCACATTTCTGCAAGATCAAGACCATGGTCTCCTGCGACTGAATTCGTGTGGCAGCCGGCAGATCCAGGGGTGTGTCCTTGATGACATACATCAAGGACCGGCAGAACTCAACGTGTCGCTCGTATAGCCATGATTCACCCAAGTCCAGCTTGGTTGCGAGCAAGTTGATTCCTAGGCTTCCACCAGCCTTGGTAAACCATTCTTCGCTGTAGCAACTATGGCAGAAGACGCGACCCAGGTGTTGGAAGAATGGAAGCTTGGCGGCCTTCTCTGGAGATCCGAAGATGACGCCAGCGGCATCCTTCACAACGACCATCGCCTGCTCCGCGGCTTCCCGGACATGAACTTCATCGGACGCGAGGCACTCGACCAAAGCTTCGGCGAGGATCTTGGAGTCAAGGTAGACGGGGCCTTCGCCGCTGGCGACGTCGAAAGCTTTCCGGCCATGTCTGAATTGCGCCAGCGCACGACCGACCTCTACAAGAGTGAAGTGCTTGCAAACATCGGCCACAAAGCTCTTAGCAGTTTGCTCAAGCTCTGGGATCGTAGTAGCGAAGATGCAAGCCTTGATAAGTTTCTTGACTATGGCTTCCTGGGCGATCTTCTTCGGAATCGAGGCGGATCTCTCAGACTTATCAAGGATATCAGCCATGGCACTGGTCTTGTTCTCGAAGAGGTCGTTGGCATGGAGCCTGATTGAGGTAGCCAAATCGTCAGGAATAGCGTCATAGCCAATCTGCAGTTTGAGATGAGAACTGAGCATACGATATGCCTGCTGCTTGTAATAGATGTCCGAAGCCTTGGCTGAATCCGTCTTCGGAACTTCCATAAGTTTACCAGCAGCGAGGTCGATACCAATGTCAACAGGGAAAGGTCTCTTCTCGTTGGGGCCGATCAATCTGATATCGAAGCTTGGGTTGTCATCGGAGAATTGCTGGAAAGACAGCTCGGGAGGGTGGTTGAGGAACTTGCGATTCCTTCCGCCCAGCTTTCCTAGGATGCGCATAGTCGTATGGGCGTGGAAGTGATTGTAAGGGTGAGGACGAAGGTGATCCCAAAGAGCAGTCATGAGCTCGTCCATAATAGGAGCCATGATTGGATCAAGGTAATCAGCTGTGAGATTGTCCACGCAAAGTTCCAGCGTGCGTAAGCCCTGCCCGACAAGGTCGGAGTCTGCACGCAGGGCAACGACGATGGGTCGCATCAGATAGCTGAGGTGAGGGAGCAGATGGCTCAGTCGAGCAGGGACGGTCAGTGTGAGCTCCACGTAGAGATCCCGCTCCTGCGGCTTGCGGGCTGCCAGTAGCAGGTTGTTGAACGTCTCGAGTAACATCTCCAGCAGGGGAAGAATCTCCTTGTAGAGAAGCTCGAATCTGCCACCGCCGATGCTGCGGAACAGGGAACGTAAGAGAAGGAAGTAGTTCATAGGTTCCTCGGCGGTAACGGAAAGCTCAATACACTTCGTCACGATCTTGGTCACATGGGGGTGGAGAACCTGCTCGTTCTGCACGGAGAACAGAGTCACCGCCATGAAAGAAAGCTTGAACATCCTCAAGAGGATCTTAGCCTTCGTCATATCCGAGGTCCCAACCTCATCAATACGCTCCATCAAGTATTGGAGTACCATGCCGGAGAACGCGGGCGATGTGGCCTCACTGGCAAGGAAGAACTGAGGAAGGTGAAGCAAAGCGCCGTGTTCAAACATAAGCTCGTGGAGGTAAGGAATCTCAGAATGGAAGACCTCGTGGAAGGTGGCGGTGTCAATGCAGTGGAAGACTGTGCCGAAGCTTTCCAGAAGCTCCTTCTCTTCCCGCGACATCGGTGCGGTGTACTGACTGGCAAGGAAATCAAAGGGGGAGGCGTAGTTAATCTCGGGGGGAGTCTGGTCGACGCCATAGTAGCGGAAGACGCGAGCTCCTTCGTGGAAGAGTTTCTTGATGACGCTGACCTCCTCTGCATTGTACCCATATGACACCTCGGACCAGTTGACAGGAACGTTACTGGGATCGATCTGGACATCGTCTGGGTTGCAGTTCTTCAGTTGGCGGAAAATATTCTTCAAGCCGTTGATCAAATTGCGGAAGAGGAAGATATTTTCGAAAACAGGGTCACCACCACGGTCGCGGGGGCTGGATGTCTTGATGGGAGAAGCGGAGAAGATGTCGATTTCATCCCAGTCGGGGGGCTGGTCCTTTTCGGCAAGGTAGCTCTCGGGGCAAGGCTCGGTGTCCTTACGGAAATCTTTGTAGGCCTTGGAAACCTTGACTGCGTTCTTGAACTGGTGGTTCATCGATGCAAACTTATCACCGATGGCATCGAGGATCATGATGAGGAAGTACCGTGCCTCACGCTTGTCGTCGAGTTTGGAGATATTCTCCGCCATGTTCAAGAGTAGCTTGGCGCTCATGGTCTGGAAGCTGGTGCCGGGGAAGTCATCATGAAGGTTTTTCGTGTAGACCTCGACGGTCCGGCGAATCTGGTCACGGCTCAAGTGGTCACGAACGTGGTGGATGAGATCGGCGAGCATGCTGTAGGCCAAGGGTCGCATAGTCTCATAAACAGTCAAACCGTCTCCGATCAGCGTTCGCTCATCCAAAAGCTCATCGATTTTTTCGAGGAAGATCTTGCGGTAGTTGAAGTTGATGATGTGGCGAATAGCCACCAGCAACTCTTTTCTTGCTCCTGACTTTTCTCGCGGGCAATCTTGGAGAAGGCGAACAACTACAGAGGGGAGGGTGGGGAGGAAGTCTTGGAGTTGGTGAGCATACAAACGCAAAAGGTACGCCAAAAAGCTCATGGTCTTCACTTGAGCTGTGATGAACTCTCCAAATGCGGCTCGGTTTTTGATTTCCTTGCACACCCCAGTGAATATCGTACCCTGCGCTGCAGCTTCTGCATGTGCTTTCTCTTGCGGCTTCGCCTGAAGCAACAAAATCGTTTTAATGAGCGGGACGAAGAGCTTCACATTCGCGGAAACTGATGCGCGATGTGTCTGGAAGATAGAAACAACAATAATCGGGCACTCCGCAAGAACTTTGAAGGACTGCATGCCCTTGAGAAGAACATTACTTGACTGCTGCTCGGGTCCAAGATCTGACACTGAGGTTGCTGGCGAGCTTGGTCGTGGTGACTGGAAGTTCTGTGCTGTTGCGTTCGGCGTTGACGGCATACCTGACGGTGTGGCTTGATTAGGGGTGTCAAAAGTATCCCGGACTACTTGCTCCATGGTCTGGAACATCTCTTGAATCAGCTCGAGGAAGGTCTGGACCCGGAGTGCCGTCGCCTTGGCTTGGTTTCTCTCCAGATCCATGATGGTCTTCATGCAAAGCACGGCATTGTCTTCGTTTTCGATCCTCGCAAGTTCCATCAGCAGATCAACCATATCCACGGCGTACGGTTCGACATCGGGTGAGCCCATTGGTAATCGGTGCAGTGTCTCGAGAATGCAGTTTCGGAGTTTCTAATAGATTTAAGAACAGATGAGCAAAACGTGAACACCATCATCACCATCGAAGCAGTCTTCGACATGTTCAAATCTCACCTGGTCATAAGACATGCTGAAGAAGACCGGATCTCCTTTGAGAATGGTCTTGAACACCGGCCATAGCTTCGCTAAGAAGATCGGGTAGTTTGGCCCAGCACAGAGGGGTTCAATACTGTCTCGTAATTCGGTAGCGACATTTGCTCGGACTTTGACGTCTATATGGCGAAATGGTCAGCACGCATGCGGGAGACTTCAGTCCCTGTCGACAGAATTGACGAACCCAGCTTCTCGTCGCCGAGCTTGCTAGCATAGATATCTATGTTTCGCTCCATGGTTGCGATCGCACCCTGCGGAAGGGCTAGCCACTAACTGGCGATCCAACTGAATTATGGCCGGGCCAAGAGGCCGCCTGAGCAAGGCGGAGTGTGCGCAGTGTATCCGGGGGAGGACTGGGCTCTCATGTGTTGTGTTGGGGTGGCACGGAAGCTGTGTGGACTCGATCGTTATGCGAAAAGATCGGAGACGGGAGATGTAGAAGGAAGGATAACATCAAGTCATTGAGTATCCGAAAAAAGAGGCTGCTTAGTCCATTTAATGTAAGGAAAGACAAGCAGCAAAAGAACGAATCGAATTACCCCGCGGGGAGGGACGGCGAGGTTATAGGGTTAAGGTATTGAATGCGCGCGATATTCACGAGAGCAGAACAAGAGGACGCGGGCTATCGCAGAGACCCCGAAAGAAACGCTAGTCCGCTTTAGGCAATTTTGTCGGGGATAGTTGATCCGCTCCGAACCCCTTCCAGGCACCATCTACGGAGTATGGAATACTTCCAAGGTTCGATGCTTCCTAGTGTTCAAGGGGGCTTGAGGGTGCTTTAGATGTACTGTTGTTATTGTCTGTGAAAAGTTCATTCAAAATGGTGTCAACCCTTGAAAATGTACTCTTGCTGGGCAGCGGCCACGCATGTTATAATCAGTACAGATATACATCCGACAAAGTTAGGGTTGTCATATTAAACCTTGAACCAAATACTAGGGGGCCTGCGTCCGCTGTACTTTTTTTCTTCAAACATTTTGGGTCTCTTCAACGTGCCTTGCTCCGTTTGAGCAGGCTAAGCCCAAGGTCGAGACTAGTATCTGTCCCAAATGGGTGCAAGTTCGAGGCTCCCGAGGTCGGAAGTATACAGATCATCCAATCAGGTTCCAAGGCAATGTCATATCCTAGACCTAGTCTAAAATAATGGAAGAAGACAAAAAGAAAACAACACATAGACAGCCACCGACATCGTCGATGGATGGAAACGCCATTCGCACCCATTTTCCATACCCGAACACGGTTCTAGGACTGGCTTCAGAGAGGTCCATATGGACGAAACTAATGAATCCAGCCACGGAAAGGAAAACATCAAAAAGTCCATGTACACAAAAGAAAGAAATACGGAAGAGATGGGGACAGGCACAGCTGGAAGGGCATCAATCGAGGCGTGTTCCGACGAAAATCAAAGGACAAAACCAATCGTTGCCCGGGGTCGCTATGCCGTGAAAAGAAAACCGGAAAACACATGTCCGTCAGCAGACCATTCCCTCCGAGACATTATTTGGTAGAGTTGCTGCGATGCAAAATCTGTACATTGGTCGCGCTGGTACCACTGCCGACCGATCGTCGTCGCGGGCGAACTTCACTGCCGCTTCCGCTTCGTCGTCTGCGACCACTATTGCGAATAGAGCCTCGGCGTCGTGTCTGGAGCAAACGGACGTTCTCACGTTAGAATCACGCTGGCTATAGGGGTGGACAGGGTCTCTTAGCAAAAGACGAAAAATGGCAGGGCGAGAGGGCCAGACAGCAGGGTATTTCGCATAGGAATGCACGTATCTGGGCAGCAAAGCAGCGGATCAGAGATGCACTGAACTTACCGAATTAGGGGTGCCTTCCCTGCTGGGCCGTTCTTTGGACGCATCAGGGTCTTCCTGCAACTTCAGTGTGTTCAAACGCTTTTGGCTTTCATGAGTCATCGCCTCGACCTCGTCGATGGGCTCGGGGACATCAAGAGCGGGAGGCGGAGGTGGGGGGATCCCGTTCTTTCGATCCTTGGCCTGTTGCTCGATGATATCCCAGCGGTCAGAGCGAATCTTTTCGCGCTGGTCCGCGTTGTTTTGGTGCTCTGTGAATTCGTGCGAGCATTCGTCGAAGAGTTGCGGGTTGATCTCCATGAACATCTTCATCGCGTTGTAAACCATGCTGTGGATCGTTCTATTATGACAGATGTGTTAGTCCGGTGGTGCTTCTTGATACAGAGCGAGCAGGGGCGTACCGATTCCAGTGACCCTTGGAGTTCTCGTAGAGAGGAGCAAACATGATGGGTAGAATTGTCTCCACGTTGTCGCTTACGAGGTTGCAGAAGTATTCGTTGTTCCAGAAGTACAAAGCGCGTTCAGCGACCTGCCCGTCAGATTCGGATTAGAAAGGCACTTCTAAAGGGAGAGAGCAAGTAACACGCACCTGGAAATGAGGGCTGGCGACAGATTTGGCCAGCTGATTAAACAAGGGCTCCTGTACCTTGGCAAACTCGCCAGGATCCATGACTTCGAAGATATCTTCGACCTCGTTGAGATACATGACTTCCTTGGTGCTGTTGGTCTTCGGCCAGAAGCGCAGCAGTCCAAGAACGACCTAGGTAATGGTGAGTGTTTGTGAAAACTGGCAGAAACCGAAACGAGCACTTACATCTTCGGTCAATGTCGAGTCCTTCTCCAAGAATTGCACGATGCAGTATGCCAATTGCGGATGATACATGCTCAGACTCTTCACCTTATGCATGGGGAGAAGCACCCGGGTCAGGAAGAGCTTGTGTTCCTCCTTCAGAGGCAAGGCGAAACCGTTGATGATCGAGCCCAAGATCTCGAGTAACTCAGCGATTCCGTTGTGACGCTCTGTTTCGTACATGAATTGGAAGAAAACGTTGTTAATAGATCGGCGAATATAAGATCTGAGGTTTAAGAATTTGCCATAGATGCGATGAAGAGTCGTCTTGAGGAAGTCACGTTCCCGAGGATCTTCCGAGTCGAAAAGGTCCAGCAACTAGATGAATCATTAGCTTGCATCGTGACAGAAACCGGATCTCAAGGCATACCGAAAGCACGAATTGATGATCGATATAACCCTTGGCAATGTTCGTATTGAAGTCCTGGCTCTCAATAAACCTCAAGAAGAACTCGTAAACAACCTGAATGTGGGGCCAAGCAACTTCCAAAACAGGCTCGTCTTCCTCGGGGTCGAACGCTTCGCCCTGGGGCGTCAAAGGCGGAGGGATAGGACGGAACAGGTTCTTGGCGAACATTTCAACCACTCGAGGGTACATGGGCTCTGTGATGACCGACCTGTTGTTGGCAACATAATCTAAGAGCTCGTGCAGCGCCAGACGTTTGATCTCTTTGGACTTCATGTCGGCAGTCGGGTCGTTGAAATCGAAGATGATATTGCACTGGTCGATCTTCTGCATGAACAAGTCTTGTCGTCGGTTGGGAGGGACTTCATGGAAGCCGGGCAGCTTCTCCAGTTCTCTTTGGCGCTGATCAGAAATATCGAATCGCGACGAGTGCTGGCGCTTGGGTGTTCTGATACCCTCCGACATGTCCTTGGGGGTGGTCTGCAAGCGATCGAAGACGTGAGACTTCCTCGGAGGGGCGAGGTCACCCGGCATCGTCTCCGCGGCGCCTGGGGGAGGGACATGCTACAAACCCAAAGTCAGCGGTTGTTCTGTTGTCAGTGGGCGAGACTGGTCAGCTTACCGTGCTTGGGCTGATGATCACACTGGGGGCCGGTGGCTGCCCTTGCCGGGTCGGAGTTCCTGGTCCATTGCTTGCGGGCTGGCCTGCGGCACCGGCTTGCGGGATGTAGTGCTGGACCGGGGTACCGGGGTGGGGTGCGCCGCCCGCGGAAGGGGTTCCAGCCGGTGAGGCATTGTCTGGCGATTTGTTTCGCGGATCATTCAGTGATGTTGTGGACGAAGTTGGTGTGCCTTGGCTAGGGGAGGTAGACTGCTGTGCGTTTGAAATGCCGAGAGACGCCTGGTTCTGGCTAGCGGAATTGGAGTCCTTCTTTTTCGATGACTTGTTGTCCTTCGCCCGCGACAGCTGATCGTGCTAAAATGGAGGCAATAGAGATTAGCAAGGCACCAGATGACTGAGGACTTCCCGCGGTGGGAAGGAACGGTGTGCGGAAGTGATCGTGCGGTGAGATGCACCGAAGGGTATGCGGGCCAACTCACCACTCTCTGTCTGAAACCCTTCATTTTAACAACTGTTTAGATAGCCACATGTACTCGGCTGGTGTTTTGGGTTCCAGTGCAGCCAGGCGCCGCACTCTAGCCAGAGCGATTCGAAAGGAGGCAATGGAGACGATCGTTCGGAAGAGCCACGAGAGGGGGGAAATTGTTTGGATCGACCTAATAGGAGTTAGAATGAGCGGTCCGAGTCACACGGCATGTAGATGGACTAGTCTGGATGGAGAAGACGTTGCGATGCTGACTTCCTGACCTTGCGATGCTCGGAGGGGAGGGGAGGCTCAATGGCAACGAAGTCCAGCGCTCGAGACAGGGTGCAGTCGCAGCACGCGCACGGGGCAAGGTAATTCAATACTGGGCAGGGCCAACACAGGCATTAGGACACGAGTGTCTGATCACGACGTACCTCCGTAGCTTCGGGTTTAACAATTGATCGGTCTTGAGCAAGACTGGTCTGAGAGGGTGGGTGTTATGGGACGCAGTCGGTTGGTGCCAAAGGATCTCCAAGTCGCTAAGTGGCAGGCTGGGAGTGGGGGGGAATGGGAGCACCAGGTGGATAGACACTCGGGTCTCTACCAACGGCAAAGCACGTAGTTCAAATTCCGAGGAAAAGAGCGCCTCGGTGATGATTTGCGAAAGGACTAAATAAAGATGATGTTGTTGGTAGAGAAGAAGAGGGAAGGAAGGTGAATTGTTGAGGTGTAGGGAAAGGCGGGCTGGTTCTCCTGGCACTGGTGATGAACCACGACCCCGTCCGAAGCATCTCTTTCTACATTTCTATGCGCGCTCTAGGGGACGTTTAGCGCCTCTGCGTTTACTGGACTTTCTCTGCTTTCTATTATTCTAGATGCTTTTTTTCCGCTACTCACGATGTGCTTATGTCATCTACCCACGTGACTCCAGGGGCGACTCAGGTACCGACGTCACTCCCAGGGCTCAACAGGAGATGGACAGTATATAGCATACAGTATAGTGCCCAGGTGTGTATGTACTGTACACAGGGAAGTGGAAAACTTGGAAGACGTAGATTGAGGTCTGTGCACTGGACCCCACTCAGCTATATCGACTCAATCTGATATGCCATGTTCCATCAATGCGATGTAGATCTTGAGATTCGTGGCAACCGCTCTGTCGGGTTTACATGCTGTCCAACCTGCATAGATGGTCCTGCTGTCTGCTTACCTATCGTCGGTGGGTAGGTGGACAGCTTCCAAGGTTATGTACCTAGGTAGTGCCCAGGTGCAATATTGAGAAATATATATCTCAAGGTTCATACTTCCAACATTGCCTTTGAATTGATCCATTATCCATGGATCGTGAAAACTAAATCTCGGAATGCCCCAGACTAGACACTGGAATCAAGTCCATCTGGCAACAGCTAATGAATATTCAACTTGCGGACCACCCGTGACCTGGGCAATACCTAGGTACCGCGAGGACTGCACCTGGGGGTATCTTGCGCTGACCCCCGAGGTCGTACCCCACGGGTATAGAAACAAGCCCGAGCCTGCCAATACCTTGGTCAATAACTGTCCAGGTTAGCCTTGAAAGATCGCAGATTCTAAATTTCGCAGTGGAAAGAACCTTGAAGCACAGCTCCTTCCAAACCTTGGAACCTACCATGCCTTCCTCGACACAAACGAGACCGTCGATTCAACGGGACAACCCTCTCGAGTATCATTGCTTCCACCCAAACCTCCATTCTACCACCAGATCCATCCAAGGTCCTACCAACCCAGAACCCTCAAGCCCAAGAGATCATGACACAATACGGAAGCCTCGTCTGTCCAGAGCTGCTCGCAGCCCCAGTGGACTCGACTCCTGTCCTTTACGGCCGTCCACTCAAGGCTCATGAAATTCTCGCATCACCTCCTCCGAAGCGAGTCCAGCGTCCTCCAGAGGAGCCTGCTCCCGATACACCACAAGCAACACAAGCAGCAAATGCCCAACCCAGACGATCATTCAGACGCAAACTGAAGAGCATGATGACTTCTACCCGCGAGTTCTTCTCCCGTCGATTGCGCCGAGCACCTCAACCCAGACAAGAAGGACTGTGAGATGAGTACCGCCAGGTTCATCATTACAGACAGCGCCACGCCTTCGTGAGCTATGGTGCATGTCCCTCTCGACCAAAATCTCAAACCCACAAGACAACGCGGAGGAGCGATCACATCTCCGAGAACACAGCATGACACCGCTGTACAGTAGTGATATGGATTTTCAAGAGAATACTTGGGGAAGACAATGGAGAGTGGCCGAATTCCAATTTGTATTGATATCGCGAAGCAATGAGAGATCCATGGAGTGGTAACCGAGAGCGAGGATATGCCAGCATTCCTTATGCTGTGTTCCTATCATGATTGGATTTGGTGCTAGACATGGTAAATAGCCAAAAATGCAAAAGAATGACCAACGTGCGTCAATGATTGAAGCAGATGCTGAAGGCCGATGCGGAGTGATGCTGAGTCATCATAATTTTCCCCATTGAAGTGGCACACTAAACCACATGTGGAATGTAGGATCCTTCTCTCCAGACCGCGAAATATCAGATGTCGTGAGTTTGATGATTGCTGATCTGATTGACGTGACTTTAATCTCATCACCCTTGGGTCCGAAAGTTTTATTGGGACATATTCTTGCATCGAGTTTGCGGGACCCAAACCAACACCTGGGATCAAACCACAACCCAGCTTGATAGAGATCGCAATCTCCGAGTCGACCTGTTCAAAAAGCTTCGCCCTTCATGGATGAACAGAGGAGTCCCTGGACGGCCCCTTTCTATGCCGTTCCATCTCGCCAGCTCGTGAGCGTGGAGCATCCTGCCATTGTCCGCAATGTCGACAAGGCCATTGAAACCTTACAAGGCGACATAGGAATCAAATCCGTGAGATTGATCGTCTTTTGTGGAACTTATTGAACTAACCAGTGATAGATACTTGATCCGGACAAGGAAGATCCACAGGCCAATTTGGTGCTGCGGCCTGGAGATGCCATGGCTCGACCAGTGCAGTCCACACATGTGCCATCAAACAATGTCCTGCTGAAAGTCACTGTGCCTAAACGGACAGGACGAAAGAGAAAGCTCGGTTCGGACGGTCCATTTGAAGACGCACCGGAGTCTGGCGCCAAAGACCCACGGCGGCGCACTGCTAAGGATCTCCTGCGCAGTCTGAGTGATAACTCGGACAAATATCAGATTGAGCCGGTGGGAGGTATAGAGCACACTCATTTGTTCCGAGGTTTGTTCATCACTTTTGGGCTCATTCATTGAACTTGGCTAAATGTCTTAGGAATGCCTGATTTCGTCTACTCCACGGCGGCGAGTTCGTTCACGAATAGGTTCAAAGACCAGATCCTTTCGTACGACTGTGAGCTACACCAAGTGCCGTACATAAAAACCCAACTAACAATACCCAGTCGACAAAATGAAACAATTCGACATCGACATGAGCAAAGGTGCCCTCAAAAACGCGGACATTATCCCACCACCCTCATTCAGCCACGGCGACGTTCCATTCCACTACATGTTAGAATCACCAATCCCGTCAGCATGAACATGAAGCTAACAAACCAGCTACCGCCAAAACCCAACTGTGAAGAAGAAAATGACACAGTCCGGCGAACTGGAAACCTTCAACACCTCAACCGCCAACAAAGTCCTCACCCATCTAGTCCCCTACGACATCCCCACAGTCCCAGCCAAGCCAAGGGAAGATCTAGCACCAATCGAATCCCTAGACACAAGCATGAAAGAAACCATCGCCACCATCCAATCCCTCTACGAAAAACACCCCGTCTGGACCCGCCGCGGCATCCGCAACAACCTCCCCTCAGACGAGCAGCGCACATGCCTCCGCTACGCCATCCCATACATAGGCTACATCTTCCGATCCGGGCCCTGGCGCGACGCAATCGTCAAACTAGGCGTCGACCCCCGCACCTCCCCAGACTACCGCCACTACCAAACCTTCATGTTCCGCCTGTACTCCCGGGAAGCAGAGCTGGCGCGGGACGGTGCAGGCGGACGACGGCACAACCTCCCCCGACCCAGCGAGGTGCGTCTCGACAAAGACGATTCCTCGGCCGTTTCGGAAGGCCACATTTTCACGGGCAAGTTGCCTTTCTCGCCCGATGGTCGGATTTGGATGGTCGGTGATATTCAGGATCCGCAATTGCGGGCTACGCTGTATCCTGAGGAGCAGGGGGAGGATTTCTTGCGCAAGGAGTGTGATATTCTTACGGATGGCTGGTTCTCGAATGGAACACTTGCGAAGGCGAAGACGGTTATGAGGGCTAAGATTGCGGTTTTGATGGAGGGGCGGGAGCCGGTTGATGAGGATTATGCGCTTATTATGAAGCTTCCGACTCATGCGCACTCTGAGGAGGATTTCCCTTCTTTCTCGGTTGATATTGAGACGAGTAGTAGCAAGGAGATTGCGTTGGCTACGGAGGTTAGGTCGGTGATTCGTGGATCGCCGTTGTGGAGGACTTTGACGGCCGGTAAAGACAAGGAGAAGAAGGAGAAGGCCAAGAAAGAGAAGGAAAAAGAAAAGAAGAACAAGGGGAAGAAGAAGGACGAGGAGCAAGAGGTTGAATTTGATCAAAGCGAAGGCGAGGAAGAAGAGATGGAACGTCGCGAAATGATTGCCGAGCAGGTGGCTGCTGCCGCCGCCGCGAGGGATGCAGACGAGGCGAATGGGGAGGGCGAAGGAGATGGAGAGGAGAGCGACCGCATGGACGAAGACGAAGAAGAGTAAGATGTACCAAGACTTGTTGAAAATATAATTTCATTGCTAGCTAAGTATACCTACCGTACATCGTTAAGCATCAGACATAACAGGAGGATTAGATATAGGGAACACAGAGTCCAGTACTCGCAATAGCGACGACCATAAATCGTGAGCAGAAGACACCAACGCCAAACAGAAAACAAACGCCAGACAAACAAATAGGTATTGGAGCTAAGCCAGACAGAGAACCAAAACACCGAACCCAGATGCAGACAATTTTAATAGCCCACCAGGCCTAGACTTGCTCCTCAGCTGCATCTTCAGTTTTCGGAATGGGCTCCGTAGGCGAGACCGAAGCTAGAGCTAGAGCGTCCTCGCTCTGCGAAAGAGGGGAGCAAGGCTTCTTGAACTCAGGCTCGTCTTCATAGACGACTGCGAATGAGAACGCATTAAGGTCGTCGGCATAGTATTCCGATGCGTTGAGGTCACCCAGGGGCGCACGATCCACGACAGACTTGCGTGCAGCTGTGGCGTTGGCACTGGCCGTGGTGGACTGAGTCGCGCTGGGAATTTCGAGACCCAGTTCATTCGGGGGCACGTTCTCCTTCCCGCGGCGATCGGTCGGCTTTCCTTCGTCATCGCTGATATCCAGAACCGTGGTGGAGTGTTGCATCAGGTTGGTCATCTCCTCTTCCTCCGTGTCGACGTGAATATCAAAGCACCATGCTTCCGGAGTCTTGGGCTTAGGCTTGGGCTTACTCTTGCTCTGGACAAGGGCAGAAGCGAGGGAGAATGGACGAGCAACACCGCGCTTGTTCAAATCTCTCGGCTTGGTGATTGAGCGACGGCTAGCTGACTTGCTCGACTTGGGCGGCGGAGAGCGACCGGCTGGTTTGATGGGTGCTGACTTGGGGGTGGAGGATTGCACGGGCTTGGGTGTTGAGGTGCGAGATGGAATGCGGGTGGAGAGAGTGACGCGGGATGCTTTGGGTTTGGTGTTTTCCTCATCATCCTCTAGTGTTCGCTTGCGCTTTGTCGAGCTTGGTTCGATGTTTTCCGAGTCGACGAAGATGTTGTTGATGCCCTTGAGGGACAGGACTTGTGGGGGTTAGCTGCCGTCGACGCGACCATGGGTCGGTACGCACCATTTTGTTGGTTCTGACGATTCAGCTTCGATCGAATCATCGGACGCATGTGTGGCGAGTCCAAACAGCCCAAGGGCTGGCGAGTGGGAGTCATGGTGAGGGCCATTGTAAAGGGTTTGTTATGGTGTGGGGATCGGCGGTCTACACCCCGCGAGTCCAAAAGTCAAAAAAAGCAAAAAAAAAGGAAAAGTGTCGAATCGAGTGAGCGAACGTGACGGTCTTCAATAAAAGAATAAAAACCAGTAGATGTCTTGTTTTGATCCGAAATGAGAGGATGGGTAGGTCTGCTACACCGAAAGGGATATGATTCAGAGGATGACACCAATGATTCAGATGTGCAGCTCGGTGGAAGATATAATCGTCAGTGTGGGGGGAGAGCAGGCACGCAAGGGTGTCAAAAGGATAAATGGGATTGAGGGATCACAAATGGAGGGAGGCGAGTATTTCAAGTATAGCGCGTCTTCGCGCGCAAGGCACCTTGGATGCCAATTCCTCCCGTGGCGTTTAATGCAGTCCAATCGTGCCATTCCTTTTGTAGAACGCGCATTTCTTGTATGCATTGTACCGTAATAGCATTGTCTTCTACTTCTTCTATCCTGGACTTCTACAATTACCTACTCCGTAGACTCCCTATACTATCTTACTATCTATACCAGTACACCAGAGACAGAGCTATCCCCCTGGAGGTGCCCAGGTAACCAGCCAGGCACTTAGAAACCCAGGCAACTAGACGCTCACCCAGGTAACTGGAGAATCCAGAAATTCCCTAGTCACGCTGAGTATCCCTTAGACGCGTCCACGAGGTACCGGGTACTTCGCGTCCCGTGTAAATTAGGCCCACCACCCAGGTACCAGTACCATACGCGCGACACGACCACGGTCACGTCCCCTTACTGTGTCGTGACCGAGTTTCTACGCTAAGGACAAGCTGCAGCCATGAAACTCTGCCAGCGCATCTACGGTCTTACCGAATTTGGTTGCAAAGTGAGACAGTCGCTCACAGTGGAACATGGTTTTCCTACGCGCTGGAGGTTCTCCAGGAAATGCCAGTGTTTCAACAGGCATTCAGCCCCTCAAGCCCCTCAAGATCCCCAATGCCTAGTCCGGGAGAATGAGGGTTATTAATAGGGATGTGTCCCAAGCCTCCCCTCGTGGGGCTCGGGATATTCCCAGACCTGCATTCCATAAACCCTGATCGGAGATCCCAGCTGCCAGTCCTTGTGCCATTGACGTCTAGCCGCGTCGGCATTCGGCCGCGTGAAGTAAAGACTTGGCCGATCGACGTCGTTTGAGCTGTATATGTAGGTTTCATCGTCCAGCAATGTAATAGTCGTGCTCGCTGGGTGGCGAAAGGCTTAAATCTCGTCGAACGGAATGCCATCCAGAGCACCCTGAGGTTCCACAGCCCGCGAAGCACGCGCAGCCAGACGCATCGCTTCATCCATAAGCGTCTTGTACCGGCCTGGTCGCTCCGAATCCGTGACGTCTCGCCCAGCCTGACCCTGGGCGCGACGTTGCTCCCGCCACCGCGCAAACTTCACAGCATAACCCCCAACAAAGGTGTCACCTGCGGCAGTGGTATCCAGGACCCGTGAGACAGGCGCGGCTGGGAGCTCATTAGCACATTGATGCACTTCATCGCTGGGGCCGGAGAAGCCCACATTCGCGGCGCTGTATCAGTCACCCTTCGCTCCAAGTGTAATGAGCATATACGTCACGCCGAGCTGGTGGAAGTATCGAGCAACCTTCCCCTTTCCGTTCAGTCTCCACATCGGGTACAGTGCGGAGTAATTGTTCCATCGACGTGATGAGCCCAGCCTCCGTCTCATTCGGAATTAAATGATCGACGCCGGCATAGACATCCTCCGGTAGACCACCCGGCGGAGCCGGACCGCACCCAATCCCGCGTTTCCTAACAGCGCGGCTTTCTTTTGGACGTGCACCACAATGTCTCGCAAGATCTCGATGACCGTATTGACAGGGACTTCGCTTTGGATGACAATGACCGGAATTGGCGCCGCCAGAGCCATGCCCAGCACCTCGGGTGTTGGCTGCATCCCATCGTAGTTTGCGCCGGGTGAGAAGACAATTCGATTCTCACCACCGGCCGATGAATCAACAGTGATCACTGCGACTCCCGTGTCGGAATTCTCCACAACTCTCACGCGCGAAACATCCACCCTTGACATTTCTAGTGTTGGTCTCAACAAGGCAGAGAAGACCATCCAATGCACCGACTGCGCCTACCATCTCAAAATGTGTATCGCCTGTGGAGCCGGCTTGGTCTGGGACATCCGCCCATATGCCACAGCTTGATTTGCACCTTTGTCGCTTGCGCTGGTGAACTAGGGTGAGGATGTGATTGTTTCGCATGGATTCGGGAATCTGGGTGTGATAGAGACCATGTCAGCTTTGAGGGAGGCAATGACGCGGATGAGAGCCATGTCTGAAAGAGTCCACAGGCAAGTGGAAAGTGAGAAGTGAAGTTCAAGTGAATGATCCATGGATGTCAAGTGGGGTTCTCAAGTGAAGCCATGGTTCTGTAAACTGAACCATGGATATGCTCCCAGGCCTAATTAGGCAGTGGATTCACTTCTTCTTATATCAACATCAGAAGTGATCAATAAGATATAGTATAATTGAGAACTTCTAAGATTGTTCAATTAGAACAATCCATGGTGCTCCGTCCTATCTGTGTTGGGATATAAATACCTTCTCCCACCCCCATCTCTCTCTCCTTCTATCTCTCTTCTTCTTCCATCTCTCTTCCTCCTTCATATACTTTACCTACAGATCCGACCTACCTGTCTAATATGGATCCATTCATATATTTACCACCAGAGATCATCCTGATCATCCTTTCTTTCGCCACGGACTTCGTGGGGATAGAAAGCCTCCATGTCCCACCTAAAGTCAACGCCGTGTTTTGTCTGAGACCTCACGCGATTCGCATGACCCTCTTCAGGTGCGACTCGATCACCAACATGCCCAAGATACAAAATCTGGTCTACGACATTGCTAGAATGAGCAGCCCTTCGACATTTTGATGTTAAACGACATCAAATTTGGCTGAACTGGGATAGATTCAATGGAGGAGTGCATCTGGACAATGCCCACAGCTCTAGGGCGACTAGGACTGACTGTCTCATACGGAAACCCCCTGTATGACAGCCAGGATATCGACATACCAGAAAGCGTCAAACAAGACACTACAGGTATGAACTGGGGAAGGGGATATCCGGTTAATCCATCCTCAGTCCCTTACTTTACTTCACTGGAGCTTCTAAACGGCCACTTTTATCGAAATCCCCGGGTTTGGAGCCCTCCTCCAGTCCCAGCGCAGATCGTGTTGCAAACTGATCCATACCGGGAAGGGCGCTATTGTTGTATGGACCAGTCTTTCTCGCCACGATTCGAGCTTCAAATACCTTGCTTTCGACCTAGACTGGCCCTGGGTAGTCTCTACTGGGTCACCGAACTCCGGCCTACGGGGATCCTCTCGGACCATTGGCGCATACACTCTGTTGGGCTTGATACCCTGATATTCTGGGGAGATAGGCTACTTTCACGGGATAGCGACCTCGTGCTGCCACCCAAATATGACGCCAAGGAGTCCCATTCGCGGTGGACTTTGATGAAGAGAACTTGGTCGGGCCTACAGTGAGGATTCAACTGGTCAATCAGTTCAGTTCAGAGAAGTCATTTGAGGACTTGTTCTGGATTCACTGAGACTAATGAGATCAACCTCATTTCAGAGTGAAACAGTCTGTCATTCCTCGAACCCAGCATACTAAGAGGCGGGCAAGCGCTCAAATTCACCTCCGTTTCTCATCGGCTTCTCGGTGAAATGACTTTAATCTGATCGTCATAAGCTCGATCAGTTCACGATGTTGGGAACTGTGTCTGATGCTTCTTACGCCATCGAGCTAAGAGGTGAGAATGCGTGGTTTATGTCCACTCTCCCTTTGCTACCGACTTCTTGCTAAACACACTACCAAAATCTCAGCATCATACACCTGATTGATTCGCCATACCAGCGAACTGTGAGGTGAAAAAGGGTATGTCCCCATTACCCTCACCTCACCGCTGAATCCTTGCTGAACACATCTCCAGGCGGACCGCATACGGGTCATCGGAAGTGAATCCCAGTCAATGCTCCGCCGGAGTCTGGAAATAAAGGAGAATAGCTACTCCCCCCAAGAATGGACACACCTCACCATCAAGGTTAGAAGGATTCGGGTCGGGGGCGATACAGAAGAAGGCTGAGGAGCACATTGGGAACAGATGGAAGGGAAATGGAGGGAGCTCGGGTAGAATCCCGCTTTGGTCGTTGAAACAAAGCACTACTATGGCCCGCAGACACTAGAGCGCGGGTACATGGCCGGCTTCGACTTGAAGCACCACTACAGCACCCAACACGCCTCACCATCAAGGTTAGAAGGCTTCGGGTTGGGGGCGATCCTGGAGCGGATTTGAAAATTCTGACAGGAAGGAAAACGAATCATCAATCCGGGAAAGGCCAAACGGCTACCAGACGACCCAAAAATTCTAGTTGCAGGAACCGCCAAAGACGATATCTCATCGTGCAAAAAGTCTGCTCATCGCTGGCCGCTTGTGATGATCCTTCTCTGCGTGCAGAGATATCCGCCCCGTTTGGTGATCCAGGACTTCGGGAGCCAGAGGGCCGATTGGGATCAGATAAAAGGGGAAAGGAAAGAGCTCGGGTAGGATTCCGCATTGGTCACTGTTGACACGAAGCAATACTACAACCCGCAGACACTCGAGCGCGGGTACATGGTTGGTATCGACACAAAGCACCACCTGGGCACTACAACCCGCAGACACTCGAGCGCGGATACATGGTTGGTATCGACACAAAGCACCACCTGGGCACTACAACCCGCAGACAATCGAGCGCGGGTATGTGGTCGCTATCGACAAGCACCGCTAACAGGCATCCAACCTGTTTAGATAACAGAGGGAAGAGGGAGCATCGAAGAGGTCCCCCAGCACATCTCTAGCATGCGGAAGCTGTGCTTCGGAGGGGAGAAAAGCGAAGAGAGGAAATAATACCAATCTTTTCTACTATGGTCAATTGATTATTGAATTGACTCTTTCCCTGGAGTATTGTAGCATGGTATGGTCCATCCGTAGCGACCTACCTAGGAAGCTACGGTCTTGGAATATCATCTCCTTTCACTCGCTGGTCCCGCGTGACGTAGACATTCTGTCACTGCTACAAGCATACGAGCTCTAGATGCGATACAAGTTCATCAATCAACTGTGTAAGTTACATATAGCAAGATGTGCCCAGGAGGGAGCAGCTGGGGACCCCTTCAAGTAAAATGGGGGGATGAAACATCCTCTCAAGGTTATTCAAGGCCTTGGGTATAGTAGAATCATCACTTCCGTAGAAGTATTCATCGCGCAAAGGACTTCCAAGTGGCTATCAGATCTCAGACCCTGACTAAAATACCCTCATGGACCCACTCTATCTAGATCCAGCTGAGTGGGCACTCCCGATAGAAATCTGTCCGTAGATATAGCAGCCAGAAGAGAGTGAGAAAAAGAAAAGAAAAGAAAAGAAAAGCCCATGGCAAGGAGCGAACCGGGACCAAGAAAGAAAAAAAAAATGTTGCTGCACCCATTGCTATCATCGGTCAATGATTGGCTCTGTTTCCTGATTTGGAAGCTGGTGACTCCCGAGGTCAACGGGCTTGCTTTGTCAGGCTGTTTGATATGATGCGGATAGTCATGCTTGCTGCAGAGCTGGGATGACGAAAGCGAGGCAGTTGGTAAGGCAGGTGCCGTTGCCGTTGGTGAAGGTGAATATCGAGTATCCCCTGAGTACTCCAAGTGCCCCTCCTCGATGACAAATTCGAGGTCATCTTCGAGGATGTGCCGCGGATCAAGCGGTGAGCGGTTGGTAGGACTCGGTTCCGGGTAAGCTTCCACGGTTGATTGGTATGGTGAGCGGCAATACTCTTGAGCTGGAGCAGCCCTGGAGGCTCGGTTGAATGAGGTAAGCGACGATGCTTCCGAGGTCGAAAGTGAAGCAGGCTTGGTTGGTGATGACTGAGCGGACTCGGTACTGGATGACTGAGCGGACTCGAAGTCGGAAAGAAGAACTGGCAGGCTGGGGGTGGTTAGGAAGGCTGACAATGCTATATATGCCTCCTGCTCCCCAGTTTGCTGCCCCCCATACTGCGGGGAAGGTGAGATTAACCAGAAAGGTGCTGATTCAGTATGATTGACTGGATCAAGGTGGCTGTATGGAAGGATGCCCCCAGGGTGAGGTTGAGGTTGATTCGAATGCTGAATCACCGAAGGCATTGAAAGATGCTGATTCAGCGTGTTTTATAGAATCGAGCGGGGTGCTGTGAATGGGGATAGAATCACCGAAAGCATCGTGATCTTTAGGATCTCCAAAGAGCGGGGTATTTTAGGATGCCCCCCCCCCCCAAGATGAGGGTGAAGGTGATTCAATCGCTGAATCACCAAAGGCGGGGTCATCTCCGAAATCAAAGCTGAAGTCCATGATAGAGGATTCGATGACTCGGTGAGATGAAGGTGAGCTGACGAAGCGGATTAGAATGCTCGAGGATACTGCCGGAGGGGATTCGGTAGCAAGGATGAAGGCTGCTGACGGAGCGGATTCGACAGCAAGATGAGATGATCGAATCGCTGGGCCTCGGTTGATGATGAGGCTCTGCGGGTAGATGATCGAGAGTGGGGATAGATGAGCGCAATCAACCAATCAGAACGAAGGAAGCAGCTCAGTAAGTTGATCGGGCTCAGAACCTGATAGACAGAAGCTACAGAGGCTACTGACTGGAAGGAGGAATGAAGAGAGAGAGAGATCTGGAGCGAGAGCGAGAAGGAGAAGACCGGGGCACGTGACCATGTGTCGCGTCCACTGCTCCTGAGGTCACACGACCCCAGGAGAGGAAACCCAGTGTGACACAGAGAGAGTGAGAAAATAAAAATAAAAAGAAAGCTCAAGATGGGGAGCGAACCGGAGACCAAGAAAAAAAAAGGGTTGCATTCACCACTGCCAGTAATCAATGCCTAGAAAGCCGCCCGACTTAATAAACACATCTCAAAGGCAACGCGCGGATTCTGCTGGACCTGAGCGTGACCACTCAGCCATAGGGGGGGGGGGGGATGTAAAAGTGTTATCTTTCAGTTCCTTTTGACCGAACTAAGGGTTTCTACAGCTTGAAACTTCGATTCCTGCCCCCAAGGTCTCTTTGAGGTCTTCTGCATTTGATCTGCTCTACACCCTTACTGTAGAGTCACTGTGTACACCTAGCTAGCGTATTTGCCTCTCCAATCGCCACCGTGATCCCTGTCCTGTGGTTGAGTCGTTCCAAGCTCCAAGGCTGCTTTTCTTTGCTTGGTCCAGCTTGAAGGCTCTACTATTTCTGTACTGTGATGGACACAACATGACAATCCTTTGTTAAAACACTTATGAAGCTTGATTTACATTACTTAACAACTCGAATCCCTCATCCTGCGCCCTGTCAAATACTCTCGATGAGGCGCATCCGATAGCCTGGTGTATACCTACTGTACCTCGACAATAAAGTTTGAATGGGTCACGGGATGTGGGTCTCTCGGGTACGCTAGACCGAACTGGGTGCTTATGCGGTCCACGGGTGGGTACGGGCTGCCAAAGAGGATTGACTGATGCTCCTCAAAGGTTGCGTTTCGATTTTGGAGGTAGAGGGAGATCCATGCTAGTAAACAAGCCCAGAGATGGCAGATATCGCAATGGGCCAGGGGGTAAACCGGGCGACCCGGACTGGGATGGACGAAAGAAGACCGGAGGAGGAGGCGGAAGTGGATGCCGAGGCTCGGGCTCGGGCTTGGGCTTGGGCTTGGGCTTGGGCTCGGGCTTGAGCTTGGGATTTTGGGCCCAGGGACTGACTTCACCCGGCATTTGGACGGGCCATGAGATGGTTGTTTGTTTGGAAAACTTTGTTTGCCATACTCGAGACATGTCGTGCGCGGCCTCATTTCCCGGAATGCCACGGTGGCCGGGACTGTAGTGCAGCTCGACATGTACGCCTTTAGCGGCTAGTTTGTGAGACAAAGCACAGACGTTGGCTATCTGCTCTGCCATGTATCCATCTCGTCGGTAGAGGATCTCACCGTTCAGACGCGAGAGACTCGATTTCTCATCCGTAAAAATGAACAGCTCCTTCCTCATATTGTGGTCATGGGAGCGAGTCAACTCTTTTTGCCGCGCAATGTGCACATTATCCTTGCCACAAAGTGGACGAGCCTTCGCGTGTGGCTTCTTAATCTCCTTGATGGCAAACCTGAGTGCAGTCGCAATGCCAAACATCTCTAGTACGCTGCTATCATCTGTGTTGACGGGAAAGAAGGCGCCTCTCCCACCAAAGCTCTTCTTATCCAGAAGACCAGATTTCTCCCAGGTCACTCGCCAAATTACGCCCACGGCGCCGCAGTAAAATTTGATCGACCCATCTACGAAGAGGATGAGACGATTGGTGACTTGCGCTGGAATGGGGAGGTCATAGACGCACCGAGCCACTACATCTGAGCTTGCTTGTTTGCCGGTAGGGATGAAGCCAGTAAAATCATGACCAAGCTCGTGAGAGAAAAAGCGGACCTTGTTTGCTGGCTGGGGCTGCTTTTTGTGTTGAAAAACCTCATCCGGAGATCCAGCTCGTTTCCGCTTGTCTTGTGTCCGGGGCTGCTTGTTGTGTTGAGTAACCTGACCCGGAGATTCAGCTCGTTTCCGCTTGTTTTGTGTCTGGGATTGCTTATTGTTTGAAACAATCTTATCCGGAGGTCCAGCTCGTTTCCGCTCGTCTTGTATCCGGGGTCGCTTGTTGCATTGACTAAGTTGACCCGGAGATTCAGCTCGCTTACGCTTGCCTTTTCTCGTCATGTCGATGGCTTTGGGGGGAACTGATGGATAGACCGGATTGGAGAAGGGGTTTGGTTCAGGTGATGGGGCGGCGGATCAGCAAAATGGTCGAAAGACCTCGGGAGATCAGGCAAATTGATAATTCAGATGATGAAGGGAATTCCAAAAGGTGGAAGTTGAAAGCAAGAAGAGAAGAAGAGAAAAGACTAAGGGGACCAGCAGGACCTCCTACCTGCCGTTTGTGTGAGCTCTAAAGACGCTGCTCTCTGTGAAGACCGCAGCATAAATAAAACGTCCAAATTGAATGGTTAAGATGAGGAATAACTACAGTGGAATGTCCTTGGAACCTTGAAACCACATGGCTTGATGATTGTGGGCTAAATACCCCAGAGCGACCCGTCGCTCATATTCCAGGCCAAAAACTGACCATATGTACATTTCCCATCATAACGACATCGGAGACAGAGAGATCAGTTCTTCAAGCCTTGACCTCCTCCTTAATAACATCATCATTAGACCCCGTATTCTCAGCATCAGAGTTCGTCTCACCAATATGCACGACCCGGCTCTGCATAGCGCGGGCCACTCTCGGGGGATCGAAGATGTTCTTCGACTGTGCAAAGATCTCATCAATCTCCTCCAGTGATCGACCCTTAGTCTCAGGGAAGAAGAAATACACGCTGGGGACAATGGCGGCATTGATCACAGCGAAAATGATATAGTAGCGACTGCCAATTGTGTCGAATCCGACCGGCGTGATCTCCGCAAGCAGGAAATTGAACGCCCACACGGTAGCGGTGGAGACGGCGCTGACGGCCGCGCGGACCTGCAGAGGTGCCATCTCGGCCGCGTATAGGAATGTCAGACCGGAGTAGCCGACTGTGAAGATGAACTGGAAGCAGTAGAGGAAGACCACGGCCATTGCAAGGGCGCCCGTGTTGTCTGCGGCAATGGGATCGGTGCAGCCAGCCAGACCGGCCATGCAGATTGCCATGGCGCCTGCGCTCCAGAGCATGAGGGGTCGACGACCCAGTCGGTCGATGGTGTAGTAGGCTAGGTAGCCACCGAATGGCTGCATGAGACCCATTGCAGCGGCGAGGATGCGAGACTGCACGGCCGTCATTTTGAGGTATTGTTCGAAGATGGTGGTGGCGTAGTAGGTGATCAGGTTGACACCGCACATCTGTTGGAACATCTGGCCAGTGGCGGCGAGGTAGGCGCGATGGAAGATGCGGTTGGGGCCGTTCTTGAACATGTCGGTCCACTTTCCGGAGCCACAGTATGCGAGAGATGCTTCAATGTTGGTGACGCTTTCGTTGACGGCGGCGGAGTGCTCGTCTTCGTCGAGGAGAGCGGAGAGCACTTCACGACCCTTCTCGACTTGTCCGGTCTTGATCAGCCAGCGGGGGGATTCGGGAAGCATGGTGATGAAGATCATGGCGGTGATGGACATGACGACTTGGAAGATGAGAGGGAAACGCCAGGAGACGGAGTTGTCTTTGACGAAGTAGAAGCCGAGATCGATCCACAGGGCCACCGTCACACCCAGACCCACGAAGATACCATCTGTCACGACGTTCGAACCTCTCTTATGAGCGGGCGAGATCTCCGATTGCCACACAGGGACGGTGGCTACATATCCACCAATTCCTAGACCGAGCACCAGTCTCGCGACGATGAATTGAGCGAATTGGAACGAAGATGCCATGAGGATTGCGCCGATGATAGTCACGAAGTTGGTGATGAAGATCACCTTGCGTCGGCCCCATAGATCTCCCAGATAGACACATGATAGCGCACCGAAGATACCTCCGACGGTATAGAGAGCGATGACGGTACCTGTTTGTGTTAGAGGTGGCTCTCATCTTTGATGTGAGACTATTGACCAACCTTGGATCAGCGAATTGGCCGCCTTCACATCATCCGGCACATTGATAGTCTGCATTCGGGGGAATTGGGTATTGAATGACTCGAGGGTTAGAAGACCACCAGCCACACTCATGTTGTAACCATAGCAGGTGAATGTCGGGCACACCACCAGCATGACGGCAGCGCGTAGGAGGGCATTGCCCCTGAGGCCCATATATCGACCCATGTTTGGAATGAGGATGAATTGCACACAACAAGATCTAAAGAAGCAGAAGCCGGTGGAGATAGACTGATTGATACGGTCATTTCGTGATATAAGTAGATGATAGCAATGTCATCAAAGTGGGTCAGTGAGGTACGAGGTGAACATCGTCAAGTCGACTCTGTCGGTTGTCGCCGGTCCCCGTCTCCCACTCTATCAGCCTCCCCTCTGATTCGTCGCCCCCCGTTCTTCCAGTCATCTCATTATGTATCCCGTCGACGGTGAGATTTCCCCCAGACGCCCACCCCTTGGCATGTACCCCGGAAAGTCCAATTTAGACTACCGATCCATGAACTACCGACCTCTAGCTTTGATTCTTTTCCACGGGGTCAGACTGCGAGGGCAAACGGGGCCTGCCATTCGTCTTGCTCCACAATTGGCGGGGGGCGGGTGCGGCCGGCAGTCTCTCAGATCTCCATTCTAATGAGCTTGGCTGCTCGTGTTGGGACGCCTTTGGACAGCGTATAACTCTATTGTGCTTCTGCCCTAGGGTAGCTCCCGATGAGGGTAATAGTTGGCAGTCTTCGTGTGAAGTTCTCGGAGCAGGCCGGTCGAGAGAAGGCGTAGACACCTGAGCCCTCAGGTGTCGGGTGCTCCGACCTCGGCTGTTCGGGGCTGGTCCACCCGAGGTCTCGCCCTGGGCCTGTGCCCTTCGTTCCTGAATTCCCTTCTCTTCTCTTCTCTTCTTTTGTGCTTCTTCACTATTTATATACTACTGCACAGATTGACTGCACAGATTGATGTCTGAATACGGACAGTTCACGGAGAATTCCAGGATCAATTAGGTGCGTGAGATGCACCGAACGAGCCTATGAGAACCCCCCCTGTGAAAGTGGGGTTTACCCCGGTCCCCGGTCCCCGGATCTCGCTTTTAGATGCCTCGTGTCTCAACTTGATTGCGTCTTGTTCCGACTTTTCACTCTGGCTCTCGACTCGATCGACATCCTACAATGCACCTTCACCCCTGAACTCAAATCCGAATGGACTTCCGTGATCCTCTGTCGGTGTTATCCGCCAACCGGTCGATGATCCTCATCATATTCTGTCTCATAGGGTTTCTTGGCAGAAAATGGATCTAGAAGCCACATGGTCCCGTGATGGAGCCGCCGCACGGGGTACGGAGTCTTCAATTGCCACTTTGAGCCACGCTAGAGGCTTTTCGCTTCCACTCTGTGCTGAGCCTTGACAAAAGCATTTGGACAGCCAATATCGCCAAGCAAGCGAGCAGAAAGGGATCATGGAAGCGAGATCCTGGGAGGCGTGAGACCCTGCGCTGGAATAATTTTCCGCCCGGGTCTCAAGTTGCCCGAGGAATAGAGTTGCCAACTGATCGACTCTGTCCCCCAGGAGAGTTCTTTGCCTAACACAGTCTTCGACAAACACCACAACTATTCATGGATACTTTTGAGTCGAGTGTCCTTTGGAATAGTTTCGGCTTGGGGTCCAATTATTCGGTTCAATGCCAGCCATGGTTCCCTCTCGCCGCATGAACACTGGTGACTGACCTATAGCGCCGGCTTAGCGATATTCCTCCGAAGACGCAAAAACAACTACAAAGACCCTCCCGTGGGTGCTTGCCCACCTTAGAAAATATGTGAAATCGAAGTCATATCAATTCTCGCCCATACCCATAAGAAAGCAAGGGGGGATGCTGGGACACCAATGATGAACCGGTCACTTAAGATCATGGATTCGTCAGACAGGAACTGAAGTCATTTCTGGGACACTTGACAATGCCCAAATGAGGTTGCCTCTTATTGAGGCACAGTCAGGCCATGCTGCTGTACATCCACCGTTGTCAATTGATTCGCTGCCTGCATTCTGTGACATGACCTGATGCAGTCGATATTGGTATAGCCCGTTGCTGCCTCACAGTGAGGTCCTCAAACATAAAAAGCAGTACCGCCCCTATTTAAAATGAATCGTAGAGTAAACTAGCTCACATACTCAAACATTATGCTGCCAAAAATCTCCATTTTGTTTCCACTTTTCGTTGTGGCTGTCGCCATTCAACCACCCGCCCGCAATGTGGGAATTGACACTGCGGGACCCGGTGATGGTAAGACTTTCGTTTCCGATTCGTCCCAGCCCTGCAGAGGGATTGACCATTTCTAGACACGGTCGCCCGTTGTTGCGATGGTAGCCTCATCTACTATCCCAACATTTGCATCGTGAGATGTCCCCCAGCCATCCCTGCCGAGGAATCCCCGATTCAGCGCCCGGGTGGACCCCCGAGAACATCCCGGGGGTGACCTGGGCGGGTGTCTACCTGATCAGAGATGGATTGTTGCACAACCCTAAAAAGATTGGAATGAAAATTTCTCATACTCTGTACCTCATTCTTCCAGCGCTGGGATTACAAACCTTGGAATTCCCTTGACGACCTCAGCTCTGAAACAAACCTGCATATGGCCTCTGGAGTCCTTGCATACGTGAATATATATTTCCAACAACGACTTCGGGAAGGGTGCATAACATGGCCCCGGGATGTTTTCGTGTTTCAACTTTTGTTACAGAATACGTTTTCAAGCCGAAGAATGTCGAAAACTGTCGAAGTAACAATCCCCGAGATGGTTCATAACTACTGGTTCATAACTACTAGGTACAGGCTGCGGCTATAGACACATCCCCACATCTTCGACCTACCGCCGATTTCTTTCTTCTTTCATTCTCCCAAAAATTCCACTTTTACCAAGACCTATAAGCAATATGATGGGATTTGTGTCTAGTCAGGCCCCTGGCCAAGCTTCCGGGTCGCCCCTTTCCTTGATCAAATCCCAAATAAGCCCACCCATGAGCTTAAATCCACGACCTAAAGTCCGAAACATCACAGAAAACCGTTCCGACGTTCATTTCTACCCAATAGTTCCTACGGCGTACCGCTAAAGCAAGGTCACAGCCAACACCCAGCGCCCGCGCGAACCTTCGAAGCCGACACACAACCAATGATCTCTTGGGTCCAAGTCTACTGTTCTTTACTGAGTCCGAAAAACTCGGAAGTTACGATCGAAGGGGTAGGAAAAACAGAGACGTCTCAAATAACTCGAAGCAATGTTATCAAACAAACAAAGAAGAAACAACAGCGGGGCTCAACAGCCAAGTCTATCTAACATGTCACCACTCTGTGACTCACATATCTCACCGCGAGCACAGAAAGCCTTGAAATCCACCCGAAAGAATTTCCCAAGAAAGACCAAAGCCTGTGTGCTACCGGTTGATCACGGATCTTGCTTAGTTGGCCTTGGGAAGAGGAACACCCTTGTCCTGAAGAGCCTGACCAAGCTTGCGGAGGTCATCCTCGGAGACACCACGGTAGTCGAGGCTGTCAGAGCCCATGGGGATGGGGATAGGGCCACCGCTACCAGCAGGCTGGCCAGTGATGACAGAGGCGAGGTTCATGCAAGCGGGAGGAACACCAGCGACGTGGACGGCTAATTTTCGGTCAGTATATATTCCAGAAGAGGACGAGAATCGATGTCAAACTTACTGTCAGGGGTGGATCCGGAAATAGTAACCTTCACACCATCACCGTTCAGCTGGTCCTGGCACTGGTCCCAAGACTCCTGGGAGACACCAGCGGGCAGATCCACACGCTTGGACTTGAGAGGCCATCCTGTCATGCGACGGCTGATGTGGCCGACACCACCGGCGATGGCACCACTACCCAGAGTAGCGAGGGCTCCGTCAGCGGTGGCAATGGCAGCTCCGCTCATGCCCAGGGCGGCTCCGATACCAACGGCGAAGGGAGCAGGGGCGTACTGAACCTGCGAGAGGACAGCGAGGGTAGAGGCGGCGGCGACGGCAGAGAAACGCATTTTGAATGGTTTGGTTGGTATGGGATTGAGAGGTATGTGGATTGGAGAGTTTGATTGAAGACTTGAGAAGACTGAGCCGATTGGATTGTTGATGGCTTGATTTGGTCGGCAGACACACAGGATCTTTATATCTCGTTCTCTCTCACGGACCTCTCGATATTCTAAGGCCCCTTTTAGCCCTTTCTGCAAGTCTATGGCCGCCAGAGTCCAATTTCTCCACCAGAGTGACGTCGAACTCGACTTCCAGCCCCCAATAGCACCACCTCAAAGGATTGCAATCATGCCCTTTGCAATTTTGCGATGAAGTCTTCGCCAAGTCTTCGTGGGGGCTGCTCTAATCTGAGTCCGAGCCCCTTTAGCCAAGAACGTTGGTTCCAATTTGCAGCCCCCAATCTTCACGCTGGGCAGTTTTGGTCCCCGAGGCTTCTACCCCAGTGATCCATCGGGGACTAGTGTGGAGTATACTATGGAACTTCTTCTTGGGGGCTGTTTTGAGTAGAATGCAACTTCATCGTGTCCATGACGTTTCGTCTAGCAATCAGCCCCCAATTCCTCTGCGTCGAAGGATTTAGTCCTGTCCACCAACATGCCCCAGCTTGAGATGAGATGGGCTACTGCAGGGTCCTCTCTACAAACTATGTTTGGGGGCTTTGTTGATCATAATCCTGTTGCGTCGCCCGAGTGGCTTCGGGTGCATATTCAGCCTATTATTGTCCAAGCTGCAGAACTATGATCGTCGTCCTTCCTGATCTGGTTGAGAAAGGGTCTTTCTGAAACTATTCCCACAATCTTTGCTCGTGACCTGTTTGATATGAATGGGGGCTGAACTGCAAGAAATGGCGCATATTCAAAGGACGAAGAATCGTGAAAATGGCGCAGCCGAGAATAGCAGTATCATGGAGCTTGCATGATGGAGCCTTCTTGGCTCGGTTTCCTCGCTCATACCCTTGTGACTCAGGGATGATCCTCGAAGAAGACCCCGATGACAGTGGAAATCCCTCTCGCGGCCGAAACTCTGACCTTGCAAACGACGAATCGATATCTGCCCTAACCAGAGTACGTCTGTGTATGGCAGGATGATCGGCAGAGACCTAGGTTTTGGCCCCTGAAGTATGCCCCATTGTATGATATGCCAATGTAGCAATCACTCGGACTCATCTAGAAGCCACTGATATCAGCCCCAGAGCAAGCTATATAGGACCTGAAGTCCCGCGTGTCTTGACAATCATTCTCATCAACTTTTACACAAGCCTATCAACACCCTTCACAACAATCATCATGAAGCTCGCACCCGCAGCCATTGCCTCCGCCGCAGCCTTCCTCACCTGCATCCAGCAGAGTCCTGCCCCCGTCAACGTGGTCATCCCCGCTGTCCTTGGCGGCGTCGGCGCAGGATTCGCCGGAAAGGCCATGAAGGAATTCGGCCTTCGCGATGAGGTGCCCCTCTTCCGCCGCACCGATGATCCTCTCGCCAACCTTCCCCAGCCCGCTGGTGACCAGTGCAAGTCTCAACTTGAGGGTACCACTGTTACCTTCTCGCCGAAGGACAACAACGGTGTTCGCGTTGACGGCGTGCCCTCATCCTGCATGACTCTTGCCAATGTTTTCCTCGATGATAACTCGGGTGAAACCGCACCTATCCCGATGGGTATGTTCCAAAACATGACCACTTGAGAAATGAGGATCGCTGACAATTTTGTAGGAAGCGATAGCTTGGAATACCACAATCTCAGCGAGGACCAGCTGAAGCAGCTCCAGGATGCGCTGAACTCGAGACAGTAGATGTTAATCAGTTAAGGACAGCTTTCAGCTGTAGAGAGATTGTTGGGCTATGACTTGAGACAGACATAGGGAAATTGGACGAGTCTCCTGTACATACCTGTTTGAATAATGATATTTCACATTGAAACCGCATTCCAATTAACTCAGAGTATCGTTAACCTTCATTTCTTCGCTGGCGTATGACTCAAAGTACCCGCGCATTGTCTTTCAGTAACTTGGAATGAGTAAAACAGCAGAGGTCACAATCAAGACACCATTGAAGAACCTGGCTAGATCACAGAACGATGATACTATGAGTTACAACTGGGTCCATCAAATATTATTGATCCTTCGTAAAATAGTCTTGCACTTCGCGGTCCATCAGGCAAACCGTATAATAACCCCAATGATAGCCCCAACCACCGCACCCACCAGCAACGCGATCGTGAATCGGAGCACAATCTCCCAGAAAGTCAGTTCCCGAAAGGGACGAGAGTAAATTCGAGCAAAAATATTCTGTCTCGGAGCCCGTGGGGGCAGCTGCATCTCCTCCGACGAGTGATCGAGACGAGGATCCATTGGCTTTGATATGGTCATTGAGATAAATGATTTCGCTAATAGCTAGGGTAAGCACAGTCCTGAAATCCAGATGGAAAGGTCATACCGGTTTTCAGAAGTCAAGCCCTGGAGATTTGGGGTCCGGACTCGGCTCTATTTAAGGACTCGTTTTGGCCCCAGCGAAGTGGACTTTAGCTCTCAATACCCACCCGTGTGATCGACATGGCGCATGCCGCTTGTCGTCATAGTTTTATATTGCGAACTCGTGTCAAGTTGTTTCGAATGTTATATATGAGAATGAGAGGTTGAGCACTTTGAGTGCATGACTACCACTTGAATATGTTACTCGCTCTCGTTTCTCTCGCTTCGGGCCTCCTATCCCTCTTCTTCGCCTGCGTGGCCTTGAACACATCCCAGCCGTATCGAGTGTACTTTCTCCTACCAATTCTTGTTCCCGCAGCTATCGGAGCTCTCACGAGTAAGGAAGTCGACAGAATTGTTCCCCAGCTCGGCGCACTCTGGGCCCATGGCCTTCTTGCCCAAGTGATTCACAACACGGGCCTGCTATACATTGAGAAATGGGTCCTGCATTCCGACCCAAAATCCAAAGGCTGGGATTTTCATGCCGCATACAAAATCTGCTTCAACCCCCAGCTTCTCGGCACCTCTAAGGAAGTCCCTCACGCCCACCCAGTGACCAAAGGGCCATCGCGTCTACGCTTCCTGGGAAAATGGCTCGGCCAGCTATTCCTCCTTCACCTGATCAATGACTTCGTCGTCATACCGTTTTCTGCATGGGGATTCGCATCGCTCTCAGTCGAAGATTTCTCAGCGCCGCGTCGAGTCTACTTTCGCCGACTCCTTCAAGGCGAGGGGGTAACACGTTCGGAAACCCTGCTAAGGAGCGCTTTTGCATTTCGTTGGATGTGGAATAATTACATCGGTCTGCTCACAGCCCAAACAGCGATCGCGATCCTATTCTCGGTCATTCTCCGCTGGGACGAGCCGTGGGAATGGCCACGTCTCTTCGGTAGTCCGCTAGAGGCTTGGAATCTCCGTCGCTTTTGGGGCCGTTTCTGGCACCGTCTTGTCTACCGTCCCTATACTACGTATGGCGTGTGGATCTCTCGAAATATCCTCGGGGTCCGAGCTGGCTCTCTTGGCGAAAAGGTATCGGTTGCTATGCTTGTGTTTTTCTTGTCGGGGCTCATGCATGCCCTCCTCACTTGGCATTCGTTAGGTTGTGGGTATTGGGGCGACGTCAACTGGTTCCTGCTCAATGGCGTGTTCACGGTCGGTGAGACAATGGTGGTGAAATTGTGGTCTGCGCGCTTCAACGCAAAGGCTGGGGCAGGACGAGGCATGTTCCTCCGATTACTGGGGTATGTTTGGCTGTTTACCTTCATGTTCTGGAGTGTGCCTAAGTGGGAATATGGCAAGATACACTGTACGGTGTCTGGAATGGCCTAGGAAGGTGGTGGTCAATCCAAAAGAAGATGATGACATATGGCCCCATGAAGAATCAACTTGGCAGTTTGCCATTTAGCCGCATTATGATATCCAGTTTCACATTGACTACGGAGTAGCTGTTCCTAAAAAAAGGCGAGTGCGCATTTCCTGCCAGGAACTAGACCCACATAGTTAAGAGCTAAACTGTCCTGACGATCCATCCCCCACTCGAACACATGTCTAGTGAAGTAGTTTGCAGGCCCATGCGCATTGGCATGTCAAAAATGGCACAGTCAATGCCTCCAGGGCTTTTTCGGTTGCGACATGCATACTAGTAGTAGCATCGTTACCAGAAAATAGAAGTAGAATGAACGCACTACGCTAGACACATGGCATCATATGAGCCGCGAGTCCCAATAACACCCACTAGAAATAGGATTGAACCCTAGTGGGGGTATAGTGTTGCACTGGTCTATGGATGAGCCACAGGGTTTCGGTTTCGGGTCTGCAACAGGGTCCAAATGACCCCTTCAGACCGACCCCCCGCCCCGTTGCCTCTGTGGGGTAATCCTTTTTGGGGGCCATATTTCGTGGGGGCGAGACAATTATTTTTTGGGGGCGATATAGGGTCTCTTTGGGGGCCATCTTTGGAGGCTCTCTGAAGATGAAGGGTTTTTGGGAGATGTAGATTTTTTATTTGAGACCTCGGGATGTATTCATCTATCTTATAGAGAATGGAAATAAATAGCAGCTTGACTTCGTAGTTATCTATACCAAGATGCTAGTAAGTCGCAAGAAACACCAAACCACTAGCTACAATTCCTGTGAACACCGGATTTTCCTGCAATCCTATTGAAAGCCACCCTACATATGGCAAGTATCCCTTGACCAAGCCAACAATCTCCTCACGACCTACTAATAATTGGCCCGGGGGATAAAGCGATACATCATCAACCTCATTATTGTCCCCTTTTGTCAGGACCAATTGTCTGTTGCCATACATGTCAGTCATATAGGTAGTCTAGAGTGGGAAAGGTCATACGTTATTTGATCAAGTCGCACAGATTTGATCGCTCGATGGACCATGGGCAGTGGTCTTCCTGGAAACCAGCAGACTGGAATCTCGCCAGCGCGAATCCACGGATGTCGATTCCATAAGAAAAGAAGGTCTCCCCGATTGAATGCTGGGGCCATAGATTGAGAGATGACGACAATGATGGGATAGGATGAGCCGGTGAGGACACAGAGGGCTTTCCAGAACATGAAGGGTACGGTGGCCAGAAGAAGTATTGACAGAAGCAAATTGAGATACCCCCGAGGGGTGTTCCCTTTGACAAGCATGTTGACGGAAAGAAAAATAACAACTTGGAACAGATCGTGGAGATACACATGTAGTTGAAACGTTAAAACACCCTAATATAGTGAATAGAGTCGGGCCGGTGGAATAATTTCCCCTCGCCCCCATTCTTACCTTTCCACCTGGGCACTCCAGGGTTTCAAAGTTTAAGAGGTATGGTCTTCTAACGTGAAATAAATTGCAAAATATGCCTATTTTACAAGATGTATTTCCAATAGATTCCTTTTCACTTGCGTGTGGTCGAATCCTTCCAAGGTTCACACATCTGCAGAGCATTCCGTCATCTGGCCGGAATATACGTATCACTGAGGAGCGACATCGGAAAATGGCCTTTTTTGAAAAAAAAAAAAAAAAAAAAAAAAAAAAAAAAAAAGAACTTTGTGTTTTAGGGAAGAGGGACAACAAAACACAAAGAAAGACTGATATTAGATAGAATGAAATGACTCAAACGACAGTGAGCA